TGACAACTAGCTATAACTTTCACACAAGTATACTTAGTAGTTTCGTCAACAGTAGCAATTGCAGAGCATTGCTTCTATCATAGTGCATGTGTTGTATCACCACTTCTTGATGCCATCTGAAGGCAGTACTCTCTGCAGTCCAGATATCAATTGACACTGAAGGTGGTTCATACTGCGGTCTGGCTCTCTCGATCATTAGAAACTGAAGGCAGTTGTCCACTGCAGTCCAGGGATCACCTCAAGCACTCAGTTTACACACTGGACACTCATTTCAGCACCAACAACATCATTCACACCAGACCTTGGTGTCATCACAATACATCTATCATTATTGATTGTGCTGAGCTACCTCTGGACAGAGTGTCCACAGCAGTTAGTTGAAACCTACAATAGCAATCATCCTATCATGTATTCAAGTGAGAATGGTCATAGAGGCCTTCTATGACAGATCTTGACAAGAATAATAATACACAGCATTTTACCACATATCTCGACAGGATCTGTAATAAATGCATTTCTACTACAGATATCAGGTTTCAGGCACGAGACCCCTGACAGTTGTAAGTGGTTGTGCGCCTGAAACCAGATTGGGTGTTTCTGATTGATTTCAGTGAGATCAATTGAGTAAGATCTACTCAGTATGTTTTGACTGAAAGTAACCAGACAGCTTTGTTCTGGTAGGTTTTGGCTGACTGCCTTGAACACTCCATTCAGAGGTTGCACAGCATGTCTGTTACTTCCTGGGGTGAGAGTGTTACACTCTCCTATACAGCACAAGTGTTTGTAGTACTGTTGCTTAATGCTCTTTGATGTTGCCTGGACTGCGATATGCCTATCACCTACAGAGGATGGGAGTTACTGGACCACAGGTGTTAGACACCACCTACAATAACTGACTGGACCACAGGTGTTGAGCAACACTGCCTACAGTGATGAAACTGGACCACAGGTGTTGAGAGGAACACTGCCTACAGTTTTGACATCTGACAGTGATACAACACACATGTTCGAGATGTCATTGCAAAAGCTACTTGCTATTGCAATGATATGTAGCTAAGTAAGAGTAAGTAAAGAGTAGAGTGGATGAGGATCCACTTGTATGCTATGGTGAAGTGGTAGTATTTATGTGTCCAGAGGGTGTCATCCATGGCACCGCTCCTGCTCCTCTTGGAGGAGTGTCCCCATCCTCCTCCTACTCCTCCTCTCCTTGTGTGTTAATCTTCTTGACACTGCCCATCCTCCTCATGGTACCAATGTTGGTCCTTTCAGCTCTTCCCCCTCCCCTCCCAATCTATGGCCATTCCCTTGGTCCCTATCTGATGGCTCTCCCTGACCATGTGACCATCCATATTGTCCCACTCCTGTCCATGCAGTCTACCTTGTGACTGGTTCTTATGTGATCAAGAGCATGTCCCCCTTGTGTGGTAACCTGCCACTTGCTCTTGAGCTTGGTCCTCTTCTTGGCTGAGCTTGGACCTTCTCCTCACATGTGAAACCTTTCCCACTGTCTTGGCCTCCCCCTTGACCATGGAGGTCTTCCCTACCAAGCCTCCTGTTGTTTCCTTGTAGTCCATCAGCTTGTTCTGTACCAATGGAAGCTTCTTGCAGTGTGTTTGGTGAAATCAACTGGATAGTCATATTCTGATTGATTTCAGCAAAATCAACCAGACAGATGTGACATGGTTATTGTCAGGTGAATTCAACTGGAAACCCATGATCTGGTTGGTTTCACAATTTTGTGCACAAAAAGCTCCTCATACCTCATTTCGGATCTTCCTGCGCAGCTTCTGTGACAACAGTCACTTTCACCAAAACATACCAAACAGAGCTTACTCGGTTGATCTCACCAAACTCAACTGGAGACACCAAACCTGGTTTCAGGTGCGCAGCCGCTCACACTACTCATGTCTGCCAACCCACACCATGCTGACCCTCTCGCCTCTACCACCTGTCATGGGGCCGGAGGTATGCGCAGGAGGGACTGGTTTCATATGAAGGAACCATGTGCAACAATCATGGATTGGGCCAAAGGAAAGTTCTGACAGAGCTCAGCGAGATCAGTAGGATCAAGGGCTCTATGACAGAACTTGCCAGGATCGGCAGAAGCAAAGCCTTAATACAGAGTTTGTCAGGGTCATTAGTGTCAGAGGTTGTGTGCCTGTAACCCGATATCTGTAGTAGAAAGATAACTACTACTGATCCTATCGAGATCTGTGGTAAAAGGTCTTTATATTTATTCTCGCTGAAATCTGTTGTAGAAGCCTTCTATGACTTTTCTCACTTGAATATGTTGTCTGATATCTATTGCAGATTTCGACTGACCACTGGGGACACTCTGCTAAGAGGTAGCTCAGCACAATTGCTAGTTGATAGATACTTTGAGGTAACACCAAGGTCTGGTGTGGATAATGTTGTTGACACCAACACAAGTGTCCAGTGTGTTGATTGAGTGCTTGATGATCCCCTGACCACAGTGGATGACTGCCTTTGGTTCTATGATCAAGAGAGCCAGACTGCAGTATGAACCACCTTCAGTGTTGATCAATATCCAGACTGCAGAATGAACCACCTTTGGATGATGTCAATGAGTGGTGATACAACACATGCACTATGTTAGGAGCAATGCTCTGCAATTGCAACTGTTGATGGAATACTAACTATACTTTCTGTGAAGCTATAACTAGTGATATAAGGTGTAGAGTGGATGGGGATCCACTCGACTACTATGGTGAGAAGCATGGTTATATAGATGTTATAATGCTGTTGTCTGCGACATTGTGTTAGCGGTTTCTACAGGAGACCTCCTAGAGTAGAAGCAGTGTCGCAGGCGACATTGTGAGGACATCTATATAACCATGCTTTCTTGTCATAGTATTTGAGTGGATCCTCATCCACTCTACACTTTACCTTACTAGCTATAACTTTCACACAAGTATACTTAGTAGTTTTGTCAACAGTAGCAATTGCAGAGCATTGCTTCTATCATAGCACATGTGTTGTATCATTGCTTCTTGATGCCATCCAAAGGCAGTACTATCTGTGGTCCAGATATCAAGTGACACTGAAGGCAGTTCATACTGTGGTCTGGCTCTCTCGATCATTAGAACCAAAGGCAGTTGTCCACTGTGGTCTGGAGATCATTCAGCTCATTGACACACTGGACACTCATGTCAAACCAAACACATTCACACCAGATCTTGGTGTCATCTCAGTTAACTATCAGACATTGATCATGCCAAGCTACCTCTGGATGGAGTGTCCCCAGCAGTCAGTCAAAATCCGTGACAACCTTTAGTTACAATCTATTCAAGTGAGAACAGTCATAGAAGGCTTCTATGGCAGATTCCAGCAAGAATAATAATAGAAGGCTTTTACAAAACAAAAGATCTCGCCGAGATTAATTGTAATCTACTGTGGTCCAGAACTGATTGATACTGGAGGCAGTCTCTGTGGTCCAGCTCTCTCAATCTCATACTGGAGGCAGTCTACTGTGGTCCAGTTCTTGTTCAATCAACTCAATTGTGCAGCTGTCAACACTCTGGACACTTGTGTCAAGACTGACACTGTCACACCATACTTGGTGAACCTCAAGAAGTACCTTAAGACACTGATTGTGCCATGCTACCTCTGGATGGAGTGTCCACAGCAGTTAGTTGGAATCCATTATAAACCATAGCTACAATCTTTTTGTGTGAGAAAGAACCTAAAGGGCTTCTATGGTGGATTTCGCCAAGGTTGATTCTAGCCAGCCTTTACAATAAATTTCGGGTTCCAGGTGCGCAACCACTGACAAGAAGTTCAATCCTGGCCTAGAGGCATTTTTATTTCCCCCCCTCCTTGTGTTTCTTTGTATGCTGTTTGTTTCGATGTGGTTGCAATATAATAGGCCTTCTTCGGCCTGATATTTATAAAAATAAAAATAAAAAATAAATAAATAAAAAAACCTGTGATGGTAATTCTTTTTGCTTTAAACAACTTTGCCTCTTTGTGAACATGGGGCCGATGTGAGGATCCGAATCTTTTGGGGGTGTATTTGTTGACGACTATGTGCATATGTTGTGGGACAAAGGGGCCAACGAGGCGTTACTGGGAGGGGCAAAGAACTCAAAACGTGGATTTACAGCAAAGGCGGCTCGACAAAAAAAACGGCTTCGAGAGACTGACGGCTGCCTGAGACACAGTCAGTTTCGCTGGCCTTACACCCCACAAACGTGCTTGGGGTCGAACGTGTCGTTTTCGTGAAACACTTATTTGAACCATCAGCAGTCTCGTCGTCGGGTCGAAACAAAGTCCAAGCTTGATCGCTGAATTAGCAAACAGGCAAGCTCCAAGCTTGACCGACGTGACTGGCTGGCTAGCTGACTATCTCTCCTTCTTGGCATATGAAGCGCTGGATACCGACAGAGGGTGATGGTGTAAGCTTGAAGTAATCGGCTGAATGGGATGTGTAAGATCTCTTGCTGCATACCCCGATGAACTGGTCATCGAGGAATGGACCTCACCTTGAGTTGAAGATGCGTCGGCACCACAACGGGATAACGGGGTCTGCGGAGCGTAAGCAAGACCTAAATGAATGTCTAATGGGAAAGGCTGCACACAGTCGGAAATTCATGTGGGATGCACATGCATTGCCATGATGACACACATTGGATAACAACTCAGGGGTGACCAAGAGTGATGACTCATCATGGATAAATGTGGGATTGGAAGTGACCATCAGATATATATATACATATGTTCATGCACACAGTAGCATACAATTCAAGTGTTCAAGAAGTTATACGACTGTGCAGTTGAGCTTGCAAGTAGCTCCGATCTGTCGCATTTCACTTGCCATCTTCAACTCCTTGCTTCCTCTTGTGTGACAAGCAAACGAAATTCCGAAAATCAGAAGGCAACCAAAATTGAAGATCAGCGCCCATCAGACCCTCCTTTTTTTTTTTTTTTTTTTTTTTTTTTTTTTTTTTTTTTTTCTCTCCCCCACAATTTGACGCTTCACAATGGATTGCTGCAAGGTTGCATTGCTGCAGCATATCGGTTGCATGTCCACCTGCGTCGGGCCCTTGTCATTTTGGGCGGAAAGCTGCAGCCTAGTTGCTTCACACACTTCGCCAGAACTATTTGACGCTTTCGAAAGAACGACTTACCGGCGACTCGCTCTGCCCCGTGCCCTTTCACCCGCTCTTTCAACGCACAGCAACCTAAAAGATGTCTGGAGAGGTGCACGGAGCCGTGGAAGCGAGAACAAAGGCTTACGCGATGTTTGCCTGGTCCGCGAGAACATTCTACAAGAGGTCATGGCGGGGCGTGGGATCAGGTCGGAGATACTATAGCTTATTGACGGAGACCGAAAGACGACACACATGTGGGTTCGGAGAAGCTCGTACGATCTTCTTGTGTGTTTGTGTGTCCGCATCGTACACGTCGGAAGAGTTTTCATGCTGACTATCTCGCAATCGGAACCAAGCGACGTCGAAGAAAGAGAGGAGATAGAGAGCACAAGGAGTGGGCCATATCGGCTTCAATCCACATGCCTTCTTTTTCATTTCTTTATTTTTTAAGATTTATTTCGCTACCGTAGGAGACCCTGTGGAAACGGTACAAATCACTAAATTTGTTTCACATCCGCTGCTCGCCAGCACCTTGAAGATCAGTTGTCGACTCGCATAACTTGGACAATTCCTCCAGGAGGGCACTTTAGCCCCTCTCCTCCTCTTCACCCCTTCGCTTCAAGTCGCAAAGACACGTCCAATGTGTTCTCTCTTGAAGTTGAAAGAGAGAGACATCGAGGCCATTCTATCCACCGCTTCAGTTTTGCATTCTCTATGACAATGAGAGAAAGAGAAGAGACGGAGATGACCTTACTTTGTCCTGCATTCGTGAGTGGAAGCGATTTCCATCCATAACGATTGGCGGGATAGGGCAGGGATCCAATCTGCCGCCCCGACCAGTTCCTTCAGCCCAGCTTGCCTGTCAAGGCAAGAAAAGGAAAGGAAAGGGAAGGAAGCAACGAATACTCCCTGTCCCACTTTTGCTTCCCGTGCTTGCGCCTAAGTGCGGAACCATCTTTTGAGAGAGGGTAGTGATCATGTCAGGTGTCATCATCGTTGGTTGATCCAGGCTCAAGGAAGGCTCGATTTCTTGCTTTCAATACACCTGCACCCTTGACATATGCTGAGCCCACTTTTTGTCAGCTTAGGAGCCCGAGCCTCTGCCCTTGCACATTCTTGCATTCCTGAATAGACTAGCTTCGCTCGCTTCTTTCTTGTTAGATGGGCTTCCAACGGCTTGGTCCTCCTTGCTCGCTGCTCTTACTTGCTTCTGTTCTGGGCCTGTCTTCGGTTGCTTTTGAGACACCATCCTTCTTTCTCCATAACATCATTTTGGAGCTGTTACGTCCCTAGACTTAGCCACGCTTCCACCGTCATCGATTCGATACCCAACTAACTTGACGACTCCCACCAGCTCATCTTCGGCCGTTATCGGAGAACAAGGAACGATCAGGTCAAGTATAGCTCGGCTTCAACTTCATAGAAAGCAGGGCGTCTCTTCGGCAACTCTCAGATTTCCTCACCTACTGTATCCTCAGGTCTGGCGTCATATGAAGCCACGCTCTCATCGACTCGCCCACTTCATCAAACGCAGCGGAACAACAACGAATCTATGCAGTGAGACGAAGAAAAGCTTCATTCAGTCGAGCAAACTTTTCGGTGTTCTTCTCCTGGCAGCGCCACTCCAACGCAGCCACCTTCGGCGTCTCCGGTACTTAAGACCACCTCGCACCACTCTCTTAACCCTAGCTTGAGAACACACGTTCGTCCGAAGGCCATGATGTTGCTTCAACCTCAAAGACCAGCCCAAGCACGCACGACCGGCAGCGGTATCGGCTCATCCACCTCCACTCGCAAGAATAGAAGCATGGCATCCTTCACTTCCTCAAGCCATGACGAGGCTTTCGATGCCTCCTCTTCTTCTCATCGTCAAAGCGGTTCCTCTCGCGGCCATCACACTCAGCCTCCAAAGCAGCAGAGCTACTTTAGCTCCCCCCACTCCTCCTCCCTTCCTCTGGACGGATCGAGCGATGTCGAGTACTCCAAGTACGGCACAGCTCCTCGTCGGACCAAGAAACAATCAGCTGCATCACATGGCTCTAGGATGACAGCAAAATCCTCTTCCTCCAACTCCGACGTGGGCACCCTTCGCGGTCTCGGTCGAAAGCTGTTTAACCGCTCGACTTCGAACTTGAAAGCAGCGCCGTTGTTGGCTTCAAGATCGCAATCGGCAAGTAGTAGCAGTACTACTCAGTCTCCGCCATTGACTCCTACTACTCCGCCCCAGCAGCAGGTGCAGCCTGTTTGGTTGCCGAACGGCCAGAAGGATTTCTTTTCCAACTTTGCAGGATTGCCTTCCGATATCAGCGTGCTGGATGTGAAGGAGGTGGCGATGACCGGTGTCAATCCGAAGGCGAGACAGGAAGGCTTTCTTTCAGATAGTGAAGGTGAGTATGGGAGGAATAGTATCAGTCGTGATGCGGGAGGGAGCAGCTTCTCGCATGCCTCGCCGAGTTTTGTTTCGATTCCTTCGGTGGGTCATAGTGCGTCTCCGTCTGCGTTCGCCAGTGGGGCGGTAGGAGCAAGGAGAGATATTCCAGCAGTGATTGAAGAGGAGGGCGATTCCGACTTTCTCCGTGCGGTGCTGAACTTCGGGGAGGGTGGTGAAGATGGATTGCTTTCCTCGCCCTCTTTCCGTGGTGGGCGCGCAGCGCCTTTGCCTACACGGTCGAGTTCGTTGGGTCAGATCGCTGGTGCAACGTCAAGTCGTAGTGCCAGTAGTTTTGCGACTCCTTCTCCCAGAGTCCCACCGAAACGTGCAGCGGATGGAAGGGTCATTTTGACCCAAGAGGCGGCGAAAGACTTTGCGGTCGAGAAGGAGAAGCCTTCCTACGTGACAATGCACAAAAAGTATAGGAAAGGTCTCTTCGGTGCAACGGAAAGTGAAAGCGAGGACGAGTATGGAACTGATGGAGATGAGGATGACGGGGATATCACCGCGACCAGCCTCCCTAGGTCGGCTTCAGCATCACAAAACCAGCAAGCGGAAGCAGTCAAGGAATCAGCGGTAAAGTTCCCTTCCTCCTTCGTCAGGTCCCCTCGAACCCGCTCTCCCACCAACGAGGCCGAGTCGAATACCCCACGACCAACAGGCCTAGACTCAGCAGCCAAGAAGGCTCTCTACAACTGCACCCTTCTCAAAGTCCACCAGCATCTCGCTTCCACCCTCGCTTCCGATCCCTCCCACCGCTCTCTCATCCCCGCCATCTACTCTGGTGAAACCCTCTATGAGACCAAGGACCTCCGATTTCCACGATCAATCAACTCGGCAGACAAGCTTCGTCAGCATTCCAGCACACACAACTTCTCCCGCAATCTTCACGTAGCACTCGCGCGGACGGAATTGATGCGGAAATTGCGAAGGGACAAGTTGCCTATCGAACAAGAGGTCGAGATTAGCTGGTTCCAACGCAGATACGGCAGTACGAGTATATCGGTTGAGATGGTAGGGAAAGCGTTGAAGCAAAGACAGATGGTTAGTCCTGAGGCTTTGGCTAAGCCGACTATTGGTGCTCCTTCTGGTGTGGTAGCTGGTGCTGTTGGAGGTAGGAGGGGGAGTGGAGAGAAGAATGGGATTGTGAGTTGGGCTGAGAGGAGGTCATTTGAGGAAAGGGCAATGGTGTTGTTTCCGGTGGAAGGGGTGGAGGTTGGAGAGGTGCTGATTGAGGGTGCGAGGGTGGGAATGACTGCTAGGGGGAGAATTGGTGGTGTTCCGGCTGTGGGGTACTCGCCCAGAATTCGAGTGTTGGCAGGATTGCCGACGATGGAAGAGGAGAGGAGGATGAGGTACCCCGAGGTGATCACGAGGAAGTTCAGGCCGAGGGATATGCAGTCTAAGCGTGCGTCGACGGTTTCGGTCAGTGAAGGTGGGGTTTGGGAAGGGCCGGCTCGAAATGGGAGGACCTCGAGGGAGTCTCTGTTGGCTTCGCCGAGTCAGAAGCAGAAGAGGTTGGCTCCTTGGCTGACGCCCAGTCCCCAACAGCTGCAGTTGTTGTCACCGAGGTTAACTGCACAGCCTCGAACTGCGAGAGCTGCCTCCGAAGGTCAAGCTCAAACGGCGTTTGTTACTACGCATCGGAACAGCAGCACTGCGTCGATCCCTGAGGTGAACGAGGTCGTCGAAGAGCCCAAGTCCACAACAGAGGGAAAGAGCGGAGATAGCAGCGACGAAGAAGTACCCCTAGCACAGCTTCAGGTCTTCCGCGCTCAGCGAGCCATCGAGAAAGAGCGCATTCAGAAACTCGAATCCGAACTTGCGATGCTTCGACAGAAAGACCAAGAGCGGGGGAGAGAAGAGGAAGAGCGCAAAGCGCGCAAAGCGCGCGAAGAAGAAGCTCGACGCATCGATGCTGAGCGAGCGTACGAAGAGTGTAAAGCTGCAGTCGAAGCAAAGAGATTGGAGAAAAACAGGAAGATCTTACAGGAGGCGAGAGATAGGAGAGGGTTCACTAGACAGAGTGTTTTGCTTGCTGAGCCCAACTATGGTGCTGGTAATCCATTGCTAGCACACAGTAGGCCGACTGTCAAACAAGGCGCCAGCTTGAGTTCGTCAAGTTCGCCAAACCTGACGATGGATCCGCCGACTAGTTCGAGGGCAGCACAACAGAGTACAGCGTTGGCAAAGTTGCAAGATAATCCTCTTGCTTCTCGCTCAGCCACTTCGCTTTACATCCAGCAAGAGGGACAAAGGAGGTCAAGGACTTCAGTGATCGTGTCTCCGGAAGCTAAAGCTGCAGTTACACCCATGGCCAGTCCCAGAGTGAAACCTTCACCCACAATGCCTACCGCACAGATGGAAATCCAGCGTCAATACTCCATGGCCTCCCTCGCACATCGAGCCAGCATGGCTATCTTCCCCGTCTCTCCCCAGATCACACAACGTCAGACATCACTCCTACCTCCACAACCCCTCCATCACACCACAAGCATGCAGCATCTCTCACAACTCCCTAGCTTACCGAACATGCTAGCCGCAAGCCCAACCGGATTCTTGCAACCACTCCAACCAGCAGCCATGGATCCAAGGCATCCGATGAGTATGACCAATCTCCATGCTCAGGTCTATATGCATCAGCAGCAAATGCAAATGGGGATGGGGATGGGAATGGTGCAGAAACCAGGGATGGCGCAGACAGCGAAAGTGAGTAGTAGCAGTAGCCCGCCGTTGCAACCATAGGCTTCGTTGTACGGTGATGTCGTACCTAGTAGTGCTACTCAGCAGCGAAGAGACTGAGGAGGCTTCCTTTCTTGTTCATTATGATACCCAGTTCGATGATTCAACAGAGTATGCCTGTGTGTGTCTGAGAGCTGAGAGCCAGCCGACTTACAGTGAATGATGATGCAACGATCGCAGTGCAAGCGATGCGAAGATGGTAAAAGTACAGAATATGAGTGCGTGTATGAATGCGTATGCGAAAGCGCTTTCACTTTGCGGGTATATGAGTGCCATGCGATGGCGAAACTTGCTTTGAACAGTAAAGGGGACTAGATGAGACGGAACATGTTCTTCTTCGTCTCTGGACCCAACCCCTCTTCATATCTTCCGTTGACAATGGAGACTCCTGCTGAACCGCCTTCCCGATCGAGCAGCTTTGCGAGCAACTCTTGATCTCGGGCTAGCATCTTTCCTTTCATTTTTGCTTGGTCTACATCTGCTTTGTCCTTTTCTGCTGTGCTTTGCTTAGTGGGATTGGTTGCGGTTGCTTTTGCTATCGCCTCGCTTGCTTGGCTTGCCGGATCGGAAGCGGAGGTTGTTGTTGGAGCGACATCGCTTGTATGTGAGGACAAACCAGCGGCTCCTGCGGTTGGTGCAGAAGGCTTGCGAGAGAACAACCCAAAGAGAGAGAACTTCTTGGTTGATGTTGTTGAGAGAGGTCTTGTCGCGGTGGCGAGTACGAGCCTCGCCGTTGCCGGCCTTGCAGCTATTGTTCGGAGCATAGTTTTCGATGTTGACGCTATCATTCCTGCTGTTATCACTTCGACTAGTGGAATGGCGGTGGTGGTGAAGATGGTAGGAAGCGAAAGCAGCTACGAGGCTGTTGTAGGTAAGAAGAAGCGGGGTGAGGACGATGCTGAATCATGGTCCAGCCCGAATTCTCGCTCAGCTCTCTCGCCTGTAGGACTTCAGAGGCGCAGCCTTAAATTTTCCTGCGGGCTCACACGATTTGGCGTTCCGAGATCCGACCTCAGCCTCGCCCGCTTTTGAGACAAATATGACAATTGCAACAGATTTGCTTTTATGGTCGAATGACCGGAGTGTAACGGTACAAGTACATGAGCCCAAGTTGGGCAAGGGAGTGGAAGGGGGAATGCGAGAATGTCTATAAAAAGAAGATCAATCTGACCTTGACGAAATGTATGCCTCTTCTTTATGTCGAACGGAGAAGGGGAGAAAACCTCATCATGCAAGGATTTTGGTGCATCATGCCTTCGGCGCAGGCTGACTAGCATCAACCTTCGTCCCCGCCGCCGGTGCATCATACCTCTTGATAACATTCTGCGCATAAGGATGATCTTCACCATCAAAAATCTTCAATCTCTCCAACCTCCTATCCCTCAACGTGTTCTTTGGCAACATTCCGCTTACTGCCTTTCTGATAATCTCTTCAGGTTTCTTCTCCATCATCTCCTTGTACTTGATCTCTTTCAGTCCACCAGGGAACATTGTGTGATGACGGTAGACTCGTTGGTCTGCTTTGCGCCCAGTAACGACAACCTGCTTGGCGTCTGTGACGACCACGTAGTCGCCGAGATCCTTCGATTGGTCATAGATAGGTTTGTGCTTGCCCATGAGAAGTTTTGCGATGTTGACAGCGAGGGGGCCAAGGACACGGTCTTTTGCTGAGACTGCGTGCCAGGTTCTTGCGAACGCTAATGTTGACTGTCGGATGAAACAATATGTTCGGTGAGCCAGTAGTTGACGTTACGAGTATGGTTGATGTGGATGCAGATGGAGGATGAAGGCGTCAGCACGAAGCTCGTCGATGCAGTGTGTAGAGCTGCTTGTGCAGGTTGTACTTACGTTTCCGACGAATTGTGACATGATGGTGGGTATGGGAGGTGTAGGACAGCTTCGAGTAATGCCGTGAGTTTTTAGGCGTCTGAGTGACTAATGCTGTTGATAGGGAGGAGACCAGCTCGCTGTCGTTGCTGTAGACGGTGATGGTGAGGAGAAGTGTGGAAAGTATCAGAATGTAAGCAGTTGCGAAAAATCTCGAATTCTTCCGCCGATTCGGGTCCGAAAATTCGACAGGATCTTGTGGCTAATTTGCGCTTTAACATCATGAGTCTGGAAAATGACCGGCAATGTATTCGGTGATCAAAGCCCGCATGGACGGACCGCTTTTACGATGCAACCCGCAGGAAGCTCTCTCAACCCCACGTTCCGTTCATCCTTGGCTCCCACACCAGCTGCTCGCCAGGCATCAGCCCTTCTCACGGCTTCTTCCTACCTGGACATGCATTTGTCACCACCTTCATCTCACAAGCTGGTTGACAGCTCCATCACGATGTCTGGCAAAGCCTACAAAATCGCCGTGATTCCCGGTGACGGTATCGGCCAGGAAGTCATGCCATGTGGCCTTTCCGCCCTCACCGCCGCCTCTAAACGCTTCGGCTTCCACCTCGATATCACTACCTTCGACTTTGCATCGTGCGACTACTTTGACGCTCACGGCAAAATGATGCCGGATAACTGGATTGAACTTCTCACACCTTTCGATGCTATCTACTTTGGTGCTGTTGGCGATCCCGCTCGTCACCCGGATCACATCACACTCTGGGGCTCACTCCTACAGATGAGACGACACTTTGACCAGTACGTCAACTTGAGGCCGTGCAGGCTGGTCAAGGGCGTTCCCAGCCCATTGGCTGATCCCGGAGAGATCGATTTCTGGATCGTTCGAGAGAACACTGAGGGAGAATACTCCGAGGTGGGAGGAAAGATCTTCGAAGGCACCGAGAGAGAGACTGTTGTTCAGGAGACTATCATGACTCGTATCGGAGTGGACAGAATCCTCAAATACGCTTTTGACCTGGCGAATACAACCAATAGGAAAAAGCTTACAAGCGCAACAAAGAGTAATGGGATCAAGATCACCATGCCTTACTGGGATTCTCGCTTCAAACTCATGGCAAAGGACTATCCTGAGGTCAAGACGGAGCAGTTCCACATAGATATTCTGTCGGCGCACTTCGTTCAAAAGCCTAGCCACTTTGATGTTGTTGTGGGATCGAACTTGCACGGTGATATCTTGTCGGATTTGGGACCAGCAGTGGCAGGTACGATTGGTATCGCACCATCAGGCAACATTAACCCGGAAGGAAAATTCCCAAGTCTGTTCGAACCTGTGCATGGGTCAGCACCTGATATTATGGGTAAAGGGATTGCGAACCCGGTCGGAATGATTTGGGCTGGTCAGATGATGTTGTCGCATTTAGGGGAGAAAGAGGCTGCAAAGGCGATGTTAAGGGCCATCGATGCTGTGCTGGGACAGGGAGGCGTGGAGGTGCTGACGCCGGACATGAAGGGGAAGGGAACGACAAAGAAGTTGGGCGACGCTATTGCTGAGGCCGTTGCAAGGATGTAGTTTCACAGTCACACTTGTTCTCGAACACAGGCATTTGCACTGAAGAGCATTCTAGCGAGGCTTTTTTTCGGCTTCGTCAAGAACGGTTTGAGAACGGTTTGCTTCCCTCCAACTCCGAGAATTCCAGCGTCGATTTCTACTTCAGATGTAGCATGAAGAAGGGTCAGCAAGTCGCTTAGACAGAGCGCAGACCAGCCTTGATGAAAAGAGTGAAAATGATACCGATACCAGCGACGAACGAACCACTGCGGAGAGCAGCTGTCGTCTCGTCAGTGACAAAGATGTAGAGCCTGCAAATCGCAATGCAGCAGCCACCACAACAAGAATGATGTCAGTAACCTTCTATCCGCTTCCGAGCATCCGCGCTCAACACTTGCTCAAAGCGAGATCGGGAGAAAAACTTACAAGTTGAAGATAGCCCTGCTCAGGAGGTAACCAGCAGTCAACTGGTTCAACTGGCCGTTTGGAACCCTTGCGACGTTTGCAGCAACAACAGCAGCTGCGAACCAGCCCAAGTTCTCAAAGCCGTTCAACTGAGCACTTTCGGCACGAATGATCTTCTTGTCGGTCTCGGTCTTGGTCTTCTTGGCCATCAGGTCGTGGAGCAACTGACGAGGATGGGCGTTCTTAAACTGTCCCTTGGAAAGAGCGGCCGCGTAAGGGTGCGGGAGGAAAGCCAGGACCCAGGCTGCGGGGATGGCATAGTAGGAGTAGTTGGGCACCGTGGCCACTGTGCTAGAGAATATCGACATTTGTCCTTGTGAGATTGGCTGTGCAAGTGTGTCCATCGAGGTCGGGATAGATGGTGGTGAGGAGAGAGGGAGTTACAGAGCGGATGCATGTGCTGAGAAGCTTGTCACCACTGTGCGGCATCTGAGCCGCCAGAAGCTCGTTCAGCTCGCCCGTTCTCTGCTTCTTCTCTGTCTGTCTGTGTAGAGCCGCCGTCTCATCTTGCTCCTGGCTGCACCCGCATAAAGCTACACTCCATACCTCTCAGCAAGAGAGTGTCTTTCACTAGGCCGTCCATTCGCTTGCTCTCCGAAAGGCTAGCCTTCTCTCCATCTCAACCCCCTCCATACTCACGGTCTCTGAGCTCCACACCATATCACTACCGCTTGGTACGATCAATTTCAACCAGCCAACCTCATGAAGACTTTCTCCCCCTAAACTCTCAGTCAGTCTAGCCAGCAATTACCAGAGGCCAGTCTCGACTGAGTTGCTCCTCCTCTCTCCCAACAGCATCATGCCCCATCCAAGGACTCCAAAGCCCAATGGCGCCTCTCGCGAAGGTAGCGGCGAGGAGAGTGATGCTACCATTGATCCCGCTACCTCTATCCAGACAAGGCGAACCCGCAAACGTCCAGCTCAGATGGCAAGGGAAGCATCAGTAGAACAAACTTGCTCCCTTTCGCCTTTCCGCTCTCACACTTGTCTTGAGGACTCGACAGCAGACGAAGTAGATACGCAAAATGCGCAACAGCCTGCTTACTCCGCTCACCACCGCAGCTATGACCTACGAGAGTTCGAACCTCCAACTCAGGAAAGCGATCGTCTTGCAATGATGCAGTCTAGCTCATCCAGCAGCAGCAGCAATGTCATGCAAACAGCTCGAAACAATGCTCAGGAACGTCGCGCACGCAGCACTCGTTCCAACCTCGAACTCCGCCTTGAAGCCAATCAACCGCCGAGCCACCACGGTCTCAGGAGCATTGCTTCCACACTCCAGCCCAGCAGCATCCCTTCTCGCTCTTCCTCGTCCCGCACTGTCAACGGCTTTGCGGATGACGCCGCCAACGTGAATATGCCACCCAGTACCAACTCATCACAGCTCTCAGAGCGCAGTGTCCTTTCCGATGTGAAGCAGCCTCTAGCAAGCCTGGCCGGCCGTGATCCAGCTCAGGGTTCCTCTGCGGCTGACTACACCACATCCATGACCCGCACCAGCAGCAGAACCATGTCGCCTCCTCGCCCTACACGATCTTTGCCTTGATGCCGTGCTTCGGCCCACACACAGACTTAACCCTTGCTGTCCAGCTCCAACAGCTCATCCTCCTCTTACGCATTGTGATCCTGTTCTACATCTAGCTCCAACATCCTCGGCTCCGGCAGCTCCAACACCAACATTTTGGCTTCCAACAACAACAGTAGACCAAACTCAATGAATGGCTGCATGCCTTTGGGCAGAGGTTTCAACCCTTCGTACAACCCGCCTTCCAGCATGTCAATGCCAAGGACACCCTTGGCGGAGATCCCGCTCTGGTTGGCAGATATGTGAAGCGAGAGTCATAGGAGCAGTGCCAGCTCGTCTAGCTTCATGGATCAAGACGACTTCTTGAGCGCTTCCAGGTTGTTGTTGTCTTGCCATGCTAGGACACTATCCTTGTTCTCGTCAGGTTTGTCGAGTTGCGGTGCTACACGCAATGGGTCTACCTCTCCTGTTGTCCCCTTCCGCCGTTCTTTACGGGGAGGTAGGCCTCGGCAAAGCAATGAGAATGGCCGTATCAGTCCTTCGCCGTCGTACTTTGGCAAATACGACGCTCTCCCTTCACCTTCGTCTGCTTCCATTCAAGGCGAGACTGGTCCATTAGAAACTACCTCTAACCCAGATGCTGGCCTCACATCGAGCACGATCCATCTTGGCACTACATCACCAGCAACGCCTTCTGTGCATGCCCAGACTTCAAGCCCGGCCATGTCCACCTGCAGTCATACCTTGAACCGCGCAGGCTCTGTCCGCAATTGAAGGATGACCAATCCGTTCAACACTCCTGTTCCTGTCGAGATGTCGAATCATCCATCGGGGTCCCAAGGCAATTAGAGCCAGGATCTTCACACTTCGTTCTACACTGCAAGATCAAATTTGCACCAACAAGGTAAGGCACACGATGGCGAGGAGCCTAGATCCGCAAGCCTGCTCGAACGTCGTGCTGCCACTGCCGCTGCGGTTGGCTCTGGAACTGCAGCAAATGCCTTCGTTCATGTTGCAAGCTGTCCTAGCTCGCGAACATCATCGCCTGCACGAGTTATACAAGCCTCCAGGCGTAGAAGCACCATCGCTGAAGGGCAGGACAGCATGCCGATGGAGGAAACCTTGTTTGGTCCACGACCTGCTAACCTTCCACCGTTGCAGATCCCTGGTGCACGCCTTGCCACCAATGCCGGCCTGTTGTTGCTTGACGTGCCAGCGCCTTTTTCCATGATGGTAAGAAACGCGGAAGGTCAACAATCGATAAACATGGAACCGGTCTCACCATCTGCCTTCTCAGAGATGACCAGCTTGACACAGGGCTCAACAGCTTCGAAAAGCATGAACAGCGCTGCTGGTATGCCTGCCATGCCTTCTTCGTCCACTTCGACCTTGGATCCCTATACGCAGACGATGCAGCAAGAGCCAGGTGCCTTGGAAGCCGGTGCAAACAACATTGATTCGGAATCTGTTCATTCGCCCAGGCAGGGAGGACAACAGCGCAAGAATCACGGCAACACAAACGCCGACGAAGAGGGTCTTGGCATCCAATTTCGTCCATGGCCCTGTGCTGATGGTGCAGGGAAGTGAATCGGGCTCTTTGAAGGCCAGCTGTCAAAGACTGACCGGGTGTGGCTGTTGGTCTGAGGCTCACCGAGGGTGACGATGTTGCTTCGCTGCAGACCTTCGCCGACGCCCTTTGAGACAAAGTCTACATCGGTGATGATCTGCAAATTGATGGCTCTATATAGAAGCAGATCGTTTGCAAAGTGTTGAGCAACTCGTTTCCATGCTGCGACTTCCGCTTTTGGCCCATCTGTAGGAACGTTCAGCAGCACAGGTTCTTCAGACGACACAATGCGAAACAAGGGACCTATCGGACGAGGTCGTGTCGAAGTCGCAGAAAGTTCTCTGTCGGACAGAGCGTACCACTCTCCATCGTAGCCTTGCTGGAAATGAATCTTGTTGGTGTTACCAATGTCTACCTCGTTGAAAATAATTGAAGATGACAAGGTATTATACGCTGTCTTCGGAGCCACGATCAGGCTCTCTTACCACAGACGTATGACTTCTTGAGAATGCTTGGATTTGCTATAATGGGATGTGACCGTACAAACATATATATACCTTATCACTGTCTCCGAGCATGTTGGAGTGAGATGAGCCACCTCCTATGCTGTTCCTGAGTTGTCGCCTTCTGCAATACTCCTGAGCTGTTGCTATGGCAACCCATATGTGCTTCATTGTGTGCATCGCTTATGCACGATCTCGGTTCCTCGGTGTCTCGGCTAGAGCTCATGAATCCCGTTTGGAATGCCGACGCATCTTCAACTAAAATTGATGCGGCGTCGCCTCGGAGACTGCTGAACATCAACACCTTGTAAGGAGACCTATGCGGCGTATCGGCTCGCATCAGTCGCGATGGGCATCGGCATATCGACTATCCGATGCCCAAGGAGGAGGAGCTGGGAGCCTGAGCCCCGCCCCTGCATGGCCCCTGGATGCCTCAGTCTCGTCAACAGGGTAGGCGCACAAAATACACAAGACTGAGTTGGTTCGTTGTTCCATTACCACCGCTGTCTCGCTTTGGGCGTATGAACAAAAGGTCGGCAAACCGGAACCAAGCCAAAAAAGCGTAAACTGAGCTTAACAAGTGTCGCTGTCTCTTTTCCTTTTGCTGCTGCGCCTGTCACGTGCCGGTGATGCCAGCTAGAGAGCCAGCCAAGAAAAGGAAGCGGCATTCAAAGCCCAAAGATTTTGTGCAAAAGTAAGCGTAGATGGTGAAAGCACGTCTTTGAGGGTTCGTGGATGAGTTGCGCAAAGGAAGAGAAGGTGATGGAGAAGAGCGAGAATGTTGAGCTCTTCAGCTGTTCCAAAGCAAATGCTGGCATGGCGCCTGAGACAGCACATCAGAAAACGGAGACAAGTCACACATGGCTAGTGTCACAGGGCCTGCGCAGAAGACCCTTGTCATGGGAATGGGGAATGCGCAGGAAGAACTGGATCCATATGAAGGGACCATGCACAGCCATCATGGAGCAGGTGAAAGAGAGAGTTCTGACAGAGCTCAGCATGATTGGTAGGATTGAGGACTTTACAACATAACTTGTCAGGATTGGCAAAAGCAAAGGTCTTGTTACAGAGTTTGGCAGGATCAGTAGTACCATGCTTGTATGACAGATCTCATGGAAACTGGTTCGAAGATGTTTCTTCCAGCAATAGCAGAACAATAGACAAGGAGGGGGCCACCACCAATGAGGTAGGGGCCCTACATGGTGATGAACTTGGTGCAAGAGGATGGGCAAGATGAAGGAGGGTGCGTTTTGCCACTTGGATGAAGTGGGAGTGGCCCCTATCAATGATGAAGCAGCATGAGGTCTCCTCATCTGCAGGGAGCAGGGGAAGCAGTGCTAAAAGAAGAGGGACATTGTAAGGAAGACAGGATCAGTAGGAGAGACAAGAGGAGGAGGAGCAGGGTTGGAGGAGACCTCATAGAGCAAGAGCAGTGTTGCAGGCAACACTGCAAGAATGTCTATATAAAACACACATGCTCCTTGTTGTAGTGAGTGAGTGGATCCTTATCCACTCTACTTTACACATTACTAGCTATGCCTTTACCATAACATATACTTAGTAGTTCCTGTCAGAGGTCTCATGCCTAAAACCTGATATCTGTGATAGAAATGCATCTATTACGATTCCTGTTGAGATATGTGGTAATGTGTTGTGTATTACAATTTCTATCAAGGTATGTTGTAGAGAAGCCTCTATGGCTTTTCTTGCCCAAAGATGTAGTAATGGGTTTGCTATTGCAGGTTTTGACTGACCACTGGGGACACTCCATCCAGAGGTAGCTTGGCACAATCAATAACTGATATGAACTGGTACTAACACCAAGGCTGGGTGTGATTGAGATTGTTGATGTCACTGACAAGAGTCCAGTGTGTTGACTTGAGTGCTTGAGGTGATCCCCAGACTGCAGTGGATGACTGCCTTCAGTTCTATGATCGCAAGCTGAACCACAGGTTGCTATGAACCGCCTCTGGTGTCAATCGTTATCTGGACTGCTGGTTCTATGAACCACCTTCGGATGTCAGTAAGTGGTGATACAACACATGTGCTACAACGGAAGCAATCTACTTGATTGCAACTTTGCTGACTGGAAACTAATGTATACTTATGTGAAGTGATAACTAGTTTATGGTGTAGAGTGGATGGAGATCCACTCAACTACTATGATGAGGAGCAAGTGTGATTATATAGATATCTTCACAGTGTTGCTGGCAATGCTGCTCTTACCCTATGTGGTCTCCTTCTACACTGCTCCTCCTCCTCTTTGACTCCTCCAAACAGGCCTGCCTGTCATACAATGCTGCTCACCAGCATGGCTCCCCTTATTCCTGCAGGTGGCAGGCCCTCGTCAGCTTCATAATTGATAGGGGCCATTCCCTCTTCATCTGGGTGGCGATGCACACTCCTACCCATCTTGCCCACCTGCCTGTCTTAGGTTCATCATCTGGTTGGGCCCCTTCTTCATCTGGTGGCAACCTCTCCTTGTTCATTGTCACTCTTCTGTCCTATCGGCGATGGAGGCCTCCCTCGAACCGATTCCTGTGAGATCTTCTGTAGCAAGCATGATACTACTGGTCCTACCGACTCCTGTAGTTGCTGGAGATTGCGATCCAGTGCGACGCCAAAGGATGACGTGGGGCTGATCTGATCGGAGATCAGGCAAAGCCGATCAGGTTAGATGACCGATCTGATCAAAGATCGAGCCGAGCCGAACTCACCAGAGATCGGGTGCGACACAGTCCCGCCCATTGTCATGGTAGATCATTAAGTTGGAGTACTCCCACCTTCGGCATGTGCTGCTCACATGTATATATATCTCACAGAGAGCACTAGGCTTTCGCCACATTCCTTTAGTCAATTTAGTATATGTTTCTGCCTTAAAAGAGTAGTGACATCGTACTTAGACTATCCCCGATCACCAGTATCGGGACCCAAACGATGTCAAACTTTCAACAGTAGTAAGACCCATGTTCCAACCGATCACGACGAGTTATGCCATAGAGCCGTTGGTCCTACCGATCTCACTGAGCTCTGTCGGAACTCCACTTTCGCCCGATCCGTGATGTTTGCGCAAGATCTCTTCATATGAGCTCCGTTCTTCCTGTGCATCCATCCATTCCCATGACAGTTCCCATCAACAAGTTGCAATTGCAGAGCATTGCATCTATCTTAGCATGTGTGTTGTATCACCGCTACTTGATGCCATCCAAAGGCAGTACTCTTCTGTGGTCCAGATATCAATTGACACCAAAGGCAGTTTCACTACTGTGGTTTGGCTCTCTTGATCTCATACCAATGGCAGTTGTCCACTGCAGTCTGGGGCTCAATCAATTCAATCAACCATTGCCACTCTGGATGCTCATGTCAAGACAGACATATTCATATCACTCTTCAGTATTGTAAGGAGTCCTCCTGGATATTGATCGTGCCACGCTACCTCTGGACGGAGTGTCCACAGCGGTGTTACAAGCTATTCGAGCGAGAAAGATTATAGAAGGCTTCTACGGCAGATTCCAGCGAGAATAATAATAGAAGGCTTCTACGATAGATTTCGCCAAGGTTGGTCTTAATCAACCTTTACCATAGGTTTCGGGTTTCAGGCGCTCAACCGCTGACACATGGCATTTGCAAGCAGCACATACACACCTCTTTATCCTCACTCCCCTCTGCTTCTGTCACCCGTTTGCCTTACTTTGCAACAATGTCATTGGTCGCTCTTTCCAACCATGCTCATACCGAAAGAGCTACCAATTGAGGACCCAACATCTACCCTTTCTGGGACACCAACTTGAACAACCTCTACAGCAGGCTGATCCCTCCTGCAGACTCCAATCTCATCAACACCTCATATGTTCCACCTCAAGAAACAGCCTTGCACAACTGTTGGATTAACCTTATCAAGGCTATCTGTATGACTCCTCTATCTTCTCAGATGTAGTATTGCATAGCATTATCATGGCCTGGGCATGGGGTCCTGCCCCCCTCTGGGGGTTAAGCGCGGGGCAGACACGCCAAACGTGTCTGATCTGAATCTCTGCGAAAATGCCGTAGTAGTATTGAAATCTTACGGTGACTTGGTAATGCTTGAAACGATGATGAAGACAATGCTGAAAAGTGATGATTGATGCTCGAAACTGATCAAATGAATGAGTGATGAATGCCGTTAACGGGGGAATAATGCATGCTGAAAGACGAGACTTTTGAAACGAAAGATGCTGGTTGTGGTCTTCGAAGTAGACCTTTTGGGCGCGCGGGAGTCAATCCCTGCGCGATGAGAGGAATGCTGATAGGAGATGACGCGATGCAAATGATGCAGGCGGATAAGAGCGACAAACGAAATGTAGTACTGCTGCGGCAGGGCTAGAGATGAGACCTGAGTGTGTCGGCATCACTGTGATGAGAGCAATCAGCTGTTCAATTGCTCTTCCGTGCTCATCTGGTTGTCTTCGCCGTTCGACGAACTGTCGGCTTGAACAGGCGCCTGCGAGCCCGAGCCGGAAGCCTCAGCGACAGGCTCATCACCGGGCTGCTCCTGATGCCCGCGGATCTTCTGCTCGATGTTAGCCTGCAAGTGTCCAAAGACGATCAGGTGGTTCGCGGGCAAAAAGTCGCTCGGCTGTTCACTGAGGAAACGGAGGACGAGATCCAACGACTGCTGAGCCTGTTGCGCGGTGACAACCGACGACTTGTCGCTCGAGTTCTGCAAAGCCCGAATGCGTTCCATTGCGGCTGCGGTGAGCTGCTGAGCATCGGCTCTGTCCAAGCCATGGAAGATTATCTCGCCTATTGCGTCAGCGGGCGACACGGATAAGGGAGAAGGAGTCTGAGGCGTGTGGTTGGCATTAGAGAGACGGCCATTGCCTCGACGCGAGCGTCCGCGGGTGCTACCATCAGCCGTTGCCTTGCTGGGCGTGCGACGGGCACGGGGACTCAGGTCAGGCGTCTGGTCAGAGGGACCTTGAGGAAGCTGGTGCAACATCGTCATCTGCTGCTGCTGCTGCGACGGCGACGCGGCTGGGCCAATCGCCTGAGGGAAGTGGAAGTCGATGGCAGGACCAAGTCCCATCGCAGCCTGGTGACCCTGGAACGCCTGCATGGCACGCATTCGCTTACGGTCTTGTTGATCCTGATCTTCAATAAGGAAGGTTGGACCTGGCATGCCGTCGGGACGAACCATGAGCTGATAGTTCTGCATAGGCTGAGGCCCGGCTGGATGTCCCTCGTAGAAGTTTGGTCTGAAGAAGCCGGGATGATTGGGCATCTGTGCAGGAGCTCCGCCATTGTTGAAATGCATGCGAGCCATGTCGTGGCTGAGTGGAGACATACCCAATATGGCTTGGGTCTTCTCTTCAACTTCTCTAGCTCGCTTTCCAGGCGTCCCCTTTGCCTTGCTATTTCTGGTACTCTGGCGTCGAGCGGGGTTAGTCTGCCCTTCAGCTCCAGACGAAGGACCAACGGCATCGCTGGAAGGCGTCGAAGCCACAGTTCGAGGTGCAAAAGCTCCGGCGCCGTGGCTTGGCGAAGGCTTAGGTGATTTGGCAGACTCAGGCGCATCAGGGCCGGTGCTGCCAGATTCAGCGTTACGAGGCTTTGGGATCTGGTTACGTTCTCTGAACTTCTCGATCCAGCCACCTGAAGCCTTGAACTTGTCCTCACTAAGGCCAAGCTCACGAGCGATTCGAAGCGCTTCCTGTCGAAGGGTGGAGTCGCGGATGGGCTCACCTCGAGCCTTGAGCTCATCGACCCAGCTGGTCAGACGATCCTCGACGGCCGGAAACTTGACAGCACGATGCTTGGCGATCCTTGCAGCACCGCTTTCAGGATCGATGGACAACCACTTGTCCTTCTGTTTGAGGATCTTGCTGACAGTGCTGCGCTCGATACCGAACTCGTTGGCGATGGCGTCCTGCTTGACGGTAGGATGGGCCACAGAATAGTCGCAGATCATCTTGCGATCGATGTTGCGGAGCTTCTTCTTCTGCTTTGACATGCGCAGAGAGGAGGGCAGGCCGAGGGATCCGCCGAGGTCCGAATAGAAGAGCTCGTCAGACGTGGAGGAGGCCCTACTGTACGATCCGGATGCAGCGTTGGAGAGGCTGTCGAACGACGTCTCCTGCGATGTGAAAGAGCCGTCAGCGTTCATACGAGCACTGCCAAGAGGCGAGATCGAGGTCATCGAAGTGGAGGCCATGCTCGCCGAAGGTGAGGTCGATCGCACTGAGGGTGCGCAGGACCTGGTGAAATGGCCGTGGTTGCGTGTAGCTAGATGCGGACCGCCATGCTCGAGCACATGAACGTGTTCTGCCATGTTGATGCCAGCATCGTGTCGAGGGTCCGGGTACTGGAAGAGAGTATCGAAGGGGCCTCCTGAATGCATGCCATCGGATGGAGAAACAGGAGCACTGGTATGGTTGTGCGCAAAGATTGTGCGGTCAGGCACGCCAGACATAAAAGCTGCAGCCTGCCCGAGGCTATGACTGGGTCGATGCGAGGGCACGTGGCGGCCGTCCATCGGCCTCATTCCTAGCGGAAACGATCTAGGGTCTGGATTGAACATCTGAGATCGAGTAGGAGGAGATGGTGGATACGACCTGACTTGATGGCGATCGACACTGGGCGACAGCTCGCTCTTGACCTGGAAGCTGACAGGATGGGGTTGGATTTGCCCGCCCTGAGTGGGGTGTGCGCTTTCCTCTGCTAATGTGTGACCCTGGATCGTAGTCTGAGAACCTGAGCTTTGGATCTGGGCATCGAACATGCCCTGCATGTCCGGGGCGCTATGAGCTTGGGTAGCTTGATCTTGGCGCTGCGCACTGTTGGTGTGCGAGCCCATATCAGCAAAGGCTTGTTCCAGACCTGCGGAATGCGGAGCAGAAGGTTGCGGGTCCGCATCATGAGCTTGGTTCGTTGCTCCAGTGTGTTGCTGGTGCATGCTATTGCCTTCGACGTGCGGGCCATTGTAGACGGAGAGGTCGGGAGCACTGTGCTTCATGAGCGTGTCATGGGAGCTGGTGTCATAAGCCGCGCCTTGAGTCATGCCCATGTTGTTGTGCTGGGCAAAGCCATGGCTCAACTGCTGTCCCGAGCTCGCTGCCTGGTGGTCGTTGCCCATCGCATGACGAGGCGAGGTCGTCAAGTTGGTAAGGTCGTTGAAGTGAGTCGAGCCGTCCATCTTGAGACCCAGACCAAACTCGATGTGGCGGTCGGCCATTGCGAACCAGTCCAAAAACGCTGATAGTGGACAGTCCCACTGAAGGATCAGATGTCGATTTCCAAATTCGCGCAGGAGGGCCGTGCGGAAACTCTGTTGAGAGCAGGCAGAGCAATCACAACTTCACAACGAAGCAGCGAGCCAATGGCAAGTCGGAGTGTTTGAGGTACACTGGAATTGAGAAGCCGAATTGATTGCCATGGGACGGAGGAGGAGGATGCGGAAACGGGGTGAGGAACAAGATGAGGTGATGTTTTGAGGGGGCGCAGGCTAGTAGCTTGGCGGGGTAAGATTAGGATGGTCGTCGTCAAGATCGTAATGTTTCGTGTGATGAGAGCGGGAGTGCTCAGCTCAATTGCTGAGAAGAGAAGTCAAGAGCGTGGACTGATGCTGGAAGAGGCCTATTGTGTTACCAGCAGTTGGCGATTCGACTTCTTGCAGTGATGGAAGATGAAGATGCGGGTGGAGGCGGAGCTTGATGCAGTCTGCTATTGGAAAGACAGGGGCCCGACAGCCGGCGTTTGACGAGCTTCAGCGATACACACCTTCTCCGCAGATAGATCCGATGTGCTTGCTGGAGCGGTGAGGTTGGCCAAGGATACTTTACAAGGACAGCCCTGATCGTAAGTGCTCCTTGTCGCAACGATGCTAGCAAGACGGTCGGAGGTAGGTGTAATTTTACCTCTCTGCGTTCCAACGGACCCTGTGTACCGAAAGCTGCTTTTATAAAAGGCAAAGCTGGGCGCCCGAAGTGATGGCGATGGAGTGAGGATAATGTGGAAAGGAAGAGAGCCGGCCAAGTGTATTTGAGGGCTGCCGAGGATCAGCAGAGCGGGCAGCAACGCTCAGGCTCTCTCACACTCTTCTTTCTGGCGGGCGGGACTGCGGGAAAGCAGAGACCAACACTTTCAAGCGAGAAAAAGGAAATAAAAAATAAAATAAAAAACATAAAAACATAAAAACATAAAAACATAAAAAAAGGAATAAAAATATGCGCCAGAAAAAGAGAGTGAAAAGGCAACGGCGAAAAAGAAAAAGAAAAAGAAAAAAATTCTCTTCTGTCAGGCAGCCAGCCAAGAGACAGTGTCGCCTCAATTATACTGCCGCTTGGAGGCCCATTTTCTTCTTCTCTCATCTGCCACTGCAGAAGCTCGGCCTTGAGGACTTGCGCCATGCAACACACAGCAGCGCTACGCTAGATCTGCGCAAAGCCATCGTTTCACTTCCGAAAAGTGTGTGTCAGAACCTTTCAAAGCCTAAAAAAGCAGTGTTCAGAGCCAGGTCAACCAATCGTTGAAGGGAGAGCACTGACAAGGTTGAACGCAATGAAAGTCAAAATTGCGCCGATCAAGCACGACTATGTGTTGGACGGACGGATGGGCGTGCGAAATGATTGATCAGCATTCGGACAGGAGCCGACTTTGTTTGACCCTGTTGATGAGGCTGTTGGCAGACGCCAAGTCACAAGACTGCTGTGCCTATCTTCCGGAGCTGGCGAGAGGAGGGTCAAGCATAAAATCCGGTACAGCATACAAGCGAAGAGCTTTCGGGCAAACACCGCCGCACAATCAAAGATCAGTCATACCGCCAAGATCCTCTCAAATCAGAGATCGCTGAACGAGCGCCCGGAGCTGGAGGAAAAGCGAGCAAGCATAGGCTTATACAAAGGCAATCGGCTGTCCCGAAAGACCGGCAAAGTTCTGCGAAAAGAAAAAAGAAAAAAAAAAAAAAAAAAAAAAAAAAAAGGAAGACCATACCCCCACGTGCTTGTTGTACATACGCACAACAGCGTCTTCAATATATCAAGAGTCCGTCGCAGCCGTCTGTCGGAGACGATCCCGATTCTTCGCAACAAGGTGGGCTTCTCCTTGACTCGATGAACGTGGCTGCAGATGCACAACTTTGAGCCGCAGTCAAGCTTTGTTTCCTCTGCCCTCTTTCGTGATCAAGCGGCCGGCACGACACGGCCGTATACGAGGGCTGCGAGGGAATGATAAGAGCAGATCGCCACAGACTGGCTTGTGCAACAAAGTCATGCCTGTTCCACGAGCAGCAAACATGCTCGCTTTGACCTCACCTCTACGGCATTCTGGCGGTGAACGGAGCTGGTGGCACAAGCGGGCTCGGATGGTCCGAGCTTGTTTTCTCAGCCTTCCTTTAGAGCTCGCTTAGACCGTCTCTTTACCACTTTTCCTTCCGGATCCTGCCTCATCGACACCGCTTCCATCCGAGCCTCGTTGCTTGCGTGTGTGTGTTACTTTCGCAAATATTATCCGAAGAAGCCTATTTCGTGTCCCGAAGTCCGGATTCGTTGCGTCGCCATTCTGTCCCCAGGATGCACAGCGAGAGGCACCAGAACATAACCGCATCCACTGTGATCTGGACTAGATCGATCCTTTGACGAGCTGATGCCTGGTTATGGAGTGACACAAAGGGCCAACATGACATCAGACGACAGACTCTTGCCCGATGAATCGGATCCAGGGTCCAATCGTTTGCCTCGTTTGACAGCTCCAGCATCTCAAATGTTTTCTTCCAACGCCATTTTCCTGGATTAATTTAATTTAAAATTCTTTCTGCTCTCCTCGTCTGCTTCAGCCTACCTTTCGACTTTCGAATAAGAGAAGCAGAGAAAAGAAGGCGTCAAGCCACGCGTGGATCTTGTCCGTATGCGAAGGTGGAGGTTTAACCTGTCAACTCACACTTACGACTTCCCAGCATGGGTGGTCACCTCTGTTTATACTATGAGAGCGTGCGATGTCTTGCGTACAGGTCGCTACTCGTCAAGTTGACATGCCCCGATGGTGTAGGCGTAGCCAGCAAAAGTACGAAATGCGGCTGAGGACGGCGCAGAGCGACGGCGCCAGCGATCAAAGTACAATTTTGCTGGTCCTTCCTTCCTCTTCTCCCAAAATGCTTCTGACTGTGAAAAAGGCCTGTGCGTCTTCTTCTCATGTCAATTCGAGACGCTTCCATATCGGCGATGCCTTGCTCATCCAGTCCATCGGCATCTCCGACAGAACTCACTCAGCCTGTTTCGCGACCACGCCGACCAAGACTCACTGAAATTCTCGCTTGTGTCACAAACTTTGAGGACAGGCAATCACACAGGCAGGCACATTCGGCGAGATGAGACAGCACAAATCAAATTTGGCGGGTATTGTACAAAGTGCGGGCCAGACAAGGGAATGTCACATGCACCAGAGGGATCACAAAGGTGAAAAAATTTGTTGACACGACATCACGATCCATTCACTAGCAAAAAAAGAGAAGAACATGACGTCGGTCCAGAAATGTAAAAAGGGGTGTTGGTCCTAGACATGACCAGCTTTTGAAGGGCTTGCACCCGGCAATCAAAGAGAACAGTGAAGAGACAAAAGAGTAGATGCGCGAAACATTTACTCGTCGTCCTCCTCGGCTGCGGGAGCGGGAGCGGCAACGACAACGGGCCTGGGCTGCATAGCGGCGATCTTGGCACGTTTGGCGAGCTTGTGGTTGGATCGCTGCGAGAGGTGTCCACCACCCCAGTGACGGCGGATCTCCTCGGCCTTGTCAAGGTAGTTGGCCTTGGCGGCAGAGACAAGGTTGGCAAGCTCACGCTCGTCCTCGGAGCGGACCTCCTGGATGAGGGCAACAGCAGCGGTCTTCTTGTGGACAAGAGCACCGATGGAAGCCTTGGACTTTACAATGACGTAAGGAACACCCATCTTGCGGCAAAGAGCGGGGAGGAAGACGACGAGCTCGATGGGGTCAACGTCAGCGGCGATGACAACGAGCGAAGCCTTCTTGGCCTCGATCAAAGCAACGCAGTGGTTGAGACCGTACTTGACGAAGAGAGGCTTCTTGCCGTCAGCCTTGGGGTCGGCCTTCTTGCCGTCAGCGATGTCCTTGGCGGCAGCATCGAGACGAGCCTTCTTCTCCTGCTTGGACTCAGGGCGGTACTTGTTGAAGAGCTTGAAAAGGTTGGTGGCGGTGTTCTTGTCAAGGGTGTTGGCGAACTGAGCGATCGCGGGGGGGACCTTCAAGCGCTGGTTGAGGATGACCTTTTGGCGCTGGAGACGAACGTACTCGGGCCACTTGACGAAGCGGGAAAGGTCACGAGGAGGCTGGATGTCCTGGCCGATACCGAAGTTACGGGGGCGCTTCTCGAACAGAGGGTTCTTGGGGGCCTTGGTAGCCTTGCCCTTGGAGTAGGGGGCGGCGGCGGGCTTCTTAGCAGATCCGGACTTGGTGGCCTTGGGCTGTAGGAAAAGAAAAAGAAAAAGCAAACACAACAACGAAACAAGAATAAGGAAAAAGGAACACGAAAAGCGGGGTCATTGAGACGAGTCAGCATTCTGTGCCATGTTTGAAACCGCAAAGGGAAGCAAGACATTGAAGCAGCGACAGAATTGAGACAAACTCGGTGCTCTACAGAGAGTGCTTGACGGCTCGAAGCAAAGTTCGGAGCGAAGAAGAAGGTTGACCTCGCGAGGCAACATCTGTAAGAAAACAGACTGTTATGCGAGCTGACCAACCCTTCGGCGAACGTTTGCAAGAACCAGCCAAGCACCTCATCCCTTTGGTACTAAAGGTCGGGTGGACTTGAGAGGTTACAGGACGACATTGTTGTCTGCCACAGGAACATGCATGCCTCCACCCTCCCACGGTCAAGGGACACCGCGCTGCAAAGCGAAAGCCGAAAAGTCGCGAAGCGAAGTGTGGGAAGGGCGTCTGTCAAGCGATAGGCTAAGGCTACCACTCAAACTGCTGCATCTCCTTTCGACGAGTATCTGCTGTTGGACATGATCATGCCATCGTGATGGTGCAATGCAAGGACGGGCGCTTTGTCGAGTACAGCCGTGGCAGCGGCGGCATTTGTCGTTGCTGGCGAAAAAAGTGCCGCTGTTTTGGGCGAAAGGGGGTAGTCGTTGTTGTTGGCGAGAGCACCGCGTCATGTACTCATGTTCCGAAATGCTGTGCAGCGTATATATGCTTCAATGTCATGGCATCATGTCGGCCATGTTGCTGAGATGCGTACCATTTTGAATGATATCAACGGTCTTGAGGAGAAGGGTGATGATGGAGAGCAAAGAAGAGAAAGCGAAAGCAGCTGCTCGACAAATCACCTCTCCTCAGCCTCAATGCCCCAATCTCTGGCTGGAGTTCAGTGCAATCGCTCAGCTTGTTTGCTTTTGCGCGCACTTTCTCTCTAAAAATTCTCACCCAACGGCCCTGGCCCTGAAATCGGCCGAGGTCGTTTTCCAGCTGTAAAAAAAAATTTAAAATTGCTTTGCAATTTGGCTGCAAGCTTTTAGAAGTCTAACATTTCAACCTTCTACGAAAATCACATAATCTTATGTTGACCGCGATTCACCCTGATGCTGAACTCGACAGAAAGCCGAGCACTTGGAGATTGCCTTTCCTGCTGGTCTCCATGGACAAGGTCATCAGGACACCTCAACCTTGGCTTTCCTATTAAAAAGATCATAGATTGTGCTCTCCTCAGTCGAAAGAATAGTCCTTGCACTCTAGCCACTGTTGTAGCAGCGAAGTGGGAGGCATCCAGGATAGAAAAGGAGCGTTGGGATGGCATGTGAAATACGAGAGCGGCTGACGTTGTTGCTGCTTGAGCGGTGCGGAGTCGCCTGCTGATGACATCCGGCTCAGAGCAGTCGATCACAGCAGCGTCCTTGAGATCTGATAAGGCAGCCACAGTCTGTTCAGCAAACAACGAAATCTTCCCAGCTCTACAACGGCGTAACAGCGTGACGACGAGCAGCTGGCGACACGCGCAAAGTGAGAGGCACAGGAGTCGCTCGCTGATTAGGTGCCGTCATCTAAACAGGAAAACCGATCTGAAGCTGCAAACGCCGCAAAATTTGGCCGATTTCGATGCGACGAGGCGAGCGGTGGGATCGATGAGGGAGATGTTTGGTTCTTTTTCTCGTTCTTCCTGATCCTTCCGTACCGACAGCGCGCTTGGGGCAAGTGCCACTCTCTGTGCCTTGTGTGGAGCCAGAAAAAAAAAAAAAAAAAAAAAAAAAAAGAAGGAAAGCAAGAAAAAGGGTGGAACAGGCCAAGTGCCCCAAAGAAGAAACTCACTCCACCTTGCTGCCTCTTCGCGATTCTGCCGCTTTCAGGCCCGTAGACCTGATTGCTGTCCGACTGTGTCCGTTGAGATCTATTTCGTGATCTGAGTTGAGTCAAGTTGATGGACCTGAGTCTGACTCTCTCTCTCTCTCTTGTTCGTGTGTGTCTCTCGAATTTCGGCGAGTCTTTACCGGTCCGTCGTCGCTGTCGTTGTAACTCTACTACCTCCATCTCGTCGACATCTCCCTAGTTCGTTCACTACTCGATCGATACTTGCCCTCGCCATGTTCGCTCGTCAGGCTCTCCGATCGGCTCTGCCCAAGGCATCCGCCCCTCGCTTCTTCTCCTCCTCGGCCGCCAACAACCGTGCCGTTGCCGTTCTCGGTGCTTCGGGCGGTATTGGACAGCCCCTCTCGCTTTTGCTCAAGCAGAACCCCCTCGTCACCGACCTCCGCCTCTACGATGTTCGTCTCGCTCCCGGTGTCGCCGCTGACATCTCGCACGTCAACACCCCTTCCACCACCACCGGTTACCAGGCTGACCAGCTCGGTGAGGCCCTCAAGAATGTCGAGGTCATCGTCATCCCCGCTGGTGTCCCCCGTAAGCCCGGAATGACCCGTGACGATCTTTTCAACACCAACGCCTCCATCGTCCGTGACCTTGCCAAGAAGGCTGCCGAGGTCGCTCCCAAGGCTCACCTCTTGATCATCTCCAACCCCGTCAACTCCACCGTCCCCATCGTTGCCGAGGTCTTCAAGAAGGCTGGTGTCTACAACCCCAATAAGCTCTACGGTGTCACCACCCTCGACGTCACCCGTGCTTCCACCTTCCTTTCCGGCATCTCGGGCAAGAAGCCTTCCGAGACCATCGTCCCCGTCGTTGGTGGACACTCTGGTGTCACCATCGTCCCCTTGCTCTCGCAAGCTAACGGCGGTGACGCTGTTGCCAAGGGTGAGCAGTACGAGAAGCTCGTTCACCGCATCCAGTTCGGTGGTGACGAGGTCGTCAAGGCCAAGGACGGTGCTGGTTCCGCTACCCTCTCCATGGCTTACGCTGCAGCTGTCTTCTCCGACTCCCTCCTCAAGGCCCTTAACGGCGAGAAGGGCATCAAGGAGTGCGCTTACGTCGAGTCGCCCCTCTACAAGGACCAGGGTGCTACCTTCTTCGCTACCCCCGTCACCCTCGGCAAGAACGGTGTCGAGGAGATCCACCCCGTCGGCAAGGTCTCCGCCGAGGAGGAGAAGCTCCTTGAGGCTGCTATCCCCGAGCTCGCCAAGAACATCAAGAAGGGTGTTGACTGGTACGCCGCTTCCCCTTAAAAGCTTGGCACCGTTTCAGCATACCGTATGATGAGTAGCACTTGAAGCTCAATGTCGGGGCTCGGCTCTGATGTCCTGCTTGTAACAAGGCCAGGATGTGTGCTACTCTATAGGAGCTCGATTCAACGCCCTTGTTCCTTCGACCCACCCTCGTCCACATTGTTTTACTACCCAATGCCAACATTGATATTCTTACCACCACTTGACTCACGAGATACTCAAACAGTCTGATCAGCGCAACTGGGAAGACACAGCAAACGAGAGCATGATACTAAAGTAGTCGAATTGATCCAGAGCAGAAGGACGGCAAACATGTCGCCTTTGGTATACTGATATGTGTGCATGAAGAAGGTTCGAATCAATCCGCAGCAGTCTCTGCGACTCCGTGAGAAAGCAACCCTGATTGTGTCGAAGAACCATTGTAACCCGCTGCAATACTTGCATCGCCATTTGAACCCCCACTGGCACCCACCGCAGCACTCGCATCACCCGCTGTAGTGAACATGCTACCGAAAGCAGCCGCGTCCTTGACATCCGCTGAACCAAGCTCCTGCTCTATCGTTGAAGACAGTTGTGTCTGAGCCTGAGACTGTGCTTGTGGCTGCGATTGCGTTTGCTCAAAGTGATACTGATCTGACTCGCCATTAGCCGAAGCAGCATTTGACAGCGCTGCAGCCGCGATTGCCAGCTCGGGAATTCCATTATGGTCGGCATTGTTAGCGTCGCGATCGAGCGCCAAGCCAAGCGCGGAGCCGGGAACAAAGTTGGGATCGGTTCGTGCACGCTCGTTGTATGCTGCGGCAAGGTTTTCCATGAGATCAGCTTTGTCGAAGCAGTCCTCGTACGACAGACCGTACTGTCGGAAGCCAGCGACGATGATGTCCACCTCGCTGCGTTGGAAACGAACGAGCATGTGCCCTGCCTGTTCAAGAGCCTGTAGCGAATTGCATGGGTCGAGGCGCAGATACTGGTTGCTGCGAAGGATCTCTGTGAGACCGGCAATGCGAAGTGCACTATTGAGGGCTTCTTCCTGAATGGTAGCGAAGACGAGTTGAACGCGTTCCGGATCCGGCACATCTTCCTGCCTTGGTGCAGGCTGGGACGCTTCTGGTCGCTTGAGACGGTCTTGATGAATCGGTGAAGATGCATCGGATCGATTCGTGCCGTAGATGCCAACCTCGTCGACAAGTCGCCAAAGCGTGATCCAGTTGGCATGATAGTTGATGTCACTGGTACACGCGCTGACTGCAGCAATATAATCCCAGTGAGGTGGCCAATGTGGCAGTGGAACGCCGACCTTTTCGAGATGGTTTACACGCCACTTCTTGAGCAGCTCCATGACCTCGACCACCTTGTCGAAGCGCACACCCTCGATATGATTGCGAGGCGCAAAGTACATGGCTGCGAGCTTGCGTTGAAAAGTGACTGCATCGTGAGCTGATCCGAAGAAAGCCAGATACGAATCCAAATCGCTAAGCGGATGTGGTGCTTCCTTCTTGTTATCCACATCGCCTGCCGGCGGATCACTGTTATAGTCTTCGGCTGAAATGAGACATCGGCGCTGGAAGTACATTGAAGAGGCGGAATCAGCCATGCAAGCCAACCACCAAGCAAAGAGTGTCTCGCCGCGCAAAGCAGGATCCTTGATGGTCATCACCTTCTCCTTGCAATGGATGCCGAGATCGATCATGTGTTTGATGGCAATGACGTACCAGTGCCCATTGGTATATGCCAGCAAGTTTCTGTGCTTGGCGGGTACAGGCGTTCCAGTGAGGTTGCGGTTGCCATTGAAGTACACTGATGGATGCAACAGCAACGGCTCCATCAGCAAGCAGGCTTGTACGTTCTCCAACGTTACGACTCTTGCAACGCGAAGTCGGTCCATGATATCCTGCACTCGCCATGTGAGATGGTCTGCGATGCGATTGCGACCCTGCAAGCGCAGCTCCTCGGGCACTGTAAGGATAGGCTGCTCGATGCCGCCCTTGACGCCGGTGATCTGATCAGCTTTATCGCTTTCTCCCTTAGAGAGCGCCGTTTGAGCCTGTGCAAAAGCCTTTTGCAGCTCAGATGCACTTTCGCTGCGGTCTTGAGCTATGAGCGGATTCTCGCTGAACTTGGCGCCCCACGCAATCACGATCGCAAGGATGATGTCCGAAGGTGGGCCTCCAAGCTCTTCACTGCGCTCATAGTAGCGCTTGCGGAAAGATTGTGGGTTGAGCAGTGGCAGCCTAGCATGGACCACGGAAAAGTAGGTTTCTACGAGATCATTCACAAAATCCTCCCTTCGCTGTCGATCAAGCAAGTGTAGCTCGGCGCTGGTGGTCGCTGCTGGTTTCGGCCCTGGTAGGTAGGCGGATGGCACGATATTGCGTTGGGTATGGCCGTCGGCTGATAGCGGCGCACTGCAAGGAAGGATGCCATAGTAGTAGATCTTGTTGTCCGCTGGCATGTATTCAGAGTCCCTCTGAAAGAGCGCGTTTAGCAAGCGATCCTGTGCATTCACGACCCCATCTAGCAACTCTGGTGGCTTGGGTGCTTCTTTCTTCTCCGGTGCCATGTGCAACGAAGACCTAGCTCGCTTGGTGGGACGTTTGGATGACGAAGTTGCCCACTGAACATAGAGCGTGGTGCATTCGATGTTTTTGGCCTTGCAGTGGTTGCACTTAGCTTCCCCTGGATCTCTGTTGCATCGCACCTTTCGACTTCTGCAAGCGTCGCATGCGCTGTTCTGCTTTCGCGAGGCCATCAAGATCATCGGACCACCCTTGCCGGGAGACGCCGCTGTTGAAGGTGGATCCCTCGGCGATTGATAGGCAGAATCGTCTGCTGCACTGCTACTGCTGGTGCCTGCGTGGTTGCCGTTGCTGGTATTTCCGCTGATCAAATACGAAGGGGACTGCTGTGTGCCGTAATCAGCTGAGCCGCGTGCATCATGGCCGACAGCGCTAGACGAAGGTGTGCCATCCGATATTTCTCGTGCTGGACTGCTGTCATGGTGATCCCGGAGAGTTAGGCTGTCCGTTGAGCTGGAATGCACATCTGTGCCTTGTGGCTGACCATTTGCGCCGTCATACGAACCTCCAGCGTTCAAGGAGGAGGTAGAAGATGAAGCCTCGACATGCTGCTGCTGCTGTAATGTTGCTGCCTGACTTGGCCATGACTGCCCCGAAGACCTGTCTTGCCTATTCGCTCCCACATCGTCAGCCATTGCGTTCAGCGACTCAGTCGAAGGTCCGGGAAAGGAGGACACGGTGTCGGCGTAAGGCTCCGACTTCAGCTCAACCGTGTTGGCGTCCATGACCGTCCGACCTTGAAACGTTCAAAAGAAGTGTGACACAGCAAGCACTGTCCTAAATGCATACGGCGTGTATCCTCAAAGAGAGCTGATCGTGATCAACGAAGGTACTGTCTGCGGAGTGGATGGATTGCTGGATTGCTAACCTGGCCGGCGTTGGCTTCGATGACGACCGAGGTCGTGGCAGAAGCCACAAGGGCGTGGGCTATGGTGGGGCCCTGAGGGATCGGCACAAGGGTCTGACGTCGAACGTCTGCGAGATAAGCCCTTGCTGGGGCGAGTGCAGCGATGCGGGGTTGCGTGCGGGTCCGAGATTGATATCGAGAGCAAGTCGAGATTTTTTAGGTGGAGAGCGGATCCGAAAGATGACGAGCAGATTGAGCGTCCTTCTTATTTGGATTCGGATTCGACCTTTCCAACCGCACACCAACAATTCCACCGCACGCAAACAAATTTCTTTTGTTATCTTACTGATGTGTGGGGATTAAAGATCTAACACATACGAAAAGAACCAAATGCCCGTCACAAAAGCGCGAACACGAGCCTCAGCTGCCAAAGCAGGCCCCAGAGCACTCTCTTTCACGCACTCACGCAGTCAACAGAGAAGGCGCGCATGAACACACCGTCTGTCTCCGGCTGATCCTTCCCGGCCAGTCTCTCTGCATACGATCAAGCAAGCACACACACGGCGTCGACTCAACATCGGTCGCAACTGTCAGGCTTTGTTGTCTGCCTACTGTAGAAAATGTTAATGGATACTAATCATGTGATAGGAGTACGCTTTCGAACGGAAGCTTGAGCTGAAGCGACACGTGGGTATGTTCTGACCGAGGTGGACGCTAGATGACATGCCTGTCAGGATGGGTACCAACATCGACTGATGATTCACTGAGAAGGGGCAGCCTAGTTGGACTCATCGACCCAGCTTTCATCTCCTGCTTGAGCTTGCTGACTGTTTTCGCCTGCGAGAGAGCCTTCCGAAGCACCATCAGCGGCTAAGCTGGACATCTGATCAACCGCCTCTCGCTCCAATTGTTCCATGTACGTACGTTGAGCCTTCATGACTGGCGTGTCGCATGCAGGATCTCCAGGGAGTGGTTTGGCTGCCATCTTGATAGCCACCTCTTTGGGTGCGCCTCGTTTCATGGCCCTTCTCACACGTGCCAGGAAGGCGTTGCGAGCGCGGCGTGCATCGGCAGTGGTCATGCCTAGCTCCACAAGCGTCGAGGGTAGATCGGGGATGTAGGTGTTCTCCGGCGCTGCCGTGCACTGGATGCTGATCTTCTTGAGCGGATGCTGGCTTGGATCTTCGATGACGATGCCACGTTTCGATGCACGCCGCACTCGGGCAAGGAAAGCATTTCGTGAACGCCGTTCGGCAGCTCGACGCTCTGCTTCTTCGCTGCTCAGCTGCAACTTGTGACGACCACGTCGCGCTGTCTTGCCGCCGGCAATCTTCTTCGAAGCAGGACGACGGACCGCTGCATTATCCTGCTTCTGAAAATCTGACGCGGTCCCATCAGACGATGCCGCCGACGACGAGCTCCCCTCGCTAGGTGGGGCCAACTTGCCCGCAGTGATCAGGTCCCAGCGTCGACCTTTGGTACCAGTGCGTGCCTTGGCAGCTCTTGCCTTTTTTGCTGCATTCGAAGCAGCCTCACCTGCCAACAGCGGCAATCGAAGCCCATTGTTGCCAGAAGCGACCTTGGCCACCTTCTTGCTCGCTGCTGGGCTTGTGGCCGACTGCTGGTTGATAGCTGGCAATTTGGAAGAGGCTGAAACATTCGACGCATCTGTTTGGATCGTCGCCAGAGCGGCTCTCTTCGTTTCTGCCGTCGAAGAGCCTTGCGTGGATGCATTTGGGGGCTGCATCGAAGTACTTGGTGCTGACGGAACAGGCAGGTCTCGCTCGCTCCTTGCCTGCGACGATGACGAGGCAGGAGTGTTCGCTCCTTGAACAGACTTGGATGTTGAAGCTTTGTTGGCCACACGCGCTGCTTGCTCTCTTCGTCTGATGACAATCTTGTTGAGCAAGTTCGACTGCGCCTCATCTTGCTTGCGCGAGGCTCGATTCAGCGCGGCAGACAGGACTGAGCTCGGCATCGCTGCAGCTGACAGACGAGCCGCACTCAACATGGGTGTCATGGAGCGCATACGCGCGCGAGGAGGTGGAACAGCCTTTCTTGCCTTGCCCTTGCTTCGAGCTTTGCCTTTGCCGTTGGCTGTTTTCTTGCGTGAATTGGCGGCAACTTCGTCTTTTCCAGCCTTAGTTGCAGGCGGCTTCTTGCCGCCGAGGATGCCGGCACAATTCGCCGCTCCACAAAGGCATTGCTCGGGAGGAACCTCTTCTGTGGGCGCACCTGTAATATCACGAGGTTGGAACGCTGACCAGCCGTAGTTGTAGGTCAACTCCTCGCCCGCTTCAATGTCACGTAGCGCAAACAAGCCGATCTGGAACTCAGCTGAAAGCGCCTCGTCAGTGCCACAGATGATGAACTTCTCGATGCGGCAATTTGGCTCGCAGGAGTGGTTGGCAAACCGAGTAATGTTGCCTTTGCGACCACCATCCAGCAACTCGCCAGCAGCCGTGTCGTAGTCGAGAAGATAGAAGTTGCCTGTGGCTTTGTACTCGTCCGTCACTCGCTTGGAAGCTTCGTGGAGGTCGATAACCTCACCTCGATACTCGTCGATAAAGTCATCCTTCTTGATAGGCTCAAGCGTCTTCAACCCGAAACCACGACGGCCGTAGTAGTGAACGGCAGTCTTGACCGTCGGACGGCGACCAAGGCTGATGTTGGTACAGTTGCTTCCGCTGGGGCAAGTCTTGGGGTCACAGATGAACATGAGCATACGATTGATGCAGTCAGATCCGCACCCGCTGCCTGGCTGACAGCTGCAAAGCGGCACCTCACCCTGCAACTTGGGTCGGGAATAGTACTTGTTTCTGCTAATCTGCTGATAGCGCGGAGGCTTTCGCTTCGCATTGACGCGGTCGCGCAGCTTTTCCATTGAGGCATAGATAGGGTAGGGTAGGGCGAAGTCGCGCTCCTCGGTGAGTAGCTGGGCACCAAAGTGAATTGGAAGCGGGAAGATTGCGTTTGGCGCCTCACCGACATGGGCCAAAGACGTGGTGGCCTTAGCATCGGCTTCGCCAGCATAGAGACCAGTAACATGATACTTCTTGCCATCCTTATCCTGTCGACTAGCGCGCTTGAGCTTCCTTGCTTCCGCATTAGCTGCTGACGGTGGTCTACCGCGACGAGCCGGCTGAGAGATCAGCTGGGAAGGTCCGGGCGAGTCGATCGACATGTCGCTATCATCGCTCAACTCACTCATATCATCGTCCAGCAGATCGATGGCCTCTTTTCGAGACAGAATTTCGCCGTTTGAAGCTTGTACACGCTTCGAGGGTGATACGCTGCTGCTCGTCTCGCCAAACTTGCTTCTCTTGCGCCTGGGTGATCTTTGCAACTCCTCGTCTTTGCTGGCAGCCATCGTCACTTGCCCTTCCACACTAACGGGCGACAAACTCCTCTTTTGAGAGCGCGTCGTTCTCGTCTCTTCCTGCTGTTGTGTACGAGGGGTGGTGGAGGCAAGTGGCGAAGGAGAGCCAATGTTTTGCGAAGTCCGTGGCCGACCTGGACCGCGCTTTAGGGGTGTCCTCGACACATCTCGCAACATTGAGTCTGCTGCAACGGCCGTACTAGTTGCATGAGGAATCGCCGAAGTGGATGCGGGCGCCTCGATACGGGTAGAGGCGAGGACGGGGCTCGAGGAGTTTGAAGCATCTTCGGTCTCTTCGGCAAGACCGAGACCGCGTGACCGTCTGCTCCGTCTGGGCTCACGACCCGGCTCTTGTGAAAGTGTCAGAGTATCTCCGAGCTCCTTACTCGGCGAAGCGACATCACGCCTGGATGGGGTGATAGGCGTTGAGGCGATTTGAGCGGATGGCACAGAAAGACGAGAGCTTCGCCGGGCTGAAGCTGGAGAAGATGTGGCTTGCAAACCCAGAGACGCCGAACTCTGCGGGGTCATCAGACGAGCATTCGCAAGCCGCGAGGGGCTAGCCTCGGGTGCCGACTTTCTGGGTCGTCCGGGACCTCTCTTAGTTACGGACACCTCAGGAGAGTCTGCTTTTCGTCGGATGGGGCTTGCAGTCAGCTTGACGTCAAGCTCATCCCGCCTTTGGAGCGCTTTTTGAACGCTCGAACCTGATGAGGAAATTCGTACAGATCTTCGACTTGGAGTCGGCGTAGAAGAGGATGACAGGCTGGGAGCCTCGTGGACCTCGTCTGAAGCGCGCGTAGACACGGAAGCCGGTCTGGTGCGGCGCAATGAGGTGTGTGCGTGTTTTGCGGTCTTGGCAATGACGGCGTGGCCCCGGTCGTCGTCGTCACTGTCCGAGTCAAGCGAGCTTACGGAGGTGAGAGTACTGTCGGAACTTGCATGAAGGTCGCTGTTGAGAGAAGTGGCATACGATCGATCTTGAGTAGTATTAGAGCGAGTGTCGTCATGTTGATGGGCAGAGCTGGGCGACAGATGAGAGATCGATGAGCTGGTCTGTTGAGGCACTGACTGAAGGGGTCGAAGCGTCTTGGTTGGAACCAATTCTGTAATCGAGCTGTCGCTCAATTCGGCGTCGTCATCAGTGTCTGACAAGACAAAAGGATTGTCGAACAAGTTATTGGGATCGGAGTTTGCCGGTTTTGATGGAGAGGCAGAAGCTCCAGTGTTTTGCTGAATCGACCCGTTTGTTGATTTGGACTTCATGCTAGAAGCGGAGCCGGAAGCTGTTTTCGACGGCGAGCCAGAGGTACCGGAAACTTTAGATTTTTTCGCAGTTGGTACGACCGGATTTACACTTGAAGAGCTGGCCGACGCCGACGAGCTGGAACGTGTCGACTTGGCTGTGGATGCCATTCTGCACGCAAGAAGCGGTAAAACCAGGGCTCAGATCATGAGAGTGTGCTGTGAGGCAGATGCTTTGGCCAAAACAAAAAAAAACCGGAAGGAAGAGCTGCTGATACCTGCGAGGCGGGCCGGGCTGTAGTGTCTTTATTGCGGGTTGAGGTAGCGAAGAATGTGGTCTAATGCAGAGGGCTGTACGTAGCCGTTTTCGATAGAGTGAATGATGCTTGTGTATATGCGCTCTGGAGCTGGGCAAGGTTGAGTGAGGTGCGCGATGGCAAAGGTGGATGATGGGTGGTGTTGGTCGCGCGTTGCGATGATTGCACCCTGAAGGAGAGCGTGAGATGAGTGTGTCTGGTGTGCAAATAGAAAGGAAATGCAAATAGAATTCGACCAGTTGTGAGACGGTCACCTGGATAACGTATTTTCCGGATACAAATGGCAGATCAGGCTAAACTTTGCAAGGTCAGAGGATGGTGGCGAATGATGTTGAGCGATTGAATGTGATTGAGCGAAGTAGAACTGAAAAGTAGGCTGGAGACGGACGAGGATGGTGGTGGAAAGGAAGCGGGGAAAGGGTTGCGACGGATAACGATGAGTGTGGACGGGGGTTCAATAGAGGGTGAATGTGCTGGAAAAGAGAGACAAGTCAGAGCCAGGGTTACAAGGCAATATCCAGCGACCAAGTGGGCGAAAGAAGACACAACAGAGACAGAGAGCAAGCCAGGCTCCTCCTCTGTGAGTGGTGAAAGAGTGTGTTGCAGCTTTGTGCAGCGCGTGCATACAAGGTCGGCTCGAGGCTTTGCTTTTCAGGTCCGCCAGTAGTTGAGACGGGCAAGTTTCGGAGGCTCGACACAGTGTTTGTGAATAGGGTCTTGCTTGCAGCCAAGACTGTTGTTCAAGGGTAATCTGAGCGAAGTCGTGAACGCGACTCGGTTCTTCTCGTCGCGCGGAGCCGTTGAGGTGTGTCGATTGTGAATTGCGAATAAAAAGCGAATTTTATCCATCTCTTTTTTTCGTGCTTTTTTTTTTTTTTTTTTTTCTTTTCCCAATCCTAGTCGAGAGGCGATGGTCGACCTGAAACACTATTGGCAAAGCCGTATCTCAAATCCTGACAGCGTCCGCGAGTCTCGGAACGATCACAAAGTTGAGTCTCTCGGTATTCTGAAGGTGCGATAATGTCTGCGCATGCCTCAATGATGTTTGTGAAATCATGGTGACAGCTGGCGATATGGACTGGTCGGCACGGCAAACAATGTGAATGTGGCGGCAGATGACGACGACGACTCAGCTTCGCTTTGGGTGAACACGCACAGCACACACGCAGCTGTCGGCTCTTCCGCCCTTCATTTGGACGAATCGATCAACGGACCAGCATCGCGGCATCGAGCAACTCGATACACTCTTAGGCCGAGCAATCGATACATTTCTACTTCGCAGAGATCCGGCTCATCGACAACTTCCGCTGCGTCACGAAGAGAAGCACAGCACTCGACTTGAACAGGATTGGACAGAATGTTCCGATACAGAACAGTCTTTGTCAACAGAAACGAAGAACGGTTAACAAGTCCTGATTGCAGCATCAGACGACAATTCTGGGCTGTCGCTAGCATTGAAGATAGTGCTCGGTCCTCGTTTGCATCGTGCACGTCTCCAGTTGCACTAGGTCAGACGGGAAAGACATGCTCAGTGTCACCCGCGCAACGCCTCTTGGTGATGGCCGAGACCAGCACCTCTTTCTGTGCTCTTACAGTCTTCGCTGAAATTATTGTTTTACAGGTTCTCACACATGTGGACAGTAAAAGAAGTCTGCGCTTGGAATATATGAATAAAGTACAGTACTGTACGTGTCATCGACAGACGATGGATCGAAGATCTTGCTCACAGCTGCCTTCAGCTGACGGTGGTAGATTGATGAGAACTGCTGAGGCTGCCATGGCTCCCAGGACCGTTGCCAAACTTGCGTTGAAAGTTGATCAACTCGCGTGTCAACTCTTCCATCAATCGCATGCTCAGAGGTAGTCGCTCCTGCTTGCTCTGCCCGCTTCCATCCTCCTTCCTCGCTTCCTGATTTGCGTTCTCACCTGGTCCGGACTCGGTTGGGTTGGCTTCGCCGCCATCCTTGGTGTCATCTTGCGTCGATTCCACTTCCATCTCCGCTTCTTCTTCCGGCTCCTCCATGTAAGGAGGTACGATGCTGAGCAGCTTCATACGCTTCTCACGCTCCACAGCTTCGATCTGGCTTCGAGTCATATACTCGCCAATGTTGCGAACACGTTTGCGCATTTCGCTCATCGTCATGCGCCGACTGGGGAAACGCACTTTGGTTGACGACTCGATCGAAGAGAGTACCTGGAAGGGCGTCGGGAAGGACGCACCTGCTGGTGGAGACGGACCTCCGGAACTCGACTGGCCGCTGGAAGAAGTAGAAAGAGAGGTGGCGCCTTTCTTGCTGGCACCACCATTCTCATTTGTCGGTGCTTGCGGCTTGGCCGAGCCAAGTTGAGATGTCCCTCCATTTGGCAGCAAGTAAGAAAGATGAGTAAGATGCTCGGGGAGCCCCCACTGTATAGTGGATGGTTGCTGACCGCCACGACTTGCTGAGCCAGAAAACTCGCCAGGAGCAGGAGTGCCAATCTGATATCCGTTGTCTCTTGCAGCAGCACGACGCGCATGTTCCGCCCTGCCTTTGCTTGGACTGGGACTTGGAGAATGCGATGTGAGGTTTGATGTCGAGCTCGAGCCGGTCTTCTGACCATTCGCTGCGGGGTTCCCATTCTTGTCCTTGTTGCGATAAGTGTACTGGTTTGGATGGCGTGGTTTGGATGCGGAAGAGTCTGCGGTGACAGATGTTTCGCGGACAGTATACTGATTGTTGCCCTTCTTCTTCTTATGGCTCTTGGATGCAGAGCCCGAATGGTCTGCACCGCCGGAAAGGTCATCCTCGTCCATGTCAGCATCGGCGTCGTGGTCGGCAGGATGACCGGAACTCATACGCCTTCGCTTGGCTACATCCGAAGCAGCATCGCCAGCACCTTCGCCCAACTCGGGCGTCTGGACAGCACTGTCGCCAGCGTCATCAGGATGACCGCGTTTACGCTTCTTGCCGCCTTTCTTGTCGTCGGCTCCTTCCCAGACTTCACCATCAGCGAGAAGACCAGGTGGGATAGGTTCCCATCCGCCGTAAGCCGAATCGCGGCTGTTCATGGTGTTGCGTCTTTTTGGACTCTTGGGTATCTCCTTGGACTCCTCACGACGCGAGCTGGCGCCACCCTTTCGGTCACGAGAGTTGTAAGCAGCAGCTGCTTCAACTGCTTCATTGCGGCGTGCATTCTCTTCAGCCAGCAATGCGATGGCCTCTTTGGCTTCCTTGAGTTCTCTCGCTGAGTATTTGGCACCTTTGCCAGTACCTTTCTTTGCAGCTTTCGGAAGCAAGCCGAGCGAGCGGAGAAGAGGGATATGAAGTTCGGGCCGACATTGCTCGCAGTAGTAGACGTCGGGGCAGTCCTCTTCGACCTGCATGCCCATGCAGACGCAGTGCTGCCAGCATTTGCACGTCTCACACTGAATCATCAGGCCTACATTCTCGTCGGCACTGCCGCACACGCAGCGTGTCACACCTTCATCACCACCCTCTTCGCCATCGAGGTCGCTTTGCTCGTCCGCGTCGCCATAGTCGGCTTTAACATCCTCGATATAGGCGCCCTCGGCATCAAGTTGGTTGTCGTCATCTTCCGTGGCTGGTGTTTCTGGCCCGAGATATTGTTCGTCTTCTTCCTCGGTCTTAGCTTCGGCTTGTGCTTCGCTGGCCACCTCTTCCGGTGCTGCAGAAGCCTCGGCTTCCACCTTGTCGTCTTGGTGTGCAGACGATGCGTTGGCATCAACCCCTTCTGCTGTCGCATCGCTGGATGCATTTGCATTCGTGCTGTCGGCTGCAGAAGGGTCTTGCAATGAAGTTGTGTCGGTGTCAGGTTCTGTCTTTGGGATGCGTGCCTTAGGGTCAGGTGAAGCACCTGGACCACGTCGAGAGCGGCGAGGTCCAACCACCTCTTCGTCACCATTGTCGCCAAAAGAGCTAAGGCCGAGCTGTGCAAGCTCTTTGCTTGCCCCCTTGTGGTTGATGTTGTCTCGCCCGCCGGCAGCAGCATCGCTGGACTCTGCAGTGAGTTCGGCGTCTATTGCGGTTGCTTCGGCTCCTGTTGCTTCATGTGCTAGGTCGGCTTGTTGAGTCTCAGCTGCGGACGTAGCATCAACGGCAGTGCTGGTAGAAGCTGCCGGATCTGCTTCTGCAGGTGCATCAGCTTCCGCGTCCTTGGCCGCATCCTGCTCCTCGCTGCTTCGCTTCGAGCTGGTCGACTTGCCCCGTGAGTTCCTGCCACCCTTCTTGGACTTGCTCGGCGACTTTTTGGACGAAGAAGAGTTGTTGGCTTTGTCGTCTGACCCTGATGATGTGTGAGAAACGGCGTCATCCTGTGCAGCCTCTATGGATGGCTTAGCTGCGGATGCATAGGAAGCAGCCTCTTCCGCCTTGGCAGAGCTGTCTGGTGCGTCGGCATCGGGCACTGCGCCTACCTCTATCTTTGTAGAGGCATCGACATTCTCAGTCCGAGGCTCAGATGCGTCAGCTGCTGGTGGCTCTGGGTTGGCTGGAGCCGCCTCTGACGGCGCGGCTTTGCTGGCTTTGCCTGCCATGGTGCGGTTTTAGGTGGAGTGGATGGCGAGAGCAAAGGAGGGAGGAGCTAGCCAGGGACAAGGAGTGCCAACGTTTCGGTGTCGAAAAGGAGGCTGCGCTGCGATCGACGATGCAGCGTTCTCGCGCCCGGTCGAGATGCTGGATGGCGGTGTGCCAGCTAGTGATGTGAAGATGGTGGCAGGATGCGGAGGTTGCTAACAGGCAGCAGCACCACGCCGTTACTGAGAGTTTGTGCCGTGAGAGATGCTGTAAAGGGATCGAATGTGGTGTGATTGGCCCTTCTAGGCTTCAGCAAGCGCTTGAGGATGGTGCTGATGCCGGATCGCGAGGAGGAAGATGCTCGAGGAATCACAACGAGGAGGAATGCTCAAGGTGAAGCTGGTGTGGGAGATGTCATGGAAGGTCGGTATGATCGTACTGAAGGTGATGAAGGTACATCGCTGAGGATGAATCGGTTGAGCAGGGAAGCAGGAGTTGCAGAGAGGAGCAAAGACATTCACGATTGATTGAAGCAGCTGCAGAGCATCAGCAGAGCATCAGCAGCACCAGATCCAACCGAACGAGGAGAGAGGAATCATTTCCTGGAAAAGCAGCAACAGCGAGCTACAATGCAGCCTTCAGAAAGAACTCGAGCCGAAAAGGGTCGCCAACAAGCAAAGAGCGAGAATGAGAGAGTTGCATCCTTCGCTTGTTCGCTTTGTGTGAGAATGAAATACAGTCATGCCAATCCAAGCATTTCCAAGCTGGCCTGACCGTTCTGTTCGAAAATGCTCAATTCGTGACGCGGCCGAAATGCACAAAGATGTGCGTTGTGAAGGCCTAACATGGCGCACAGGAGCTAGCGACATTCTCTTGACTTGGCAGCAACACGAATGAGCAGCACAGAACGGTGCACACAAAGGGACAGCTGGTAGCAACGAACAAGTCTTATACAATGGAAAGCAGCGATAGAACAAGAGAGAGGCAATCACTCCTTCCAAGCACCCTTGTCAAGGCGGGCGATGGTGTCAAAGTAGACTGAGGCCTGGAAGGCAAGAGCCTGGTCGCTTCCGACTTGCCTGCGAGTGAACTCGGCCTCCTCGTGACCGATGACGATGGGCTGTTGCGTGAGCAAGAAGAGAGAAAAATGGAGCCAAGATCAGTCTGGCGCTTCTTCCTCGGAGGGGTGCTCAATGCTTTGAAGAACTTACCTTGGTGCCACGAGCGGCGGCAGCGGGCTCAGAGAGGAGCATGACCTGGCAGTGCTTCTCAAGCATGATGCTGCAATTGGCGGTATCACCAGAGGTGCAAAGGTTCATGATCAGTATATGGTCGCACAAAAGGGAGCTCCAAGCGAAAGGGACTTACAAGTAGCCGACAGCAGCCTCGATGGATGTACCAGCAGTAAGGATACCGTGGTTCTGGAGGATGAGGGCACGGTTTGTATCACCAAGGGCGTTAGCTATATTGTTACCCTCTTCGTCGGCGAGAACGACACCGCCGAAGTTCTCATAGAGAGCACATTGGCCGTAGAAGGCGCAGCTGTCCTGGGTAGTGATTTCGACTGCAGCGGTGCAGCAGACGGTGAAGTAACGGAATGGCATTAGTATGGATTCGATGGGTGCATCACAGACTCAACGAGGGGGTAAGACACTCACTGTTCCTTCCAAGAGTGGAGAAGGCCTTGCCGTACATCGAATGAGAGTGGCAAGCAGCGTCGAGGTCAGGTCGAGCAGTGTGAATGGCGTGATGAATGGCAAAGGCAGCCTGGTTGTAGATCATCCTTTCAGGGCGACCGCCCTCAACAATGCTGCCGTCGGGGCCGATGAGCAAGAGGTCGGAGACGGTCATGTGGCGGAAGGGAACACCAAAGGGGTTGACCCAGAAGTGATCCTTCCTGATAGGGTCACGGAAGGTCAAGTGACCAGCCACACCCTCATCGAAGCCGAGCATACCGAAGACGCGGAATGCTTGTGCGAGACGCTCCTTGCGGCCGCGTTGCTCCTCCTCAGGGGTGTCGTAGGTGACCGGCTGTAAGGAGAGTAAGAAGGTATTCGAGGTAGCGAGAGCATTGTAGAGGCGTCAGCATCAAAAGGCCCTTAACGAGGATGACGTGCACCTATACTGTTGTCACTTACCTTGGGGAGCTTGAATTTGGGAGCGCCCTTCTGGACCTCCTTGGCGCCTGGCTGGGAGGCAGGAACGTTGTCGGTAGCAGTAGGAGGCGACATGATGGATTTGTGCTTTTGCAATGGGGTGCAGAGGGATCGATGCGTCAGTGTTGATGGTTGGAGTCAGGGAAAAGATCGAAATAGGAGGGCTCAGTCAATTAGGGTCGGTTGCGGTGGTGTCGGATGCACATGACCGAAAGGCCCGGTTATACTTCAATGAATTGCAGCCGAACCCTTGTTGAGCCTCAAAGCTCGTCTGTCTCACCGTGGGCATCTGGTTGCGAAGGTCTTGTGTGACAGAAACGTTGCCACAAGTTCACACACAAGCCCGAGAGGGGCGGCAATTGACAAAATATAGAGTGCGGGGAAGCTTATGTGGCTGAACATTTCGCGACAGACAGACCAGCTGCTGTCGTTTCAAGGATTGGAAATCAAGAATAATGTCCACGCTCAAACCACACCGCTCCAGCGCCCCAAAATCTTGCAACATTGCAACAGGTGTTGCTGCCCTGCTGCCCTCTGATTTTCCCGTTCTGTTCGCCGGCTTTGTCTTGCTTCAGGGACCGCGGAACTCGGAACTCATGTGTTGCTTTGCTTCGTGGACAAGAAGAAAGTTGGAGCTTTCGTCTCTGATCTGATCATCCTTCGTCTTCGCGGCCTTTCTTCACTTTCTTTGCGAACAACTGCACCCGCCTCTGGAGGGAAGCATTGAATCGGACGCACGCCGTAACACTAAGCCAAGTCCGACTAAGATGCCGCTCGTCATCCCAGACTCAAGTCAAATTCCCACCGTCGTGGGAGACTACTCGACGGTCACCACCGAAGCTCTGCGAGGACTTAACGCCGAGACTCTCGTTCATGAAATCAAGCGACTCCAGGATAGCGTTGTACGACTTGAGGACTCTAACCGCCAAATTGAACAATTCGTCCAAGAAACAGGCAACGAGCTTGATGACAACGATCGCAAAGAGATGAAGAATGCTTGTGTCGACAACGACGGTACCATCGCCAAGCAGAACGACGTGGTAGAGAAGCTCTTCGATGTGCTGGAAGAGAAGACTGGCTATCAAGATACGCAAGCCCACTACGGTCTGACACGGCCTTCCAACACGGCAGCTTTGGCAGCGTCGACCGATCAAGCTCCGATGCAAGAGGACTCAGAGGGTGTCTTTTTATGAATGACACGCTTCCAGACAGCTCGGTCTACAACATTCTTCGTCGCACACGAGACCCTTCGGGAAGGAAACAAGAAAGTGATTACACGCAGCAATCGCAGCGAAGTCGTTCTGCCTCAGATCCAGTCGCCCGATAACGCGTCGACCTCAACGTCTTTACTCGAAAGCTTCAACTCCTTGAGAATCGCGTCGTCGGAGAGCTTCTCGCTATCCTCTTTAGCCAGCTTGGCGAGCGCTGCAAGCATTGACACACCAAAAAACAAAGGAAGGGCTCCACTACGTCAGCATCGTTCTGCATCTCGCGTCTCAGATTCATCGAACTTACCTTCGCTTTGTTCTTCGCCGAGCCCCTTCAAACCGTCGTCCTCTTGCTGCTCCCGCTTGATCAGCAGCAATTCGACACCCGAACGATCGAGCAAAGATGGCTCTTCCGGTCGCGCGTATCGCTTGCCCTTCTTGCTGACGTTTCCGCCAAAGTTCTCCTGCAGCTCGTCTTTCGTCAGGATCGCACGCTTGTCCTCGGGCAAGCCTGCTGGTGGTGCTTCTGGTCCAGTAGGAGCAAGCGTCGGATTGCGCATCTGCATGAGCACCGAAGAGGACGGATGTAGCCCAAGCTCTTCTTGTACCTGTCCAAAGTCCTTGCTGCTCGGATGTGATAGGTGATATGTGAGGCAAACTTCGCGCGAAGAGGGTGGATCGGTCTTCTTGATGCTCATCGCATAGTGACCGCGACCAGCAGGTCTCGCTGGCGGCTTGATGCGGTCTCCTGTACAAGAGAAAGAGCAACATTGCAACAAAATGTCAGTGATTGACCTATACTTCTCGGTGCGACCCTGTGCAAAGAAAACTCGCCTCTTGTCTTTGTGGAATATCGTTCTTCACCCATCCCTTTAGCGACATTGTTCAAATCAGCACCAATGTCCGCAACGGTAGCCCAGATGGCTTCGCTGTGACGACCGCCGATACCGCCCGGCTCTTGCCCAGCCTTCAAAGCAGCGTCCGGGCTAGGCATGCGCTTCTTGCCGAGTGAGACTAGGCGGTAAGCGGTTGGATTGGGCGGCTTCCTCTTGTCGTCTTCGTCCGCCTCCTTCTTGGATCCTTTTGCTGGTGCTGTGTTGGACTCGCTAGCTCTTGGAACGAGCAGCATAAACGTGTTCTGGACATCGTCCAGTGACTTGGTACTGTTCAATTCGGCCTTGTCGGCAGATCGGACCTTGGGCCGGTAGAAGAAATAGACGCTGTGTTCGAAACGAGTTAATGGGATGCAAGAGTCAATGTCAGTTCTCAATGCTGCTGGCCCAACGCACTGAGGTTGAGTACTTACAGTCCCTTCTCCGACACATGCCAAGGCACCTCAGACTTCTTGTCATCCGAGCCAGGTTCTCCCTTGTTAATCTCAATGTCGTCGCCCTTGAGCTTGTTGTCGACCTTCTGCCGGTCATCGGAGAGCTTCACTGGCTCTGCAGCAACAGCCTCACCGTTTCCACCTTGTTGCTTCGTGGAGCTGTCGTATTGCTTCTGATCTTGCTGTTCATCATTCGTCTCTGTCTTACGGCTCTTGGCACGATCATCATTATCATCCTGCGACTTGTTCTCACCATGGGTGGGATCGGTCTCCTTCCTCTTCGAGCCGGCAGTGGCTTGTTCGTCGTCGTTCTGCTGAGACGCGTCCTGGCTTTTCTTTTCGTCGAGTCTGGTCTGCGGCATGGTGTTCTAGCTTCTGTAGTGCAATAGGTGCTTCCGACGATATGTAGGGTTCGGTGCGGCAAGGCCTAGTCGCTTGTGATGATGGTGACTAGCGGACGGATGGACGCCAACTTTGACCCGAGCTCAATTCAGCAGCAGCTCTCAACTCAGCAGCAGCTCTTAACTCAGCAGCAGCCTTGATGGGTCTTGCTCTCAGCGAGCGAGCCGTCAGACAGCTCGGCTCGGTCAAGAAACGTCACAGCTGCCATCAGTTGCCCTGGAGAGTCTCACCTTCCCAAAGCGACTCACTGTGAATCATCACCTTGCAGACATCGGGATTTGGGCTTTTTTAATTATATATATATTATTTTTTCTGACGTGGGGCGGGAGATGGAAAACGCGCGGCATAACGCGGAGAGGAAGAATGTGCGCAATCTTACAGTATCTCAATTAGCTTTGGCTGTCAAATTTGACCATCAGTCGATCTCGGAGGAAGTGAGGCCTAACTCATGATTCGCCGAAGGTCAGACTGAAGAAGAACAAGGCTCTGCAGCTTGGCTGAGCCTGATCGCTACTACGTCGTGGTTATATTGCATAACATCCCCTTTTTCTAGGCAAGATGTGCATCTGGATGATGTGCACAGAGAAGCCTTAGAAGGATCTGGTGAGTCAGCATCTGCGATCATGTATCAGCGCTTGTGTTGCAACCCCTCACCTTCCCTTGCTTCTACAGCACAGAATGACCAACGATAAAGCTTTGCTCTTCTAATCGAGTCTGCATCGATGCGGAGAAGCTCTCGCTTAGCCGGCTGAACCCTGGCTCGACTTGACTCGCCAGTTTAACTTGAATCCTTTTTGACCGAGAGGTTGATGTTCAAGAAGCAGGATGGCTGTAATCGTTCGGGTTCGATGGCCGTCCAGCGATCTCCATTCATCAATAAACCTCTTCCTCCAGTGATGGCCCTTGTCGATGCAAAGCTCTGTTTGATTTTCAATTTGCGATTGCGAATCTTTTCATGCGATGAGTTGCAGTCTCTTGACGCAGAAGATGAGGCCACTTCAAGTGCTTCGCAACGTTGCCGAGAGGATCGAGTTATCAGCGCTGTGGAAGAAGCACCCGTACGACGGAGATAGCGCATTTTACCCACGCGTGGTGAGTCATTCTTCTCGACGCCTCTTCCAGTCGATCGCCGAACACTTACTGTGGCTAACTCCTCAACGAAATCAGCAGTTCCTTGCTATCGCAAGCTAGACCTTGCGCCATTAGCGAGCCAATGATCCCCTACTCGCATCTAGGTAGCGTAGCAGAGTCAGCACCGACATGGCGATACGTCAAGCTTCGTCATTCCGCGGTATTCTCGCCTCTGTCGAGCACAAGGCAGAACGCAGAACATGCTCGAGTCGATGCATTTAAGGCATCCATTGACTCCTTTGTCATGGTCACAGACCCTTGAGTCATGCATCGCTAACTTCCTGATGAATCGTCTGAGTTGTTGGTGACTGCACTCTTCGTCAGGTTTCCTTAGAGTAGTCGAACGCAGCCAAAGACCCAGCCTCCGTCGCATCGCGAAGCGTGTCCTTGACCATATCTTTCTTCTGCTTTGCAACCAACCCCTATAAGTACCAGTCTTTGTAGCGCCACGCCCCTCCATCATCTTATTTCCATCCCCCCTTCCTTCTCCTTTGCCTTTCAACATGGTCGTGTCGCCACGTTTCTCCACCCTGCTGCAATTCGCAGTTGGGTGCGCCTCTCTGGTAGGCCTCGCCTCGGCGGCCCCTTCTCAACTCAAGAGGAATAACATCGTTCCTCCCGCTCAGCTTGGCGCTGGAGCCGACCCTCGCAAGGCCGGTATGAACATTTCGGAGAGCTACCAGCCTCAATCTTCGTTCCAGGTCAAGAACCCTACCTACTCGGTTTTTTCGAACTTTGACTTCCAGTCGATCGCACTTGCTTTGCACCAAGAGTACATCGAGCTCGACCTCTTCAACTATGCCCTGACCAAGTTCTCGGATGCCGACTACGATGCTGCAGGCCTGGACGCTGACGACCGTCACTTGATCCGTCACATGGCCCAGCAGGAGATTGGCCATGCCATCGCTCTCTCCAGCATGCTTGGTCCTCAGGCTCCTAAGCAGTGCACTTACCGTTACGAGTTCCAGACGGTTCCCGAGTTCATCGACTTCTCGCAGCGTCTTACAAAGTGGGGCGAATCGGGCGTCTATGGTTTCCTCAACTTGCTTGACAACCGCGCCAGCGCTCAGATTTTGCTTCAGTCGATCACTACCGAGGCTAGGCAGCAGTACACTTTCCGTCAGTTCGAGGGGCTCTTCCCGATGCCGGAATGGTTCGAGACCGGAATCCCTCAAGCATGGGCTTGGACCCTTCTCTCGCCCTGGATTGTCTCTTGTCCCGAGGAAAACCGACCTTTAGCTTGGGACATCTACCCTGGCCTCAACTGGACCAACCAGCCTGACGCCATTGCAGCTGGCAAGGCTGCTGGTGGACCCTCGATCTCGAACAACGTCACTGCTTTGACTCAGGAAGGCCAAGAGAACACCTTTGAGTGGGAGCAGCCCGGCAAGACTCAAGGTCCTTACTACCAGAAGACCAAGACGTACACTTCGGGTGTTCCCAAGTTTGCTGCCTATGTTTCTCAATTCAACGTCACCTATGCTCCCTTGTACGATGTTGACAGTAACGCTCGTACTGCCAAGGCTAGGCAGCCTGGCGGAACTGTCTACCCTCAGGGTCCCACGCTGATTAACAGCACCATCTTTGTTGCTTTGACCGACAGCGACACGTACTACACACCTGCCAACCTTTCGCTCATCAACTATCACGTTGTTGCCGGCCCTGCTATCTACCAGGCTGGTTAAGCGACGCTTATTCATGAAGTTTCAAGCCGGGGTACTGATAGAGCTGCTAGATGCCCTTTCTTTGCCGCTCCGTGTCCCCTAGCATCAAACTCACTCTCATCAAACAATCTTTTTGAAATTCGTACTCTAGATAGGATGCGTGATGGCACTATGGATGATATTGTTCCGTCTGATTTTGTTCTCATTCGCTTCGAGGGGTTGGACTTGCTGAGTTTGCCTTGCCATCAAAGAGATGTTGATGGCAAGGTGATGTCTCGTCGTCACACGTCCAACAACGCTGCCGATGGTGCTTGAGCCGAAACGGCTAACCGTTTGATTGTGCTGCGCAAACAAAGTCTCGGCAGCGCAGCGCAAAATGTCATGAAGCAGCCAAATTGTGCGCTGCTTTGCTACGCAAGCCGTGTTGCATTTTCCGTTGTCGAAATTGAATTCAGGGTCGAGCGGTGAGGGCAGCTGGCCTGTCACCTGTTCGTCAGAGTTGTGGAACGCTCTGATTTCTCCACAAAGCTGTAGGAAGGCTATGTGTTACATGCGCAGTCTATATGCGCGTTGCAACGGTGTAACTGAAGTGGATTGCAGTAAGGAGGAGATCTAGATGGAAGCTAGTTTAAGTACTAGCTTCCGTACAAGCAAAGATTTGCACGATGGTATCGAACTTTCTTGTGCGACGTGTATTCGCGCGAGAGGATATCGATCGAGCCTTCTCGTGCGGCTAGCATTCGCACGAGATAGTGGTCGTCGGGGTAGCCAATGTTCGTATCAGGCCGAACGCTTCGGCCCATCCGGTGGTCGTATCAGGCCGAAGACTTCGGAGTGTCCGATGACCATATCGGGAAAGATAAGGGCCAAGGAGAGATAGGGGCCATGAGCTCTATCACTGAGGTCCTCTTGCACTGCTTCGGCATGTTTCAGACTCATCTTTTGCCTCAGCATGTTACTGAAACAATCACAGGGTAAGACGTATAAAAGCACCACGTTCAGTTAGTTTGTTCTCCGTTAGCATCCCCATCTGTCTGTACATACTGCTCATCGTCGACATACGTAATAAACCGCGTCCTACCATTTAAGTCTGCCATTCGAAAGTGCGACATTTTTTACGCTTTTGGACACGCGGTTGGCGTGTGACCGTTGACCAGAAGCTCAACTTGTGAACTGCCCCCTTGTGTGGCTTGAGCGCTGTTTGAAGCGAGGGAAAAATGCTGCTACGCTCGGAGACCCTTTCCGCAACTTTCACTCTCTCCAACAGCCTCTGACGTACTACCACCCTCATCCACCTTGACGCCTTCATCCTTACTCGACCTTCGCCACTCTCATCAGATACCATCGCAGCAATCTTGATATAGTATTTCTGCTTCAACGCGCTCGGTGATCGCCTTATCTTCCTCAGCTCTCTTCAGTGATCGCTTCCAGCAGCAGACATGAGCGCTCAAGTCGGCGGAAGCACCCCGCCGCAGGCCCAGCCTAATGGTCGCACAAAGAAGAATTCCATCGGTAGCTGGTTCTCAAAAAGGTTCGGTCGGCGAGCAAGCGAGGCTGCCAACAATGCACATGAAGTTCCTTATGCTAACCATGCTACGGGGAACGAAACGGTCCCAGCCAGAAAAGCAGCTGTGAAGGCATCTGACGACCGAGCAAAGACAGCGACATTGTCCAACATCAACGGTGGTGCTCAGGGGGCTGCAAATGGAGGCCATCAGCCGCAGCTCGCTTCCGCGTTTGCATCCAATCAGGCGCACGGCCTGGCCAACACTCTCACTGTGCCCAACAACGATGTGCCCGGGAACGGCAGATTGACGCCTCCACCTCAGCTCGATGGTATCCCATCGCAAGAACCGCTCGGTGCAATTGACTTGCCCAGATCGCCTCGTTCTGATACTGGCTCCGGCCAGGATCCCGGAACACATTCACCCAGCACCGTCACCTACGAGAAGCCGCTCGAACTCGAGACCAGGGCCTACCCTGGTGGTAGCTCAGCTACGGATGGAGCAGGAACAAGCGGTGCAGCTGATCCCATCTCCGGTGCGATCATCTCGAGCGCTCCGCAAGCGACAGGAGGCCCCGAAGCTGATACAGACGATGAAAGCAGCTTTGCGGATCGTGACTCAATCGGCAATCGCACGATGGATACCTCCAAGAGTCGCGCAAGCACAAAGCCGACTACACTCATGAGTCTCGAGACGCGCGAAACAACGGTCCTTCCCACCACCCACATCGCTCAGCCGCGCCAGAGCCGTGGAGAAGACTCGTTCGGCAACTCGAACCGCCTCAGCACTGGACCACGCGAAGGCTCTGCTATCCACTTTGCTCCGGACAGTGTCTCTCGTAGCGGCAGTGGGCAGATCAACAGTGGCAGCAACTCAGCTGAAGGTGGCAGCAACTTCATCAATGTTCCCAGTCACTCTAGACCGCATCCGAACAACAACCCACATCCTTCAGCTATCCCCGCTGACAACGCAAGTATGTTGACGCTTGCCTCGTCAACCGCCGGTATGAGCCTTGGTGGTGTGAGTCGCAGCCAGCATCACGCACCAAGTTTGGGCGGAGCAAGAAGTGTTGGAGGCAGCTTGATGGGCGATCGTCGGAACAGTAGTGACACGTATGCTTCGCTCAAGGCTCTGCCTCCACTCAGTAGGAGAGGCAGTGATTCATCCTCGCGCACACGTGATTCGGTTGCAGCAAGCTCGACAGGTCAAAACTCACACCAGGCCATGTATCCTGCCGGTGTACTCGCTGGTCCAGGTGCACCATCGGATCGTGTCAGCTTGCACCGAACTCCATCGCAGAAGACGGTTGCCACGCAGATGTCGATTCCCTTGTCAGCATCTGCGTCGAACCCTGCCCTTCAAGCTTATGCCAAGAGCGAACATACTGCTAACGGAAGTCAGCCGCATCTTTCTGCCTTACAAACAGGACATGTGACCGCTGAGCCGGAGCTTGGAGCGGGAGAACACGGAGATGAGGATACGATGGACAGGCCTCTCGAAAGGTCTGCTGCGGATTTGGGTGATTCGCAGGTGACAGCTCATCCAGCTGCCGCACCGTCGGAGGAGCTGTTGGAGGCGCAGGCTAGTAACTTGGCCGCCACGGAGCATGATAAGATGTTGCAGGCTGCTGCAGCTGGACAGGTCCGTGAGAAGACGGAGATCTCGGATCCAAACGGTGGAGTCAAGGAAGAGGAGCCTTTCGATGTTCCTGGTGGTCCGCCGGTGGCGTAGATCTCCCCTGACTGACGGAGCGAAAACTTGTTCTTTGTCCCCTTTTTTGTTTCGCTCGATTACGTCGAACTCAATATCACAGTCACAGTACACAAGCTTTTTTTCCGTGCTCGTCCTTCACGTCGGCCGCCTGAAAATGAAATGCTGGGATTTGACTACCTTGTTCGGGCTCTTGTGTATAGGGAGATGATATCTAGAAGTACAAACTAGCAGCGAAAACAATATCCCTCCTGATCAGCGTTTGACAAGTCTGAATCTTCTCCCCTAAATCCCTATCACCAATCACCCTAGCAGCATCTCTAATCTCTCTACATGTTTCATCCAACCTCGTAATCACTCTGACGATACTACCTTCTTGAATATCGGTCATAGCAGCGATACTTGCGAAATCTGTTCCTTTGGCCCACTCGTACACAACCCCCACCAGCGCTGTCTTTCCTGGGACGCTGAAGTCTTCCGAAGCGAGATGGTTTGAGAGTTGGACGGTGGATACTCGTTCTGCGATTTCGAGAATCTTTTCATAACCTTGAAGGAGGCGACCTTCGAGGATGGGGATATCGTCAGTTTTCTCTTGCGTGATGAAGATGGATAGTAGTGCGATCAACTCTTCGGGCTCGTAGTCGACAAGGACGTTTTCCAGGATGAGTTCGGTCAAGACTAATTCGTTGGCAGAGTTGACTTCGCACGCGACTCTGCCCTTAAGAAGGACAGACTCGGTGACGGGATCGATATAGCGCAGAGTTTTGAGGACGGAAACTCGTTGATTGTAGTCAGGAAGAAGTTCGAGGTTTTCATCTGAAGAGAGGCGGAGCGTGGCTTCGAGTTGGGTTGTGAGGTGCTTGTAGTGCGAGACCAAAACGTAGTTAGCGTTGAAGTCGGGTGAGGAGAGGAGGGAGAGATGTTGAGACGTTTTCGAAGCGTAAGAGTTGCGGCTGCGGACTGCTTCTTGGAAGTCCAGCCTGCGGAGTTTGGACCATTCGGCTTCTTTGAGGGCACCTTCGGAGGTGGAAAAGCCGGTGCGGATGGGGATAAGAGCTTGAAGAGCGCGGTTCATGGTACTGATTCGGTGGGCGGTGATGAGCGGAACGTCGAGCTTGATGGTTTGGTCACTGACAAAGGCGATACTGCTCAATGGTACTTCTCTGAGGTCGTACACGAGTTGATCCTCCGGGTTGTCTACAGGAGTCACCTTTGGTGGCCAGAGCGGCGGAGGACCACCAGAACCATCTGCCTCATCATCCTTCCAATAAAACCCACCGCTCTTCCTCTCTTGTGTCACCGCCGCCAGCACCAAAAACTCGCTCCCGGACAGCTGCCTAACAATCGCCGCCACATCAAAATCAAAATGACCATCCCTCAACACCACCACCCTCCCCGCTCCGAAATTCTTCGCTCCCTGCTGATGACCTAACGCCAACTCAAACAGGCTCTGATTCGAAGCGACCACCGCCGTACACAGATCGTAATACGTCGATAGCTGCTCATCTAACTCCTGCGGCTGCGGGCGTGGGGCACGGGCGAGCTTCTTCTCCAATTCCTGCGCTTTCTTTTGTTGATCCGGCAGCATTTTTTGTGCTGCATTTTCGCTGAACGAGCGTTTGATCATTTCTTCCACCTTGAGCGCCTCCACGCGGAGAAGATTGAGGATCATGTTGTAGGTGAGTCGGAACTGCGATTGTAGCTTTGTTGGTTGACCGAGTAGCATTTTGTGTAGGACAGCGGTTTCGGGGAGTTGATCGGCAGCGTTGATGATGACTACTCCGGTTGCGTCTAGGCCTCGACGACCTGCTCTGCCTGACATCTGGGTGTATTCGCCAGGGAGGAGCTCGCGGAATCCGTGTCCATCGTGCTTGCGGATAGAAGAGAAGACGACGGAACGAGCTGGCATGTTGACTCCCATTGCAAAGGTTTCTGTTGCGAACAGAACCTTCACCAACCCTCTCTGGAAGAGAAGTTCCACAATCTCTTTAACAATGGGTAGCAACCCCCCGTGATGTACTCCGATACCACGGCTGAGGAGATCTCGCATACGTTTGATCTGGGGAAGTTCTTTGTCGGTGCCCTTGAGTCGGGTGAGGGACTTTTCGATGACAATGTGGACCTCGGACTTGTCCTTTGCAGCGTTGAGGTCGGTGTTGGGCATGGAGGTGGCGTACTCTTCGCAACGCTTCTTGGAGAAAACGAACACGACGCAGGGCAGGAGGTCCTTTTTGCGGAGATTGCCGACAAGGTGGATCCAGAGGTTCTTGTCCAAGCCGGTACGGACGGTGGTTGTACCTGTGAATCCGCCTCGGCCCGCGCCGGGGTTGGCTCCGCCGCGTCCTCTTGGTGCTGCGCCTCGGGCTGGAACCATACCCCCACGACCTCGCGAGTTCGAGCCAGCAGCGCCTCCGCCGCGACCACCACGGGCTGCACCTCCACCGCCTGTAGCTGCGGCGTTGGCTTCCCTTTCCTTCTCCTGCTTCCTCTTGAGCGCTTCACCGGCCTCTTTGATTCCGGAACCTAGGAACTGCGCCCTAGCATCGACGATCTTGAACATCTCCTTACCTGCATACAAGAAGTGCTCGAGTGGCACGGGTCGCTTTGGAGTACTGATGACGTAGATATCCTTCTTTTTCGTCCTCCCGACCCAATCCGCAAACTCTTTTGTATTCGGCACCGTCGCCGAGAGCAAAATCAAATTGATATGCTGGGGACACAAAATGATCACCTCCTCCCAAACCACACCCCTCTCTTGATCATTCACATAATGCACCTCGTCGAAAATCACAAACTCTACATCTCTAATCAAATCCGCACCTCTATACAACATACTCCTAAGAATCTCCGTCGTCATAATCAGACACGGTGCCTCGGGATTGATCTGCACGTCACCCGTCAAGATACCCACATTCGCCGCTCCGAACGTCTGCTTGAAATCTCTGTACTTCTGATTGGAAAGCGCTTTGATCGGCGAAGTGTAGATGCAGCGTGTCATGTGTTTTTGTGCCAGAGCGATTGCGTATTCTGCCACGACGGTTTTACCGGCACTGGTGTGGGCAGCGACAAAGACGGAATCGCCTTGTTCCAGGTGGTATACGGCTTCTTTTTGGAAAGTGTCGAGTTCGAATGGGAAGGAATGGGCCATTTGGGGGACCAGTTCGTGGAAGTTGGCGAGTTTTTGGTTGACATCGACTACGTGTGCCCAGTCTCGTTTTGTTTCGATTTTGGCGCTTCGACGGAAATGGGTGAGAGGTTGGGGTCGTTCGACGGGGAGAAGCTCGTCTAGTTCTGCGTCTTGGGCGTTGGTGGCGCGTTGGGCGTCGCCGTTGGGTTGGTAGCGTGAGGGCCCGGCTCGTTCTTGTTCGATTGGACGGTAGACCGGGATCGGGGTCAAACCTAACCCGACGTTGAATGCTTGTGATGGATCACGAACCCTCGAAGGTGCCATTCCATCGGCTTTCGCGTCTTCATCATCTTCGGAGTCGCCCGCGTTAGGGTCGATAAAGGAGCGACTAAGACCGGGTGCCTTTGCCCGCAACCCTCTACCAGAGCTTAGTGTATCTTCCATCTCCGCTACCTGCGAACGGATCGTATCAGACAAATCGTTCGCATCCTGGTCTCCATCTTCGGCATTCTTCATCACCTCATTCTCCAGTCCACCAGGTGCAAAGGGAACATACGCCGACTTGCCTCTGACAAAATTGCTCGACTGAGCAGGCTTCCTTGCCATCGACGCTGAAGATTTCGAGTCGAGCAACGGTGTCGCGGTATGCGATACTTCGCGGTAGGAGACGATACGACCTTCAAGACCGGCGCGAACGAACTCCAGCGAGTGTAAGGAAGTGCTGGGTTCGGCCCATAGCATGTGTTCGAGCTTTGGTTTGCGTCGCCAGTGGACTTGCGAGCGAGCTAGTTCTGGTGCGGAGAACTTGGATGAGGGGGTAAGAAAGTCATTGATGAGGGTCTCGACTGTGTCTTGCCCGCTTGTGAGACCGGGGGGGTTGGTGGTGGAAGGATCATTGCGGAGGGCTGCGATGGCATGGTTGAACGCTTCGACGGTGTCAACTGACCCGGTTGCGGGGTCTGACATGACGGGAGGGTTTGAGCTGGATGGGCTCGAATGTGGCGACCCGAGTACAACGGACACTTTCAGCTGCTACTGGACGTTGGAGCGATGAGAGCGATGGTGTAAGAGGACGTTGTTCACGAGACGTTCTGAGTGATCTGTTGGATCTCTGATCTTTGCTGCAGACTTGTGTCACATCTTCCAGAGTGGAGGAAAATGGCCGTGAAATCGTCAGCCAAATAATAATTCGGGAGACGGAGTCAAGAAGAAAGCTTTCTCCGCGACCAACACATGCATGGAAGATTGCGCAGCAGCAAACAAGAAGCCACCCTTTGACTTCATAACGCTCACATCAAACACCAACTCGGTCTAGACGCAGCCATGAGAGACCCATCAACGAGCACAGTCCTGTACAAAATCCTCACTCCTCAGGAGAAGGCCGACATGTCTGGCACCAATTGGGCTGGAACCGCTCTTGACGTGATTACACCCCTTTTTACCCCTCACTGAACTTCACCATGAATTGATCTGACTTCCAATTTTCTCTCTCCTGCTATTCGAGATACCAGGCAAAAGACGGCTTCATCCACCTGTCCTCCGCTGACCAGCTCGCAGGAACGCTTGAACGATTCTTCAGCCCAGCAAGCGGCTGCGGTGACACCCTGTACATCTACACTTTCAAGAGGTCCGACGTTGACAGACAGCGAAATACGCCTATCAAGCTGCAGTTCGATCCTGCGATCGGCACTGTTTTCGGTCATATTTACGGTGTGAGTGTTACTGTCAGGAGGGGTTGGAAAGGGTCACGCGGTTGCGTATGACTGACTAAGAATGCTATTGCTTTTGTGCGGGTGCAACAGAACATCGACCCAGAAGTCGACTTTTCAGGCCCTATCGAGGTCAAACGTTCTGCCTCTACGGGGTTGTTCGAGCTTCCTCCCCTCGAATACTAGATTGTACACCACTAGACCAAGGGAATGAAAAGCATCTGAATCATATCTGCGTCTGTTAACCTTGTTCTGAAGCAGTCCAAGACAGCTCAGGTCATAGGCTTGCGTCACAAGATAGCATACGCGACAGTCTGTCAGTCTGTGCATGAGATTACTTTGTTTTTGCGCCCCAAGTACAAACCTCTATTGCGTCTTCTCCGGCTGTACATTCTCAGCACTACTCTCCAACTCGTCCAGCTTGTTTTCCGCAACACTCTTCTCCACTTGCAGCCGAGCCCTTCTCAAGTCAGCCCTGACCCATTCGGGGAACTGCATCTTGTCCATCAGCGTAGGAATGTGATGAGCTAACAAAAGCATGCGTTCGTCTTCCGCTGCCGGGTTTGTTGCTTCGCTAGTCGATGCTTCTGTTGATGTCGAGTCTGCAGGAGCAGCTATGGGCGCGGGTTGGGAGAAGATGGCGTCGAGCTCCTTGCTTTCTGTTGGCTGGACGCGGTTTTGGCCGATTAAGTTAGAGAGGTATTGGGATGCTTTGTATGCTGTTCAACGTCCAAAGTACGAAGAGATGGAAGAATTCGTTAGGATGTAAGAGCTGAAAGAGTAACTCTCGGTGAAAAATTGTACTTACCCTTCCAATGGCTCCATGCTCTGTATACGAGGTAGAAGAACGGCAGATTTGGGACGACGGCTGCAGTGAAACAAGGCAAGATATCATAACAGTCAGCAAGAAGAACCCAACATGATCACTGTGGTGGATGACACTTACGAACAAGCGCAAAAGGAATCGTAATCGGCATTCCCACCACACAGTACCAGAATCTCCTATAATGATGTGGCGTCCTGTGATGCGTCAAGTTATTCAAACTCTTCATCAACCTATCCGGATTCAACAAGGAAGGGGGATACAATAACGGGATGTGATCCAACTTCGGGATCCCACTCTCCGCCGACTTGACCTCGTTCGGATCCTGCTCGTTCTCATCCTTAGCCCGACCATGAATCAGATGTGGTCCCATAGTAGGATCGATGCCCTTCAACGCCCATTCTTGGTACTCGATACGGTCCATCAGTCGCTCTCCCAGCACGTAAGTTCTGCGCTTCCAGTTCAAAGTGCTCTTCTGATCTGTGCGACCGAGATTGACCCAAAAGGCGGAGGCCTTGTTGAGCATACGCGTTGTGAAGGGGAGTTGGGATGCTTTGCTTCCATCTTGCTGTTTGGCTGCTGCGGCTGCGGCTGCTTTTTCGGCTGCTCGAGAGGCTGTTTGTGCGACAAAGGTGGAGATTGGATGGGAGGTGGGTCTCGCTCGGGCGAGTGGGACTGCTATGAGTCTCATGATTGCTTGCTACGCGGTACGATACGATGCGATGCTGCGATCGTAGGTCAGTGACACCGTCGTCGATGCGATATATAGCCTTGAAAATTGTCTAGAGGCTGTGTCGCAAGCACCGTTTGTTGGGCTCTAGTTGAGAGCGTAGTAGACCGGCTTTGACGTATGACCCTCTGCGGCAGAAGATATGGACGATGAATGGATGGACAACAGGGCGAATGGAAGACCGGAAGGACAAAGATGAATGGGACGTGATGTTCTAGCCTCTCTGTTGGAATATGCACGTGCATCAGAGCACAGCGTCATTCACCGGTGATTGACAGTCGTATTTTTGCCTGCAGAAAGACAAAGATATTCTCTTTGATCGGCGTTTTAAGAAAAGACCCAACTTCAAAACCTTCGACCCTTCACAGCTAACTGCTGCAGACATAATCTGCTCAGTCACGGCGAATCTTGCTCATCCCAACCTTTCGTCGTACAATACTATGATCCCTTGCAGCTTTCACATCATTAGCGAGGATGTTCCGTTGGCTGCAAACAGAAGATCGTCCGGTCACAAGTAGTGTGCAAGGGTGTATTGGAAACGTGGGCATGACAAAGCGTGCGACTGACGCCAAGTAAGGAATATTTTTGAATCTCGGGGTCTCAGTGACTACACAGAATCACGTGAAGCTTTTTTGGTCGCGTCGCGGTGTTGCTATCGATGCAACAGCTTTTGCTGCGCCAAAGATGAAATGGAAATCTAACACTTTGTAGCTTTGGGATGATTCAGGGCCTGTACGCTCTTTTTGCATCCACCATCTTGACATCTGCCATCCATCCTTTCGACGTGGCTCCTTCGTACCTGCCATCTTGATGCAGCAGAAGGCATCCCTCTCTCACCAGCATCGCAACATCGACTTTCGGGCCCGGCATCGCATCAATAACGACGCATATACCAAGACAGTCCTTCCTCACAGCATTCAACTTCCTCGCGTTGCCCAGCATGCCGGTCAAAAAGGCCACCCGATCGACGAGGTCGACCCGAACTACAAAAGCGTCATCCAAACCGGCATCCTCAGACCTTGTACTGGACGAAAACATTGATGCTGCCTCCGAACTTGAGGAGGTCAAGAAGAAGAAGTCCAAGTCGCCCACCTCCTCGAAAATGATGCTCAGCGAGCGCAATGCACCCAACAGCGACCCTTCCAGCCCACTCAAGTCATCCTCAGCAGACTCTGAAGCAGCCTCACAAAAGGCCAGCAAGTCGAAGAAAAGCAAGAAAGCCGCTCCTGAAGCACTGGTAGGCGATAAGCACGTTCTCGACTACCGATCAACCACTCCCATACCCTCCTCCCCCACCAAGAAACGCTTGCCAGAGGATCAAGTCCAAGCATGTCTCCAAAATTATGATCTTGAGAATCAAGCTCGTGTAGCTCGACTCCGAGCTTCACTGGAAATCTCAATCCAGTCTTCCATCACACGTATGCGGTTGACCATTGAACGAATCCCTCGAGCGGTACGCGAGTTAACCCTAGCAAAGTTCATCGATGAATACAACGCCGACCTTCACACTTTCATGGGTCGTGCACCTGTTCAACACCTCAAAGATACTCAGGAGGAATGGGATCAGATCAGAGAAGAACGATCACCGGTCAAAGCGAAGAGAAGCAAAAAGGATAACGAAATCGCATTGGTCGGCACTAAAAGGAAGAGTGCAAGAACTACCAACCCTACCGCTTCATCTTCTTCTCGCACCACAACATCAGCATCAACAGCGAGAGGGATGAAGCCAACTCGAACAACCAAAGCTTCATCTCGCGCAACATCAGCAGCTCCCACCTCCCCCCTTGTTCCCTCCAAACCAGCACCAAGTCTATCCAAGTTTCAACCAGACTTACCAAAACAAGCTCTACGAACTCCAAAACCGCGCGTTGCAAGACCAGGCGAAATCATCCAGTATCAGAGCATCAACGGGTCGCCGATCTGTGGGATTATCGGCGAAGATGGCGTGGTGCGGCCTGTTACTTTTGCCTAGTCCCTCAGTTCTTCATTCTTGTCGTGTTCAGTCTTGTTTTTCTATCGCGTTTTCATGCAAGCATACCCCAGTCTCAGTCGAAGCAGGTGTGAGGGTGCGAAGGTGCGTGTGAGTGTGAAAACAGTTGAAATTGCGATGGTAAATCCGAGAAGCGGAACATTGAATGGCAGACAACGATGTAAGGAAGCAGAGAGACGATGAATGTGACGAGAAGTTGGATGTGGATGTGAGCTCAAGTGTGTGTTGCGTGTGCTTGCGTGTTTGTGTGCGAACATGAGTGTGAGTGGGCAATGGATGGTGTCGCTTTGGGTGGTTAGAGAGGCAGATGACGAGAAGGATCCGACTGGAGAATATAGGGACAGAAGACGAACGAGTGCAGATAGCCGAGAGGATGTATGCTGTGCATAGGAGCGATGCGACTAGGACTGCATGACGGTTTACGCTTGGTGGTGGACTTCACGCTGGTCCGTCGAGGCCTTGGCGAACTCATTTCCTTCCAGTTCCGGTGACCCAGCAGAGACGCTTGCCTCCTCCGATTCCGTATAAAGCACATTCTCCTCGGGCTGCGAAGACGGAATAGCCTCAAAGTCAAAGTAGCCTGACGACAGCTCATCCTCCGACACCGATCGAATGGGACGTTGAACACGCATAATGAGCGCATCAATGTCGACGAAGTGTGCCTCATTGGTGGCAAACTTGCGGTGTCTGCGGTCGTAGATGTGCTCCATAAAGTCATCGTATTTGACTCGGCAATTCTCGCAGTAGCCTGGCTTCTTGGCAGAGGGCGGTCGGGTGATGGCGCTGGTACTGACGCTGCGCTGAAGGCCGTTGCCACGCTCCTTGTCTTCCAAACCGAGCATTCTGCGGACAGTGGCACCTTGTTCGGCACCACTGCGTTGAACGGCGGTGGCGGGACTTCCGACGATCGCGCTGCCACTTTCGCGACGGATGCCGAGACCACTGGCTGCACTGCCAGCCATGACACTCGCTGGACTGGCATCGAGAGTGCGTGACTGGCGCAGAGGTGCGTTGGATGTATGCATCCTGCGGTTGAGCTCGGCAACACGGCGATTCTGCGGCAGGCCAACGGTAGCGCCATTCTGCTGGTCAGTGAAGATGTTGGAAGTGGTCGAGGCGATGTTGGACGTGATTGAGATACTGTTGCCCGACGCCATGGGGTATTCCTGCTGCCTCTGCTCGGTCGTGCGGATCGGTGCGATCTGAGGACGGAAAGCAGGTCCAAGATTGGAGCGGACCATGTTGTTGAGCGAGACAGCTCTGCGAAGGCTCTGCTGCGTGGTCGGTCGGGGAGCTGATGGAGCTTCGCCTTCCTCTTGTTTCGCAGCCTTGTCCTTGGGTTCCTTGGGTGGATAGTAGGTGAAGGGGCACCTACCAGGAGTCTGGCCGTACACGACCGGCCAAGGTGGAGGAATGCCTTGCTTTCTGTCATCGCGGGTATACTGGAACTTGGTGCACATGATGGGTCGATGCTCGAGCGTCGCATCTTCAACCAGCACGTAGAAGGTCGACTTGTCAAAGTAGTGGAAGCTGGATCGGGCTGTGGCAGGATCTCTCTCCGTCGTGCCGTAAACTTTCTCCTTCTCAAGCATTTGCGAGAGGTCTTGTTTCGTGGCGGTTGACGCGCCAAGGTCGTTGGGCGACAACCTCATCAAACGCATCAAGACGTTCTGAAGCTTTTGCAACCGCCACACCTTGGCGCCAAAGTTCTGCGCTTTGACAAGGATGTCGTTGGAGCTGACTTTGGGAGGTGGACGATCATGGAAGGGGTTGCGTTCCGAGAAGAGGGGCACTGGACGCGTGCGAGCCGTATTGCTACCCGTCTTGGTGGACGACGTGCGGGTGGCCAAGAAGCTGGGGCGGAAGAGCTTGTGTGCGCCTGACTTCTCGGCAATGTTGGACGCGGCCGAAGCACCGTTGTCTTCCGGAACATGCTCGTCCGGGACTTCTCTGGTCGTGATAACGTGGGTGACCTTTCTCGAGAAGAACTGGTCGACATGGCCGCCGAGCTTGTGAATGAGCGCGGTGAACTTCTTTGCAGTACTGTCGTCCACCGAGTCGAAGTGAAAGATGAATTGCGGGAACGCACGCAGGAACTTCTGTCGCCAGATCTCTTGCTCGCTTTGTCTCCTTCTGATCTCGGGAGCGAGCTCTTCCATCGGCTCGCGAATGGTCCTGTTCGTCTTGACTGAAGTCGCTGAAGCCGTGGCTGTGGTGGATGCGATAGCTTGTTGCGGCCGCCGCGGACGTGCCGCCGCAGCAGCCACCTGGGTCGATTGAGCTTGTCGACGTGCTTCATTAACACGAATGCCGTTGAGGTCGCTGGCAAGAGCGGCGCCGACACTCTGTTCTGTATTACTGCTGTCGGTGCCTGTTTTGGAGGAGCGGCTGCGCTTGCTTGGGCTTTCTACGACAACATTGCGAGCATGTGCTTCGTCGATGGGTATAGCGCGCTTTTTGGGAGTGGCTGCAAGAGGTTGGAGAGGTGTGTTTTCCTGATTCGAACGATCCAATCCAAGGTGTGAGCGTGACACAAAGCTAGGCAACCGCGAGGTAGTGACACGAGGACGAGCAAAAGTAGTGGACCCGGATGCTACGGAAGCTCGCGCTGGCGGCTGCTGCGACGTGGGTTTACGAAGCAGCGCGGCCTCACGAGCGAGCGCATCTTGCGTCGTTGGGACATTCTTAACGCTGAGCGGTATACGCGAGCTGGTATGATCTCGAGTGGTACTCATGGCAGTGAGTAACGCCAATAAGCTACGCGATAGCCCGGTAGGTGTATGTCACTAGTCGACGACCGGAAGCGGTGAACGTCTTCTTTGGTGAAATCAACAATGCATAGAGCTGTATTTAAGAGGCGATGCTGGTACGGTAAAGAGATCTGTGCGTGGGTCCCACTTTGAAAGAACTCGAAATGTCACGGCAAAGAAGGTTAGCTGATAGGTGCGTCCGAGTTGAGAACGTCGAAGCTGGAGACTGAATGCGTACTCGAGTCCGTGGATTGGATGTATGCGCTCAGTACCGAGTCTGTATGCGCTAGATGGTCGCTTCGTGCACTCCGAGTGTTTGCGGTTTCGATGTGAGTAAGGTGTCTTGAAAGGCGGACGAGCTAGTCGAAGCGGACGCTCGCTGTTGAAGGGCGGAAGGAGGAAAGGCGTGTCCGCTAGGGTATCTGTACTGATATAGGCGGAGGCGTGGCTGACGCAGTGCCGAAGAGTCGACGTGCTGAGGCACAGCGAACTGGAGTGTGGCGGTCAAACGGCGTCCAAAACACGGGAAAGCGTTGTTGTTCGAGAGCAGTGTTTTGCAGTGAACATTAACTAGAATGCTGGGTTGGCGGCTGTTGGATGTATGCTGTCGAGATCCGTTGAGCGGGAAGGAAGAGTCGAGAAGGGCTGAGAGGGCTGAAAGGGCTTAAACAGAAGTTTGAGAAGAGGTGATGGTGATCTTTGGGCAACAAAGGTCCTTCCTTTCCTACAGTCACACAGCCGACACACAGAAACACGCACACGCACTTCGCAGTCTGCAGTTGCGTAGTTTTTTTCTGCCGCGCTCAAGTTGCAAAAAAATAATGTGGAAAGCGCGTTTGTCTCCACACGCTCAGTAGAGAGTTGATCAAGAGCATTTCATTCATTCAACACCTTTGCTTGGCCTCCTTGCAGCGTTGATACGCTGCTTGAGCTTGGGCCTGTGTATGCAACTCGTTGCCTCTTCAAAGCCTTGATTGACGAAGAGACTGGCTTAGCATCTGCTTGGCTGAAGCGCGGAGGTGTGGTCTAGCCACCATATGCCAGGTCTTGTTGCTTCAGGTGGGCTTTTGGTATTGTTCTTGTCAAGAACGGTTTGCTTCCCTCCAGAGTTGTCAAAAATCATTCAGACAGTCGTCAAGAACGGTTTGCTTCCCTCCAACTCCGCGTAGTCAAGGCGCATTTAGTTTGTCATCTTCCGTTTGGGACGTGTGAACATACTTCAAGCTCTGACGTCTGACTAGCACATCTCGGTTCGAGCCTTTTACTGTATCTCTTTTGCTGCCAAGCTAACGCCGATCCTGCTTCAATCACTTGAAAAGCACCAAGATGAGCAGATCGCAAGTCGGACAGTTGCACAATTCTCGCTCTTGTGTGATTAAAGAAAGGACGCGTCTCGATACACCAACACCGCGCTGTCACAGGCCCGATTTCGGCGAAATCGCCATTTCGACATTCCGATGCTCACGTTGTCTATTGCTGGACCCTGATTTTCACTTGGCCTTATAAAGGCAACCTTCGATTCGATTCCTGACAATCTACCAGGTCCTCTCATTCTGCTTGGATCAGACTTCGCCAACCGGAGAACCTCTCAGGATGCGAGGATACGAGGGCAGTTGTGTTTTTTTCTGAGTTGTTTGATAGCATAACTATTCATAGATAGGACGTTAGCGAATAGTAGAGAGTGGTAGTGCTGTAGGGGAGTCGCGGTACGTGGGCGAGAGCAAGTGAGCTCGCTTCGATGGTGACAAGTTCCGCAGTGATGGTGCCATGTTCTCTTTGTACGGTGAAGAGTTCTCGGTGGCACGAGGTCGTTTGGATGGGCTGACGGTCTTCAAAGTGCTGTTGGCCTCCCTCTTGCCAGACGGCGATGATGTGGCATTGGCGGCTGCTGCTGTCTCTGCGACGAGCCTATTTGCCTCGGCAATGGCTCGTGATACGTTGGGTGGTGCAAGCGGCTTCCATCCGTCTTTGCCTCCGAATACTCCCCAGGGCGTTGCATCTGGGCTCATCTTGTGGCCCTTGGGCTTGAACGACTTCTTGCCCGAGCCAGTGTCGAGTCGGAACATGGGTCGAGACTTGTTGAGAGGTGTCTTAGAAGGCTCAACACGTCTCTTGGCTGCTGTAGCTGAAGGCGATGTCTTTGTGGAGGTCGAGGTAGCTTTGTCGGGCGATAACGTCTTGAGAGAGCTCGGCGACTTCTTCGTCTTTGGCCTCGTTGGTGTTGATGAGACATCACAGACCTTGGATGCCTTGACCATGGGTGTCAAGCCTGTGTGTCCACTCGCCGTGTAGTGCCGTCCTGTCGGTGAGATTTCTGACAGCTGGACTTGACCAGCTGTAGCTTGGGCTGCTTTGCGGAAGGGTGACAGAGCGTTCTCTGCGTCCATGTAAATACCAAGTCCATTCAAGCCCGGCACTTTAGGCAAACTTGCCTCCAGCCTTGACATCACCGCTCTTTCCTTCGTCCATGCCTCCGCTGTGTATTGCTCGTGACGTGCTATGCCGTACGAGGTGCGGCGTTGAAGACCCAGAAACGGCCCTAGCGAGCTGTTACCCTGATGCTGCTGCCATGACTGAGTGTCGAAATGTCCTCGATTGTTTGCTCCGATCAACGGTGCACCTGGACATCTTGGCGAAGTTCGGCCGCTGTCGGCTGGTTGCGCAACGAAGTCAAAGGAAGCTCGGGAAGCAGCTCTTGGTGTCCTTTCACCATCACTAGTTGTCAGAATGATGCTGAAAGTCGCTACGGATGAGGTTGTCCTAGGCGATACGGACTGTGCCCGGGCTGAGACATCGAAGAAGTAAGGTGATAAAGGCGTAGCGGGAGGACCGATCGACCCTGCTGGAGCATCTTGGCTGAACGAGGTATTCCATTGCCAATCTTGCCCTGATGAGGTGGAGGATCTGGAGCCACTACGTCTCATCAGCTCGACGCCTTGTTCCGACCTGAGAGAGTTGAGCGGCAGAAGCCCGCTGCTTTGGGGTGAGAGGATATCGCGGTGAAACAAGTCCGTCAAACTTGGGAGACGCTCCATTCGTGCTCCGGGTGCACTGCCAGCAGAGAGACTGGAGGGTGTCGCCGGCATGGCGAGGTAGTGGTGACGAAGCCGATCCACTGAACGCAAAGAGTCACAAAACACATCCTCGACATTCCCAAGAGACATGGAGCTATTAAAGGAGGGCGAGGACATCGATTTCTCATCAGATCGTCTGCGTCCGAACGAGATGTTGGAAGGCCTGGATCGACTCTGTCGGTTTGCTGAGAAGGAAGGCATGTTTGGCGCAAGTAAACGACTACGAATTACTTTGTGGTTTAGTTTGATGCTTCTGATAGAGCAGCTGATGTATCGAAGAGATATCTGGTGATATCACTAGTCGAAGCCGGTTACTTCATCTATGTGGTGTTCCGAAACTGAGAAATATGGCGATGGTTGCTTTGATAGCGTGTTGAAAAGGTAGACGAGAGTGCGATCGCGGAATTGGTCAGAACAAAGAGTGTGCTAGAGCGGTACTGCTACAAGATAAGCAAGATTAAAGGGGAGAGCCAAAAGAGTGTATAAGGAACAGAGAACAGGAAAGTAGGGTGGAGAGAGAAGGGGGTGGTGACCTTTCTCAAGAATCTGTGCTTGGCACTAATGAGTATATGAGGGATCCACGAACTTGAGCTCCCTTGACTGCAGTGGCTGAGGAAGCAACGCCTGACTGGTAGCAATGGCAGCTGCCAGAACATCGAGGCTGCCCCAGCGGACTGTTTTGGGTAACCCACTCATAGCGAACCCAGGCGACTTCGGCTGTACGAGCCGAGATGGTCACAGGGAGATCGCCACCGACAATGAGACCCCTTGTCGGCTTCTCGGCTTCGTCAAGAAAGGTATGTTTCCCTCCAACTCCCGGAAAGCATGGCAGTGGGGCTGCTTTGCAGCCGCCCGAGAAGGCAAATTGAAACATTCGAGTCCTTCTCTGAATGGAAAGGATCGAGGTCGTGCAGCTGGAGGCGCCGACTAGCCTCGCTTAGCTTCCTTTAAACAGTCGACGAAGCGGTGTAGGCCTCATAACGAGGGGCGTGAGCAGCGGTAAAAGACCATCGAAGAATAGGCGAGGCAAACAGAGCTGGTGAGAGCAGCCCAGAAGAAGGTGTGAGTCTGCTGTGAGGAACGAGGCGTGAGGGCGACACGAAGCGCAGAGCATATCAGATCTGTCGAACTTGGCGAAAGGAATTTTAGGAAAGGCGCGGGTTTTCTTCTGGAATGACGGCGGCAAAGCCCAGCAGCAAAATGCCGCAGGGTGCTAATTACGACCCTGACATCGAAGAGCTACAGTGCTGCCTTTCATGGAATCCGCAGATGCTCAAACTCGCACCACAGAGACGTTGAACAGCTTGCCATGTTGGGACTGCTAGCTTGCTGCATTGCTTCTCAGCCATGTCCCAAGCGTCGAGAAGAAGAGCGCGCTGCTGTCTCAGTGAAGCACGCAAATCCGTTCGCAACACCTCTGCTTGACGGCTGCTTTGTGGTCCCAGCGCCCATCTTAGGCCCTCGCTCGGCTGTTCAATCGGACTCGCTGCTGAAGATATTTGTGCCTACTGTCTTGGCTTGCTTTCTTGAACGTTGTCGACGATGACGAAACTGGCTCGCTCGTTGTGCGTTGAGGTGGTCTGATTGCACACCTTCAGAGACTGCCTCATCTTTACAGAAAATGTCTCTTGAACGACTTTGTAGTTCCGAATATATGCAACTGCTCTGTACGGAATGCTGCTCACATTTACGCTCATCCACTGCCACAAAGCTTGGACCTTGGCGAGAACCTAGCCTGAGCGATGCTTCACACACAGTCATGACAAAGCAGCCGTGCTCCCAGCATGATTTTTCAGACGTTCGCAAGGAACAGTGTTAAAGAAAGCGTCAATCACAGTGAATGCTCTTGTCTGCACTACAGAGTTGATGACGGGGTCGTGTACCATGGTCCCGTCTGTGCAGAATCGGGGATCATGAGCGTATTACCTTGCACACCTTGGTCAAAGCTCATCATCCTCTTTGGTACAAGGTGTCATAGCGTTGAGCTGATGCCGAACCACTGCTATCTACGCTGTCAGCTCTCGACTGCTCAAAGCAAGGCAGGCTCAGACACGATGTCTCCCCAGATTGCGATGATGGACAGAACGCCGATCAGCAGATACCAGATCTGAGATTGATACGTCTCCAACGCAACAGCGCTGACGGTTGATGCTTGTGGAAGCAGACTGAATCTCGCTGACGACCAAACTGCATCACGAAAACAGAGGCTCGGGGCGACGCTGAGCTGGAAGATTTGGACTTGCGATGAAATGAAATGCTGGGAATAAGGAGGATTTGTATTTCCTGCATCTAAGTTGTTAGTTCAACTACAAGCAAGTTGTAATCAAACCAGCAGTGGCTCAAGCGTCTCGGTGTTGTTCTCGTCTTTCGAACTTCCAGATTGGACTTTCAAATTTCTAGTCCTTCCTGTAAGGTTCCTCTCCAGCTTGTAATCTTTCAAGGTCTCGCACAATTCAGGCACCTTGCTTTTGAAATCAACAATTTCGAAATAGAGATTCCTGATCCTCGGTGCAGGCTGCCCGTTCAAAATTCAAATGGGCATTTTCGCTACGATAGCAGCAGAGCATAGGCTCAGGTTCGCGCTCGAGGCTTGGAGCTTGGTTTTTGAAGAGCCTTCTGAACCAGAATTCGGAGGGGCAGCCAGCAGAGAGCAACCTCAGAAGTGCGCTCACGCCGGAACCCAACGCACACACGCACACCGACACACACACGCAGCCAACTCCTTCCCTTCTCTGAGTTTCGCTCATTGGCTGTTGCTGTCTGTCTGTCTGTTGTTTCAAGTTGGTCCCCGCGTCGATTTACAATTTCATCGTCATCACCATCACCATCATCCTTGTCGACCGATTCCTTCACCACCAGCACTCTCGTTCGGTTGCAGGTCTCCTCGACTCCTTCCGCCACTTCACCTTTCCGTCACTTGTTCGTATCCTTCGCACTGCGCTGAAACCGACATTCACCAAGCTTATGCGCGCAAACATCGAAATAAACATCCACCACCGACCGGAAGAAACGTTTTACTGATTCTTTCAACACCGACCTCTGCTTATCTGTCACACGCGCGCCGATATCCTTACAGTCCTCAACCTTCTCGGTCTAGGGAAATCACTTTACCAAAATGGGCATGTCTATTTCCAAGCTGCTCTCCGGCCTTTTCGGCAAGAAGGAAATGCGTAAGTAGTCCGCGACACCTTTCTCGGAATCGACAACCAAGCAGAAAACAGGGACAGCGTACACCATCACATTCATTCATGAACTTCAAAGGGATTCGCACGCAGGCCTGAACTGCCAATTACGCCATGATGGCCCTCTTTGAGCCTATTCTTCGTCGAAGCACGGGCTCTTCCGAGGTCACTGATGCCTCGGTTCACATCGCCTTTGATGCTGTTCTCATCGTTTGCTTGATCGTCTCTACCCTTGATTTATGGTTCCTTCTTGATTGTGTTCGCTCACCACCGCTCCTTTCGATTCTCTTCATGTTCACCTTGACAGGAATTCTCATGGTCGGACTCGATGCCGCCGGTAAGACCACTATTCTCTACAAGCTCAAGCTTGGTGAGATTGTCACCACTATCCCCACCATCGGTAAGTACATTGCAAACACTCTCGGCTACAACATGCCGCGGCACTTTTTTCGAGCTCAGGCAACCTAATTCCTTTTCCTTGCTGCCGTTTTACTTCAATTGCACTGCAGGCTTCAACGTCGAGACTGTCGAGTACAAGAACATTTCCTTCACTGTATGGGACGTTGGAGGACAGGACAAGATCCGACCTCTCTGGAGGCACTACTTCCAGAACACGCACGGTATCATCTTCGTCGTCGACTCGAACGACCGAGAGCGAGTTTCCGAAGCGCGCGAGGAGTTGCAGCGCATGCTCAACGAGGATGAGCTCCGCGATGCTTTGCTGCTCGTTTTCGCTAACAAGCAGGATTTGCCCAACGCCATGAACGCCGCCGAGATTACCGACAAGCTCGGCTTGCACAGCTTGAGACAACGACAATGGTTCATCCAGGCCACGTGTGCCACCAGCGGTGACGGTCTCTACGAGGGTCTCGAGTGGTTGAGCACCAACCTGAAGCGACGAGCTTAAGTGGAGAGCATTGACAAAACGCTTCCCTGTACCCGGCATGGCTTGTGCATCGAGCAAGAGTCTTGTGTTTCCAGTCCGTACTGTTGTGTAAGCGCGCCTTGCGAATCTAGATCAAATTATCATCACCGTCACCTGCCGCCCTATGCTTTGAATCAATCAACAGACGAATCGGACAAAGCTTCATCAAGCGCAGGAGTGAAAATGTGGATATCCATTTCGATTCACCCCTCTCCCCTTTTCCGCCGCATCTCAGTGTCCGTTGCGCATCCTAACGAATCAGAACGCTTTTACACTAGAATACACAGAACTCGATAGCTGCAGGCTTATATGTGCCGAAGTGTCGCGGGAGAAGAGTTCTGCAAGAATTGGGAAAGGGGCTGAGTGGAAGGTTGTACGTGCGGTTCGTAGATCCGCATTAGCTTGCGCCAAGGCAAGATGTTTTGGGTGTCAAGCTGCTACAAAGTGACAGAGTTGGCGGAAGTGAGTGCAAGTGAGAGAATGAAAAGTGAGTGAGGACAACGCTAGCTGATCCTTGAGCGAATCGAGATGTTGCCTTGAGCAAACCCGGATGCTGCTGACTGCTTCGTCGTTGAATCTTCCTAGACGCACGACGTTGGATCGGGTGTTGAGTGGTAGTTCTTAAACGCCGGTGATAGGGCTTGTGGCTTTTGGGGCTGCGCATACCTTTTCTCCTATCACTGTGAGACTGGAACATTCTTGGAGAGATAAACAGACACCGTCTTCATGCGATGATGATCGACAGGAACGCGCCGCAAGCGTACTATAGAAAGCGTTCGTATTCACATCCGAACCTTCAATTCATACCATAACAAAAACCAATAGGAGAGCATAAAGGAGATTAGGATTGCGGGATGAGCGTGAGTGTGCTCATAGGCTCGAGGGGCTCCCGGACCGCCAATGTGCGAGGGGCAAACTGGTTGCACAGCAAGGTCCGGTTTTGCTGAAGGAGACAGGAGCTGGAGGCTGAGGAGTCACATGCCAAACCGAGGAGGGGATAAAGAGGAGGAGGCAAAGGCTGAGAAGAGGTAGGAGGCGGCCAGCTTTCTGCACACAGATGGGGGGGTGAATGATGTACCAGCAGAAACAGTTGGAAGACCAGCATCCCATTGCCTGAATGGCCTCAGTTGAGGCACCAAGGTGTGCAGCCCAGGTGGCACCTCCTTAGTGGAAGGAGTGGCCAGCATACACTGAGGCTGGTAAGCCCATCTTACCCAGGAGCTGCTGCAGCACACCGATGACCCTATCATGGGAGAAGGGTGCCACACTGTTGTTCAAGGTGTCACCGGAGTGGAAATCCATTCTCCGAGTCCGGAGTATTGGGAGTGAAATGTTTTTACTTCAGTGTTGTGTGAATTGGGTACACCAGCTAAGGGACTAGCTGGTGTAGTGGTTTTAAGTTGAGGCTTCGCTAAAAAACGTTTTTATTTTATTTTATTTTATTTTAATTTTTTTTAATTACTTTTACGAACGCTTGACTACATAGGTATATATACTTTAGCATGATCTTTGGATACACTGCCCCACCTCACATTGGTCAGATGCTTGCTGCTGTGTTCTCCTGGTTGCCTCCTTATGCTTAGCTCCTGAATTGTTGTCATGGCAACCAATATGCATCTCATATGCATGCTGCTCATTCACAGTCCTTGCTTCCTCATGCACCTTGGGCAAATCAATTTCCTCAACTGCCTCCCTCAGCAGCAAGGCAGGAGACTGCTGAGCTGCTGCACATTGTTGGGTTGTTAGTCCTAGCCCCCTTTGTGCACACTGTAATACATCCCTCCCAACTGGTTTGGTGAAGACATCTGCCAAATTTTCCACAGTGTTAATATACTTGATTTTGACCTTACCATCTTGTATGTTATCTCTGATGAAATGGTACTTGGTGTCAATGTGTTTTAGTTTCCAATGTTGTGCAGGATCCTTGCTTACTTGGATGGTACCAGTGTTATCTGAGAAGATAGTGGGGGTACCAGCATTGAATCTGATGGCCCTGAAGAGATGTTTGAAGAACAGGATCTCTCAGGCTGCTTCCATCACAGCCACAAATTCAGCTTCTACTGCTGATAAGGCAGTACAGTGCTGCAATGCTGACTTCCATGCTACTAGGTTCCCATGCACAAATACTGCTGAGCCAGATGAGCTTTTTCATTGTGCTGTGGCATCGCTTGCCCAGTTTGCATCACTATGCACTGTCAAGAAATCCTGTTGTTTATTGCTTCCATATTGCAAGTGGATGTCTTGTGTGTGGTCCAGATATTGAAGTACCTTTTGTGCTGCATTGTAGTGTTCCTTTGATGGCTGTGTCATGTAATGTGCAAGGACTCCAACAGCTTGACTGATGTCAGGACATGTTCTGTTGGAGAGCCACAGAAGTTTACTGACAATCTGTGGGTACTCCTTTCATTCTGTGATGCTTGCCATTGTTTCTGGAACTGGGATGTCATGAAGTGGGACACTAGACTTCTTTCTGTGTTTGTCCAAGTGCTCATCCAGCAGTTGCTTGACATAGCTGGTTTGCTCAAGGTCCATGGTTTTTGCCTCTTGATCCCTGGAGATCTTGATTCCTAGAAAGTGAGACACATTGCTGCCCTCCTCCATTCTCCATCTTTTGCCTATCTCCTCCTTGATGCACTTGACTGCTTCCAGTTTTGGTGCAATGATCAACATATCATTGACATATATGATCACTATTGCAAAGCCATCACCTTTCCCCCTGGTGTAAATGCACAGTGCACAATCAAGCCTATGGAAATGTGAATGCTGGAGAAACTTATCAAACTCCATATTCCATTCCCATCTTGATTGCCTGAGACCATATAATCCCTTGACAGCTCAGTAGGCTTTCCTGTCTGGCACTTTGGCACCCTCTGGAGGTTTCATATATATTGTGTGCTTGAGCATGGAGTTGAGGTATGCCATCATAATGTTGAGCTGGTGGACTTCCCAGTCACATTCCACTGCCAGGGACAATAGGGCCCTTATTGCACTGAGTGGTGCCACAGGTGCAAAGGTCTCTTCAAAGTCAATGCCCTCTTGCTGAGTAAAGCCTCATGCAACGAGTTTCACCTTGTGCCTGACCAGTATGCTGTCAGTGTCTAGTTTGAGCCAGAGGATGATCTTGGAGTTGACAAGGTTGGCATTTGGTGGTATGTCTACAATTTCCCATGTTCCCATTGCTTCGAGCCCATCCAGCTCCTTGCATATGGCTTCCTGCCATTGTTGTGCATCATTGCTGGCGAGTGCTTCCTTTAGTGTTGGTGTGAGATTCAGAATAGCTGTTTGTGCCTCTCCAAGTATCTCTTTGACCACAATTTCTGATCTGTTGTTGTTGGTAGGCTCAGTGGATGGTGCAGTGTGTGCATTTGGGAGTGGGTCCCTTATGTCAAGCACTTCCACTTCCAGTTTGGGCTCATTGCTGTCTGTTTCTTGTCTCATACCTTTGGCTTCCAGGCTCTTGAACCTGAACTTCAATGGGCTCTGTGTCCTAGGTTGATCATGCCAACCTTTTGCTTCATGAAACATGGCTGAGTTGCTCCATCATATGGATGGGCTGTAGCCAGGAGTGTAAAATTTCCAGCCTTTATGCTCATTGTCATAGCCAATCATGATGCCTGGAATAGCTCTCATACTGTGCTTGCCTGCATGATCCTTCTTGGGGAGGTGGATCCATGTGAGGCAGCCAAAGATGTGCAGCTGCTTGGCTAAACCATGTGCAGACTTACAGTAAAACTCCTCATATGGGACCCTGTTTGCATTGGCAGAGGGTGTCAAATTTAGAGTATTGTCATGGGCCTGGATGCTCAAGAAGCAGGAGGGTCATGGGTTCATATGGAAGGAGCACAGGTATCGAAGACCTAGTCGACACCAGTAGAGAGCATGGTCGTAGTGCAGTCTCCATGGAGACCATGGACTCCTATGGACTCACATGCAAAGGAGGGCCAAGCACAGCCACGAGGAGGACCAAGCTCAAGGAGCAGGCACAGCCACGAGGAGGACCAAGCTCAAGGAGCAGGCACAGCCACGAAGAGGACCAAGCTCAAGGAGCATGCAGATGGTTACCACTCAGGGGCTCGAGAGACAAGAGCCAAAGGAACTGTCACTGATCAAAGGAGGAGGAGCAGTGTCGAAGGAGTCGACACCAGGTCATGAGGAGGAGGAGCAGTGTCGAAGGAGTCGACACAGCTCAAGAGGCACAGGGGTGCCAAGCAGGAGAGGCCCCTGAGCAGTACTCGATGAAGAAGGTACTCTCTGGAGAGAGAGCAGGAGCAGCATCGCTGGCGATGCTGAGAAGAGGTATATAACCATGCTTTCTCATCAATAGGTCGAGTGGATCCTCATCCACTCTACTCACCATAACTAGTTATCACTTCAGCATAAGTATACATTAGTTTCAGTCAGCATAGCAGCAATCTATCAAGGTTGCTCCTCATCGTAGTGTGTGTGTTGTATCACCACTACCTGACATCCGAAGGCGCCCATAGCAGGTTAGCAGTCTGGATCAAGATAGAACTGAAGGCAGTAGTCCACTGCGGTCCGGGGATCACTTCAAGCATCAAGTCAACACACTGGACACTTGTGTTGATGCCACCAACCTTATCACCAACACCATCAACCTCATTATCATTGACATCACCAATCTCATCACCAACACCATCAATCTCATCATCATCAACACTCACACCAGACCTTGGTGTCATCATAACATTGATATTGATCGTGCCGAGCTACCCCTGAACGGAGTGTCCACAGAGGTCAGCCGAAACCTACGATAGTATATACAACAAACGCCACCTGCTGTCACTGCACAACTTGATAGTCACCGAGTATCTCGAGACAATAGCTGTCGCACAGTTTGATAGTCACCGAGTATCTCGACAGACCGACCTGGGTTTCAGGCGCGAGACCCCTGACATTAGAGTGGATCGTTCAAGCAGCTCCTCACGATCACCATGACGGACCCAGACCTCAACAATAAGCTCGATAGACTACTCACTCTATTGGAAGCTCAGCTAGAGCTTACTAGGCAGGGTCATCGAGAGGAACGACTACAACGAGCTCAGCTGGGTAGGGAGGATACAATGGACCTCTCTCACTCGGAAGACCAAGCAGGAGGAGGAGATGAGTCTATGATAGGAGACCCACATACTCCTACTCCTGCTCCACGATCAAGACGATCAGTCTCATTCAACCTGGATGAGCAGGAGGACATCAACTATGAGAAGTATGCTTCACCTACTGGGCCAAGATATGTCAAGACTAAGCTGGACCCCTACAGCAGGACTAGGACGGACCCTTACCCCCTGGACCACGAGGAGGATACCAGCATCATGGCAGAGCTTAACCAGTCAAAGCCCATCGCCACCCCCTTTCCAAAGTTCAATCCCCGAGACATGGAGATCTTCATTCTAGAAGCCGAAGCATGGTTTAAGTTCAACCAGGTGTATGAGCAGTCTAGGATGATCAATCACATGGGTGCTCAACTGGAAGGGACAGCAAGAGAGTGGTGGACCTCCAAGCTCCGTATTGATAGAGCTAGAGAAGGAAGGTTGTTCAATGATTGGCACTACTTCACAGAGCGACTGTCAGAGCAGTTCAACCCACGCAATGCTAGGATGGAGGCATACAACAAGCTGTTGGCTCTCAGACTCACAAGTGATGCTCCTGGTGCCGCCACACGTCATGTAGAGCGGTTCAGAGACTTGGAAGGACAGGTCAACCTAGATGACAATGAGCTAGTGATTGATCTCTTCAGAGGTAGTCTCACTCGTAGCATACAGGAGAAGTTCGAGAGGAATCCACCTGGGAAGAGATGGGAGTGGTATCGAGAGGTCGAGGAGATCGATCAACAGAGGATGCTACTACAGCAGTCCTCGGCTAGACACTCACTTCCAAATGCCACGTCACCTCCACTAAGAACTGGGTCTCGGCCAAATCAAAGTTCAATCCCCATCCGACAACCCACTCAACCTTATCCAGCTCGATCACCATCACAAGCAACTACACAAGCAACTATACAAAACCTAAACCGACCCCTTCCTCATCATCCCACCCAACCCTCGAAGCAAGGAAGCCCTGCTCCATCAGGTATCAACACCTGTCATGTATGCAAGGGTATCGGCCATTGGGCCAGAGACTGCCCCAGCAGGAGGGTAAACCCTCTTAGCTCTCGACCCATGGGACCAAAGGTTATGGTCACCACAGCAGACCCCTTCGAGGAGGCCACCGACTCAAGAGATGGCCACACAGGCAGCACTGAGACGGGTGACCCCGAGGCCATGGACCTCAGCTCATACCAGCAACCCATGGACCCCGATCACGAGGAGGAGCACGATGATGATGATGACGAGGGAAACGTCAGTGGGGTGATGCACTGATGGCATGCATTGCTCTACAAACCTCCTCGCCATCACTCTGTATATATCAAGATTGTCAAGTATGTTTCTCTACCAGTGGAGGCAAAGCAGTACTGGAGCTCTCTGGAATGGTTCAAGACCATCCTGCTCGGATACTAGCTGATACTGGTGCTGGTTTGTCCATAGTCTCAGATTCTTTCATTAGTAAGTACCAAATACCCATAAAACCCATAAAAACAAGATCGATCCATGGTGTCACCGGGCACCAACTCTCCATCAATAGTTCTGCGAGCATGCAGGTATCTATTGGTACACACAATCTGGGTGTGGTCGAAGCTTCAGTGGCCGACACTGCGGACTATGACCTCATCCTGGGGTTCACTGAGCTACGGAGGCTCAAACCCACCATACAATGGGATACGGGCCAGCTGGAGTTCAAGACTCAGGAGCAGGACCGACCCCCTAGGAGACCCCCTGAAGCAGCAAGAGCAGGGGACCTAACCATGAGGAGACCAACCCTTCATGGTAACGAGTTTGTCTCAGCAGAGCGCATACTACGAGCAGCTCTGGAAGATGGACCCATAGGGTTCATGCTGTTAGAGGAGCCACCATCATCACTCCCGGCCTTTGGTTTTGTACCTACAGGCGCAGACAAAGGAGTCGAGATGGAGGTGGAGGTAGATAAGGTGGTGACGGCTGCAGACATACCAAAGCCATACCAACACCTGCGAGATGTGTTTGATGAGGTGGAAGCAGACAAGCTGCCCCATCATACCGAGCATGATCTCCACCTCGAGTTGATAGAAGGAGGTAAGCCACCTCAAGGGCCCCTATACCTTAAGGGACCCAAGGAGATGTCCGAGTTGAGGAGATACTTGGATGAGAACCTCGAGAAGGGGTTCATAAGACCATCGAAGAGCCCGGCACGATCACCAGTGCTCTTCGTACCAAAGAAGGATGGAGGTCTCAGACTCTGTGTGGACTACAGAGGTCTCAACGAGATCACTGTCAAGAACAGGGCACCATTGCCCCTCATCGAGGAGCAGCTGTTCTTACTCAGGAAGGCAAGGATCTATACCAAGCTAGACCTTAGAGCAGCATACAACCTCATCCGGATTGCTAAAGGAGATGAATGGAAGACAGCTTTTGGCACTCAGTTGGGACTCTATGAGTACCTAGTGATGCCCTTTGGCCTAGCCAATGCTCCGGCTCACTTCCAGTCATACATCAATGACATCTTCCGAGACATCATTGGAGTATATGTAGTGGTATACTTAGATGACTTCCTGATCTTCAGTGACACTGAAGAGGTACATGTGAAGCATGTCACCGAGGTCCTCACTCGCTTAAGGAGCAACAGGCTCTTTGCTAAGCTGTCGAAGTGTGAGTTCCACACCAAGACAGTCGAGTTCCTGGGGTACATCATCAAGCCAACGGGCATAGAGATGGACCCAGAAAAGGTGCGCACTGTCAAGGAGTGGCCAATGCCAGAGTCAATCCATGACATCCAGAGGTTCCTGGGTTTTGCCAACTTCTATCGAAGGTTCATAGCCCACTTTGCTCGCATAGCCAAGCCCTTGACAGCACTGGTAAAGCCTATAGAACGGTTCAAGAAGTTCGAGCTACCAGAGGAGGCCCAACAGGCCTTCCACAAGCTCATCCAGGCCTTCACATCAGCAGGAGTGCTTCAGCACTTCAACTACCACCTTCCAACAAGGTTGGAGACTGATGCAAGTGACTTTGCTATAGCAGGAGTACTCAAGCAGGAGCATGAAGGACGATGGCATCCAGTGGCCTTCTACTCTAGGAAGATGTCTTCTGCCGAGAAGAACTATGAGATCCATGATAAGGAGCTCCTAGCTGTGGTCGCCTGCCTCACTCAGTGGCGACACATGCTAGCTGGACTACCGAACCAACTGGTCATCCTCACTGACCATGAAGCCCTCAAGTACTTCAAGTCACAGAGACGCATCACAGGTCGACAAGCTCGATGGGCAATACTACTAGCAGACTTCGACTTCATATTGCAGTATCGACCAGGAGACAAAGGTGGTGAACCCGATGCTCTCACCAGAAGGACAGACATGCAACCAGCCGGTGAAGAGCAGGATCACAATGTGAGGCAACTACTGCCTCCTCGAGTGTTCAAGGAGACAGCAGACCATGACTCGCTCCTAGTGGCCCCCATGATCTCGATGGAGTCCATAGCATCAAAAGGTCTCAAAGACCTGGTCAAGATCTTCCAGCCTTTAGACCAAGAGCTACAGGAGATACATAGGAAGAAGCCTTTCGAACTCAAGGATGACCTATGGTACAGTGGAGGAAGGTTGGTTATCCCCAAGGTGATCATGCCAGGGAGGACCAACAACCGACACTCAAGGAGTGCCAAAGAGGTAGATGGACAGTCTCTCTCTGTAGAGCATCTGCGATTCATGGTGATGACCCAATGCCATGATGGTATCACTGCTGGACACGTAGGAAGAGATGCTACCATCAAGGCAGCTCAACGACATTACTGGTGGCCAAACATGACAGCTTGGATTGCAGACTATGTAGCAAGTTGTCCTGTATGTGCTAGGTACAAAGCTCCTCGTCATCGTCCATATGGTTTGCTACAGCCACTAGCAACCCCAGACAGGCCCTGGGGCTCCATATCCCTCGACTTCATTGAAGGACTACCACCATCAAAGAAGTATGACTCCAAGACCTATGACTCTATCTTAGTCATTGTCGACAGGTTAACCAAGTTTGTCATACTAGCTCCAACCCATAAGACAGTCATGGCCAAACAGACTGCAGTGTTGCTATATGGACACATGGTTAGACTCTTCAGATACCCAGATCACATGGTCTCGGACCGAGGCAGGCAGTTCATATCAGGAGCATGGAAGGCATTCACAGAACAAATGGGTGTGAAGCACTCACTTAGCATGGCTTACCATCCTCAAACCGATGGTCAGACAGAGAGGGTCAATCAGGTCATAGAGCAATACCTAAGGATGTACTGCAACTATGAGCAGGATGACTGGGCCAACCTGCTGGACACTGCAGCCTTTGTATACAACAACATGGTCCACAACAGCATTGGTGTCTCACCATTCTTTGCATGCTATGGATGGAACCCCAAAGCTCATCCTGACATCCCTCAACAACTAGGAGTCAATGATCCAGGTTGCTTTGAGTACCTCATGGATGGAAAGGAGCGTTGCAAGTACCTCCAGGAGCAGATCAGAGAGGCACAACGTAGATCAGTAGACCAGTATAACAGGAAGCACAAGGACATCGAGTTTAAGGTGGGTGATATGGTCTATATCAACCACCGAAACTGGAAGACAAGGAGACCCACACCCAAGTTAGATACCCGGTTTGCAGGACCCTACCCAGTTCAGGAATGGGTAGGATGCTGAGCTTATCAAATCACATTGCCAGCAAACCTTAGGGTGCATGATGTGTTCCATGTCTCCATGCTCGAGCCAGCAAGAACAAGTTCTCTTCCTCAACATGCTGAACAGCCCACCATACCATCACTTCCAGATGAGGACCTCGACTTCGAAGTTGAAGCACTCATTGACAAGTGTTCACACAATGGGACTACAGAGTACAAGGTGTTGTGGAGAGGGTACTCAGAAGAAGCTGCTTCATGGGAACCAGTAGAGAACCTCAACTGTCCCAACCTCATCCAGGAGTATGAGGTGTCAGAGGGGGGACGAGTGAGTAGACAAAGTAGAGAAAGGAGGAGAGAACAGGAGGAGTAGAGAGAGGAAGAGAGAACAGGAGGAGTAGAGAGAGGAAGAGGAAGGAGGATGACGTTGAGAGAAGGAGGAAGGAAGATGTTGGCGATGTTGTCGAGGAGGAGGAGGAGGAGTCAGCATGAACCAGACCAGAGCATGCCTCGACGGAGCTCAGCTCTTAAGAGGGGGGTAGTGTCATGGGCCTGGATGCTCAAGAAGCAGGAGGGTCACGGGTTCATATAGAAGGAGCACAGGTATTGAAGATCTAGTCGATACCAGTAGAGAGCATGGTCATAGTGCAGTCTCCATGGAGACCATGGACTCCTATGGACTCACATGCAAAGGAGGGCCAAGCACAGCCACGAGGAGGACCAAGCTCAAGGAGCAGGCACAGCCACGAAGAGGACCAAGCTCAAGGAGCATGCAGATGGTTACCACTCAGGGGCTCGAGAGACAAGAGCCAAAGGAACTGTCACTGATCAAAGGAGAAGGAGCAGTGTCGAAGGAGTCGACACAACTCAAGAGGCACAGGGGTGCCAAGCAGGAGAGGCCCCTGAACAGCACTCGATGAAGAAGGTACTCTCTGGAGAGAGAGCAGGAGCAGCATCGCTGGCGATGCTGTAAAGAGGTATATAACCATGCTTTCTCATCATCATAGGTCGAGTGGATCCTCATCCACTCTACTCACCATATAACTAGTTATCACTTCAGCATAAGTATACATTAGTTTCAGTCAGCATAGCAGCAATCTATCAAGGTTGCTCCTCATCGTAGTGTGTGTGTTGTATCACCACTACCTGACATCCGAAGGCGCCCATAGCAGGTTAGCAGTCTGGATCAAGATAGAACTGAAGGCAGTAGTCCACTGCGGTCCGGGGATCACTTCAAGCATCAAGTCAACACACTGGACACTTGTGTTGATGCCACCAACCTTATCACCAACACCATCAACCTCATTATCATTGACATCACCAATCTCATCACCAACACCATCAATCTCATCATCATCAACACTCACACCAGACCTTGGTGTCATCATAACATTGATATTGATTGTGCCGAGCTACCCCTGAACGGAGTGTCCACAGAGGTCAGCCAAAACCTATGATAGTATATACAACGAATGCCACCTGCTGTCACTGCGCCACTTGATAGTCACCGATACCGAGACAATAGCTGTCACACAGTTTGATAGTCACCGAGTATCTCGACAGACCGACCTGGGTTTCAGGCGCGAGACCCCTGACAACTCAGTATCACACAGACGTTTACCGCTTGAGGGGTGCGTGCATAAAGTCACACAGGAGCTGTGCTGAAGTGACCACATGACCAAGGGGTTTGGTCATGAGGTTCAACAAGTGGCTAAAGGGATTCACAAGATAAAGTCGAGAAGGAGCTGTGTCAAAAGGGGGCATCACACATCATCAGGCAGAAGGAGAGCATGAAGGTGAGAGGGCAGTGTTGCATAACCCTTACACCAAGCAAACAGTAAGGGTGCAGTATCAATGGGATTGATGCCAGCAGGACAAGACAGTGTTGAACAGGGGGACAAAGGCCCCTCAAGAGGAGCAGGATAGGTGTTGCAGGCAACACCAATCGAATGCATAAATACTCTCATTCTACCATAGCATACAAGTGGACCCCCATCCACTCTACTTACTTACTTATTACTACTTACTCTACTTACTCAGTTATGTACCATTGCAATAGCAGTGCTCTTGCAATGACTCTCAACATGTGTGTTGTATCACTGTTAGTCAACAACTGTAGGCAGTGTTCTTCAACACTAGTGGTCCAGTGCCCTCACTGTAGGCAGTGTTCTTCAACACTAGTGGTCCAGTCCCTTGCTGTAGGCAGTGTTGCTCAACACCAGCAGTCCAGTCAGTTATTGTAGGCAGTGATCCTCACCAGCAGTCCAGTAACTCCCATCCTCTGTAGGCAATCAGCATATTGCAGTCCAAGTGATGTCCAAGAGCATTAACAACAGTACTGTGAACACTTGTACTGTAGAGAGGGTGTATCACTCTCTCATCATGATCAGTGTCTGTGCTGCACAACCTCTGAACAGAGTGTTCAAGGTGGTCAGTGGAGACTTACCAAGTGGCAATGTTTGGTTACATTTAGGTGAAACATACTGAGTAGACCTTACTCAAGCAATCTCAATATAACCCCCAAACCTAAGTCTCTGGCACACGACCGCTTACACCTCTTTGGGTTGCATGATGGGTACAAGCCGCTCTCCCACTCCACTTTCCTCCAGCACCTTCGCTCGGCTCTCTCTTGACTCAGGCTGGACATGTCCCAATATGCAGGGCACTCTTTCCATTGAGGAGCAGCCACTTGGGCTGTGTCACAGGGCATTGACACAGATACCATCAAGCTTCTTGGGCACTGGAACTCAGACTGCTATCATCGATATGTTGACCAATTGGCATCTGAGCAGCACACCATGGTTGCCATGGCCCTTTACTCATCCTGGCAGGGACCCCTTGTCCCTCCCAGTCCTTCTTGGCAGGACCTGGTCCTCTGAACTTGACCTTGGTGGGGCCCCTGGCCCCTCTGCCATGACCGCTGACTGCTGTGCAGGTGACACTGCAGCTGTTGGTGGGCTGGGAGCCTCCTTGTCGAGCTTCGAGGACCTCATGGGTCTTTGCCTGCAATCTACTTAGTTTGTCCTGTTTTGCCTTAGTTTGTTTTTTTCGCACGGTTGAGTCCAGACGGGATTTGTCGTGTGCAGCTCGAGTGCCCGCTCACACCTTTCTTATCTACTCCACTTGTGACCTGGCAGATGCACTGCACCCTTGTCGGCGCATCCGATTCTGTGATTCAGGGTGCAACAAACACTCCACGCACACACTCACACACACACACTCACACTCACACACACACAATGCCGAGTAAGAGTAACCGCCCCTTATGATGATCCGTGCCCGTTTTGTCTCTTGTGCCGGCGAAGCCTTTCCGACGGTGCTGTGCCTGTTGAGTCAAGGATCGCTAGCTGATCACATTCGGAGACCGCCGATTGTCATGGCCAGAGCTCTCCTCACTCCCTTCCCTTATCAGCGTATGTGTCCGCCCTGATCCATCTTGTTCGGCAACCACCATCAACTGAGCAAGCAGTAGCCTCGCAGCACCAAACTGTCGAGCAAGCAACACGCATCCCTCCAATTCCACAGCACGAAGCTGTGTTGCCGAGATGACCTCGTCCACCGACCAGATTTTATCGAGGATTCTCGACGAGATCACTGAGCTCAAGATCAAGAACTCGCATCTTGAAGCCAAGGTACGTACGCACGCCTGACTAGCAGCAATCTCAATGAAGAACACAGACTAACGATGATACCTGCCTTGCGCTCTCTCTCGTGTTGAACTCGCAGGTGGATTCACTGCAAAATGCAGCTACCCTCCCCTCTCCTTCCTCGCAAGTTCGCCGACAGAGCTCTAGCGGCTTCACTGCACTAGGTGCTCACAGCTTGTCTCCTTCGCAGCCCGCTGATCTCGCCTTTGGCACCTCACCGCCTCCCCAGCCTCTCGGACCCCCTGCTCACCCGCTTGGTGGTCTTCCACAGACCAACGGTCCCAGTCCCATCAGCACACCCGATCTTGGTACCAGGAAGCTCCCCACCGCCAACGGTGCAGCTTCACCCTCTCAACCAGCTTCCATCAGCTCCACTGCCGGCTACTACTCTTCCCGAGTCATCCTCACCACCTACCCCGGCCAAGTTGGCATCAAACCTCTCCCCCTCAACTGGGCCGCCCAAGACCCTCACCAACGTGGACCCGTCGTTGCCAGTCGACACCCTAACTCCATCCGCGTCCGCAACGCCATTGGTGCCTACGGAGGCTCCTACTCCGTCTACCGATCACTCTCCATCGCCATGGGTCAACTCAACCCCAACCATCGCCCAGACTACACCAACACCGAACCACCTTTCGATATCCCTCCTAACCCATCCTGGTTCGATCCTTCCAAAATCGTCGCCATGGACCCTTGGGGACATCTTGCACCGCAAGTCTACAAGTCAGAGTTCGACGGAGGAATTGATATCCGGCCCACAGCTTCGTTGACCAAAGCGCACATTAAGATGCCTGAATTGGACAAGGCCCAGGCGTCAGGTGTTTTCCCGATCGATGGGAAGATTGTGGTAAAGAGTATAAGGTTGCCGGGTGTGGCGGAGGATGTGGATCCTGGATGTGAGGTTAGCGTGAGTAAAGCGGCGGTTGATCCTGTTTGGTATCTTCCTGGTGTAGCTGAGAGGTTAGGGGTGACAGAGGGATCGTTGAGAAGGGCGATTTTTGAAGATACTGGTGGATCTTATCCTGAATTGCTTACTAGGCATGACCTTAAGGTGTTTCTTCCTCCCATTTCTGGATTGACAGTGTATATCTTTGGTAGGCCGGAAGATCTTAGGGACTCGGAGAAGGAGGTGACGGTTAGGATTCATGACGAGTGCAATGGTTCCGACGTTTTCGGTTCCGATATTTGCACTTGTCGACCTTATCTTCTGTTCGGGATTGAAGAATGTATTAAGACAGCACAACGTGGTGGTGCTGGTGCAGTCATTTATTTCCGTAAAGAAGGCCGCGCTCTTGGTGAAGTTACCAAGTACCTTGTCTACAATGCAAGAAAACGAGGAACCGATTCAGCATCGAACTACTTCAAGCGAACGGAGAACATCGCAGGGGTGAAGGATATGAGGTTTCAAGCTCTTATGCCAGACGTTTTGCACTGGCTAGGTGCTACGAACATTACCAATTGGATCTCGATGAGTAATATGAAGCACGATGCGGCGGTGAATAGCGGCATCAAGATTAAGAATAGGTACGAGTTACCAGAGGAGTTAATCCCGGCTGATTCGAGGGTGGAGATCGATGCAAAGATTCAAGCGGGGTACTTTAGTGCGACGAAACAGTTGACGGAGGAGGATTTGAAGATGACTGTTGGTAGGGCTTGGGAGGATATTGATCATTGATGGCCTCCTCTTTCACGCTTGGTTTGACCAGGAAATGCGAAGGATTCAAACACAGCTGTCCGTCAGCCGTGTGATGTGTGATGGTGCAGAGTTTTGAGTCAAGTTGCGTTGCAAAAGAGAATGTGATGATGCGAGTAAGAGTACAAATACAACCGCTCAACGGGAAGGGAACGATTGAGGATGGAAAGACAGTTCTATACGGGAATGTTATGTGCGGTATGCTGCAAGAGAAAGTCCGCCAGCGGTGTTTTCTCAAGCAAACATCTCAGTAGTCCTCTTCCTCAACAAATGCACCTTCCTCGAGATCTCCGATTTTTGGAACGAAGTCAATTTGGAATCATCCATAGCCTCTTCCCCCAGTGACCTTAGGATTGTCTTCAATGCATCCGGTTGCGAAGGTGCCCTTCCCCTCCCCCAGCCCATCTTCCCGGCCGTAGCAGAAATTGGGATCTCAACGGTGGAGATAGAGTCGGCGCTGGAAGTGGCAGCACGGATAACGCTCTGCGACCTGACAATTTGCGACGGAGTCGAGCCAAAGAAATTGGAAAGCTTGGAGATGGAACGATCGTGCGAGTCCATTCTCCTCTGATGGATGGTTGAGGGAGAGAAATCGAACTCGTGGGAGTAGAGTTCTTCTGCTTCGCTGCTGTCGCTTTCGGAGTCAGAGAGTTCAAGGAAGGCGGCGGATCGACGGGGCATGTCACCGACGCTGGCGGAGAAGGTGATGGGTCTTGTTGCTGGACTGTGGCCCGCGCTGCTGTAGGTTTGGGAGGGCCTGCTGAAGACGGGACCAGGTTGGGTTGTCACGGTCGAGCCGGAGGTTTGAGAACGAGCGGCAGAGCGAGGTGGTCGAGTGAAGCGAGAAACGACAGTGTCGACGGTAGTTGTGTTGTTGGCAACAGCGATGGGGATGCGGGTGTCGTGGAAGATGGAAGCGAGCTCACTGAGTCGCTCGTGATCGTACTTGAGAAGATGTTCGTAGCTCTCAATCGAGTTGCGGTAGGAGTAGATGCTGTCCGATGTCACTGGCAAGGCTGCGGTGTTGCTCAGTGGCGAAGGTCCCGCCGAACGACGCTCGGCCAAGGGAACGCGGGGCGCAGAAACAGCCACACTATCATCTTCATCATCCGAGCTGTCAATCGACATGAAAGACTGCAAGCCTGAAGCGACCGAGGACTCGTGCGACAGAGACCTGTGAGCGAGAGAGGAAGAGTTGCAAGGAGACGAAGACTGGGTGAGGCGAGCGCAGCTCCTGTTGCTGACAGTGTAATCCGAGTCGTGGCTCATCAACGATGGATCCGAAGAAACCGGAGCGCCAGTGCTGCGAATAGTGACACTGTTCAGACTCTGACGGGTGCCCGAGTGAATGAGCTCGGCCGGCACCGCTTCGCCAAGCCAGCGCGACATCTTGGCAACACGGCGGCGGCGCGCGTCACGAGCAGCGGCAAGCTTGCGGCTCTCTGACATGGCGAGAGCTTGATCGAGGTGTGTGCTGTCGAAAGGTCGGAAAACACCGTCCTGTGGAAGAGTAGGCGGGGCACCTTCGTCAAGAGCTGCAGCCGAAAAGGCGACGAGCTGAGCCACCTTGGGCGTGGGCTCGTTGAACCCTTCCATACCCGTTGGGATGAAAGGACGTGCGGTAGGGTTGATTTCTTCCCGCCCCTCTAGCACGTCTTCGCTCTCAAGGAATTCGACGCCGGTAGTCTTGTTCAAGGCGTTGGACGAGTAAGGATGGGGCAGGCCGAGGATGGCGGCCGCCTTACGGTTCAGGCCCTGCACTGGGGCTGAGTCGAGACCTGCGAAAGCATGACCCCAACTCTTGCCTGGTTGGCTTCGGCTTGTGAGTAGCTTTCGAGACAGAGCGCGAGTCTTGCTACCAGTCATCGATCCAAAAGGTGGCGCTGAAGAGGGCATACCAACGAGGTCGTTGTTGAAAGGCATGCTCTGAGGTCGGCACTTTTTGTTGCGACTACTGTCAACGCTCGGGCCCAAGGATCGGGACGTGTTGGGAGCCAAGAGCATCTCTTCGCCGAGCATCTGCGTGAGCTTCTTAGTGCGACGCACCTGCTGACGTCTCTCTTCCGCGGTGAGCTGATTGCTCGTCTCTGGACGATTGGGCATGCCGGGAGATGGCAGAGGACGGGAAAAGTTCAACTCGGCGGAGGCGGAGTAAGGAATGCTTCCGGAAGTCGCGGGTCGCTGTATGCGGCCTGACATGCGGGTCGATGTGGGAGTGCGGTTCAACAAGAGCGGACTGATGCCACTCTCGAAGCTGTTCTGGTAGCTGAGGAAGCTTCCTTCGGATGTGAATGACAGGATGGAGGCGGTGTAGGGACGCTGGAAATGCACATCGGAGGAAGATGGTCCTCTGAACGATGCACCCGAAGAGATTGAGGTGGTGATACGTGGGAACGTCTCGAACTCTGACCTTGCACTTCGTGCGGAAGGCACGGCCCTGTCGTGGACCTGGCTGGAAGATGCGTGATACTGACTACTGACGATCGTGACAGAGTCTCTCTGGTGGTGAGAGTCATGCTTTAGCAATGAGGTGAGAACGATGGCCGAGTTGCGACGCAACGACGTGACGCGCTGTGGGATGTTGGCAGGCTGATCGGAGGCATTGGATCTCGAGTCCGGCTCGCTTTCCAGCGCGACAGTAGATTGCTGTGGAGTCATGCCTGGACGATAGCTGTTCCAAACTTCGTCGGCCTCCTGCTTGAGCTGGGTGAGATGGGCATCACCTGGGGGTGATGAGGACGAGGCCGGAGCGAGCTCGGGCTGTGGTTGGACGGGGATCGACTCGTCGTCCAAAGCTTCACCTGCGACAGTGACCAGTTCTTCCTTGGGATCGGTCAGAACGACACCGTGAGACTGGTCTTCGGATCCTTCCGCATCTTCATTCCACGGTCCGAATGTTTCACGATTGCCCCCTTCTCGGTCGACGAGGACTTTGGGACGGCTGTGGAACACGAGGTCAAAGTTGGGTGGCAGAGGCGAAGCGCCTTGAGAGCAGCTGGGGATGTGTGAGATCAATGCAGCGGGACTTGACAATCCGGAGTTGGCGATGTAGTCGATGCGCGAAGCAGGTCTTGATCGCGAGCTGAGTTGGTTCTTGCTCCTTTTGAAGTCGTCTGGCTGGAGGACCCTGCGGTCGTGGAGACTTGAGCTGCTGTGTGAGCTTGCTGAGCCTGTCGGCTCGTTGGCGAAGGCCGAAGCGTAGTCATGATTGCTAGCGCTGCGGGACGCCATTATGTAGCTTGTAGAGGCCATCGTAAGCAAGATCAAGCTTCAAAATCGATAAAGAAGGTAATTTGGCGAGAAGTTGTTTGATTTTGCAAGAGCAGGAGCGTGGTGGACAGGAACGTAGCAGTGATGATGGACGAACGGTCAAGAAAGAGATGAAGATGGCGAAGACTAGGAACTGGTCGAGAGGATGGTCGAAAGCATCTGGCGAAGGAGGTGCTGGTGGAAGCTGGAAAGTGGAAGCTGGAAGGTGGAAGCTGGAAGGTGGAAGCTGGAAGGTGGAAGCTGGAAGGTGAAAGCCAGGTCGAAGGTGTTGCAGTAATAAAGACCTTGAGCTGAAAGGGTGAAGCGACGCAGAGAACCTAAGGAAGGAGCGAAGCGAGGGGTTCGTTAACAATGGTGTGCGCTGGAAGCGAGCGGTCTAACCGCTTACGAGCGAGATTCGACGCTATGAAGTCAGCAAGAGCGAGCGAGACAATGCAGTGCAACAAAAGGATCTCTAGCCAACAGAAGCGATCTGATCGTGAGTGGAGACGTGAGAGAGGGTGTAGGAGAAAGAGGGCAAGGCGACAGCCGCACGATGGATGCCAGACAACGGCGGGACCCAAGCGTTTACAGTAAAAAGGAGAAGGTGTGGGATGGTGCAAAAGGAGGAGAGCAAAAGGAGGAGAGCAACAGCGAGAAGGCATTCCAAAGCCCTTCTCCCGAACTTCAGCAGAAGAGCATTTGAATGCAGTAGCACTTGACAGCAGCAGCAGCTTCCTGGTCAGAAGTCGCGACAAGCGTGATGAGCAACAACAACCAAAAAAAAAAAAAAAAAAAAACAAAAAAAAAAAAAAAAAAAAACAAAAAAAAAAAAAACAAAAGAAAGAAAGAAAGTGGGGGAAATTCGCCTCAGGAGGAAGGGGCTCAAGGGTGCAGGAAGCTCAAAAGTGAGCGAGGGGTCTCGTGCCTGTAACAGCAAGGCAGCCGCGTTGCGTGAATTCTGTGGGACATGCTGCATCGCATCGCAGATTTCTTTTTTCTTTTTTTCTTTTTTTTAAATTGTTCGCGGCCCGTTGTCTTGGAGATTGCTTTGATTAGCCTTCTGTCAGCATGATCTTGCGCAATGTTCCTTCGAATAGCGTATGTTGAGCTAGCTTACTCGGCCACCGCCACTTACGACAAAAAGAGGCGAAATCGGCTTGAGTTGGCGCTCGAAAGCAGGAAATGTCCCAACAATTGTTGCAAAGAGTCTGACTTTTCTTTGGCGAGTTGGTTGCAACTGACGGGAATCGGAAGACCCGCTCGCTCTCTGCTCAGAAATGAAACAACAAACAGACTCGAATGGGCGTCTACGTCGGCAACTCTGAGATAAATTGGATTGCTTCTGTTTGGTGAACAGCTCAAAGGACAAGCCACTGCGATGCCTATATCCTGAGTTTGGGGATCGTGTCAGGAGGTGCCGTCGAGGAGACAGAAAGCGCATCCGTTCGGGACTTGAAATTCACTTTGACAGCCAGCTATCCAGCCTTGATATCCGCGTCTCTCGTCATGTTCCCTCTGCGCCTTCGGTCGCTCCGAGAATGTCGGTGCGCTTGGAGCTGTCGTGTGCCTCATTCACGTTCTGTCTGTGTTGTCGGCTCGACCGATGACAGCAGCGTAAAGTGTCACTTTTGCGTCTTTACCGCCGATGGTCCGGGCTCGAAACTTGTCCATTGTGTGACTGAGCCGTCGAATCGGAAACAATCCACCAGCCTTGATAGCGATGCGAATGCTCTAGAGGTCCTAGCTCTCAAGAAGAAGCTTTCAACTTCCAACACACGCAGAAAGCAGCAACGTTGAGCTGCATGGCGTCTGCCAAGGCACTGCTGGTGCTGCAGTGGGCGTAATGTGCTGCTACTGCATCACCCTGCAGTTTAAGCAGCTGAACAACACTTTTTCGGGAGAAACCGCAATTTCGAAGCATCTTGACAATCACGCTTCATCTCATTTTGACAACCAGAACTCGGCTACTCAACGTTGCTACGCCCAGTAACCTGATGAGCAGACACTCGAGCTTCTCAGCACTAGCTCAAGCTCGAGGCTAATTTTAGTACGTTTTTCCTGGCATACAGCTTGGTCGCGGGCCGAGGTCGTTGGACGGCTCCTCGAGCGTGAGGTTGGTTCCTGGAGTCTCGCTCAAGCTTTGACCAACAAAGCTTATCACAATGCCACTTCACGACGAACGCTGAACCGACACAGAGGACAGAAAAGAGGACCGCCGGATGCCACCGAAGACGTAAGCGCATGCTGATTGGGCAGTCGGCAGCTGCTATCGGCTCGACCTCGTAAATGATTTTAACATTGGGGGCCGGCCAGGCGCTCAGGAGTAAGTGCAGACACTCGCAATGAAATGATGCCGATTCCTTGTCTTGGAAAGGAACGAAACTAAGGCTGCCAAACATTTGGTTGTCGCCACGTTGCCCGCTTCTTCTGCTTTCTCCTCAAAAGCCCGCGTAAGCAGTACACCACGTTGAAAAGTTCATGCCGCCACGTCCCATGTCAGGAGGAAAAGAAAGCTCAGCTCGGCTCGATGAAATTCAGTTGAAAATAGAGGCACCACTTCGTTGGGGCCACGATCAGGCTCCCTTCGTACAGGTGTGTAGCAACTGCAATGCTTATCATATGCAAGTGAACCAAGCCTACAAACATGAGTATATGTATCTTTACATCATCTCTGAGAACATCGAGCAGCCTTAGGTGAGTTGAGTGTCTCTTCTGTAGAGCTCCTGAACCGTTGCCATGTCAACTTTCATGCATTTCACGTGCCTGAGTCAGCTCGTGAATAAGCGGCGTATGCTTCCATGAGCTTCGCCCTGTCGGCATTCTGGATAACCCTGGAAATTTTTCAATGTATCTTCAACTAATTCTCTCGCTTAAACATTGATAAGGTCCCGTCTCTGAGATGGCAGGAAATCCAGAGGTCATGCATTCTTCCCGTCTATTTCTTTTTGTTTTCCCGCCAGACCCCGCTCGCCCTCTTCCAGAACCTCCATGAACAACAAGACGTGCAGACTGAGCGGAAGCAGAAGCGTGCAGTATCAGATGGATAAGAAGTTGTTCGTACCGCTGTTCTACGAGGTACAGTCTCGTAGCGTGGACGGTGACCTGCCAGGAGCGCAGCGGATGCCTCGTGGCTCTCAACTCCGCAAATCTCATTTGCCTTAGGTGAAGGCGGCCCCTGGCATTTCGAATAATGAACAAGCCTTCGACCGGCACTTTGCAACGCGTTCCTATGCGCTTCTCACTCAGATCCCGCTCCTGGAATGCTCCCAGCCGCCATCAGACTCCTATCTTTAGCAACGCGTCGCGCGGTGATGACTGCGGCGGAAGAAGCCCAACGACAACCTTGTGTAGCGAGCGCTCTGCTGAGACTGATACAGTGTAGTTTCTGCCGCTGCTCAAGAAACACACCTCCTCAATGTGACTGTAGGGGGTATCAAGAACGGGAGAGGGAAAAATACGAATTGAATGACCGCCAGAGAAGGACTCGACTCAACTCGGCTTGACCGAAGCTGACATAATCCCCCTTGTCGGCTTCTCGGCTTTGTCAAGAACGGTTTGCTTCCCTCCAACTCCGGCGATTCGACTCAAGAAGCCGATCTCAAACGCGATCTCTGCTTGTTAGATCCAGTTTTGCTTCTCTGCTTGTTAGATCCAGTTTTGCTTTCTGCTTGTAAGATCCAGTTTTGCTTATCGATCAGGCTGGAAATTGACCGATCCCGATTCAGCAACGCCGGAACAAGGTTCGATCAGAGTTCGATTTCCCACGTTCGCGCTTTTTGACAGACAAAGGGCTTGATGAAACACAACTCACAAGTCCCTTTATTCACAATAGAGGCGATCCTTCAGGGCTGAACAAGCTTGGCTTGCTCTCCATTGTACCCAATGCGGAGACGAGTTCAAACGGAACAGAGCTAGATTCGGACATGATATTTGTCATAAGGATCTACTTTCCCACGCGAACAAAGACAAACGACAATTGCTTCTCTCTTTGTTCGACTCGTTTGAAACACGCTTCCCGTTGTCGGAAAGCAAAATCGTCGATTCACCCGGTTTGATACGCTATGGCTCCGAACATGTCGCTTTCACTCTATACCGAGCGTTCAATGCTACTGTGCGCTCACTGTGTGTCATCCAACTCCGTCCCCTGGTGGTAGAGAGAAGCTTGCATCTGGCTTTTGTCTGTCCCGACGATTCGGCCCGACTTTCCCTTCGCCTATCAGCGAAAGTGGCCCCTTTGTCCTTTTCCCACCATTCCCTTTCATCATGATGTTCTTTGTTCACTCGCAAACCTCTCTTTGTTCCGGTCCGGTACCGCAAAGCCTGGCAGTCAGGCCAAGCTTCACGCCACACTGCCCCGCACCTGTGATGCAATGTAGTACAATCTTTTCGCTTCGAGCGCAGGGTGAATAGTACATAAGACAAGACAGTCTCTGTAGCGTGAGCACTTTCCACGTTTCACCTCCCCACTTCCACCTCCTTCATTTTCTTTCTCCCTTTCTGCACCTTCAGCATGATCTCGGATAGCCATAGCAGAGGCCTTTCGGCCACAAAGCGAGCGTTCACTCGACCCGCCAACCTCCATCTCGCTTGGTCCACCACCAAATCCGTCGCTTCTCCATTCAGTCACAGTTCCTCGTTCTCCTCGGCTACGCCCTCTCAAATTTCAATCACCTCTTCTAGCTCGACTAACGTCAAGCAGCTTCCTTTCCAGTCTTCACCAATAGTACGCATCGACAGACCGCTCTCATCTCATCCTTACAGCTCCTTCGTCGCACGACCAGCAGAGAACGAATGGATAGCTGAGCTTCAGCCCCGGATTCATTCGAGCATGCACCGGAGTCCCTCGACGCACTCCAGCAGATCTTCCCTTTCGCGTAGAGGAGAATCGTCCAAGTCTGTGCTGAAGAGTGGTCACCTGACTTGGAAAGTCAACAGCGACAGCTCCGGCAGAAAAGGAGCGCTCAGTGGATTCGAGAAGGCTTTACGCAGAAGACAGGCAGTTCGAGACCATCCTCCAGTCAACGACAAATTTGTCTTCGTCAAGCTTTATCAAGAACAACCTTCGACCGATGATATCGTCTTCACTACACCATGCTACGGCAAGCCTGCTTCAGAGCAACCTTTCGCGTCCGAACCTTTCTTGGCCAGTCCGGGCGCTTGCGATCCATCCGCATTCGACAACGATGGACTGTCGTCGCTGATCTCCCCACCAATCCCATCCAGCCTATCTGACCTCAATCGATGGGTGCCACCACCGAGCTGGGATGTTTTCGCCTCAGCGTCCGACGACCACGATTCCCAGTCCAGATCGTCCAGCTCCTCAGCTTCAGATCCTTTGCAAACACCGCAATCATCCAATCCGGGCAGTCCGAAAGAGCGCGAGATCTTGCTCGACATTCACTGGCAAGAAGTACCTCGTACTCGAAGACCTTCTGGCTCACATGACCCGTTGCTGATGCGACTGCGCATCACTCACGAAAGCACGGCTGAGATCCAGTCGAGCTCAACTGATGTGGACAACGCCACGCACTATTGTGACAAGCAACTCGTCGTCACTGGCGAGCTTGTCACACAGGCTCGATCACAAGACTTTTCACTCGAAGCAGGACCACAGCGAAAGCAGCGTAGCAGCGGCCAAACCGCAACTTGTATTCTGAGTTCTCCCAACTTGGCCGAGCTGAAAGAGTGGCTGTTTAGTATCGAGGACGCTATCATTCAATGCAAGCGCACCAGCTCTCACCATTTTCACACTCTTCAGTCAGACGGCTCTATCCTCGACACCATCCGTCTCCACGAGGAGAGCGAGGAAGTCCTTAACGACAACATCAGGTGTCGAAGACCCAAAGGATTTCAATCAGCGCCCATGGCTTCCTCTCGCTCTCTCCCTTCAGCAAGCCTATACCCTTCATCAGCAGCCATCCAGAGTGCGAGAGGCCCAGACTTTTCCCCATCAACATTCATCGACTACTACGCTGCAAGCTCTGGATCCACCACAACTCTTCCCAACAGTCAAGCCACAACTCCTTCCACCTCAGATCCGGCCGGGTTGTACGACTTCGAAGATGCCTACGCTAGCATCCTCGCCCGCTTCTCCGACTACGATATATCCTCTCCACTGGACAGACTACCGTCGGCACCACTAGACGGCTTCGTACAGCACGCAAGATCGGGAGGATTGCTAGATGTGCCTGTGTCGCCTTGCAACTCCGACTTTCAGGAATGCCCTTGGGAAGAACAACAGCAGGAACCGACAAGTCCTTTGGACCCTTGGCTGACGCAGCACGGGATGAGGGTGAGTTTCAGCGTAGCAAGTGCATGTATGGAAGAGTTTGCGGATAAAGAAGTGATGAAGATCTTTGCTGAGGGTTTTAGGAGGAGGTCTTCGGCTGGACTACCGGCCGATAGTCATCATCACTGATCTTGAGAGTCGATGATCCCGATCTTGTGATACATTGTAAAACTGTAGCATACTCACTGGATTTGTCTGCCTATCCACTTATTCTCCGGCGCCTTTGCTTTGCCTCGCTACTCTTCTTTGACGCTTCGGCGACTATGTTGTTGGGCTCGCAGCTACAGCATGAGAATTTTGGGACCATCTTTTTGTGCTAGCCTTTTTGGACGAACTAAATCCGAATTTGCATGTTGGAAGTGGCATTTCGCACAACACACACTTGGCACTCAAGCTCCGCTATTGGCATTACCTAGCAACCCGACGAGGCCCAGACACATCGAGTCATGGGTCTAAGCCGCTATTCCAACAACTCGACTGCAACCGAGACGCACCTCTGTCGAATAGACTCGCCCTGGTATCAACGAAGGAGCAAGAAGGAGATCGTCTTGTTAGACCTCTTGTTCTCGATCCAGTTTTTGAATGCAAAGGTGAGGCAGGGAGGCAACCCTTCACGTCGGCCTCACACACTGACACCGAGGCAAGGAGAGCAAAGAGATCAGATCAGATCTCGCTTCAAACGATCTCATGGCTGCTGGACCCTGCACATCTCTTTCCTCCCCTTCTCCTTGCAGGTTAGGGTCTGGTATCGTCTCGCTTCATTTTTCGCTTCCACCTAGGAATGGCTTGACATGGAAGCGCTTCTAGACCAGGAGTGTCTGGGAAGCCGAAGCACGTGGGAGAAGGGTCGCGACCTTCGCGTCGTTGCAGCACGCTCATCGCCGCTGCTGTTGTCCCGTCTGCAATCGGTCGATCAGGGCCAAAGGGAAGGTTGCAGCCTTCCGTCCCTTTCCGTATTCTGCTTTGGCGAGCCGAATCTGCATCCGAGCAAGCAACCGCAAGACTGCGAGAAAAACAGCTGATCGTACATCGTACATCGATCGCGCATCGCTCAGCCTCCATCGGGTGTCTTTTGTCTCCAGACACAGCAAAGAGCAAATGGCAACACGAGATAACCGTTTGCATGCACACTCAGCCACACACTGCAGTGCATCGCAGACCCGTACCGCACCTTCTCTTCTCTAATGCTTATGCTGCGACCGTTGCATTATCAAGCCACCTTGAGCGAGGCTATCGCAACATCCGAGTTGTTGCAAAGACGTCGAAGCGATGAACTGGGCGATCACGAATGAATGACGTTGTAGTTCGGCTGTTGGCGTAAGAGAGTCTGAAACTTTCGGCTTGAGGCCGAACAAGACAATGAGAACGACAAAAAACAAGATGGTCAGTGTCATGTGTCAGAAACCTAATCATCTTCGTCGTCGCAAGCAAGCCATGGCGTGGCATGTTAAGGCAACCAAGTGAAGATCCCAAACTGGCGGACTGCGAGTCTGGCAACTTAGCAGCGTTTACAATAGCGTTGGTGGTGAAAGAGTGTTGCTCTCCGACTTGGAACTTCGCTTAGCCGCTACTCCAGGTCTAAATAGTAGCTAGCTTGTGGAGCGAAACCCAAAATCTTCCCTTGCTCTCTTTTCTTGAAAGGGAAGGTGTTGGTCTCAGAGTCGTGTTGGTGTGCGGGGAGAGATGGCTGACTGCAAGCCACTTTGCTCCAGCGCTTGGCTGCATGCACATGCTGTATACCGTTGCCTTTTGGGGACGATCTCTTTGCTGCTTGACCTGTTACTGGCCACTTGTCTAGTTATCGTCCCGACGCTGTTAGCCTCCTGCTTTCTCCCTCTCCTTGCTCTACTGTTCTCTCGACTCCGACCAATGCTAACTACCGTTAGCAGCAACTCTATCTGCTCCCCCACATCGCCTTTCCACCTCCCAAACTTAGCAACTGCTGCATCTCCGCTTCAAAGTCCGCCTTGCCGCCACACAAGGTTTTTCTCTCGTTCGGAGGAATCTTACGCGCAGCATTCAACCCCCTCATCGCCCACCTCCACCTCTCTTGAGTGAAAGAAGGCTTCTATCCAACCCGAAAAGGCAAACTTCGCCATTGACAGTCGTCGCGGTCTGGAAAAAGACGGGCTTTATGCTTGGTTCGATCTCTAGATAGACGCCAGAAGACAATGGCGGATCTTTTCTCTTTCTTCCTGCCTTACTTGTCGTCCTCTTACCCTGGTCCCTTTCAGATGTCGTTGTTGCATAGGCTCGCCGAAAATCACGAATCCTTGCCGGCTATCTTGCCGCCCAATCTTGCATCCGCAACCTCCCGCCTCGAGTAATTGCATGACGCCGCTTACATTGGGTTTTGCCTGTCGCTTTGTGCCGTTTCTTGTGTTTCCCGTTGGTCCCAGAAAGGTGTCGTCTGGAGTCTGGGTCTGCTCAACCTGCCATAGACCTGTTCTCGGCTGACCCGTCCTGCAGCTCCCGCCAAGCGCCCTGCAGTGTCGAAATGCTTCAGAAGGCTAATCATAGCCTACGTATGCTGTGTGTGGTTCCTATGTTCGCTCAAATTGACGTCTCTGCAAATCCCCTTTCTGCTTCATATGGACCGGTGTCGGGATCCTCGACATATCTTCCCGTACATCAACGGAAACCATATAGCCAGACCTATCCTTGGCACCGTTCCCGACAAACCCCATCACCATTAGCCTCCCATCCCTACACCAGCATCATCTCCCCCATCGCAACACAGCTTACTACTCTCGCAATGGCCTACAACCTCTCCTCAAGGTTCTCAGACTCCACCATCGCCTCTGCCTCGTCGAGTCTCAGCAAGGTCTCTACAGCCAGCAGTGCCTCCTCTGTCGAGCAAGACCTTCTCTTCTCTTCCATCGACTCCATCCCGAAACCCCCACCTCGTACCTCATCTATCACTCTCGCCAGCACCAAAGCCTACACCACCACCACCACTTCCGCACCCGCTTCAATCCGTCGCGAACGAAGAAAACCTGCCCCACTCAAACTCACCACCTCCGGTAGCAGCGACTCGGACTCATACCACAGCTGTCAGGCACAGCCCCTCCGCCCATGCTTTTGCGGCTCATCAGTCCGTTCCTCAACCTCAGCTCGCAGTATCGAAATCTACTGCTCAACCGAATGTGCTCACCAGGACGCACTGTACGCACTTGAAGGTCGCTCACCCACTTCCTTCCCTCCTTCCACACCCTACTCCGAGGATGAGGATGACGAGGAGAATTTCCCAGTAACCCCCACGAATGCTTTTGTTCCAAGCCCACCTCGCACACCAGCTGCGAAGGTGAGGACGCTGGGGTGTCGTCATCCATCAATGACAAGAAAGTTGACCGGGTTGGGCGCAAGTCATTATCGAAGGATGGAAGCTATGGGGCTGTATGATGCTGATACTACCCCGACAAGACCATCGCCGAAGTCAAGCGGTGAACTTATGGAGCCGATCGATCTGATGGTTGCTCATTCTTCGCCAACGAGTAGGTCGAGGCAATTGGTGGCGGAGGACGGAAAGGAGGAGTTGGAGTTCAACCCGAGGAAGACTCTTTTCTTCCCCGTGCCGATTTTTACGGGGTCCCCTTTGCAGTCCTAGTCTTTCTCACAGCATTTGTATTTATACCTATAGTCACATCCAACCGCATCATCCGCATATCTCAGAGACTTCAAAGTGTGATAAGACGTCTGGCAAATTCGTTAAGATCGAGGTGTTGTTCGAACCTCAGGGTCTGGGAAGATGAGAAGAGGTAGTAGCGATATAGTTCCTCGAGCCATACTCACCGGTCGAACTCCTCCGCGGGTACTTCAACGAGGTCACCGCTGTTTTGGAACCATCATCATGCGTTCAGGGAGGGGGGAAGGTTGAAGAGGGGAGGAGGGGAGATGGAAGAAGGAACAGAGGAAGGCGAAGGGGATGAAACAGAAGATACGGCTAGTTGCGAGAGTTGAAGTGATGCAACAAAGGTTGTTCAGCAGGAACAGGGCTGGGAGATGGGGCTATTTGGTAGCGTCCATTTTTTTCTGACTACTGTGAGGGAATTTTTTCAACACTCGTGCTTGAAAGGCCTGCACTGTGTGTGTTCGTTGAGATGGATGAAAACCAGTGTCCGTCATGATTGGCTGTGCGTGAGAGCAAGTTGAATTCAATGGGGGGGGGAAGGTGGCGTCGACAACCGTCAACAAAGCCACATCTCTTTCCCGATTTAATTTCGACATTCCTCTTCCCTTCGATTGCCACAGTTGTTCATCACAGTCAGCATCGACTCATAAGAAACAAAATAGCGGTTCTTTCAACACTTATGCATGAGCATAATAGGCACGTCCAGCATGCCTTACAAGCCAAACCTTGCTTCACTCAGAAGAGTCGGAGGAGGATGGGGGAGGCAAGATGAGATCTCGAATCTTAGCCAGAGTCATCAGTACCTCTTCCTTTTCCTCAGCAGTGGCGGTAGAAGTGAGGGAGGTTTGAATGGTTGACTTCCAACCCAAGGTCCTAGCTAGCTGAAGAAGGAGATGCTCTTGGTGGTCGATCAGGTCTTCCCAATTCTCGTTTGCTTGCGGTTTCGAGGCCTCCGCTAGTCCAGCTTCATCGTCTTGATGGTTCGGAACGACAGTGTTGGCTTGTGGCATCTCTTCGTCTGGTTGCTCCAGATTGGATGGTTGATCAGCTTGCATCTCCTCCTCCTCCTCCTCATCGTCTCTCGAATTCAACGCCAGAACAGAGCTATCGTCCATGGAAAGAGGTCTGAGCTTCGAAAGCTTCGCCATGTGAGGTTCAAGTTCGTGCAGCTCCCTCGCAATGCCTACAGCTCGGGTCAGATGTAAGGGAGTTTTAGCCAGTACCCCTTTAATCTTGGCAATCGTGTTCCCGCGGACTTCAACTCGACGTTGGCTGGCGTAAGAAGAGCCCGTATGATAGCCTCCTCCCCATCGTTTTCCCCGACATCGCTTGCGATCGCAGGCAAATCAACCGTGTTTGTTCGTGCGCGTATCGTCAAAATTGGCAGAGTCGATCGGATCGGGCAAAGTGTTGGTTGCATGTGTGTGGAGGCTCAGTTTTGGTCGACAATATACCGCCACCATCACTGCCACCAGCTAATCTTGCACTTGACCAACAGACTCAGCACCGATTGCGCTCCCACCCTCCCTTTCAATAACTGCATCGCGCAATTTGATTCCATTGCTTCCTCCTACGCTCAATCCCGGTTCTTCTCCTGCCTCTCCCGCCGTGTCCACTCCGCCACATGACATGCCATCTTCGCCGAGCCTGCCAGGCTTGCCCGCATCACCACGAAAGAAGCTCCTTTAGGGGGTATCAATTTTCGAGTGTTTTTAGAAACACGTGTTTCTCGATTTTGACGACTTTTTCCCGATTTTGAACACCCCTTTTAGGAGCATCCAAAAAACATGTGTTTCCAAAAACACGTTTGCAGCAAAGGTGGCAATTAATTCGATTTAACACGTCTATTATCAAATCAGGACATGATGCACAGTGATGAAGGACATGACACACCAGTGTGATGAAGTGAAGCAAGCAGATGCCCATCCATGCATCTGCACTTCATTTTGGAGAGTGACAAAAAAGTGAGTCCATTTTACTGGGTCTGGAGGTGTGTTTTTAGAAACATGTGTTTTTTCAGTTTTGGGTGAGCTTAAGTTGAGGAATCTGATTTTCTGCATGGATAATGACTATAAGAGACAGAGAGCGAGAGAGCGAGGAGTCTGTATATATACAAAAGAAGAGCGGCGGAGAGCCGCATTGACTGCGGAACATAACAAAGCATTTGTCTTGAGTAGGTTGTGACACATGTGGTCCGTGCTAAGATGTTCAGGCCTTTCACTCGGCCGTAAGCACTACCCTCGCTGTCTCTATGCTTTGTGTAGCTTTATCTACTTCAACTCCCTCAACTGCCTCCCTCAGTGGCAAGGCAGGAGACTGCCGAGCCACTGCATCATGCTGGGCTTTTAGTCCCAGTCCCTGTCGCGCGTGCTGTAGTATAGTCTTTCCCACTGGTTTGGTAAAGAGGTCTGCCAAGTTATCTGCAGTGTTAATGTACTTGATCTTGACCTTTCCATCTTGCACGTTGTCTCTGATGAAGTGGTATTTGGTGTCAATGTGCTTTAACTTCCAGTGTTGTGCGGGGTCCTTGCTAACCTGGATGGTACCAGTGTTGTCTGAAAAGATTGTAGGGATACCAACATCAATTCCAATGGCCTTGAAGAGGTGTTTGAAGAACAGGACCTCTTGTGCGGCTTCTGTCACAGCTACAAATTCTGCTTCCACCGCTGATAAGGCGGTGCAGCACTGTAGTGCTGATTTCCATGCTACCAGGTTGCCATACACGAACACTGCTGAACCAGATGAGCTTTTGCATTGTGCTGTAGCGTCGCTTGCCCAGTTTGCATCGCTGTGCGCCGTCAGAAAGTCTTGTTGCTTGTTGCTGCCATATTGCAAGTGGATATCTCGTGTGTAGTCCAAATATTGGAGTACTTTCTGTGCAGCGTTGTAGTGCTCCCTTGACGGTTGTGTCATATAGTGTGCAAGGACGCTGACGGCTTGGCTGATGTCTGGACGTGTTCCATTAGACAACCACAGGAGTTTGCCAATGATCTGTGGGTACTCCTTTCGTTCTGCTATGCTTGCTGCCATTTCTGGGACTGGGATGTCTTGGAGTGGTACGCTAGACTTCCTTCTGCGCTTGTCCAAATGTTCATCCAGAAGCTGCTTAACATAACTAGTTTGCTTGAGGTCCATGGTTTTCGCTTCTCGATCCCTGGTGATTTTGATCCTGAGGAAGTGGGAGACATTGCCACCATCCTCCATCCGCCATCTTTGGCCTATTTCCTCCTTGATACGCCTTACTGTTTCTAGGGTTGGAGCTATAATTAGCATGTCGTCAACATAGATGACCACTATTGCAAAGTTATCTCCTTCTCCTCTAGTGTAGATGCATGGTGTGCAGTTGAGCCTGTGGAAGTTTGAGCGTCGCAGGAACTTATCAAACTCCATGTTCCATTCCCGTCCCAACTGTTTAAGGCCATACAGTCCCTTGATGACTCGGTAGGCTTTCCCTTTCGGCACTTTGGCACCTTCTGGTGGTTTCATGTAGATTACATGGTTGAGCGTGGAGTTGAGGTAAGCCATTGTGATGTCAAGCTGATGGACTTCCCAGTTGCGCTCCACTGCCAAGGATAACAGGGCTCTTATTGCACTGAGCGGTGCCACAGGCGCAAAGGTTTCTTCCAAGTCGATACCCTCCCGCTGTGTGAAGCCCCATGCGACGAGTCTCACTTTGTGCCAGACAGGTATGCCATCGGCATCCAATTTGAGCCGAAGGACTATTTTGGAGTCGACAAGTCTAGTGTTTGGTGGAACGTCCACAATCTCCCATGTTCCCATTGCCTCAAGTCCGTCCAGCTCCTTGCGTATGGCTTCCTGCCATTGTTGTGCATCATCGCTGGCGAGTGCTTCCTTTAAGGTCGGTGTGAGGTTCAGGGTGGCTGTGTGTGCTTCTCCAATTATCTCTTCAACATCGAGCTCCGACCTGTTGTCATCTATAGGGTCAGCGGGCAGTGCAGTGTGTATTTTGGGAAGTGGGCCCTCTGTGTCAAGTACTTCCACCTCCAATTCAGGCTTGTCGCTATCTGTCTCGGGTCTAGTATCTTCTGCTTCGAGGCTCTCGAAGCTGAACTGCAGTGGGCTCTGCACACTGGGGCGATCATGCCAACCTTTGGCTTCATGGAATGTGGCTGAGTTGCTCCACCGTATAGATGGGGTGTGGCCGGGGGTAAAGAATTTCCAGCCCTTGTGCTCGTCATCGTAGCCGACCATGATTCCTGGGATTGCTCTTATGCTGTGCTTTCCTGTATGATCCTTCTTGGGGAGGTGGACCCAAGCAAGGCAACCAAAGACACGCAGCTGCTTGGCCAAGCCATGCGCAGACTTGCGGTGGAAGTCCTCATATGGAATCCTATTTGCTTCGGTAGAGGGTGTCAAGTTCAGTGTGTGCCCTGCAGCCATGATGGCGTAGGGCCACAGCTCCTTTGGTACTGATCTCTGGACAAGCATTGCACGCATCTTTTCTTGAAGGGATCTGATCATGCGCTCTGCTCTCCCATTCTGGGCACTGACATAAGGTGTGGTTTTCTGCCACTTGAACCCTGCTTCTCGTTTCCATTCTTCTGCTCCAAAGCTGGACCACTCTGTTCCATTGTCGCTGTGGATGCACTTTAGCGTGTGGTCCATTGCTATCTCTGCTGCCTTGATCCATGCCTTTAGGGCGGGGAATGCTTCGGCCTTGCTGAGGAGTGGTTTCACATATACATAGGATGATGAGTCATCTACAACTACCAGTGCATGGTGGTAGTTGGGATGGCCTTTCAGGTCCGTCATCAAGTCAATGTGTACCAGCTCCAGGGGTGCCTGGGCTCGCTCTGTTTTGCTACTTGTCATTCTTGCGTGTGTTTGCTTTGCTTGGCTGCAACAGTTGCAATCCCTTGCGTCATGTCCAAGCTGTGTTTCTTTTCCTAAGTAGTGGGCCTGGATTTGCTTGGTTTTGTTCCTGCCAGGATGACCGAATCGTTTGTGCCATAGCTTGCTTGTCGTGTGGCTTGTGGGTTTTGCTGGTGTTGTGGTAGCATCAATGCCCTCTAGGGGATCATTGAGCTGTGCTGCTAGGGAGTCACCGTAAACCTCCCATCTCTTCTTGCGCCAGTTGGTCTTGCTCTTGACCATGCTCCCATCATGCTGGAGGATAGTAGCTCCAGACTCTTCAAATATCATGCATGCACCATTTTCAGTCAGCGCTGGGATGGACAATAGGTTCTTGCTAAGGTTGGGAACGTGAAGTATGTCAGTGAGTGGTATCTTAACGTCTCTTACTCGCAAAGTTGCGTCGCCTATTGCCTGTACTCACAACCGTTCATGTCCAGCAGTATCTACGGATCCTTGCTTCGGTGTCAGAGCAATGAGCTTACCCTCATCACGTACCATGTGATGTGTAGCTCCAGAGTCGAGAATCCACATACTGTCTTGTTTGCGGTTGCCAGTGTTGCTTATGAAAAAGGTGCACCCGAGTCCCTATCCCTGCTGAGTAGGAGTTCGCTCCTGACTGTTGGTGCAGTTGATGGCAATGTGCCTGGGTTGCCTACACCTATAGCACTTGGCCGGTTCATTAGGGTTTGCGGGGTCGCGCCTGCCCCTATTGTAGCCCTCTTGGTTAAGAACCTGCCTATGCTCGCCAGCTTGGCCTGTTGAACTTCTATTGCTCACGGCTCTGGCCATGGCTCGGATACGACCTGAGAGCTCGGCTTCTTGGTGCTTCTTAGCTAGTGCATGATAGGCATACTCATAGCTGCAACCAGGTTGAGCAGCTTTGAGGGAGTCTACTGTCTGGGTGTAGAGCCAGTCGTCTTTGACGCAGCGGTACAGGGTAGACTTCTTGAGCTTTTCGTCCATGCGGCTACTGAGCCTGGCTGCGTCATTCCAGATTTGATCGAGCTCCTTACCAAGGTTGGCAATGTTGCACTGGGCTAGCTTGACTTCGTGTACCCGGTCGTGAATGGTGGAGAGCTTAACTTCATCGTTTATTGTGAGAGCAGCTTTGAGCTTCTTGTAGAGTGTAGAGCCGAGCTGCTCCTCCTCACCTTGCTCCCGCACGGTGTAGGTGTTGATACGGCTGGTGGGTCCGTGGTCACAGGAGGACAAGATGAGACCCAGCAAGTGGCTGTCTAGTTCCTCATCATAGTCGGTATAACCACTGGGAATCTCCTCAGTGAGGATCTGCTTGGCGTTCTTGATTGGGCAGATGCAGTCCATGAACATTGGCTCCCAGATGGCCCAGTTGTTCTCGTTGAGCTTGATGATTTGTGAGATGATGCTGAGCACCGACTTGGGGATCTTCTCTGCTTGGTTGGTGTTGGGTTGGAGGTTTATTAGCGAGAAGGCATGCTCCAAGACTTGGTCTTCGTCCCAGTTGGTGTGAGTTTCCCTGATCATCTGCATGGTGTGTTCGAGTAGTGCTACGCTATCTACTCTTGGTGGCATCCTGGTGGCGAGGTGCTAGAAGCTGCTGAGCTTCAGACTCTTAATCAGTTGAGGAATCTGATTTTCTGCATGGATAATGACTATAAGAGACAGAGAGCGAGAGAGCGAGGAGTCTGTATATATACAAAAGAAGAGCGGCGGAGAGCCGCATTGACTGCGGAACATAACAAAGCATTTGTCTTGAGTAGGTTGTGACACATGTGGTCCGTGCTAAGATGTTCAGGCCTTTCACTCGGCCGTAAGCACTACCCTCGCTGTCTCTATGCTTTGTGTAGCTTTATCTACTTCAACTCCCTCAACTGCTTATGTGAGGTTTTTGTGCAAAATAAAAACTTGTCAAAATCGAGAAACACGTGTTTCTAAAAACACTCGAAAATTAATACCCCCTTTTATGATACACTCAAGAAGCCTTTAATAGAAGTGAAGAAGTCTTGGTCCTGATAACTGGCAATCAGAAAGAGTCCGAGTATGATGTCACTACTACTTTAGGGAAGAAACATATATACTCAATTGACTGAGGTGAACATGGTGAGGACCTAGTGTCCTCAGTTTGATATATATACATCTATGAGGTGCATGCCAAATGTGGGAGTATCCTCCTTTGTGATCTAGCTTGACAATGAGCAGGGCTATGTTGCACCCAATCTCCAGACAGATCTGTTCCATCAGATCCCCAATTGCATTTATGTCAGCATGCATCATCATATCGGATCGCTTTCTTTGGCAGCCTTCGATGATCAGGATCCCCACATCAGAATTTGGGCTCAGATGCTCGATGTCAGCAGTTGCGCACCTGAAACCCAAAATCTTTGGTAAAAGGCAACTACTACTAATCTTGGTGAGATTTGCTGTAAAGGCCTTCTATTATTATTCTTGCTGGAATCTGTTGTAGAAGCCTTCTATGACTGTTCTTGCTCAAATGGATTGTAACCCAAGGTTATTGCAGATTTTGACTGACCACTGTGGACACTCCATCCAGAGGTAGCTCAGCACAATCAATATCCAAATGGTACCTGGAGATGACACCAAGGTCTGGTGTGAATGTGCTTGTGCCAACACAAGTGTCCAGTGTGTTGACTGAATGACTATTGATCCCAATACTGCAGTGGATGACTGCCTTCAGTTCTATGATTGAGAGAGCCAGACCACAGTGTGAACTGCCTTCAGTGTTGACCATTATCCAGACTGCAGAATGAACTGCCTTTGGATGGTGTCAAGTGGTGATACAACACATGCACTATAATAGTAGCAATGCTCTACAATTGCTACTGGTGACGAAACTACTAATTATACTTATCGTGAAGCTATAGTTAGTAATGTAATGTGTAGAGTGGATGAGGATCCATGTCACCGGAATGGTTCCATTCTCCGAGTCCGGAGCATTTGGGAGTGAAAATGCTTATACTTCAGTGTTGTGTGAATTGGGTACACCAGCTAAGGGACTAGCTAGTGTAGTGGTTTTACTGCTCACTATGTTCGGTTTGGTTACCCAATGCCCGATCCTGTGACAATCCACTCAATTGCTATGAGAAACCTGATATCTGTAGTAGAAATGCATCTATTACAGATCCTATCGAGATCTGTTGTAAACAGTGACCTATTATTATTCTTGTCAAGATATGTCATAGAAAGGCCTCTATGACTTTCTTTGCTTGAATATGTGATAGATTGATTGCTATTGCAGGTTTTGACTAACCACTGTGGACACTCCATCCAGAGGTAGCTCAGCACAATCAATAATGTTGAATGTAATATGATGACACCAAGGTCTGGTGTGAGTGATGTTGTTGGCACTGACATGAGTGTCCAGTGTGTTGACTGAGTGCTTGAGGTGATCCCTGGACCACAGTGGATGACTGCCTTCAGTTCTAATGATTGAGAGAGCTGGACCACAGTATGAACTGCCTTTGGAATGTCAATCAATGTCAATGAGTGGTGATACAACACACATGCTATGATAGGAGCAATGTCTTATGATTGCTGCTGTTGAAGAACTACTAAGTATACTTATGTGAACATTATAACTAGTATGATATGGTGTAGAGTGGATGGGGGTCCACCTACTTGCTATGATGAGGAGCATGGTTATATATCCACTCCCACAACGTCACCTACAATGCTACTCCCACTCAAGGAGGTCTCTTTGACACTGCTCCTCCTCCTCCTCACCCTCCCTCTCCTTTCCATCCACCTTGTGATGCTGTCCCTTGCCATCGCTTTTCTTGCCTTATGTGGATGGCTGCTCCACATGCTGCTTCATCCATGACAGGGGCCATTCCCACTTCATCTGGGTGGCAACTTGCCCCCCCTTCCTCATCTCGCCCACCCCCTTGCTCTGACTCCATTGTCAGGTTGGCCCCCAGCTTCATCAGGGTGGCAACCCCAGTGCCTCCCAATGTCTTGTCCTGCTGTGAGGCTTATGACAAATGGCTTGACCTCTCCAACTCCAGTGAGATCTATCCTATGATCAAGATACTACCAATTCTGGCAGTATTTGTAGTAACCTCCTGCTTGTGCTGATTTGGGCAAGATCTGTCATAGAACCACTTCTACTACAGATCTTGATGAACTCTGCCATAACCCTTGTTTTGCCAGATCCTGTGATTCCTGTGCTCCTCTTCAAATGACATCCGTTCTTTCTGCTTCTGCGCATCCAGCCCTATGACACCTTGCTTCCTGCAGATGGACGATCCTTGTGCTGCTTCATCATCGACAGGGGCCATTCCCACTTCATCTGAGTGGCGACTTGCACCCCTCATTCATCTCGCCCATCCTCATGCTCCAAGTTCATTGTCGAGTCGTCCCCCCTGCTTCATCAGGGCAGCGGATGTCAGAGGTCTCGCGCCTGAAACCTGATATCTGTAGTAGAACTGCTTCTATTACAGATCCTGTCGAAATATGTGGTAAAGTCCCATGTATTATTATTCTTGTTGAGATCTGTCATAGAAGGCCTCTATGACTTTTCTTGCTCAAATATGTGATAGATTGATTGCTATTGCAGGTTTCATCTAACTGCTGTGGACACTCCATCCAGAGGTAGCTTGGCACAATCAATAACTATCGATACTGGGTAATGACACCAAGGTCTGGTGCTGATGATGATGCTGACACCAACACAAGTGTCCAGTGTGTTGACTGAGTAACTGAGTGATCCCCAGACTGCAGTGGATGACTGCCTTTGGTTCTAATGATCGAGAGAGCTGGACTGCAGTATGAACCACCTTTGGATGATGTCAATGAGCAGTGATACAACACACACACTAAGTGGATGCAATGCTCTGCAATTGCATCTGTCAGTGGAATACTAATGTATACTTATGTGCAAGCTATAACTAGTAATGTATGGTGTAGAGTGGATGGGGGTCCACTCAACAGCCATGACAAAGAGTGAGGTTATATAACCATTCTCGCAATGTTGCCATGCAACATTGCACCCCACTCTGGAATGTCTCTTCAGCACTGCTCCTCCTCCTCCTCATCCTTTCTATCCCTTCTATCCATCCTGCAGTGCTGCTCATCAGCACTGTGTCTCATGCTTCCTGTGGATGGACAGTCTTCACATTGTCTCATCATCAACAGGGGTCATTCCCACCTCATCTGAGCAACAGTTCACACCCCCTTTCATTTCTCCCATCTACCAGCCCTGGATTCATTTACCAAGCAGGTCCCCTGCTTCATTGGTGGTGGACCCAGATGTCATTGCCACCCATCCATGATATTGACATCCTTTCACCAGTTTCAGTGAGATCTGTTGTATGATCACAATACTACTGATTCCAGCAGGTTTCACTGTAAGCTCCCACTCTTACCAATTTGAGCAAGATCTGTTGTAGGACCTCTCTACTACCAATCTCAATGGATTTGGCTTTTGGACCCTCATTCAGCCTGATCCAACAATTCTTGTGCCACTCCTCATATGCTTCCAGATCCTCCTGCGCATCCAGTCCTATGACAGCGGACCCGATGTCCTCAACATCTGTCCTGATGTGGGATCTGTGTAATCAGCACCCCTTGCACCAGCTTCTGCAAGATCCATCATACAATTATGATACTACAGATTCCAGTGGGATTTGTTGTACAGTCCTGCTCATGCTGATTTGGGCAAGATCTGTTGTAGAGCCTCTCTACTACAGATCTCGATGAGCTCTGCTGTAACCCTCGTTTTTGCCCAATCCTGCATTTCCTGTGCTCCTCCTCATATGACATCTATTCTTCCTGCTTCTGCGCATCTGGCCCTATGACACTCTGCCTTAAAACCTCGCTCTGCTCTATCGTGCGATTCCTGCACTTCTCTTCATATGACTTCGGTTCTTCCTGCTTCCTGTGCACCCGGTCCCATGACATAACCAAGCAGTGCGCTGTCATGGGCCTGGATGCTCAAGAAGCAGGAGGGTCATGGGTTCATATGGAAGGAGCACAGGTATCGAAGACCTAGTCGATACCAGTAGAGAGCATGGTCGTAGTGCAGTCTCCATGGAGACCATGGACTCCTATGGACTCACATGCAAAGGAGAACCGAGCCACATGCGAGGAGGACCAGGCACAGCCACAAGGAGGACCAAGCTCAAGGAGCAGGCACAGCCACGAAGAGGACCAAGCTCAGATGGTTACCACTCAGGGGCTCGAGAGACAAGAGTCCTAGGACACTGGCAAGCAGGTCCTGAGGAAGAGGAGCAGTGTCGAGGGAGTCGACACCAGGTCATGAGGAGGAGGAGCAGTGTCGAAGGAGTCGACACCACTCAAGAGGCACAGGGGTGCCAAGCAGGAGAGGCCCCTGAGCAGTACTCGATGAAGAGGGTACTCTCTGGAGAGAGAGCAGGAGCAGCATCGCTGGCGATGTTGTGAAGAGGTATATAACCATGCTTTCTCATCATCATAGGTCGAGTGGATCCTCATCCACTCTACTCACCATACAACTAGTCAATACTTTAGAAACACAAGTACTCATTAGTTACAGTCAGCATAGCAGCAATCTATCAAGGTTGCTCCTCATCGTAGTGTGTGTGTTGTATCACCACTACCTGACATCCATAGGCGCCCATAGCAGGTTAGCAGTCCAGATATAGATAGAACTGAAGGCAGTAGTCCACTGCGGTCCGGGGATCACTTCAAGCATCAAGTCAACACACTGGACACTCGTGTTGACGCCACCAACCTTATCACCAACACCATCAACCTCATTAACATCGACATCACCAATCTCATCACCCACACCATCAACCTCATCATCATCAACACTCACACCAGACCTTGGTGTCATCATAACATTGATATTGATCGTGCCGAGCTACCCCTGAACGGAGTGTCCACAGAGGTCAGCCGAAACCTACGATAGTATATACAACGAACACCACCTGTTGTCACTGCACAACTTGATAGTCACCGATACCGAGACAATAGCTGTCACACAGTTTGATAGTCACCGAGTATCTCGACAGACCGACCTGGGTTTCAGGCGCGAGACCCCTGACATGCGCCATGGCGAAGAGCACCCCTCAGCTGGTTGGCGAAGTCTTGATCAGGGTAGAGGTCGAGGAAGGGAGCCCAGTGCTCGAGCTTGAGAAAGCCAACAGTGGTGGGAGTGTCTGAATGGTTGAAAATGGGAAGCTTGCAGGTGGTGTTGGGGTGAACTGGTGGTGCTGGGCCTGTGAGCAGCAAAACAAGTAAGGTCAAAGCAGAGTCAGACAACATGTCTGCAATGCCCTGAGGTGCAAAGAAATCCAAAGAAGGAACAGGAATGGCTCTGCTTGCTGAAGAAGCACAGGGAGTGCTGGTAAGTGTGGCAGATAGCTTCCAATCCACCAGGCCAGAGCCTAGAGATGTGACAGGAAACAGTTGAAGAGTCACCGGGATAACCAATATGCGAGAAAAGCGAGCAACCGACAGACCGATCCTCTGCATGCATACTAAATTGAGTGGCAACCAATCAGGAGAAGCATATGAAAGGAAAATGCCGAGATACTACAAAATGGGCATGACTCAAAAGAGAACAACAAGCCATCTCATAAACAGGACAAAGGTATATATACACACAACCCTGTAGCAATAGTGCACAATGAATCTTAAGCATTACATCTATGACACACTAGTACGAAAGAGCTAGAACGTGGCTTGGACGAAGGAGGTGCACGGTATAGCTTCAACTGAAACTCTCTACCTGTCAGGCTGGAGCCAAGAGAAGAGGAGGCAGGCCACAACACGTCTGCCAGGCCGGAGCCAGAAAGGGAGGAGGCAGGCAACAACGTGTCTGCCAAGCCGGAACCGTTCGGAGAGGAGGCAGATAGCATCGTATCTGCCAGGCCAGAGCCAGAAGAAGAGGAGGCGGGTAGCATCATGACTGCTGTCACAGGATCGGGAATCGGGTAACCAAACCGAACATTGTGAGCAGCAAAACCACTACACCAGCTAGTCCCTTAGCTGGTGTACCCGATTCACACAACACTGAAGTATAAGCATTGCACTCCCCAATGCTCCGGACTCAGAGAACGGACATCTATTCATTCCGGTGACAACTGCCAGGCCTGAGCCAGTGGTGGTGGTAGACATCGCTCTGTCCACCGGGAGGGCACAATTATGGGCAGTGCAAGCCATGTGTTGACAAGGGACGTCATCTGAGTGAGGGTGCTGTCAGGGGTCTCGTGCCTGAAACCCAGGTCGGTCTGTCGAGATACTCAGTGACTATCAAACTGTGCAACAGCTATTGTCTCGGTATCAGTGACTATCAAGTTGCGCAGCGACAGCAGGTGGCATTTGTTGTATATACTATCGTAGGTTTCGGCTGACCCCTGTGGACACTCCATTCAGGGGTAGCTCAGCACAATCAATATCAATGCTTCAGTTATGATGACACCAAGGTCTGGTGTGAGTGTTGATGATGGTGAGGTTGATGACATTGGTGATAAGATTGGTGAGTGTTGATGATAATGAGGTTGATGGTGTTGGTGATAAGGTTGGTGGCATCAACACGAGTGTCCAGTGTGTTGACTTTGATGCTTGAAGTGATCCCTGGACCACAGTGGACTACTGCCTTTGGTTCTATCTATATCTGGACCGCTAACCTGCTATGGGGTGCCTACAGACATCAGGTAGTGGTGATACAACACACACACTACAATGAGGAGCAACCTTGATAGATTGCTGCTATGCTGACTGTAACTAATGAGTACTTGTGTTTCTAAAGTATTGACTAGTTGTATGGTGAGTAGAGTGGATGAGGATCCACTCGACCTATGATGATGAGAAAGCATGGTTATATACCTCTTCACAGCATCGCCAGTGATGCTGCTCCTGCTCTCTCTCCAGAGAGTACCTTCTTCATCGAGTACTGCTCAGGGGCCTCTCCTGCTTGGCACCCCTGTGCCTCTTGAGTGGTGTCGACTCCTTCGACACTGCTCCTCCTCCTCATGACCTGCCTGCTAGTGTCCTATACACTGCTCCTTCTCCTTTGACTGGTGACAGTTCCTTTGACTCTTGTCTCTCAAGCCCCTGAGTGGTAACCATCTGAGCTTGGTCCTCTTTGTGGCTGTGCCTGCTCCTTGAGCTTGGTCCTCCTTGTGGCTGTGCCTGGCCCTCCTCACATGTGGCTTGTGTCCTCCTTTGCATGTGAGTCCATAGGAGTCCATGGTCTCCATGGAGACTGCACTATGACCATGCTCTCTACTGGTATCGACTAGATCTTCGATACCTGTGCTCCTTCAATATGAACCTGTGACCCTCCTGCTTCTTGAGCATTCAGGCCCATGACAGGTGCAAGCTCACCATTCAGCACCCTTTTGGGTGGTGTTGGTGTGGGTTGACTTGAACCTGTTGCCTGTGTGGCACAATTGGACAGGATGCTTTTTGTAGCAACCCAGCCTGGCTCACATGGCCGTAAATGAGGTCAGTCGGTTGATGCAGCAGACAATATGGAGGTCCTGTTAGATTGCGGGTCAGAGAGGTGGCTCGCTGGCTCAAAGGCTCCCAGCCCACCAGCTGAGTGTCAAGTTGCCTGCACAGCAGAGAGCAGTCTTGACAGGGATGGGGCCATGATGATCAGCTTAGGAGGAACCCATGTTGTGCCACAAGGCAGTGTGGGGGATGAGTGGGCCATCCTGAAGATGGTAGAGAGCTGTGATGGAGAGGTCCCAATGCTCCACTGCCAAGCAGTCAGTGTAGCACTGGAAACAGTCAGAGTTCCAGTGGCCAAGACACTGGATGGTGTCAGCATTGGCTCCAAGGCTGGCAGCCCAGGTGGCAGCACCACAGTGGAAGGAGTGGCCAGCATAGGCCAAGGGGGAGAGGCCAGAAGCTGCAATTGCCTGCTGCAGTGTTGAGACAAAGGCAGAGTGAGAGAGGGGTGTGGTTTGGGAGGGGCTGAGGCCAAAGAGAGGGGAGGAGGCTGGTCAGGAGAGCAAGGGTTGGAGGTGAGAGAAGGGGCATTCAGGCCCACCCACAAGGGGGGCAACCACCTTGACACCAAGCCTGAAGGGGTCAGTCTTTGAGGCTGGGAGGGTAATGACTGCATGGTCAGGTTCCAAGGCCATGCTGGCCACCCAGAGGATGATGGCTGGGTCAGAGGAACATTCCCACACAACCTTGCCAGAGCAGAGGAAGCAGGCAAAGGTGAGGGTGAAAGCTGCCTTGTAGACCTGTTGATCATGTGGGGCCAGGTCAGCCAAGGTGTCAATGGCAACAATGATGCAGCATAGGAGGGGCAAGGTGATCAGCAGCTTAGGACTGGTGGTTTACACACCATGGAGGCACTTGTAGCCATGCAAGGCCTGCTCAAGATGGCTGCAGCTGAAACCATCAAGGGCAAGGCCAAGGTCAACATGGTGAGAGCAGAGATGGCTGAGTTTGTGCTTGGCAGAGTGGAAGGAGTGACATTTGGCTGACATGCTGCCAAGCCACTTGAGGAGCTGGAGGCCGGAGGCTGGAAGGCAGGGTATAGTGGGACCAAAAGGGAAGGCACAGAAGGTGCAAAAGGTGGTGACGGAGCCACCAGCACAGCCGCGAGTGCTGGCTGCAAGACCATGCCAGAACAGAGAGGCAGCAGTGGTAGAGAGCCCCATGCTGGAGGCAAAGGAGGTTGGGGGCCAAGTGTGCAGTCGATGGGTGCCAGCCAGGAGAACAACTGGCTATGAGCAAGAGGGAATTGTTCATGCAGGCGAGAGAACTGGCATCAGGAGAGGAGGTCAGCAAGGGTGTTGTCAATGGAAGACATGTGGACTGGGTGCAAGGTGAGGTCATGGGTGAAACAGAACCCATAGATCTTGCAGAGGAGGCATTGAGTGAGGGGGTCTCGAGATTGGCCAGAGAAAAGCCCATGCTTGACATTCTTGTTGTTGACATGAACTGCCACTGTCATGGGTTGAGGCCAGTGAGTGGAGAACCAGCAGAGAGCTTCGATGACTGTGAGAGCCTTGAGAAAGCATATATTTTTGCCACAGTGGCAACAAGGCACATCATGAGAGAAGACAGCCAGGGGTGCCACAGCAGTGATGAGGTGGGCACCATAGCCGCAGGGGCAGGCATCAGTCCAGATGTGTGCAACAAGGAGCAGGGAGGGTGACAAGACTGTAGTGCCAGTCCAAGAGTGGAGGACAGTGGTCCACCAACCAAGCTCAGCAAGAGTGGGGTGAGGAATCTGTTGATGAGAGAATAGCCTGTGAGAGTGACAAGTGCAATCATACAGGTGACAGAGGAAAGCTTTGCCACAGGGGAAAACCTGGGAGACAAAGTGGAGAAGGCCAGAGATACATTGCATGTCGAGGATGCCAGCAGTGCCCCACTCAAGGAGCTTCTGGCACTGGGAAAGGATGTGTTTGCATCAGTCCTCAGTGATGCCAACAGTTTGGGCAACAGAGTTGATCTCAATGCTGAGGACCTCCAGGTGGGTGAGGCCAGCAAAGGTCTTCTTGGCAGACAAGTGTAGCCCTAGAGCAGCTGCTGCCAGGGCAAGGACATGGACAGGGAGGAGGGAGAGGTCATGCACTTCAGCTGGGACAGCACCAAAAGTGTCATCAAGGTAATGGTTGAGGGGCCAGGCTGCAGGTAGACATGAAGTGACAACCCAGTGGAGAGCCTCCACAACCAGGTTGAAGAGGAAAGGTGAACTGCTGCCACCAAAGGTGAGGGCATTCTCCTGGTATCGAACATTGCCATAGTGGAAGCCAAGGAGGGAAGCATCAACCTTGGCTGTAACCACATGACAGAAGGTGTCCTCTAGGTCTCTCTTCCAGAGCAGACAGCCAGGGTTGCTGTGGACATAGTCAATTAGGGACTGGGTGGACTCATATCAGTTGGCAACAAAGGCAGGGTCAATGCCATCATTGATGGAAGGCAGGGTGTTGAGTGCTGGCTGGCAGGGAAAGGAGAAATGGTGAATGGTCCAGAGCTTGGAGGAGCGAGGTTTGGGCACAACACCAATTGGAGATTTGACCAAAGGTTGGTTGGGTTGGATGATGGACAAGTGGCCCTCCTTGAGCCTGGCAGCAATCTTGCAGTGTAGATGGGCATGGCCAGCCTTGTCAATGGGAAGGTTAGGAGTGTGGTGGGAGGTGTTGCATAGTGGTCCATCATAGCCAAGTAGGCACCCAAATTGGATCATGCCTGTGACCTGGTGGACAAATTGGAGGTCAGGGTAGCCATTGAGCAAGTTGTGCCAAGCATGCAATTGTGTTTGCATGGATCCAAAGTGAGTGGGTGAAGAGGTAGGGTTGAAAACATCATGGTGGAGGTTGGTGTTAGGCCTGGCCAGGGGGATGTGGAGACAGGTGGCTAGGAGGAAAGCAAGGCATTGGTCAGGGGAAGGAACCTGCAGAGCCGACAGGGCTGGGTCGAGGGATGAGAGCTGAGCCATAGTCTGCTGCAGAGACGGGGACTGAGCCGGGGTGTCAGCGGTCGCGTGCCTGAAACCTGAGTTCGGTAGTAGTGTCAATACTATTACCGATTCTGTTGAGTTATGCGACAACACTAGTGGTATTTCGATTCTTGGTGAAACATGCAATAGAGCCATCTCTATCACTTTTCCCACTCGAATCTGTAGTTGTAGTATTGCTATTACAGGTTTCAACTAACCACTGTGGACACTCCATTCAGAGGTAGCTTGGTGTCATGGGCCTGGATGCTCAAGAAGCAGGAGGGTCAAGGGTTCATATGGAAGGAGCACAGGTATCGAAGATCTAGTCGATACCAGTAGAGAGCATGGTCGTAGTGCAGTCTCCATGGAGACCATGGACTCCTATGGACTCACATGCAAAGGAGGACATGAGCCACATGCAAGGAGGGCCAGGCACAGCCATGAGGAGGACCAAGCTCAAGGAGCAGGCACAGCCACAAAGAGGACCAAGCTCAGATGGTTACCACTCAGGGGCTCGAGAGACAAGAGTCAAAGGAACTGCCACTGGTCAAAGGAGAAGGAGCAGTGTATAGGACACTAGCAGGCAGGTCCTGAGGAAGAGGAGCAGTGTCGAAGGAGTCAACACCAGGTCATGAGGAGGAGGAGCAGTGTCGAAGGAGTCGACACCAGGTCATGAGGAGGAGGAGCAGTGTCGAAGGAGTCGACACAGCTCAAGAGGCACAGGGGTGCCAAGCAGGAGAGGCCCCTGAGCAGTACTCGATGAAGAAGGTACTCTCTGGAGAGAGAGCAGGAGCAGCATCGCTGGCGATGCTGTGAGGAGGTATATAACCATGCTTTCTCGTCATCATAGGTCGAGTGGATCCTCATCCACTCTACTCACCATACAACTAGTCAATACTTTAGAAACATAAGTACTCATTAGTTACAGTCAGCATAGCAGCAATCTATCAAGGTTGCTCCTCATCGTAGTGTGTGTGTTGTATCACCACTACCTGATGTCTGAAGGCACCCTGTAGCAGGTTAGTGGTCCAGATATAGATAGAACCGAAGGCAGTAGTCCACTGTGGTCCGGGGATCACCTCAAGCATCAGTCAACACACTGGACACTCGTGTTGATGCCACCAACCTTATCACCAATGCCACCAACCTTATCACCAACACCATCAACCTCATCATCATCAACACTCACACCAGACCTTGGTGTCATCATAACCTACGCATTGATATTGATCGTGCTGAGCTACCCCTGAACGGAGTGTCCACAGAGGTCAGCCGAAACCTACGATAGTATATACACGAATGCCACCCATCACGCAACTTGATAGTTGCTGAGCAATAAGCTCATCGAGACCAATACTGAGACAATAGCTGTCGCACAGTGTGATAGTCACCGAGTATCTCGACAGACCGACCTGGGTTTCAGGCGCGAGACCCCTGACACAGTGTATACAGTCGAAGAGCATGGTCATGTGAATGGGGCAAGGCAGCAGAGAAAGAACCGCTGCTCCCCTTGACCTCATACACATAGATTTGGTTATTGATGCATTGCATGCAACAGAACACACCTGCATAAAGGTGCTTGTTGACAATCATAGCAAGTATGTTTATGTGCAACCATTGCTGCAAAAGAGCCAAGTGTCAGCAGTCATGTGCCTAACACCTGACTCCCTGTGGAATGGGCCATCTCAGCGGAACTCAGCGAGTTCCAATAGGGAGGGTAGACTGAGTGTACTTCTCAGAGAACCGGTGAGGAGGCTCTCCTTAACAGTTAACCATGATACCCAATGAGTGAGGCCCAGGGAACAGATGTCAACTAACTGCTGTTGGCACTCCATACAGAGGTAATGCAGCAAGTTCAGCTCCTAGTGATGGTGTAGTACAATGCTGGCGCAAGTGTCAAGATGTCGACATAGTACTGTGAGTGACAGAGCTAGTGCTCGGTCAATGTTGCTGGCAGCAGTTAGGTTATAGGGACTGGTAGAGGTTCCAGGCCCATGGTGGAGGTTCCACCTGTAGTTGAGGTGCTACAGCATCGATGTAGGTGTTGATGACATTGTATACAGTACTCTTCATTTGATGATGAAGACTCAGACTTGTACTGATCACAATAGATTATATTGTGATGTGTGATGTATAAAGAATGTTACTGTTCATGTAGTATAACATACAGTTATGATATCTGTGAAGGTATAGTAGAGTGGATGAGTCTCTGCTCATCCAGTAGCATGGGGAGATAGTATATATACAACGCCATATCAAGAACACAATCTGGCGCCACCACATGACCTGCATGTGGCACTGCTCAGGCCTTGCTTGGTAAAGCTGACTTCAGCACCTTCCCGAGCCACCAAGCCAACTACACTTCCAGAGTGATTGTTCCCTAGCAATACATCACATGTCTGATTGTCATCGATCAATGATGACAACTTCCCACATGTACCACAGAGTGGCATTGCTCAACAACCCTCCCATCTGTTCCTGCCACTGGTAGTCCCCAATATCCAGCAAGTTATGGTCTTCTACTGGATCTCCTTGGGAACTGCCGAGTCAGGTTCTTACACAGCCCTTCAACCGATTTAACCTCTCTGTCTGCGCAGATGGCGCAGACTCCATTTCGGCTGACCGGCTCCCGTGACACCAAGCTTTCATGGCACTTCAAAGAATAGTATCATTCCTTGAGACACAGACAGGAAGGAACCTAAAAGCAATCTGATCCAACCAAGGAACAGAGTGGCATAGCAATGAAGCACTCAAGTGGTCACAGGACAAAGGAATAGAATGGCAAACAACAGTGGGATACAACAGCAAACAAAACAGGAGAGTGGAATGGATGAACAGAAGCTAGAAGCTTGAGTGAAAAGATGCAAATGCTACTGATACAGCGAGGTTTACCAAAAAGCTTCTGGCCATATGCAATCCAAACAGTGGCATTCAAGATAAACCTTACCCCAAATGCTGACAATGAACTTCCATATGAAGTGATGTTCAAGAGATCACCTGAAAGGCTCATACAACTCCTCCACATCTTTGGATGCTTGGCCTGGGTGAACATCCCAAAGGTCAAATGAGACAACAAGAAACTGGATCAACGAGTGGTGGCAGCCATATTTATAGGGTACAGTCTAGAACGAAAGGGATAGTTGTTCTATAGTCCAGACTATAGACTAAGTGTCTTTGGGAGCAACTAGGCGAAGCTCATAGAATCCAAGCATTGGATCAACTGCACCAAATGGAAGCTGATGGACATCCAACCACCTCAAACAATGATGAGCGAAGAAGACACCAAAGACTTGAGTTACTTGGAAATGAATCTATTTGATGAGAGGGACCAGGGGGCACTAAATGAATACACAGACATGGGGCCAACCATGGACAAGGAAGAAGACCAGAGTCCTGGACCATTGATGGACAATAGCTCCTTCAGACTCACAGCCACAAATACCAAAGAAGAAAGGAATCTTGACCCAACAGTCCAAGAGGTGTTAGCAGGGCCAGATAAAAGGTTTTGGGAGGAAGCAATGTGAAAGGAGTTAGAAGGACTAGAAGCAATGGGCACATGGGAGGTCACAAACCTCCCATCTGGCATGAACACCATTGACACCAGGTGGGTACTCAAGATAAGGATGGACACAAACCTGGTACCTATGAAGTTTAAAGCAAGACTGGTGGCAAGAGGATTCACTCAGAGAGAAGGTATCGACTACACAGAAATCTTTGCACCAGTGACACCAATCCAGGAAATTCAAGGAGTATTGGTGGTGGCAGCTGTGCAAGACTGGGAGGTAGACTCAGTCAATGTCAAGCAAGCATACCTCAACTCCAACCTTCAACATGATGTTTAACTAAAACCACTGGTCAGGACTGAGGTACCCTCAGGAAAGGTACTAAAGTTGATCAAAGGATTGTATGGCCTGAAACAGTCAGGCAGGGAATGGAACATTGAGCTGGATTCTTACCTTCAGAAGGTCAGCTTCCACTGTATGCCAAGAATGCCTTGTCTGTATACAAGAGGTTCAGGGAAGCAGATTATGGTCATCATGGTGTATGTAGAGGACATGTTGATTGCATCACCAAGCAGAAGAGAGGTGGACTGCACCAAAGCAGAAATAATGGACAAATGGGGGACCAAGGACAATGGATCACTCAAGGAGTTCCTCAGCATTAAAATCACCCAAGACTGCAATTGGAAGCAAATATCACTGGACTTGATGGTGTACATCCAGGCAATGGCAAATAAATGGTTGGGAAGGATGACTCAAAAGTCCTTGATACCAATGTTAAGCATAATGGCAATTGCAGAAAATGATGCATGTGATTCAAAGTGAGCAAAGGAGTACCAGGAGCTGGTGGGACAGCTACTCTGGGTCTCCAACATGGTAAGACCTGACATTTCATTTGCCATAGGAATCCTGGCCCACCACATGTTGAACCCCACAACCAGAGCATGGAGCACAGCAACACACCTGTTGAAATATCTCAACCAAATGAGTGAATACCAACTACAATTGGGAGGAGAAATGACCAAACACACAAGCCAGCTGGTGGTTATGTATACCAACATGAACTGGGTGTCAGACCCAACAAATGGGCATAGAAGCACATCTGGTGCCATCACATTTGTTTATGGTTGCCTGGTAAGTTGGAAATCACATGTCCAGAAGTGCATAGCACTGTCAGCAGTGGAAGCAGAGTTCTTTGCTGCATTGGAAGCTGCACAAGAGGCTCTCTTCTTCTCATACTTGCTCAGGGATTTAGGAGTGCCAAATGTCAAGCCAGTACTTCACATGAATAGCCAGGGGTGCATACAGGTGAGCAGAGATGCAGCAAAACATTGGAAACTGAAACATATTGACACCAGGTACTATTCCATTAGAGACCATGTACAAGATGGAGACATAGTGATAGAGTATGTGCAGACAGCCAAGAATGTGGCAGATGTGCTAACAAAACCACTTACAGGACTGGACACATTGAAACTAGCAGGCTTGATAGGACTGGGAACACCATCAAAGGGGGGAGTTGAAGATGCAACAGAATTACCAGGAGCTTAGCCGAGATGTGAGAAAGCTGAGTCACTGAGAGAGCAAGGGATGTGCATGCATGGTCGATGTGTGGCAACCAATCAGAAGAAGTTTGTGGGAGACAACACCAAGGCACAGATAAGACAATGCTGAGGTAACACATGGCACACCCAGCTAGTGGGTGACAACAGAGCTACTCAAGCATGAGACAAAGGTATATATACAGACAGTCCTGTAGTCATAGTTCACAAGAAATCTTAAGCATTGCATCTATCTTACACCTGTGCGAAAGGAGCTAGAACGTAGCCTGGACGAAGTGGTGTATTGCATAAACTTCAACTTGTTATAAGAGGCAGTGACTGACAACGGCAGTGACAAGGTGAGAGGTCGGAGTGGTGGGTGCAACCACAATGCTGTTCCAAAGGTCAGAAGGCGAAAGGAAGCCGAAAGGAGTAGGAAAGGCTTGAAGAACTTGACAAAGCGTAGCCAGGAGGCTTGCGCAAGAGGAGAGAAGATGACGGAGAAGAAGCAACGAGAGTGACAGGAGATGAGATGAGCAATATGAAGTGACACGACTCAGGTCACGTGCCTTCGCCCACCATTGAAACAAGCGCACGTTCCATTCGCACGACTCAACTTTTTTGTGGACTCAACCTTGTCAATTTCTCCACTTCCCCTTCCCCTTCCCTTCCTTCCTGCTACCTTCTGCTCTTCACCATCTCCTTTCTACCCTTCCTTTCGACCACACCCTCAGCAATCCTCTCTTACCTTCCAATTCCCTCAACCATCGCCAATATGGCAGGCACGCGTTTCGCCTATGTCCGAAACTTCGAGCTCCCCGACCCCTGCATCCCCTCAACATATCTAATCGTCCGCATCGACGGAAAAGGCTTCCACAAATTCTCCGCCCTCCACTCCTTCCTCAAACCCAACGACCCCGTTGCGCTCGAGCTAATGAATGAATCAGCACGTCATGTTATGCGTTCTTTAAAAGGTCACATTTCTCTCGCATTCGGCGAAAGTGACGAGTATTCTTTCCTCCTCCGCAAGAGCACCACACTTTATAACAGGAGGATATCTAAGATCACTACTCACATAGTATCCTTATTTACAAGTGCGTATGTTTGGAACTGGGCGAGGTATTTTCCAGAGAAACGGTTGGAGCAGCCACCGAGTTTCGATGGAAGGTTGGTTGTGTATCCGAGTGAAGGGGTTGTGAGGGATTATTTCAGTTGGAGACAAGCTGATACGCATATTAATAGTCTGTACAATACTACTTTTTGGGCGTTGGTGTTGAAGGGAGGAAGGACAGAACAGGAGGCTACGAAAGAGCTCGAACGGACGGTGTCGGCTGATAAACACGAGATATTATACCAAAGATTCGGGATTAATTACGACCAGTTGGAGCCGATGTTCAGAAAGGGGACTACGCTGATTTACACTCCTGCACCGACAACTACATCGCAGCAAGGGATCGAGGAGGAAGGAGAGGAAGAGGAGAAGGGAGAGAAAGGGGTTCTGTCGAATCCAAAAGACGAGAAAACAAGACTCAGGATAGAACTTAAGAAAGGGGCAAGAGAGGCCAAAAGCCAAGAGAAGAAGGAAAAGAAAGCCAAAGCTTCGGTGTTGAGGACGCTGCATTGCGACTTGATCGGGGACGACTTTTGGAACCCTGCTCTCATCTCCGCACTAGCAATGGAAGAGGAGACAATACCTACAGCAGAAGGTGAGGGAGGGATAGGCGAGCCATGGAACAATCCAGCACGATTCAACGGCGCAGGAATGGGCGTTTCTGTTTTCTTAGCTTAACTGACCACCCCCACACTCAATACCAAAAGAGGTCGAGTCTTCGTAAAGTATCATCTGGTGACATGGCTATGCGTAACATCTCGTGACATCGAAATCTATAATATGAATGCAGTGTGGTGTTGGCTACCAATCGAAAGCCTCCGTATGCAAGTACAGCTCCTGCACCCCGTTCCCACCGGACAGAACATGCGACCACTGCAACCGCGCAACACTGTTCGCCGTCTCGCTCAACATCCCAGCCGGACCACAAACCGTCACTCCAATCGTCCTCTTTTCCTTCTCTTCCTCCACAAAGCCACTTACGATCTCTGGCACTGAGGCTCTATCGCTATGCATCCTAATACCCTCCTTAACATCCTTTTCGATAACTTCCGGCAGTTGTTCACGACAGTACACATCGAGGGTCGCATCAAAACCCAGTGCTCGAAGATGGTCGATAATAGGTCGTAGCGAACCCTCAAAAACATCATAGACGCGGAGGGAGTGGATAGCCCAGTGGACCGCAACTCTAGATGTGATTCGGTCGTGGGAGTTGGCTCGGGCCGCAATGCAGAGGTTCATGAGTGCAGGGAGGATGGAAGTCATTCCGACACCGCCAGCCAGCATGAGATCGGAATGGTACGAGGCTGGGTGGAAGGGCGACCCATAAGGCCCATCTAGTGCCACTTTGACCGTGGTTGAGATTTCGCCTTTTATAGCAGGCAAACGCATGAGCCTTTCCCACATACTCTTTGTTAACCCGTCCCGAGCCTTGAAGTAGAAGATGAGATGCGAGTCCAAGTTGCCGTTCGGAATGGGGAGGTTCGCGACGGTGAAAGGATGTGTTTGATAAGGCGCAGCCCTGTTGAGTCCGGGAAAGCGCAAGAAGAAATGCTGTCCCGCTTGCCACGAGACAGGAGCAGAAACTTCCAATCTCAACAGCTTCTCATCTTCATCTACCACCGTCACTATTCCTTGTACACCCGTGAACCTGCTGATACGCAACGAATTCGCGAACTTCATCAACACGTGAAATCCCCATACCCCAACACTAGGCCATAACCAGCTCCAACTGGTTAACATATCCCTCGTGTGCATGAAGTAGAACACCAAAAACAGCACGATCGTTAGCACATGTTGGAAGACGAAGAACTCGTACGACATCCTCCTAAACCAGCCGAAACTCGATACAACCAACCAAGCTAGGAACGCGAGCGCAACAGTTCCTGTCCACCAAACCTTATCGTAGTAGTACCACGCTTTGAGGTTCGAAAATCCGCCATCGTGTACAGGCTGCCAGAGGAAAGGAACAGTGTGTACAATGGAGAAGAAGAGAATGACTCGGGCTGTCCATTGATGGTAGAATTGGAGCTTTTCATGGCTGATACCGGTGAGGAAAGTAAGAGGGTTGAATTTGAGTCCGAATGCGAAGAGCCAAGGGAAGAAAGCGTTGGCGATCATTCCTGCTCGTACGCCTAGAGGTGTACTACCCCAGACAACAGTGGGTCGGTAGTACGGTTTGATGGCGAAACACCATGCTGTGAATCCTATCGTTGGGAGTGTAATCGCCAAAATATTTCCGAGGGAAGGGAACCTATCAGCGGAAACAACATCGCTGAGGATGGTCCTGCGTGCAAAGATCCTTTTGGGTCGATAATACCCCACACCTCTACATATCGCTGCGACAGTCTTGTACCCCGGAATGGAAAGGACGAGGAGCGAGAGTCGAGGATTGGAGGAAGAGTGTCGAAGTTTAGCGAGAAGATTGCGTAGAACAACGACTGCGAGGAGGGAGAGAAGGACCCAAGTGGTGATACGACTGTATTTGGCCATCTCGTAGTACGAATCTTTGCCAGCCATTGCGGCTTTTTTGAGTGCGGAGGGGGGTCGACATGCTGGTCCGACCATGCCAGGTTTCCAGACGCAGCCGGGGGCTTCTTTGTGTCGTTTCAGAAGAGTATGGTCCATCTTTGCGGCGCGCTCCTCAAGTTTGAGGGATGAAGGTGAGAGGGTATCGAGATGAAGGAAAGGTGGCCGACCTGTCAGGAGGGTTGGGTGAAGAGGTTATATGAGTTGAGGGGGAAGCGGTTGGTTGTCTCGGCACCTTTCTGTGTTTCTTCGTGGGATCGGACCGTTAGGGTTGTTAGGTAGGTCGGGTTGTGCCTGGATGTCTCGTTTAGCACATGACTGTCAAAGCGAAAAGCAGCCGATGAGGGTGTGGATGTGAGGTGAGGATGCATGGCAGAAGAGTCGACTGTGGGACGACCGTCCAAGGCACGGGATACAGCAGCAGCAGAAGCGGAAGTTGTCTCGATTGGATGTCTGACAGCCTCGAAAAAAAAAAGGCTCCGAAGCGACCACAGCGCAGCACACAAGCCAACAAACAAGCACAAAAAAAATAAAAATGCGCCGAGCTTCGTTGTCGATCCCTTCCGGTCCCGTTGAAAATCAGTCTCAATCTCAACCTCAATCTCGAGTCTGACATCTGTCGGTCAATAGTCTTAGTTTATCGAGAGGCAAGCTCGTGATCAGCCCACCACGGGACTCCGGAATGAAACGACAAGGTGGGCGGATGGAGTTGAAATGGAGCGAGTCTTAATCACGGACCGCGTCTAGAAGCAGAGAAGAAAGCATCCGAGGGGCTAAGCGAAGGATCCGTAGCAGCCACGCCGCTTGCGGCGCTTCGGATGCTTTTTTATTTTTATTTTTATTTTATATCCTTTTCGAAGCCTCGGAATGACCGATATGGGTGACGATCTTCGAAACATCGGGACCTGACCGATTTGCTTTACAGCCTACCTTCGGTCCCATCATCACTTTCCTCAAATGTGACCACGTATATGGCATGCGAGTGGAAGGTCAAGTCTTTCTTGTTCATGCAGCTCGTGGCTCAGGCTATCAGCTCTACCCTTCATGCGTGACCTTGTGCTGTGTTGCGTAAATTTTCATGGATGCTTCTTTGGGAGCTTTACTCAGTCCATGAGGTACACACAAAATGTCAACTCCACCACGACAGCCGCGAAGAATAGCCAGGCCAAGCAAACAAAGCAAACAGTCAATTGCTCGCGATTGCACATGAGCGAGAAAGAATGTATACAGATGCGAATCTAAAGAACACTTAGTCGAGAACGTGGTACTTCTCCTTCTTGAGACGAGCACCACCAGTCTCGATTGGTTGCTCGAATCTTACCGTAGGACGGTATCTCCTCAGGTATGGTGCAGCAGTGTCTTCGAGTGTGTCAGGGGTGATAGCCAGATCAGCCCAGCTCTTGGTTCCCGGTTCATCGGCCTTGTCATCGATGTATCGTCGCACGACCTCGTCAGGCGAGATCATGGGCCACCATGCTAAATCGGCGATCTTGGCTGCCAACTTGAAGGCAAACTTGGGAGTGTTGAGACCAGGCTTGACCAACGAGGTGAAGGTAAGCGATTCGACAAGTTGCAAGATCTGGCCGATGGTGTACTCTTTAGGACCAGCGAGCGAGAAGGTGGCACCCATCGATGTGACATCAGCCTCAAGCATCTTTTCGAGAGCGTGGGCAACGTCGAGCGAGTGAACGGGTCGCATCCTGGTCTGGCCGTGGTTGACGCGCCATGCGTAAGGGTAGACGGCCATCTGGTTCAAGAAGCGGTCCTCGTGTCCCCACATGGTACCTGGTCGGACAATGGTGGCACCTTCGAATGCGCGCTTGACGGCAGCCTCACCTTCAGCCTTGGATCGGAGGAAAGCGGATGGAGAGTTGGCATCGGCGTTGAGGTGCGACACGTGGATGAAGCGGCCAACACCGGCGGCCTCGGCGATCTGAGCGATGCGCTGAGCGCCAGTGGCGTGGACATCGTTGAAAGTGAAGTTCTTGGTCTCGTAGTGTCGTCCGGTCAAGTTGTAGACAACATCCGAGTGTCGGACACATTCCTCGATCTGCTCGTCGTTCCTGAGATCCCACTCCATTGGTACGACCTGTCCAAGGTCACCCATGACCTTCAAATGCCTCTTCTCATCCTCATCACGATATGGGATGATGACCTGCGAGCCCTTTTGTGCGAGACGGTTGACAACGTATCGTCCAAGGAAACCGGTGCAGCCGAAAACAGTCACGACGTGACCCGAGACAGAAGATCTGTTATGAGGTATCAAGCAAGCACGACATTGTCAGCTACGATTCTTGTCGGTGCGGTGAAGGGGTTGCATTTTTTGCTGGCATGTGCGATCTGCCATGGCTGATTCTGTGCTCAAACTATCCAAGCAACTGCCTGGCTTGTGCGAAGCAACCAGCTATCCGATCCCTGCAATTCATCTCTGCGTATACTTACCGACCACCGCCGTAAGGGCCGGACTTGATGATGGGCTTGCCCGTCTTTCGGTTGATAGTGAGATCGTGAATGTTGCGAGCCTGAAGCGTCTGGGCTCCACGAAGAAGCGAGGATCGGGCCTCGGAACGCAAGACCGAAGAAGCGGCCTGCTCGGCGCTGGTTCCAACGAGGCGAACCATCTTGATTGCTGTTGCTCCTCCAGCCGGCTGTGCGATGCGTTGTTTGGAGAGGTCAAGAGGGTATAGATGCCGCAATCGGAAGGTGGTGATGAGGAGATTGCGATGCGGCCTGGACGTGGAGAAAGGTAGAAGTGATGAGAAATGCAAGCTTCTCACTGGACCGACGATGAACAGCCGCGGCGAGCCAAAGGTGGGAAGTCTTGAAACTCCAATTTCGAATGTGACTGTGTGGGAGGCTCCGAGCGCATGCGATCACACACACTCGTCTGCTGCCTTGCTCATTCGGATCTTCTTCCTTCTACACGTGACGAGTAATCGTGCGATAGGAAGCCGATTTTCCTGCTCAAGTGTCAGACTCGCTGTTTTCGCACACAATCTTTCCGTGCATCGTAACGATGATAGCAAACCTATTGGCAGTATAACATTCGGGGTCTTGTGGTCTATGCATCGACAGTGGCCCAGAGAAACATGCATGCGACCGATCTATATGGTGACCAGGTCTGTGCCAGCGCCTTCATCTCATCGGGACTGAGGTACTGTCCGCCCTTGATTTTGTTTCCTTTGGCTCTTGATTGAAGCACTTGTCGGCAGAGTCCATGTTCTTTCGAGATCAGATGGTCGAGCGAGCCCTCCGCTCCCTGCTCGGCCTTGAACTCAGGCTCTGGCTTGGGCATCACTTCCGTCTGTGCCAACAAGGGGACCTGATCACCCTTCTCTTCTGTCAGCTCCAACGGTCCTTCCGACTTCTCCTTCTTCACTGCAGCCCCTTTCTTAGTATCAGCTTCATCTTCCTCCTCGCCAGGCTTGCGCTTCTTGACACTGATATTGGGCCCTTCAGGGCCACTAAGGAAGAAGTTAAGCATGCCTTTCTGCACGCCCAAGTCCGCACATGGAAGGATGTCGGGCTTGCGCATGGCAAACATGAGAATCATCTCGCTCGTCCATCTGCCGACACCCCTGATCTTGCTCAACTCGGTGACGCATGCCTCCTCATCGTCCAACTCGAGAATCTGTCGGATATCTAGTCGACCATCTACGAAGCGTGCTGCCAGATCCTTGACGTACTTGACCTTGGCAAATGAAAGACCTGCTGCGCGAAGATCAGCATCGGATCTGCGCAGAACCATCAAAGGTGTCGGAAATGGCCATTGCTCTCGAGGGAAGCCAGCAAAGTCGGGTTTTTCCGGCATCGAGCCAGGATGGAAGGTGCGGCAGAACTTGTATAGTACCGATCTCGCAGCCAGCCACGAGATCTGTTGACCGAGGATGGAGGTTGTGACGGTCTTGAAGAGGTTGAGATCCTTGCTTTCGGATTGAGAAGCGTCCAGCGCTTCTTCGTAGCATCGTACTGGAATCTTCTGAAAGAGACGCTCGAAGCGGCGATCAGCGGAGCAAAGATGTAATCTGGCTTGCTCGAAGTCGAAAGGTAGCGCTGGGAACGGCACGGTGGTGCGAGTCAAGCAATCCTCTTCGGTTGCATCCTCTGGAATCACGAACGGCTCTTCGGGTGCCTCGGCTTTTGCCGGACTCTTAGGCTTAGCGATGTCAGCCTTGGCTGGACTGTCAGTGTTGACCCTTGATCGTTTTCGTGGACTGGCAGCAGCTTTTGCAGTGCTGATCTCGCTGTCCGTTGCCGAGCGCAGTAAGCCTCGTTTGGCGGGTGCTGTTCGAGTGGCGATTGATGCCTTGCTGGATGATCCGAACGACGCAGCGATCGATTTGGCTGGTGTTGCCGAGCGAGATCTCGTGAGCACCATAATTGCTATGTTCGAGCTAGACCACAAATCCTGTCTGCGGCAGGTCTTGGAGGACAAGTAGGTTGGTGGATGGGAGGAAGAAAGCTGTTTGAGCAACCGGCGAATGCGGGGTGAAATTTGGTTCAGGATAGATTGCCAAACGCAAATAAAATGAATGCAGGGTCCCAGCGTCTCAAGAAAGCTTTTTCCGTGCAAGTTGTGGTAGCGGACGAGACTGCAATCCAGCCAAGGGACTCTCCCGCCTCGATTGGCATCTATGTTGTATGCCAATCATCAAGACGAGAAGTACGCATAGTGGAACCGCGCAGAAGTCAAAGGCTCAATGGTAAGGGTTGCTGCTCAAAAGTTTGCGAGAAAGGGCAATGGGGCAAAAGCAATAATGGGGAAAATGCATCCTGCCCGATTGCGATCTTGTAATTCAATAAAAGGCTGGAAGTAACAAATGATAGACGTGCAAAATGGCTTCAAATTTTCTAAGGACCTGTCAAGAGGAAATACAAATTTCGAGGCAAGGCTTGGAGGGAATTGAAATGGTTGGACTCAAATTTCCTTTTGAGCTTTCGCGAAGAAAGGGAAGAAGAGCAGAACCGAAAATCTGAAGAAGAGCAACGGCGCGCTCTCAGAGAGGAGAAGAGAGGCTCTGGAAGGCGAAGAGCGCGTGTGAGCGGCTTGCTGTGTGCAACAAGTTCTTCTCGTTCTCGAAGCGCTGCTCATTTTCGTTGTTACGGTTTGCAAAAAGCATATCGAAAGACCTCTCACCACCATCTCCCGACCATCCCCTGGTGTCTGTAGCAACGTTGTCATCGTTGCTCGACCCTTTTCTCATCACCTCGACACTTCCAGCACTGGTACGATTCAACTACACTCGACCAATACATCAACCGCAATCATGGCTGAAAAGTACGACTTGACACAGACCCTCCTGCCATACCTCGACAGGCATCTGGGTCTTCCTCTCCTTTCACATCTTGCTGGATCCGGCATCTTTTCCGAGGCCGACATCTCCAAGGCCCAATATGAGCTCGCAAAGAACACTTCCATGGTTGACTATGCACTTCAGCTTCACAAGCAGGCCTACCCCAACCAGCCTGCCCCTGCCGAGATCGAGAAGCAGCGAGAGACCGCCATTGCACTGAATGACAAGCTCGGATCCGAAGTTGACCATGTCCTCAACGTCATTCAGGACCCCAGTGTTGTCTCTGCTCTCAAGCAGGACAAGACACAGAACTTGCAATGGCTCGAGGAGAAGTACAACCTCACCAGCGAGCAGATCAACGCTCTTTACCGATACGGATACTTCCAGTTCAACTGCGGTAACTACGACGATGCTTCCTCGTACCTCTACCACTTCCGCGTCCTCTCCACCGACTCTGCACTTACCATGAGCTCTCATTGGGGTAAGCTCGCCAGCGACATTCTTACCGGAGAGTGGGAGCAGGCCCTCGAAGAGCTCAAGCTCTTACGAGAACAGATTGACTCTTCAGCCGCTCACGCTACTGCATCCTACGCCCAGCCTTCCACTTCCAACGACACCGCACAGGCTGATGACTTGACCCAGGAGGGTCTCTTGAAGAAGCGTGCATGGTTGCTCCACTGGGCTCTCTTCATCTTCTTCAACCACCCCCAGGGCCGCGAGCAGTTGGTCGAGATGTTTCTTTCCCCCGTCTACCTTAACACAATTCAGACCACCTGTTGGTGGTTGCTCCGATACGTTGTTGCTGCACTCCTCCTCTCGCGACGAACAACGCGCATTTACATGGTTCAGCAGCCTGCTCCCGCTATCCTGATGGCCTCTGCGTCCGGTGTCAACGTCAGCAAGCTCAGTCCACAAGCCGCTATCAAGGACATTGTCAACATCATCGACTCAGAGTCCTACCGTCTTGCCGGTACCGACCCTATCGTCGACTTCCTCTCCAAGTTGTTTGTCGACTTTGACTTTGAGGCAGCACAGGAGCAGCTCACCCTCGCTGAGCAGGTCGCATCCAAGGACTTCTTCCTTGCCGAGTTCAAGGACGAGTTGGTCGAGGCCTGCCGTGTTGCCATCTCGGAAGCATACTGCCGCATTCACTCCAAGGTTGACATCGCTGACCTTGTCAAGCGCCTCAACCTTTCCAAGGAGGATGGCGAGAAGTGGATCGTCAACTTGGTGCGCGACACCCGTGCCGATGCCAAGATCGACTTCAAGGAGGGCATGGTCTTCATGAACCCCACTCATCCTCCTATCTACCAGACCATCATCGAAAAGACTCGAGGCTTCACCTTCCGAACTTCCGCCATGGGAACCGCTATCGACCGAAAAGCACACCCACCTTCGCTCAACAACACACACAACCTCAACGGCAACGACAAGCGTGGCGGTGCCGGCGGCCGTGGTGGTCGAGGTGGCCAGCGCAACCAGGGCGGTCGTGGAGACCGATCGCACCACAACAACAAGGACGAGTCCAAGCGCGATGGTGAGGCGGCACCTCCTGCTGAGTCTCAAGCACCAGCGCAGGCCGTCGCTGCCAACTAAGCTTTTGTATCATCCGCTTCTGTTGCTTTCATCCCAAAAGGTGGAAGACAATCGTTGGCAGTAAGGAGTTGCAGCATTGTATTTCGAAAGCTCTCTTGTTGCTAGTACCGTTCAGCCCATCTCTGTCGGAGACAAAGTGCAGACTTGAACGACGATTGTCATGCTATCTCATGTGCTTGATGGCCTCGACCAATATGTAGATTACATGCAGCGCATCATCAACCACAACATCCTTTGTGCCTAGTATCAATTTCCTCGTCTTCGTTCTGAACACTGTGGATTCATGGGGATGTAAAAGTGTCCTTATCGCTCAGCAAGAACCAGCGTGAGCAAGCGTAGAACTGAGCGTGTAACAAGAGGCAAGAAAAGGGTGTGTGGGGACCGTGATTCAGCGTCTCGACATGAGACCAAGATGTCCGTGGATACGTTGTAAGGTGATTTAAGAAGATCTTGTGACGCAATTGGGGCAACTAGTATTGCCCATCAGCCAGAAGCCGGAAGCGACTCGTCCGAAGCCGCATGAATACATCACGCCATTGTTATCGCACTCTCGGCTATCATCCATCCTTGAGCTGGTCCGCCATGCGCATTCCTCGGTGAGCGATCTATAACCATCTTGCCTGGCAATGTGAGAAACATGGACGGAGCCCGTACAAGACACCGCAAAGTTGGTCATGCCTCCTTGTGACCCACAGACCACCGCTCCGACGATAGGGTCCTGTAGCCGATGCAGAGGCCGGCATTCTGTCTGTCTCCTCGTTTGTTGCGAGCTTGCTTTTGATAGAGGTTGCACTCCAACGGAACTTGCGGCTCTCCTGTCGCACACACCTTCATACCACCAACATTTTCGTTTGCACCATCCACATACAACCTCATCCCTTCATAGACCTTGCCTCGGTCCCCAGATCAAACACTCCCAGTAAACGCCGCACCGAGCACAGCAGACATCGTCTTGACTGTTCCACCAGTCATTCCTAGCGTCCAACCCAGACCGACTCGTCCGCAGCACACTCGTGTCGACTAGTGTGCTGTCTCAATCGCAAGTCAAGATGACCCGCCGTGTGCGTGAAGACCAGGATGAGAATACGCCACTTCTGCGACACCATAACACTGATGACGGCCAAGGGCGATGGTCGTTAGCCCGCCGCCGGTCGTCCGCTTTCCCCTCCCTCTTCTCCCAGCCAGAGGACAAGGACGGCGAGGACTACCTCCAGCATCAGCGCAAGATCGACCTCTATCTGGTCGTCTTCGTCAACGTCGTATACAATGTTGCCATCGGGATCATGAACTCCTTCTTCGTCGAGTTGATTCAGACTCTCTCGTGCGCGGAATACTATTACGACTCCTCTTCGCCAGATTCCCGCTTTCCAACTCTTCCAACGACTGGAGATCCTTCCGACTTGTGCTCTGTGCCCTGGGTGGAGAAAAGAACGAGCCAGATGACTACATATGGTGACACCATCATGGGGATCACTGGCTGTGTTGCCTCACTCGTCATTGCCAAAGGCCTCCTCCCACGCTTCAGTCGACGTGCTGTAACCATTGGTGCCGTTGTTGTAGCTGTGCTTCATGCTACGACTATGGCCTTGTTACCAACACATTACTCTTTCGATCCTGCAGTTGCTTCTACCTCGACCGTACATCCTACTGTCTCACTCTACCTGCTCCTAACAACGTTGGTGGTCGGCGGACTGCTAGGTGCACCTCAGACTGCCATGCCCGTGCTCAGTCAGGTCATGGCTCTTGATGTGTGCAAGGAAGACGAGAAAACGGCTGCCTTTTCCCAGGTCTTTGCAAGTATGACGCTCGGTATGGCCATTTCATCGACAGTGCTGCAGTTCTTGCCTCTGTTCAACGTTCACTTTAGCATCCTTCACCATACGGGGCCTTTTTCACCCTTCTACATGGTAGTCGGCGTGCATTTGGTGGCGCTGATCATTGTGATCCTCCTATTGCCCGAGACGAAACCAATTCCATCACCTCAGAACCTGTCTCGAAGGACCTCCGTTTCCAGCGACGAGGACAGCCAAGAGCACTTCGGCGGATCAGACCGCCAAGTACTCGTTTCATCATCAGATCCACCTTCATCCACCTCCTCCGGCATCGCCCAGTCCCTGAAGGAAATGTTGGGCCTGTTCGGCTACCTCATCCCCTACCAACCGCATCCAGGAAGCAAGAGAGACTACAAGCTACCCCTCATGCTCTGCGGCCTCGTGTTTTGCGATACCATCTCCATGGTCTGGTCCAACCTTGTCGTGTTTTGCTCCACCCATTTACACTTTGGACCTCAGGAAGTCACCATACTTCTCGGTGTGATTGGGGCAACCAAAGGTCTCTATGCACTTTTCGCCTTACCTTTGATCGTCACATTTGTCCGCAAAACAGTCAAGAAAAAGATCCATGAAGAGCTCACAGCTTCAGCATCCATAGAGTACCTCTCAACCGAAACACGTCTAGCTAAGCGTGAAGAATCGGTCATTCTGACGGACAAGATCGTCGCACTTGGCTCGCTTGCGTGCGACTGCGCGGGATTCATTGCGATGGGCGTTGCTGCTTCCCATCTCTCAGCGGCTGGTATCTATGGCAGTAAGTGCAACCCCTCAAACCCCTATTCCGGGGCTTTAAAAAACAGATACTGATCTGAGTTTGCTTCTTGACAACACAGGCGCATTCTTTTTGCTGTTCGGCTCAGGAGCAGTTCCTTCCATCCAAGCACTAAACGTAGATTTTTTCCTAGCACAAGATCGGCCAACCGAAGACCCGGTAGCTGCTCGAGATGCGTTTATGGGATTCCTTAGTCTCCTTCGGACTCTGTTGCAGACGTTTGGCCCGTTAATCAACAATGTGATTTATGGGTGGTCGGTAGATCATGCGATGCCGGCATTGGTGTTTTTCTGGACTTCGTTCATGTCCTTCTCTTCGTTAATGTTTGTTACTAGTGTCGGATTCTTTGTCAAGTGAACCCAACACAGAGGTCAAGTTGCTTCGTCTCGTTCGTTGCTTCTCATACCACGGCTCTAAATTAGACAGGAGGATCTACATTCGCTCATATGTATATTACACGTTCCGCATAGCCTTACCAAATCATTACAAGTTGTTTCGATCAATAGCAAGCCCCGCGGTGAGTCACAGAGTGAAGCGTTGTGTAGGTGAGAGGAGATGAGAATCACTCGTCATCGAGCTTAGAAGGCGATTCAAGCGGTTCAACCGCAACCACTTCCCCATCTACCACCGCCGCCGCACCTCTAGCAGGTTGAGCATCTTCAACAAACGTCATCGTACGTCCTCTCTGTTTCGTCGAATCCAAAATCCACGCACCTGGCTCGACCAACGTTGGGAACCCTTTCCACCTCCTCTGTCCCACCACATCCTCTTCCCCTTCCTGCTGGGAAGGGTGGTACCAAGGAGCATTCGGACCATCCAAACTACCAATTTCCTGCCAAACCCAAGCGAAACCACCCAACCCAGCACTCACCCCGAGCAGTACCGTCGAGTTTACATAGTGCTGGTCCGCCAGTGGTAGCAGCAGAACAACGACCGCAGCGATGAACCTGGGTGCGATTCGGATGGGTTTAGGGAAAAAGAGTTCTCCCGGGGCATCGTGTTCTCTTTCCAGCATGACGAGGAGAGCGGTGGAAATGAGACCGATGGAGTAGGAAGCGGCGTAGATCCATCGGACACCTTGATGTACCTGATCGTGTTTGACGAGTTCGGCTGTGGCATCCCCGCAGAGGGTTAGGGCGGAGACGAGGGGAAGATGGAGGACGAAATAAGGTAGACCATAGGTCATTGGACGGCGGATTGGATGGGTGATCTTCTTACTTCCCGCTCCACAACAGTAAATACCGTGCAAAACGAAAGCTACGATGACGGTGAGAATGACCCTCGCCACTCCAGAATGCACTCCATGACCAGCCGGTTGACCACTCAACACCGAGAACAAAAATTCCCCGTGAACCAGTGTCACGAAATCGGTGAAGCGGTCAATCTCATGTTCAATCGCCACCGCTGAACTATACCTCAAATTCGCCATCCTCTTAAACAGCGGAGAGTAGAAGAACATCCAACTACCATACTCCAGCACCAACGCTACCGTAACCATCGCAATACAAGCCTTAACTCCTACAAAGATACTTCCAATCCACAATCCCACAACTAGGGACCAAACGATCGCTTGGGCCCTAATTTGAATCCGATATTGACAGATGTAGAAGGAGTAAAACGTCAGCATGCCGAACATCATACTTCCTGCCAAGAGATAGCTTCCGATAGCGGTGGCTCGAGCTAAGCTCTCTTCCCACATTTCTTCCGCTGCGGGGGCGTTGTTGCCGTACACCACCAAGCAGGCCATTACACCGAGAACAAGGAGGCGCTGGGGGAGATCGTCGACGAAGAAAGCGTTAAAGATTTCTCGCATGTAGTTCCATACCATCCATGCAGCAGTGTAGGTAAGGATATATCGCACGATTGCGTCTCCGTTATGCTCGTGTATAGCCTCTTCAGCAAGCGTTGCGATTAAACCGACGAATACCAAGTCAAAGAACAACTCCAGACGGTGGGAAGACCGTTCTTCTTCACTCCTAACCAATACGTTTCCTCTGAAATACTGCAGGGCTCTGGGTCGGCGGAATAGATAGCGACGTTCAGAGTGCAGGGCGCGGTTACGAGCATCTTGTCGTTCCATCGATCTCCAAAGACGTCCCTTTGCATCTCTACCTTTGGCATTGCTGGATGTGGTGGAGGGGGCAATGCTGGATGCGTCGGTGATTAGAGCTGGATCGTTGTTGGTGGTGGTGGGATCGATGGAATCTTCGTCGTCTTCTTCCTCCTCGGAATCGTCGGGGAGGTAACCGGCTGCGTTGACATCGCCATATTTGAGATGGTGGGGTTTGTGAGCGTGAGGGGTGGTAGGGGCGGAGGTAGTGGAGTTGACGGAGGCTACTGAACCTCGGTGCTCGGTGACCATCCTTGGAACTCTTCAAAGGGTGAAGCTTGATGTAGTTGGATGGTATGGAAGAGCGTAGGAGGGTAAAGCAGATCGGGTCAGGGTTTAGCTTGGCTAGTCTTTATATACGACCGTGCTAACATTAGGAGCGAAGAGAGGGGAGGGAAGGAAAGAAGACAAAGTAGTGGAACGTGCGTGAGGTGCAAGACATTCGGTTCGGAAGCGGATGCAAGGTAGCTACACTCATCTTCTCCCATCTCAGATGCCTGTAAACCGGGCATACCGGATACAAACGCAATCAGCTGAGAGGTGAGAAAAGAGAAGAGCGGAGTAGAGGAGAGTGGCACAAACAGGGCTGTCACACGAAAAGAAGGTCTTTCTTTTCCTTTTTCACCTTTTCTTTCTGCCTCCGCTCCTCCGCTCCTCCTTCTCTCATCTTTCTCTCAGCTGCCTCAATGCTGGTCGCAGAGGTTACAATCGAGCCTCGCCTTCACCGTTCAACGAGATCTCATCGAGGTTGTGTAGAGAGAATCGAAGGTCAAGAGCAAAAAAATCTGCAATGTGAAAATGAGGGTCCACGCACGCACAAAAAAACACCTGTCAAACCACTCTCAACCCGTGGGTCCGTCTGACGGTCCACAACTGTGAGTTAGGATTGCACTTCCGATGCATCACGTGATCATTCATGAAGGCGTGCGCGTCTGGGCTGGACTCAAAACAAATCGAAATTTTTTGCTCCGCTCTATGAAGAGCGGAGCAGAGACACTCTTCACCAAGACACTCTGTTTTGTCACTCCTCTCTTAGCTACCATCATCTCCATCATCACCAAGCCAGGTGCACTGTTAGCTGCCTGGTTTGTTTTTCTTTTTCTTTCTTGGGTCCTGCAGTATCTTGGCCAGAGCCCCTTGCTCCCAATCCTGCCTAGCAACACCATGGCCTGGCCTTGGACCATCTCCTTCTGATGACTGTACTTTTGCCACCTGGCATTATGATGGCTAACAAGGAATAACACTGCTGCTCCTGCAGATGTTCCAAACCACTCTCTTCTTTCATTCACCAGTGCTTTCCAGACTGGGTCACTGCTTTGTGCCTTGACTGCCAAACTGGGAGGCCTTGAACAGCATGAACCCCCTCCCAGGCACCTTCTCAGCCACCTTCACAGTACCCAGACACCTCCTTGTTCTTAGGTTTCCCAGCCCCAACTCCTCTCCCTTCCTTTGCAGTCCAACACCTACCAGTCCCTCCTGCATGCATTGGTGAGTACCAGCCTTCTGTTGCCTACCCTTGGCTACCTGTTGACCTCATCAACAAAGCCCATCAGGATCTCCTCAGCATTTATGACCTTCTGAAGCTGGCCAACCCTTTGTGGCCTGGCTCCACAGCTCTGGAAGAGCCAGCACCTGTCCTCATCAAGGGCTTCTCAGTTGTTAAGGGCCCCACCTCCTCCACCTCCTCCACCTCCAACCATCAGTTTATCAAAGCAGTGCCCAGCTTTTTAAACTTTGGCTGACTTTGGGTTTACCTGTCACTCAGGTCTTCAACCTTGAACAACTGTGACCTCCCAGTCAGCCTAGGTCGTTTTTATCAACATGTTGCCAACCTTGCTGAGGTTTTCCCTTGGGACAAAGTCATGGGCTACATCATCACAGTCTGCACGTCCCACTTTGGCAGGGCCACCACCACAGATTGGGCCTGCTTCAATACCAAGCTCCATGCAACACACTTCCAGGGCATCCAGGCCCACCTACCCCCTTCTTCAGCAGGCAAAAAGAAACCTCCTCTCCAACATGATGAACCCTACTGCAAACAGGTCTGCATCTCCTGGAACCAGGGCAAGTGCTCTGGCACTGATCAACAACCCTGTATTCAGAAACATGTGTGCCTCACATGTGGTAGCCAGCACACATCCTGAGCCTGCACCTGCAGCACTGCTCAGTCTGGGCCACCTCCCTGACTGCCCAAAACCAACTAACCCCCCTTGTGAGTTCCTCTCACTCCATCAACATGGTCACCAGTCAATTGCCTTATCCCATGTGGCTAAAGTGGCCCCCCATCCCCAGCCCCCATATGCGAGGAGGTCCAGGCACAGCCACGAGGAGGACCAAGCTCAAGGAGCAGGCACAGCCACGAAGAGGACCAAGCTCAAGGAGCATGCAGATGGTTACCACTCAGGGGCTCGAGAGACAAGAGTTGAAGGAGTCGACACCAGGTCCTGAGGAGGAGGAGCAGTGTCGAAGGAGTCGACACCACTCAAGAGGCACAGGGGTGCCAAGCAGGAGAGGCCCCTGAGCAGTACTCGATGAAGAAGGTACTCTCTGGAGAGGGAGCAAGAGCAGCATTGCTGGCGATGCTGTGAAGAGGTATATAACCATGCTTTCTCATCATCAAAGGTCAAGTGGATCCTCATCCACTCTACACAACCATCATAACTAGTTATCACTTCAGCATAAGTATACATTAGTTTCAGTCAGCATAGCAGCAATCTATCAAGGTTGCTCCTCATCGTAGTGTGTGTGTTGTATCACCACTACCTTGTCAGGGGTCTCGCGCCTGAAACCCAGGTCGGTCTGTCGAGATACTCGATGACTATCAAACTGTGCGACAGCTGTTGTCTCGGTATCGGTGACTATCAAGTTGCACAGTGACAGCAGGTGGCATTCATTGTATATACTATCATAGGTTTCGGCTGACCTCTGTGGACACTCCATTCAGGGGTAGCTCAGCACAATCAATATCAATGCTTCGGTTATGATGACACCAAGGTCTGGTGTGAGTGTTGATGATGATGAGGTTGATGATGTTGGTGATAAGGTTGGTGAGGGTTGATGGTAATGAGGTTGATGGTGTTGGTGATAAGGTTGGTGGCATCAACATGAGTGTCCAGTGTGTTGACTTTGACACTTGAAGTGATCCCCAGACCACAGTGGACTACTGCCTTCAGTTCTATCTATATCCGGACTGCTAACCTGCTATGGGGCGCCTATGGACGTCAGGTAGTGGTGATACAACACACACACTACAATGAGGAGCAACCTTGATAGATTGCTGCTATGCTGACTGTAACTAATGAGTACTTGTGTTTCTAAAGTATTGACTAGTTGTATGGTGAGTAGAGTGGATGAGGATCCACTCGACCTATGATGATGAGAAAGCATGGTTATATACCTCTTCACAGCATCGCCAGTGATGCTGCTCCTTCTCTCTCTCCAGAGAGTACCTTCTTCATCGAGTACTGCTCAGGGGCCTCTCCTGCTTGGCACCCCTGTGCCTCTTGAGTGGTGTCGACTCCTTCGACACTGCTCCTCCTCCTCATGACCTGGTGTCAACTCCTTCGACACTGCTCCTCTTCCTCAGGACCTGCCTGCTAGTGTCCTATACACTGCTCCTTCTCCTTTGACTGGTGACAGTTCCTTTGACTCTTGTCTCTCAAGCCCCTGAGTGGTAACCATCTGAGCTTGGTCCTCTTCGTGGCTGTGCCTGCTCCTTGAGCTTGGTCCTCCTCGTGGCTGTGCCTGGCCCTCCTCGCATGTGGCTCGTGTCCTCCTTTGCATGTGAGTCCATAGGAGTCCATGGTCTCCATGGAGACTGCACTACAACCATGCTCTCTACTGGTATTGACTAGATCTTCGATACCTGTGCTCCTTCCATATGAACCTGTGACCCTCCTGCTTCTTGAGCATCCAGGCCCATGACATACCTGACATCCAAAGGCGCCCCATAGCAGGTTAGCGGTCCGGATCAAGATAGAACTGAAGGCAGTAGTCCACTGCAGTCTGGGGATCACCTCAAGCATCAGTCAACACACTGGACACTCATGTTGACACCACCAACCTTATCACCAACACCATCAACCTCATTATCATCAACACCCACCAACCTTATCACCAACATCATCAACCTCATCATCATCAACACTCACACCAGACCTTGGTGTCATCATAATCTATGCATTAATATTGATTGTGCTGAGCTACCCCTGAACGGAGTGGCCACAGAGGTCAGCTGAAACCTACAATAGTATATACCCAAACGCCACCCATTGCACAACTTGATAGTCGCTGAGCAACTAGCTCATCGAGACCGATACCGAGACAATAGCTGTCGCATAGTTTGATAGTCACCGAGTATCTCGACAGATCGACCTGGGTTTCAGGCGCGAGACCCCTGACACCAGCCTCTGCCACACACAGCGGCAACCCCACCTCCTCGGTCCCGCCACATTCCAGCTTGGAGCTCCAACTTCCCAATGTGGCCCAGCAACTCCTTCAGGCACCTGCCAGCTCTAGTGATCTCCCCAGCATCCCAGCCAGCTCCAGCAGCCCTCCCCTTCCTCAGTCCTCTGCAGGTACCGTTGGCTGACCTTGCCTCAGCTACACTGTTGTCACTACAGATCCTCCTGCCTCCTGCCCAGCCCAACACTACCTTAGCAGCCCCCCTCCACCCCAGCAATGGTTGCCCCTCTCAATATGGCACCATGCAGGCTGCTTTGGGCTACTGGGCCAAGGTGCTCCTCAACTACCTGGACCACCCCTTCATCAATCAGCTTTTAGGAGCTATTGACCACAGTGTCCATCTTGGCTACTTGGGTCCCCTCTGTAGCCACAGCTGCTTCCAGAGTATCAAGAATCTCCCAATGGACAATGAGGGCAATGCCCATATCCATTCCAAGGTTATGTTGCAGGTCAAGGAGGGCCAGCTCCTTGAGGTGGACCCTCAGCAGCTTTGCCTGGTGTGTTCCCCAGTTGGGACTGTTCCCAAACTGCACTCCACCAGACTCTGGACCATTCACCATCTTTCTCACCCCTGCCTTCCCTGCCCTCACCAGCTGCTGTCAGTCAATGATGGCATTGCCACTCACTTCACCACAATCTGTTATGCCTCCCTCACTGCAGTCCTAGAGTTTGTGCAGAACAATCAGGGCTGTTGCCTCTGGAAGAGTGACCTAACTGATGTGTTCCAGCATGTGGTCATCACTCTTGATGATGCTTGCCTGCTTGGCTTTACTTTCAACAGCTGGTTCTACATGGAGATGGGCATCACCTTTGGGGGCCAAAGCTCTCCCTGGATCTTCAACCTCTTTGCAGAGGCCTTGCACTGGATCCTGCAGTCAATGACATGACATCCTGTCAACCATTATCTGGACAACTTCTTTGGAGCTATCCTGGTAGCTGACCACCCTGGCAAGCCCCTGCATGTGCTTGCCTTAGCATGCTCAGCTCTTGGCCTCCAACTGGCACCCCAGAACCTTCTGGGACTGCACCAAGTTGGAGATCCTTGGCATCAAGGTCGACACTGTCCAACAGTGTGTTGGGATTACCATTGAGCACTGCTCCTGCATCCTGGACGCCATCGACCACCTCTTGGCCTGGCGCTCAGCCCACCTCATTGACTAGCAGCATATTGCCAGCCTTCTCCAGTTTGTATCCCTCATAGTCCCCCATGGCAAAGCATACTTGTGCAGACTGTATGATGCCTCCAAGGCTGCTCACTGCCACCCCCTGTCTCTTTGTTGCCTCTCTTGTCTGGCAGCACAGGAGCTCAGATGGTGGCAGTCCACCCTCCACATTTGGCCTGGTCACTCCTTACTACAACCCTCACCACTCACAGTTGAGTATGTCTTGACTGATGCATCCAAATGGGGTTATGGGGCTCATCTCGGGCTCATGCAGACCCCTACTGCAGCCTTCTCCTGAGAGGTACCTTGTCACCACTGTTCAAGGGACATCTGTTTCCTGGAAGCCCTTGCCATTCTGGAGGCACTGCATGCCTTCTCCCCTCTTTGGAGCAGCCCATGCCTTGTTGTCCTCCACATTGACAACACCAATGTGGAGTCAGGACTTCACACTGGCCATTCAAGGGACCCTCTCACTCAAACACTGCTCTGCAAGATCTTTGGCCTCTGTTTCCTGCAGCATATCACCCTCTGACCAGTTTGTGTGGCTTCAGGGGACAACCACCTGGCTGACCTTCTCTCTCACCACCATTTCCATGCTTTACAGCAGTGCTACCCACTGGCACATTGGCTCCTCTTCTCCCTCACCCCCATGAAGCACCCCAAGCCTTCACCACTGCCACAGGCTGCTCAGCACTTGCAGCTTCCTACATCTGGCAAGGACTTGCTGAATCCAGCCACAAGTGAAGTGCTGGTGTCCCTGCCTGCTACCAGGCCTTTGTCCACCTCCACTTTGGTCTGAGTACCCCCCCCCCCCCCCCTTTCTAGCCTCAGACTTGTTCCTCACCAAGTGGGCTTGTGACATGGCATGGTCCCACCCTTTCCACAGCATCAAGCATGAGCTCGATGCCCTGCAGTCCTGGCATGTTGACCTTGGTTTCAACCTCGATGGTTTCACTCACAGCTGGTTGGAAAGAGCAGTCCAGGGCATCAAGCACACACATGGCCTTCACCCAGCTGCATCCAAGCTCCCCATCACCCTCCCCCTTCTCTGAGCCATCCTCGAGCAGCTCCAGTCCATGCCCCTTAGTGGCTGGGACCATCAGGTCATTGCTGCAGCCTTTGCTGTCTCATTCACCTGTTTCCTTTGATGTGGCAAGGTTGCCTGGAACCAGCTGTTGCTGACTCAGTTGCTGGTCAGGTCTGTCACATGGCAAACAGACTATGCCATACTCCTTCTCCTGGTGTCTAAGACTGACCCCTTCAGGCTTGGGACCCTGCTTGTGGTCCCCAAAGTTGGCAGGGTGGAGTGCCCATATGCTGCACTCTGCCTCCTCTGTCCTACCATCCATAGGCCCAATGCTCCCCTCTTTGGGCTGCATGATGGGTACAGACCCCTCACTTGTGTGACCTTCCTCCAGCACCTACACTCAGCACTCTCTCACCTCAGGCTGGACACATCTCAGTATGCAGGACACTCCTTTTGTTGGGGAGTGGCCACTTGGGCAGTGTTGCAGGGTGTTGATGCAGACACCATCAAGCTCCTTGGTCAGTGGACCTTGGACTGCTATCACCAATACATTGACCACTCAGCTGCTGAGTGATGTGTGATGGTTGCTGCTGCCCTCTACTTGACCTGGCAGGGACCCCTTGTCCCTGCAGGCCCCTCTTGGCAGGACCCTGTCCTCTAGGCTGGGTGGAGCCTCTGGCCCCTCTGCTGTGACCACTGTCTGCTGCACAGGTGACACTGCAGCTAGTGGTGGGCTGGGAGCCTCCTTGTCGAGCTTCGAGGACTTCACAGGTCCTTGTCCGCAATCCACTTAGTATTTTCCTGATTCTTGTTTTCGTGCGATTGAGTCCAGAAGGGATTTGCCTAAATCAACTAGCGTCCCCTCCCACCGTCTCATTAATATGTTGCAATCCGACTCTTCACTGTGCACGCTGAGAAGATCAGATCGCAGTCCTGTAATTGCAACTCCGCAAAAGAGGCTTGAATTGGTCTTGGCATGCAACAACCCATCTCACGCCCTTCTTTCTGCCACTCCCGTTCTTCGTTCGGCTACACACAATACCAGGCTCGGATGCAAATACGTTACCTACGAAGCTTAGATCCGGGATCTGCACACGACGATCCGGCAATCTCACACATCGAAAGAGAGGAGGGTATACTGCTATGATTAAAAAGTCCTCGACGTGGGGAGGAGAACTGGTACAACGTGTGGTTACTGCAGAGAAAGACGGCTCTTAACGCCCGAGTTCGGAGATAGGCACACCGACACCACCACCGCCTCCAATACCATTGAGCATGCTGTTGTTGGTTGCATGGTCAAAGTCATTGAAGATGGGGAGGATGCTTTGCATGTACTGATCCAGAAGGTCATCAGTGCCTAACCAGGTGTTGGCGACCGTGTCAGTGGCGGAGGTGTTGTTCTGACCTACCGACACCCCGAGAGGGGTGTTGCGATAGGCGGATGAGAGAGAAGGAGCGTTGGTACCGTTGTTTGGTACGCCAGCCAAGTGGCTGTTGCTGGTGCTTGCGTGGGCTTGGTAGGGCTGTGGGTAGCCAGCAGCACCTGGGATGGACGACGATGCAGGGTTGACACCAGCTGAGCCGAAGAGAAGAGATCGACTTGCCACACCAGGCGTCTGGACACCATTGTGGGCGGCAGTTTCGAAAGCCAATGCCATCTCACTGACTGGGGCTGGGGCTGCATTCGTTCCTGCTGCTCCTGGCGTCGATGGTGCTGTTGTATTCTTAAGGTCGTAACCTGAAGCAACAGTACCTCGCGCACCACCTCGCTCACCATTGGCACGCGGACTAGGCGCACCCATCCCACTCGAACCGGCCGACATATGAGATGACCCTCGCAAGCGCTGTCTCTTCTTCCTCGACTTCTCCGCACGATCCCTCTCGACCAGCTCGGCACTGAGAGAAAGGATGAATCTACCATAGAAGCGCGCGAACGATCGCGAGTGGGTCGAATCCTGCGGGTCGCCGGCAAGCATGAGCCCGAGTCGCACCACCAATCCACGTGTGTCGATCGGACCATTCTTGAGCAGATGCACACCCGACCAACCCAGCATGGCAGCTACAATACGGCTGATGGTATGTGCTTCCCCTTGCAGGTTGTCGAGCGCGAGCTGGCACGCTTCTGTCAGCAACGACACGACATTCTCGCGAGCAGCTTTCATCGAGTTGCCGCAGACACGAAGGATGCGCATGTTGTTTGCCTCACAGATAGTCCTTCTTCGATCGGATTCTCGAATAGCGTGAGTGTTGATGAGCACCTGGATGTGCAAGCCGATAATGCGCATGATGGTCGAAGTGAGTCGGTGCTTTTCGAGGGCTGGATGCTCGCACCAAGCTTCGTACCACGCTTCAAACAAGACGTTGGCCGAGACACGGATGCTTTCGATGGAGCCAACCTCGTAGTAACTCTGACTGAAGATGCGTGTTCGCATAATCTCCTCGATCCGGCGCAGATGCAGGAAACTAACGATCTGGATGTCACCGTCGAGCGAGATAGGTGACTTGAGCCAATCGTTGAGCGTACCCCAGTCCACATCAAGGGTAGTGTTGGGTCGCTGACCAGAGAAAGAGCTGAAACTCCTCTCCATGATGGCGGCCAGCGCCCATGTCCTGGAACGGTCTCGTGCATATCGACGAGCCATCTCGTCTTGCTGAGGTGTGTCGTCCCGCATGGCAAGGTCGAGCTCTTTTGCCATACGAGCGGCAGTTCCGATGAGCAGCCAGGCGCGATCTTCGGCCATGAGTGGAGTGAGGTGCGCCCACATGGGCCACACGATGAGACCTTTGACCACCTCGACACTCTTGACGTTGCGGCTGAGCACCTCTACGACGAGCGAGTCGACGAGTGCACGGAGTTGCTGGAACTGCTGAACGGCGCGTGGGCTGCGATCGATGGAAGCGGCGATAGCGAGAATGACAGAGAAGAGAAAATTGGACGACTCTTTGATGGTGGCCAGATTGTGAATGACAGAATCGAGAATGCAGAATTGCTCGTGGACGCTTTCCATGAAGATCTTGAAGAGGCGGTGTATGTCGTCCATGGTGACGATACCTTGGTCGAGAGGATCGCATCGACGCGTGTCCCAACTCGCCGAAGCAGATGCACCTGAGAAGTAGGAGGCGCGTTCGCAGGCAGCATGACCAAGACAGGATCGTGTCCAGCCACTGGACTCGAGCATGGCAGAGATATCGCGTGCGGACTTTGCCTGTGCGTCGTCTTCTTCATTGATGGCATCATGCGGGAACGCATGAGACGAGCCACGCTTCTTGTTGTCCAGAAAAGCTGCAGGACTGTGGGCATCCTCGTCGGCCGGATCAAGCTCTGCGGCGAGTTCGTCTTGTTCACTGTCTGAGTCGGTGCATCGCTTTCCGAGGGCGGCCTCGGAGAGACAGAGGAGTGGATTGGTGGAAGAGGGTGGCATGCGTGATTCACGGATGAGAAGGCCGTCGTGGTATTTGGAGGTGCGTCGGCTGCTGCTGCCGTTGCTCGCGATGCTGTGATGACTGCCATAGTGACCATTGGGGGAAGCGGCGGTGGGGACGGTGGAGTAGAGATGAGAATTTGACGAAGATGTGGTGACTGCACTCAGAGGTGACTGATGGTTGCTGGCGTCGGATCCGTGTCGGTTTGTATTGTGCTGGTGGTGCTGAGGGTGAGGGTGATGACGGTCGGTGTCGACGGGATGGTAGGATGCAGGCATATTGGATGGACCAGGATAAGGGCGATCCCATGCGACACTGCGTCGATATGACAAGTTGGAAGAAGAGTCGGGAGCAACAGGGGAGCTGCGGTCGAGTTTGGAATCTGGAGTGCGTGCCTGTAGTTGATGCTCAAGCTGACGTTGGAGCGCTTCTGACTGTTCTCGTGCACGTGTTGCCAGGCTATTGAGAGGTGAGAGGAGAAGGTGAAGAGAAGAGGAAAGTGAGAGAAGCGAAGAAGGGTAAAGATCAGTCAGCAAGTGTCGACATTGAGTAGACCTTTGGCACATTGAGTCAGAGAAGCCGAACGAATGGGCAGAGATTTGAACTCACTTTTTTGTTCCTGGCTTCTTGCCTCTACGGGAAGCTGTCCATGAGCAGTCGAGACCCTTTGCTTCGCAGCGAGAACAGTTCTGTGCGTCTTTGCGTTTGCCGTTGCATTTGATCTTTGCCTTTCTGCACCTGTTGAGCAGATACGATCCGATTAGCACCGTAGAAAGGAGGAAAAAGGGGACGGAAAGCGAGGGTAGGGACCGAAGGTAGGGACAGAGGATGACGAGCGCAATGTCGGTCGATGTGATCAAGACGGAAGGGGACAGGGATGGTGTCAGTACTTGGGGATCCAACAGGGGAGGGGAGGAGGCGGCCGAAGGGTGCGATAAGGTATGCATTGCCGCAAACTCGAGTGTCGTGATACCTGTTTTCAGCTTGATCCTGCGCTCTAGCTTGGGGTTGCGGAAGTACTCACTCTAGACAAGCTTGAGAGTTGCGGACCCTTGGACGATCGTCTTGCTGTTCCTCATCCATGCTGGTGTCCATATTGTCGAAGTGATGAGGGGTGAGGGAGGAGATGATGGTTGCTGAATGAATGGATGGACAAGGGAAGCGGCTGGCCGAGAGAAAAGTTGCGAACGACAAGGGGAAAAAGCGCAAGCGAGGCGGCTAAGGGAAAATTTGCCTCTCTTCTCTTCTTTCCCTCTCTGGCTTTTTGCCGGCTACACACAATGACGGGCGCAGGCTTTATATTTTGTTTTCTGCAATTTGTTTTCTGCAATTTTCTCCTTCTTCTTTGTGCGCGAGTGGCAGACCAGCAGTGTTGCAGCTATTGCCGATCATGTCGCCCGGAAAGGACTGTTCCATCTCAAAGCTGCCAACTCGTCGCTTTGTGAACAGACTACGATTCGACACTCGGGCTGAAATACCACAAGGTCTTAGTCTTGAGACGGAATGGTAGCTCCTGTAAGAGGTGTGTAGACGCAAAGATTTCCACCGCTATTCACAATCAGTCCGTGGCTTGCACCAGGCTGACGGTGTTGTCGAGCTGCTACGATGTACTGAGATATCAGAGCGGCGGAAAATCACGGGCAGGGTTTCTTCAGGCCAACCAATCCCCTGGAGTCATCAGCTAACCATGACGAACCCTGTTGAACTCCTTGGACATCGAACATCTGGGAGATGCGTTTCATTTCAAGAGACATGCGGGGTTGAGGTGAGGTCGTAGCTTGGGGGAAAGAGTAGAAATGAATGGGTCGAGCACCAAGAAGCTCGTGGGTGTCCAAAGTATTCGCTGCTCGATGATGTCGTGGCTGAAATGAATGCGCGGTTTGCAACTCTGCCCTGAATCAAGGGTCGCATTTCTGTTGTAGGACGTACAGCAAATAGCTATGATCACAAGTACCGATTGCGATAATGTATGAAAACTAAGTACAAGATAATGACTAGTATATATATGTTCCAGCGTTCTGTGTATACGTGTGTGATACAGGGATGATAAGGCTGAAAACATGACGGGGAAACTATGTCGGCTATCTGTTAACCGGCATGATACATATCCGAGTGAGCCAAGTTGGCGTTGGCGTTAGTGTCAGATCGGACTAGAAGTCACATACTTTTACTTTTTCGCTTGTCGAAAAGCGAGGCGAGGGTGAGCCACGCATCCTCGCGTCTTTGTCTTTTGTTCTGGAATTATACCGTTGCAGCGAGAAAGACTGCTATGCTGTGCGGGGGATTTCGTATTGCCCATGGATGGCAGTGGAAATAGGGACACAATTTGGGATTGAAATGGTTGCCTGCATACGGGCCCTGAGACGATTACAATTTCTTTCCCAGCCTGCATTTGATCTTGCCTGTCTGTCTCTCTGTCCGCTCCTGGCTCCCCGACCTCCTCCTCTGCTCAGAATGCAAAATAATAATAATAATATATATATATATAAGAGATTCGGACTTGCCCTTGTTGTCGAGCATGACATGAAGGGACTGAAAATTACAGACAGAGGCTCAAAAACGGCTTCAGAGGAAGACCGGAATGAAGACGGGTCAAAGTCGGATATCATGGATCTTGCCGAGCATGCCCTTTCCAAGGGTCGCCGGTCGATAGAATTGTAAATCGAGGCTCGTAATCTGGCTCTTTGTCTGATTGCGACCATGGACCGTGGAGGCGCCGAGCCATCGCGACTGAGTTCCTGAGACATCGCTTCGCCACAGTATTCCTGTTGTAACCTCTTCTGCCTTGCTCTCCAGAGACAGAACTGAGAGACGCAAGCGACCCTTGCTTGGATTTTGACCCTGACCCTGAGGCTGCTGCTGCGTTGCGCAAATCGCAGATCCACGCTGGAATGGCCATCGTCAGCCCACGCGGCCAACTGCGCCTCTCTCAAATTGTCTGTCTGCCTGTTCCCTTGCTCTTGACTTGAATTGACTTGACTTGACTTGACTTTTAACCGTCAGCTGGGACTGTGCTCTTGGTACATGCTCTGCAGCTGCTGCTCCTTCCCCACGTCTTCCCACCTTGCATTCTCTCGTCCTACTGTGACTGTAGAACCTTGTCGTCGCCTTATCCTCATCCTTATCCTCATCCTTGACCATCCGCCAACATCCTATCGCACATCCTTCTCGGTTCTCCTCTTGCCAAACTTTGAGCTACATCCAAGTAGACAATCTGATCAACGCATCGTCTCATCTCGGATCTACCGAGCCGGGCCTGATCTTCCCACATTCGGAAACCTCCTCAGCAGATCAACCTGGATCGCCGCAGATACGACAAGCTGCTATCTGCATTTTTGCGATTGCGCAATCCTCCGTCGGCATCAATAGTTCCATCGGCCTAAGCCGACCAGAGCCAGCTGCTATCGTTCCATTCCAGAGCGCTGCTCGGATCATCCGCTATACTCTATTCACTTCAACACCTTTCAGAATGGGTCGGTAGATCAGAGTCAAGCTCGTCACATCACGCCGCAATACAAACTCTACTCCTTGCCACCATTCCGGCCTCTGCTGTGTAGTCACATCCTAATCTCACCATGTCATTCAATTGGAAGGGCCTCCTTGGCGTCAATCAGACCTCGGCCTCTCCTTCGACTGCGTCACCCACAACAACTGGTTCACAGGATGCTTCGGCTTCTTCCAGCGCCGGTGCCGCTTCCCACGTCGCAACCAATGGCACCGCTTCTCACACCCCAGCCAGCGCATCAGCAGCGAGTCCTTATGCGATGCGTCCACCACTCAACTCCAACCCTTACTCTGTGACACAGCCATCTGCCGCACCGGTCGCGCTCTTTGGCGCCATGATCCCAGGCTCCAACTCCCATCACAGCACCAGCTTCATTCCTTCATCTACCTCCACAAATCAATCATCGATCCTCTTGCGCAAACCCTCCGAGATCCCAATCAACTCAGCAGAAGGAGGCGGCTACCTTCTCGGAATGGAAAATTTTGGCAATACCTGCTACGTCAACTCGATGCTTCAGTCCCTCTACTTTTGTCGTCCCTTCCGGGATTCGGTCCTCAGCTACAAGCATCCATCCGGTCGAGACCGTTCCGAGTCCGATCCAGGCAATCAGGACAGCGGCTCGAGCGTGACGGATTCAGTGCCTCGCACACCACCAGACCATGCTCCGGATACAGTCGATGGCATACCACCTCCAGATACACTCTTTGCAGCTTTGCGCGATCTCTTCGAGGTCATCCAGCAATCTGGTAACCAGAAGGCGCTCTCCTCACCAACAACACTCACTTCGACTGGCTCACTACCGGTCGCGAGTCTTATGTCGCCCTCTCCCCCCAGCTTGACTGAGCAGCCTCCCGTCATGAGAAAGACATCCATCCTCGGTCGTCCTTCTGTGGCGAGCGGCACTGCTGGCAGAGGAGGCGCCGGTAACCATGTTGCTACCCCACCTGCTGCCAACTCGGGCGCAGCCACAGCACAGGCCATCCCCATCACTCCTGGCTCCACCGCGAGCGCAGGACATCCCAACCTTTCCATATCCACCAGTTCAACAGGAACACTCGCCTCGGGCTACCCTGCCGTCGACTCGAGTGCGGTCAAGGCATTCCTCGGCACACTCAAACGCGAGAATGTTCTCTTCGATAGCACCATGCACCAAGATGCGCACGAGATGCTCAACTTTGTGCTTAACAAGGTTGGAGAGGATCTCATCCAGGCCGACAAGGCAAAAGGGCGTGTCAAGATGCAGAGCCGCAACCCTTACCTGAATCTCGGGTCCGGCTCCCACAAGACCGTCGATGGGCACAGCAAGCACAGTGTCATGCAAGTGGGTCCCAACGGCAATACTTGTGTTCATCGTCTCTTTGAAGGTGTCTTGACCAACGAGACACGCTGTCTCACCTGCGAGACCGTCACCTCCCGAGACGAATGCTTCCTGGATCTTTCCATCGACATTGAGAAGAACTCATCCGTCACATCCTGCTTGCGTCAGTTCTCGGCATCCGAAATGTTGCGATCAAGGAACAAGTTCTTCTGCGACTCGTGCTCCGGCTTGCAAGAGGCCGAAAAGCGCATGAAGATCAAGAAGCTTCCCAACGTGTTGGCTCTGCATCTCAAGCGCTTCAAGTACGAAGAGTCGGTGCAGCGATATGTCAAATTGGCTTATCGTGTCGCCTTTCCGCAAGAGCTCAGACTCTTCAACACGTCGGACGATGCAGAGGATCCCGATCGACTGTACGAGCTTTGTGCCATAGTGGTGCATATCGGCGCTGGTCCCCATCACGGCCACTACATCGCTGTAGTCAAAGTCGGCAACCGCTGGGTGCAATTCGATGACGATGTCGTCACATACATTGACGAGTTCGAGATCACAAAGTACTACGGCGACCGACCTGGCCTTGGAAGCGCCTACGTCCTTTTCTACCAGGCTGTTGACCTCGACTTTGGGGATCTTGGCCTCAAAGACCCTGCTCTCGAGGCTCAGATCCAACAAAGAGTTGACGCCAGCGCCGCCAGTGAAAGCAGAGGCAGGGATGGACTCAAGCTGCCAGAGTTGGCTGACCCACGTAACAACCTGCCCTCGCCCGACCGAAGCGGCGCTGCAGCAACTGCCAATCGACCGCGTCTCGATTCAGTCACTGAAGCAAGCCCCCTCGACACTTTGGGTGCAAGTCAGTCGGAATCGAGTGGAAATGGCTGGTTCGGATCGTTCCGCAACCGTGAGAAGCGAGCCAGTAGTCAGTCCAAGCGTAGACCTAAGACCACCTCCGCGGTGGATTCTGTCATTGGCGGTGTGCCTGCTCTGCCAAGCTCGGCAACGTCCGGCGATCTGGCAAAGAATGGAGTGACAGAGACGGACGGCTTGACACCAGACAATGCTTCGGTCTCGACGCACTCTACCAGCGCGAACGATGGCACCTCTCGTGGAACACCCGCGGTCGCGTCCTCGTCCATCACGCCCTTGACCGACTACGCCGGATCCGCATCCATGCACGCTCCACAGACTCATTCATTGGGTGTGAATGCCGCTGTTGAGGCTGGCCTATCGCCTGTACGCAATGGTCCATCAGTCATCGATATGAGCACGCACTCGACGACCACTACCGATGGAAACACGACGAGGGCAACAACAGAGTCACCCAACGAGTCCAAGTATGGACGCATGATCGCCAACCAGAACGATGCAGCTACGAACCGCGAGATGCGCGAGCAAAACCTGATGCGAGGTGTTATGAAGCGTCGAGCTCGTGCCGCTTCCGAGGGCTTTCCTTCCGCCGGCAGGTTGTCAGAGGCGCCGTGGGGTTCCAATGGTCGATCACTTGCGCATGGAGGAACGCTGGTCGCTGAGAACGAGAAAGGTCGTCACGCGGTTGTGACACCGTCGGCCATTGACACAAGCGTGTCATCGGTATCAACCTCAACATCGCCACAGCGCGAAGGTTCGTCCGGACCATCGTTCGCACCTCTCGGAAGACTATTGTCCTCCAGCAACCAAAAGGCAAACGTCAAGAATGCACGCAGAGCATCTTCGAGCTACACGCCCATGTCGCCAGCCACGGACAAAGGCGAGAAGAAGGAAAGCATGCTTTCCAACCTGTTCTCCTCTTCATCATCTTCGGCGGCACAGTCGAAGCGCAACCCCATTCAGCAGGTGCCAAATGGTGCAACAACGAACGGCACAGGCACGGATGAAGGGCAGCCATCCCGCAAGCCGAGTCTGTCGACCCGCACGCTGAGCAAGACGTTTGGGTTTGGTCGCAAGCAGACTTGATCTGACAGCACTTATATCACCCTGCGACAGCCAGCACAGGATCATAGGAAAGCATGTATCTAATCAGCCACCAATACACAGCACCGGCTTGTCGTATTGCAATTATACATTGGAACCAATCTCACTTCTACTTTATCATACTCAACAGTGTGAACGCGAACTTTTGAGAGGCTTTGAGTTGCAAGTTGTTCGGTCGCCTGACCCCATTTCGTCTTTGTGCAGCGGGCATTATCCAAGGATTGGTCGAGCTGAGCTTACACAGTACATTAATGCATGATGATGCATAGTCGTGGTGTTTTGCCAGCAGAGCAAGCTCAGGGAAGGCTAAGAGACAAGGGCAATGATTCAGTGGGACAAATGGCAGACAGACGAGACTGCAAAGTTGAGGGTTAGCGAGCGGTCCGTGGAAACTTTTTCGGAAATTGGAGCCCTGCCTCGGCCATGCATACCTAGCGGAGAGGCCCGATGCTTCGACGACAGTCTTTCAACTACATCCCATTGGGACAACTCTATGACTTGTGTTGACCCGAGGGATAGAGAGACAAGGTTGCGATCGAGGTCTTGGTGTTGGTCTCATGAGAGACGCGTCAAAAAGATTTATCGTGCGAATGGAAACATGCGCATTTTTCAATGGTAAGCGAAGGGGCACGTGACCAATGCTCAGAACTTCATTTTCGTCGCACGTTTTGATTTCTCTTCCGCTCGTTCTTCTCTCTTCCTTCTTCTCCATCACTTTCTCTCTTTGCGCTTGCCCCCTGGCTGCGCTTCGTCAAAGTTTTGTCCTCCATCCCGCCCTCATCATTGCTTGCCTCTCAACACCTTAGTCTCCTGTATCGTTTCTTATATTCGTTCTCGCGCGCATTCCGCCTCGCTTACACGCGACGCTCGACCGGCCGTGCCCCTTACGGCCACGGCTGGGAGCTCGCAAGCGACTCTCTCGAGTAAGGCAATCTTAACATCCTTTTTTTCCCAAATTGTCATGCGTGGTCAAGTGCGATAACTCACCGTTGACGATAGTCGCTGAACGCCGACAGCAGACAGGTCGCGTTTTGTTGTGATGCACCCAAAAGGTTCACACACACACGAGCGTGTACCACACACAGACCGCCATTGTTGCCGAGCGTCTGATCGCTACCGACCGAAGCAACCAACACACACATCTGCCATTCACGGCATGGGAGCCACCTGCAGTCGCTTATGCATTTCACTGCAAACTTGACTGCACAACGGCTGCAATCACCACGTGTGTGTATCGAATCGATTCGATGTGCTGCAGCTGGCACCGACCTCCGACGCTTTTGCAACAGCGTCTAGCACCGTCAGTCTCGCATCCAACGTCTTCGTCATTGCTGTTACGCTGTGCTGTGCTGTTGTGCTGTGGGATCGCTCATCAATGACTCCAACGGCTTGACCAAGAAACAGCGAGGAAAGAACAGTTCTCGGATCGGATAACTGTACCCCGACTCCGTCACCGTGGGTTGCGAGGCACACAGACAATCCAGTCCCACGAATGATTACACACTTGTTCTCCATTCTTTCACTTTGACGGTGTTGCGCCCTCTGAACTGACTGGCACTGTGTCACTATGCGGCTGAAGTTTGTTGATGCTGCAGTCCACCTGTCAAGTCTGCAGCAGATGCGATCTTTTTCGTCCTCCCTCGTCCCTAAGGCATAATCCATCGCTATTGTGCACAACTATTGTGACAAGGAGCGGATCACAAAATGCCATGATCGATTGCAATCATCGAATTGTTGCCAAGTCAGCTCAGCGCTGTATTGATGGTTCGCTGGCGTAGCCCTTTCCTCTCCTCACAACCTGAGTTGCTCGTCCGGCACCCTTTTGACCAATGCCCACAGCTCAAATCCAAATCTGAACCCTGTTGATCATTGAGCCCTCCAAGTTGTTCGTCGAGACTCGTTTACCCCACATCTCGATTCGTCTTTCTTCACCCGGCTCTCCTGTCGCTGACGATATATACAATAGTGTTGACTCTCACTACCTTTCGCTCCCCCCTTCAGCCGACTCCTATCTCTTCACCCTTCGCAAACTCGCAACCCTCGTCCACATGAGGCTAATCGACAGCCGGTAGATTGTGGCACGATGCGTTCAGCACCCGTCTTCCAGCCGGCACTCAACTCGTCGCGGTCCGTGCCCCAAGCACGGGCATGCGATGATGGCCTCACCTTTGTCGCACACTACCCGGCTGACAAGTACGCCGCATCTCTAGCCCAGGGCGCTGCTCGCCTTGAGCTGTGGACTGACCTGCCAGTGTTCCAATCAGACGCTGCCTCGACCTCCAAGGCCACCTCTTGGAAGTCTGTTCCCCTGGTCCACGTCAAGGCTACTGTGGGGTATCAAAGCGGCTATTCTTTTGTTGCCAAGGTCAAATGCAACGACGAAGCAGCAGACGGCGTCTTTGGCTTCACTTATCGCATCGTCCATCCCGATGGTCAGATCGACTGGCTTGGATCACCTTCCAATGACGGTCAAATCTATGTTCCATCGCTGCAAAACTCGCCCTTGACCATTCGACAGCTTGTACAAGCTCACAAAGGCACCGATCTCTCCGTCCTCGATACTAGTGACTCCGACCACGGGCAAGATGGAGCGATCACATCTGCTACCCTGTCTGCCTCCCTTCGCGATGCCTCCGGCAATCTGTCCTTCAGCATCAAGTTGAGCGACGTTCAATCTGGTCTGGTGATTGAGAGGACCAAGTCGACGTGGTGCACCTCTAGACGCTTCCAGTCACTCGCCGACGTCTCGCCTGACTTTGGCGCGAATCTTTTGGCTTTGGAGCTCGCACAGTCCAGTCGACGAGAGATGCTGGTCCTCATGCCTGTCTTTGAAGACGCCAACGTCACTTCTCGTCTCATGCGTGGCTCCTGTACTGGCGACAGAGTTGACTTCCACATCAATGGATCCGACAAGCCTCAAGCAAAGGTGTCGTTCGCTCTCGGGACAACTGACAAACTCGAACAAGCAATCGCAGCTTGCCGAACTCATGCTGCAAAGTCACTTCGCACCTGCAGTCACGAGCCACTAGGACTAAGCTGGTCCGCCAAGAAGGCGCTCGATCTAGAATTACCACAATCGCCCGGCGTCGAGGATATGATCCCCTCTCTCGCCTGCTCCTACTCGGAGCCCGATTGCGTTGACATCTCCTTCTACTCAGACTCCACCGCCGTCGAAGGTAGCTATCAGGGACTTAGCACAGTCAGCTCGATGGTCCCCCCGACTCACGAGGAGGAGATTGTCAGCCGACACGCCATGCAGGAGGAAGATGATGACAGGTCGACCGTCAATGGCGATCGTACGATTCAGGCAGACACCCGCGTCAGCCCCCTGCAACCCAAGGCTGGTCTCGGGTTCTGCACTTGGGAAGCAATGCAGAACGAGAATCGCCGACCCTTGCTGTCCGAAGTCGTCGCTGCGCTTGAGGCAGCAGAACATCGTATGGGAAAGGGCTCAATCACTGCCTTGCTGATTGACGATGGATGGCAAGATGTCGTGCACGGTGAAGGACATCGTGGCAGACTCAACAGCTTTGACATGGACCCGTCCGTTTTCGATCTCGAAGCAGCCAACGATGGAGATCAGCAAACTTCTGTGCTCTCTCGCTACGTCTCACATATTCGCCAGAGGTTCCCTTCAATCAAGTCAGTAGGCTTCTGGATGGCACTGGCCGGGTATTGGGACGGTATCCACCCTGATGGACCCATCGCCAAAGAACTCAGCGCGCCTCTTCGTCAGGTTCATATCAAAGACACTCACCGTCAGGCAAGCCGAGACTGGTATATCCAGGCAACGGAGCTGGACATGCATCTCTTCTGGGATCGAGCCTTCCATTCGCTTCGTCAGAGCGGCATCGACTTTGTCAAGATTGACGCTCAAGCTGAGTGGGAGTGGATACAGGAGGATGCCACCAGTGACAGAATGATGCCTCGTGCTTCTAAACTGGGTAAAGCAGCATTCGAAGCGATGGAGGGCGCAGCTACACGCTACTTTGGCGCTGGAGGCGGCGTCATTCATTCCATGGGTTTCACATCCGCGCTCACAAACACTTCCAGGACACTGCACAGCCAGGGCATGGCCATCCGTTGCACTGACGACTTTTTCCCTCAAATTCCTGACGCCCACCGTCACCATCTTGCGCACAATGTCTACAACTCATTGTTGCTCCCTGAGCATCGATGCGATGCTGACATGTTCTCGCACTGCCTGCAAAAGGAAAGTGAGGATTCGCAGCAGGACCACACAGGCTATCACGCCTCCTTTCGCTCCTTCACCGATGCAAGGCTGTGGGTTTCGGACAAAGCGGATGCACCTCAGCATGCTTCGTTGCGCGCTCTTGTATCGCCTGGACAGCTGTCAGAGCAAGGTGCAAAGATCGGAATGCAGGCAAGAGGTCATTTGCTGCCAGATGCGGCATTTGACGATCTCATCGGCGAAGGATCCGGTCCAGCGCTTAAACTTATGGCCCAACACGAGAAGACTGGGAGCGCGACGCTGGGTCTCTGGAACCTGCGTGGTGGTCAAGCCAGCTCCTTTGACTCGCTCCATGTGAGCCAAATTCTGCCAAAGCCTGGCCACTGTGTAGTCATAAGCTTCCGCACAGGCAAACTGTGGCTGCTCGCCAACAGCACTGAGCATAGCATGCTGAGCACGGTACTCGAGGCAGGCTCATGGGAGGTCCTAAACTTCTCACCCTTACTCAACACATCAGTAGACGGCGTACACGTAGCGATGCTTGGCTCCACAGAACACTTTATGACCCCCGAAGGCATCCACTCGATCACCATTTCGACCTCCAACCCCGCTAGAGAGGTCCGGCGACGTCGCTCTGCCCGTCGTCCATCTCACCATCGCAGCCGGTCTTCCCGCTCTAGCACATACAGCAACAGTTCTGTTGGAGACTCCACTGAAACAGCGCTCACCACCACCACCACCGCTGCTACGAAGGTCGACACACTGATGCAGCAAGAGAACGGCTCTCAAGCAGTCCTGCTCTCCCTTGCACTGATCAACGGCCTCTTTGCTGCATTGTACGGTGTTATTCGATCATCACAGCGCACCACTGTTGGCAAATCAAAGAAACTCCCTCGACCTGACATTCTGGATGCGGTGATCAGCATGCTCGACAAAATCCAAACATTGATGGTCTTTGGTCTGCTCATTGTAGCTTCTTGGACATCCATCATCCCCATCTCATCCGGAAAGGAAGGAGGCAATACTTGGTTGCCGGCATGGGGCAAGAAGCAGATCTCCGAAAGCGATTTTGACGATCAGACACTCAAACGGGTCAGACTTCGCCCCGCTGACGCAGTAGCCACCTTGAAGCGCTGTCTAGCATCTCGCACCATTACCCCCCTCCGCGAATTCCCAATCTCCATCGAAGAGCCACGATCTCCCATCACCCCTTCTCCCAGTTCTACAGTTCAAGCCAAGCCACGAGTCATCACCTCTGAACCCATGGTCATCGCTAAGCCGGATGTCATCTTCATCTCGACCATCGACATGGCCGCTAAAATCGCCTTCCTTGTCATCTGCCCAGCGCAGAGCTGCATCAAATCATGCACCATCGACCGCGTTCAATACGATTGCAGCGCCACTCCATGGATCACAATTTCTGCTGTTGAGATCGAACAAGGCTCAGCTAAGTCGCAAAGGAACGAGGACGGTGGGGCATTCAAGTTGGAGGTGGATATGAATTTGTGGTTGGAAAGTCAGGATGAGACTTTTGTGCAGAGTTTGTCCGCGCCTGTCAGCGTATCTGTTCGGGTTAGCGGTGCTTGATTTGTAATGAATGAAATGACTTTGACGACAATTGATGTTTGTCTGTGTACGTGTATCAAGCTTGAGAGTGTGCTGAGCTTGTGTGGACTGTCTGAAGGGGGTTGAGGGTGTAGGAAGGAGGGCCAGCGTAGGAGGCACAACGACTAGAGTGGGCGTTGGTCCGCAGCTCACAGCTGTCAAATTGCGCTTTCCCTCTCCTTGCCCTTTTGCGTGCCCACGTACCGCCTCACACATTCTCACTTCAACTCAATCGACGCCTGCTCTTCCACACCTTATCACTCAGACATTTGCAAACTCAAAGGTGCAGGGAATGGTAACATCGCCATCGCAATCTGTCGATTGGGAGTGGGAACCAAGACGAAGCCAGAAAGTGGTGCAAGTTCTCCTGGCCCTTCCTCACCTTCTTCCCCGACCTTCTCCTAGTATGGGTATCGGAACCTACTCCTCTGTTTATCAGTCAAATCACTCAAATCTTCCCCATCATCTACTTCCCTCTTCCCTTCCTCCTCTCCCTCTATCCCGTCCTCCCCTGCCGACACGACGTCCTTACACCCTCCCAACCCATTCCTCCTATTCCACCTCGCATGAACCCCCCCAATCCCAACCAAACAAGCCGCGGCAACCCCAAACACGACCACCAACGTAATTTTCGCTGGAACAAACCCAGGTGCATCCTTCACTCTATACGTCTGAGGACCGATCAAATTACCCACTGAGTATCCGACTTGAAGTACCATATTGAACACGATCCGCTTCGTCGTTCCTGATACACTACTGCTCAAGAAGCTATAGATGAAAGGAGAGGCTACCGGATATGTGAAACAAATGACATAACCTGAATAGCGTCCAGCAGAGCTAGTAGAGGGGATTGCGATCATCATTACCCCTCCCACAATCGCCAGGATGTACATTAATACCCCAGGAATAACGCGGGTGTGTGTGACGTGGGAGAGCCAAGCTCCGAAGTAGACGGCAACAACTTCCATTGCTCCTGGAGCCATGCCTAGAAGAGAGGTCGTTTTCGAGTCGTAGCCGAATTGAGAGATGATTTCGGAGCCGAAGTTGGATACTCCTCCGTTAGCGATGTTTGCGGCGCAAATTGCGACAAAGAAGAGGTATAGACGGAAGTCCTTGACAGCCTCGATTAGCTGGTTCTTTTTGAACTTTTTATCGTGGATACCTGACTTGTTGCTCCTAATCCTGTGCACCGCGATCTGGCGTTCACGGGTGGTGAGGTATCGAATAGTAGCTGGGGAGTCCGGCATAAATGCTAAAACGATGAAGCCGAACAAGAACGCTATTCCTGCTAAGATCAGGTACAACTGTTGCCAAACCCTCAACTTCCCCCCCTGATTCTGCACTTGTAAAGCATAGCTTATCCCACCACCAAGTATTTGAGCCCAACCATTGTTTGCAAACCACACTGACGTCCTCACCACCTGCTCTCGCTTCGTATAAAACCTTCCTGTGAGCAATACCAGCGCCGGAGTCAAGGCTGCTTCGGCCCATCCGAGCGTTAACCTTACCACCACTAGTTGGGGGTAGTTTCGACACGCTGCATGAGCACCAAGTGCAATTGCCCAGAGAACAATATTAACCCCGACATATCTGGATAACGAAAACTTCTGCAGAAAATATCCATGAACAGGAGTGGCAATGAGGTATCCAACATAAAAAAAGCTACCTAGCCAACTGTATTGCTGCCCGTGCAGATGCGTATCCTTCTTAAGTCCAAGGAGGGAAGCGTAGTTGAGAGAGGTCTTGTCGAGAAATTGAAGGAGGACTGCTAGACACATTAGGGGCATGAGGTAGAGGTCTATTTTTCGGAGCACTCGGGTGGTGTCAGCAGCTGTGATAGGGTGGGTTGGGTTGGAGGCGAGTTCGAGTGCGACTGCATTTTCGTCCAGGTGGTTGTAAGGCGCGGACGTGACTTCGGTTGTGGGGTAGGGGTGTTTCTTTTCGCCTTCCATGGCAGGGGTGGTTGAGGTTGATAAGGATGAAACCCGTGTTGATAAAGTGGTGCTGACCATGATGGCTTGCGCCAGGAAGAAGATGCTTGGGACCAAGAAACGAAGGGGGAAGCCCGAAAGAGGTCCTCTTCGAAGTGTGGCAGGTTAAATAGGTTCTTCAAGATGATGTGCAAGCCTCCTAACCGAAGCAACTAGAGTCGCTTCTCGCCACGAGGCCAAGACTCAAGCTGGTCTTCAGCTCAAACGATCTCTTATCTATCCCACCTGCAATCTCAGAAGACATGTGAGCGAAAGGCTCGGTCAATTTACACATCGTACGGTGAAGCGGTTGGTTGAAGAACCGACGGTTACGAAAAGCGTCGTACAATCGGCGAATTTGTCCGGATAGGCGCACGCACACACGTAAGAGGTAGCGCAATTCGATCGCTAAGCGACGCACGAAGCTTGATGCGTTATCGCAGATCCTGTTCTGATTCGTTCATGCCACACTACTCTGTCCAAGGTCTACTTTCTTTGAGTCAAGTGTGCATGCTCTCTTCCATACCGCACGTCCATTGCAGCTCAGCTTTGGGGTCACAACGCTTCAATTCAGGCGCCGGCCAGGGACAGGTCTTGCAACGGCGTTCAGTTGACTAACTTCCAACTGTGATATGACCGCCGGTCATCTCAATCAAGCGCAACCTCGTTACGTTTTAGCGTATCAGTCTTGTGCAACACTACCCAGACATATAAATTTTCCTTATCTCAACCCTTCGCTTCGAAGATATGGAGAGAGCGCTCATGGCCAATTACATTTCTTGTTGTGAACGGAGAGTCGGGCGAGCCAACGGCATACTTAGTCGCCTGCGGTCGGTCAATTTTTTTCGCCGCAAAAGTGTGAAACCTAACACCAAACATAGACAAAGCTCGTTGCGAGGATCGTTGATGTTGTTTGTGACTAGCCCGATCTTGCTCTCCTTACCTTTCGGCTGGGTTACAGCGTCTCAGGTTCCACAAGATCATAGAGAGAGTAGCAGCAGAGAAGTCCAAATCGGAGAACAGTGCGATTTGGGAATGGGTATATATCATTGCAGCCACGCATAGAGCCTTCAGTTGAGGGCGATCTAAAGCGTCGGCGGAGTGAAAGCGTGGGAACGAGACGAAGTACAAATACAGTGTCGGGTACGAAAACGAGTTGTGCTGATCGCGCAGGAGTCTGGGACAAGACCAACCAACGGGTGATCAGATCAAATGCTGCAGTGTGCCGAAACGGTGGGATCGGAAGAAGTGGGAGGGTGTTGCAATCAAGCAAGATCTTTGCCAAGACCGTCTTCATCGACAGCTTCCATGTTTGCCAAATTGAACGCTGCGTTACGTCGGTACTAGATATCAAGGAACGATCGACCAGAGAGAAGGAGAGCAATGGAATCAGAAACGATGGAAGTGTCAGCAATCGCGAGATGACAGAAGATCGCGCGAGTCTGGGAATGCGAGCTTGGACTTACAGCTTCCGACAGCTCAGCAACGATTGTGATGGCCTGATTGTGGTTGTTGATCTCTACAACAGATCTATCGAGTTCGAGGAGCGCTTCATTGAGACGATGGACGCTCTTGGTGATTCGTTCAAGCAGTAGCGACTGCCTTTCCTCCTGTTGAGGCCCGAGTAGCAAAACATCATCAATGTTTCATTACACATCAGAGAAGCGATCGTCAGCGATCTGTAAGCTGTCATCGAAATTGTGAGGAGAGTGAACTTACATGTGGGTTCTCCATGATGGCCAATTGTGTGGTGGTGACGACGATGGTGGTGAATGATATCGAAAGTGTCACTTTTTGTGTGAGTGTTGCTCTCAGGCAATACACGCGCGCGTCTCTTTCTCGCTTTCGTGTCGATTGCAGCTTAATCATCAAAATGCGTGTGCGTCACGTCACCTGATGCAAACCAACGCGAATCTAACAAATACGGCGCTTGCAATTTTAGCAAAGCCCTCGTACGAGTCGACGCGGAGTAGCAAGCCAGAAAGCAAAATCCCGTCTGGACTCAATCGCACGAAACAAAACCGAAGTTGTATATACGTGACACGAACAAACTCGGTCAAGCGCAGAAACGAGCAGCAAGGGAGGGTGTACAGAGAGGGCAAATAACAACGAACTAGGCTGCTAATAGTACGCCTGGGTTTGGTGGAGATGATGGTAGTGAAGAGCGGAGCGGAGAAGCGGAACAATGCGATTGTTGAGTCCAGCCCAGTCGCGCACGCCTTTCTCTGACGATCACGTGATGCAAAAGAGAAAGGCATTTTTTTTGTGTGCGGCAAATCTTCTTACGGCTGCACTCGACTGCGCCTCAGCCACCTAAACCACACGCTCTGTCCTTCTATCACTCTTCCACCATCGCATCAAAGAAGATCATCAAGAAAGAAAACACTCTCTTCACCGCAAAGAAGTGCTTCTTTGATCTTATATCCACCTCACCTACCCCACTTCGGACCTGCTGGCAGCATGACCAAGACTGTTGCTATCCAGTCGCCTGAGATCGCTAGCGTCTCGTTGCACAACAACATTCCAACGCATCTCCATCTCTACGTTATCCCTTTCCTCTCGCTCTACCCTGTTTGGGCCTATGCCTACTTTGTCAAGTACGATGACTGGGTTCGATCCGAAGAATGGACTTTTGTCTTTACCGTCCTTCTCATCTCCGGTCACGCACTCAGCTTCCTCATTACCAAATGGAGTATTGCTGCCAAGGTCTTGACCACATGCACCAACGCTAAAAGCCTCGAAGATGTGGAACTCGTCCGTGTCCACCCTTTTCCACACAAAGGTGAGGGAGCCATTGTTCCACTAGACCGAGTAAAGAGACCAAATCTCCCTATCGAAGTCTCCTTCACCTACCAGGCAGATAAATACATCCTTGCTACACCCGACGCCTCCGCCGCACCCACCGACATCTTCGTCTCGCCTCTCATCAACGAACCTACTTTCCGCCGTCTGCCTTATCCTGCCGACTCCAAACCGCACCTTTCGCAGTTCCAGTCCAACCGCGGGTTCAAGACCGAGAAGGATGTCGAGCTTGCACTTGGTACTTTCGGCAAGAACGAGCTTGACATTCCTAAGCCCAAATTCGTCGATCTGTTCCTCGAACATGCGGTGGCACCTTTCTTCGTTTTCCAGATCTTCTGTGTTGGTCTTTGGATGCTTGACGAGTACTGGTACTATTCGCTCTTCACTCTGTTCATGCTTGTCGTATTCGAGTGCACAGTGGTGTTCCAGCGTCTCCGCACACTCAGCGAGTTCAGGACAATGTCGATCCAGCCTTACAAGATCTGGGTCTATCGTGCTGGGAAGTGGGAAGAGATGATGACTACCGATCTTCTCCCCGGCGATCTTGTCTCCATCGATCGTTCCAAAGAGGACTCTGCTACACCTTGCGACCTCTTGCTCGTCGCTGGCTCGACTATCGTCAACGAAGCTATGCTTTCCGGTGAAAGCACACCTCTCCTCAAAGAAAACATCGAACTTCGTGACGGAAAGGATGTGCTCGACGTCAACGGTGCTGATCGTAACAATGTCGTTTTTGGTGGTACCAAGGTTCTTCAGACTACTGCACCTGAAGCTGACAGCAGCTATGCCAAGGTTCGTGCTCCCGACAACGGCGCACTCGGTATTGTGCTGCGTACCGGTTTCGGAACTTCTCAGGGTCAACTTATCCGTCTCATGGTCTTCCAAAACGAATCTCGCGTGACGGCGAACAACATCGAGAGTTTTGTTTTCATTGGTTTCCTGCTCATCTTTGCCATCGCTGCAAGCGGATACGTCTGGGTTAGAGGAACCGAAATGGAACGTCCCAAAGGCAAGCTCTTACTTGATTGCGTACTTATCATCACCTCCGTAGTGCCGCCAGAGTTGCCAATGGAGTTATCGATGGCGGTCAATGCTTCACTGATGGCGTTGGCGAAGTATGCGATCTTCTGTACCGAGCCTTTCCGCATTCCCTACGCCGGTCGCGTGGATGTGTGCTGCTTCGACAAGACGGGTACCATCACGGGTGAGGATCTCGAGGTGCAAGGTGTTGTCAACTGTACTCCTGGTGGCGACTCCCCACTGATCCCGCTGAAAGAAGCATCGGCGGAGACAACACTTACTCTCGCTTCTGCCCACGCACTTGTCTTGCTGGAAGACGGCCTCGTAGGTGACCCTATGGAAAAGACTACCCTCGAAGCGATGGATTGGAAACTCAACAAAGGAGATATGCTCACTCCTACAGACCCAAAAGCCGGTCCTCATCGATTCGGAGTCAACGTTCGTCGACGTTTCCAGTTCTCTTCCGCTCTTAAACGTATGTCTACCATCAACCACGTCGTCGACCAATCCGGTAACCGTCGTACATTCATCGCTGTCAAAGGTGCTCCGGAGACCCTCAAGACCATGTTCGCTAACCTTCCAGCACACTATGATGAGACGTATAAAGGCTTTACTCGTAGAGGATCGCGTGTGCTCGCACTTGGATACAAGTTCGCAGACAACATCAAGCCGAATGATACGAATGCGATCAACAATCTGCAGAGGGATCAGGTGGAATCCGAACTCAAGTTTGCAGGGTTTTTGGTCTTCCACTGCCCTTTGAAGCCGGATGCAGTGGAATCGTTGAAGCAGCTAAATGACTCTTCGCACCGATGTATTATGATTACTGGTGACAACCCTCTTACTGCTGTACACGTTGCAACGCAGGTAGAGATCGTGGATCGTCAAACTCTAATCCTCGACGTGAAGGAAGGAGCTACTTCCGAGTCCGAATTGGTTTGGAGGTCGGTAGACGAATCCGTCATCATCCCCACCTCATCCTCCGATCCTATCGATACAACCCTGTTCAACACCTACGACATCTGCATCACCGGTGTAGCCATGAAACAATACCAAGACAACCCCGAAGCATGGAACCATTTGGTCCAGAACACTTGGGTCTACGCTCGTGTTTCGCCCTCTCAAAAGGAGTTCATCTTGAACTCTCTCAAGTCTTTGGGTTATATCACACTCATGGCTGGTGACGGAACAAATGATGTTGGTGCACTAAAGGCTGCTAACATTGGTGTTGCACTACTCGATGGAACCCCGGAAGATCTCCAGAAGATTGCGGAACACCAGAGAATGGAACGAATGAAGAAAGTCTACGAATCTCAACTTTCCCTTACCGCTCGTTTCGGTTCAGCACCCCCACCCGTGCCTCCTATGCTGAAGGAAAGGTATCCTGAACTCGAAAAAGCACGAGACGAAGCCTTGGCGAATATGAACACTGCTAGAGCTACCGACCGTACCGCCAAATTCGATCTTTCCTCTATCACCGCCCAGATGACCGACGCCGATATTGATGATGGACCGCCGCAGATTCGATTAGGTGACGCTAGTGTTGCTGCACCGTTTACGTCTAAGCTCTCGAACGTTGCGTCGGTGCTGGCGATTATCCGACAGGGTCGTTGCACTCTAGTGGCTACGATTCAGATGTATAAGATCTTAGCGCTGAACTGTCTTATTCAGGCGTATTCACTGTCGGTGTTGTACTTGGATGGGATCAAGTTTGGCGACTACCAGGTGACTATTTCTGGTATGCTAGCTTCCGTTTGCTTCCTATGCATTTCCCGAGGACAGCCTATCGAGAAGCTATCCAAAGAACGACCCGTGGCGAACATCTTGAACGCCTACGTATTCGGTTCGATCCTAACCCAGACAGCATTACACATCGCTACGATGTATTACATCCAAAAGCTTTCCATCGCTTTCGAGTCGCCCGATGACGTGATCGATCTCGAAGCAAAGTTCTCTCCCTCTCTTCTCAATACTGGAGTATACCTCCTCGGTCTCAGCCAAACTATCTCCACCTTCGCTGTCAACTACATCGGACGACCCTGGCGCGAGTCCATCCGCGAAAACAAGTATCTTTACTACGGACTAGTAAGTGTGGGAGGAATTGCAATTGCAGGAGCGACCGAATTTATGCCAGAGTTGAACCAGTGGTTGCAATTGGTAAAGATGCAGCCAAAGTATCAGGTTCAATTGGTGACTGCGATGACGGTGGACTTTTTGGGTAGTTATGCACTAGAGAGCTTCTGGTCATTGTTTGCGGACGTTAAGCCAAAACCTTTGGTGACCAAGGGACAAGAGAGGAGGTTGGAGAGAAGAAAACAAGAGCTAGTGCAGAAGAGGTTGGATGAGGAAAAGAGTGCTGGGGAGAAGAAGGAACTCTAATTCGATCAACATCAGCTTAATTATCTTGTTGTAAAGCAGGAAGAGTTGCCCTTCGAGGTGATACGCCACGTTTGTATATAGCTCTTTGAATCTGAGTGGTTTAGACATCAGACCGGAGTTTTTCTTTGCTTGTGTTGTGTAGGTGATAAGCTTGTTAGGATCCTGCTTGCTTCTTATCGAATGAGGGTGAGGCGGTCTCAGTAAGAGCCTTTGTGAGAGTGGGCTGGACAATTTACCAGTTCGTTCAGAACAAAATAATAACAACAAGAAAGTCAAGAAAAGAGAATCGAAAATCAGGCTCAGGAATTCCAACAGGCTCCACGGACACCAGCTCGAGAAAAGGGATCAATCCCCTTCCGCTTTCCACTCGTTCGTTCGCAATCAACAAGGCGCATTCGGAATCCGATGCTGCATCCAGAGGCACAGCTTCACACCATGCTACACGGCAGAAGCCCAAAGAAGGCACACAAGAGCATAGAGAAAAGAAATTCAAATTGAAGCGCAAAGAAACGCAAGACAGATACATTACAGTACAAGCTATGTGTGTCAGGCTCAGTAAAGAGAAGAAGCTTGAGATGCAGGGAGCCGATCGATCAGTCAAAACAGCCAGAACGGAAGGTTGGACGAGTCAAGTGAAAGGTATGGCCAAAGCAGCTAAACGGGGAAAGTAAGGGAGTTGGGGGAGGGGGAGAAGCTAGAAGCAGAAAGACAATGAAGTCATAGCTCATCCGAGCCTGCTCCAGATCGTCGAACAACAGTCTGTGAGACTATGGACTACCATGGGATGTGTTTCCAGGAAGCATGGCTGCATACTCAAAAGGGATGTAGGATTAGGCATCCTCAGCACGGGGTTCCTGAGAGATAGCACCGTATCCACCCGAAGCAGGCGAACCAGCAGGAACGCAGAGGCTCTCAGGAACGAGAACATGTCCCTCATCAGGAGTGGCGAGGAGCAACCAAGCACCCCAGATAGGCTTGGCGATGACATCGAGGATGGCAAAGAAGAGGATTTCTTTGTCAGGGTTGAGCTTGCCAGTTCCCTCGCAAAGTGCGAAAGCAACGGGGTAGAGGGTCCAGACAACAACAAGGGTGAAGGAGATCTGGTTGTAGAGACCACCGACCTTGGGGCTGCGAAGGAAAGCGGTGGATCGGCCCGAGGTGACGAGCTGAAGGAGAATCCAGGCTAAGGCGACGCAAGAGAAGGTGAAGAAGCCCCACTTGCCTGTCTTGGTAGGGTGAACACCAGCAATGACACCAGTGACGATCATGACCTCGTCGGCGAGGACAAGGACGATGATCTCAGCAACGGGGAGGCCAGCAAGAAGAGTAAGGTCGAAGAGGAGGAGAGGGGTGGTAAGAGCCCAGTCGAGATCTGTTTGCACGGGAGAGAGCAGAGGAAGAAAGCCAAAGAGAAGTAGAGGTCAGCAATCTGTTCAGTTTATACATCTATCAATCAGGTCTTTTGTGACATAACAGCTTCGCTCTCACGCAAGTGCTGCTTGTGCCAAAGACCCTGTTCACTTCGCTTCTCTGTGTATGTATACTCACATCGAGCGTAGAAGAATTCGCGGGGAGCGTGGTGACCCTCGCCAATAGTGGTGTAAGTCTTTCCGACGCCAGTAGCCATGGCAAAGTAAGAGAGAGAGGCAATAGCAGTGATGAAGAAAGTAGTGGTGTGCATAAGACGGTATCGGTACGAGGCGCGCTGGGACGAGATGAAGAAGAGAACGGAGAAGCCGGCCATGACGAAGAAGACGGCCCAGAGGTAAGTGTGACCCCACTGAGTGGAGACGATGGGGTGCTCAAGGTGAGGAGGGATGGGAGGGATTCCAACATCGGGCTTCTTGAAGGCGTCAAGGACGCTGTCGTAGTAGAACGAGTTCATCTTGTTCAACGGGATGCTGTCGCTGGCTGACGCTGAGTGAGGAGTGAAGAGAAGAATGGTATAGATAGAGGTGTTTAGGGATAGAACAAGCTGCTATGGCTTTAACTTGACGACGACGGCGGCGGAGGTGACGGCGACGAGCGTTTCTCTTAAGGTGAGTGGATGGTGGAGGTACAGACGAAAGAGGGAACACAGACGGAGGAAGCAAGATGAGAGGCTGGGATATTAAGCACTGAGCTCAGCTCAACTCGAGAGAGGGAAAGACAGCGAATATGCTCACACCTTGGGCTTTCGGAAGGGCCGATGCACATTTCCTGCAACACGGCTACGCCGACGTGGGCTAACTGCTGATGGACTGAGGAGGAAGAGGCAAAGCTCACAGCCAAAAGCTCGAGAAATCGTGCGCGCACAGTCCAGTCCCAAGTCTAAGTGCAAGGATGGAGAGAACAAATTAGGCAAAAGCTCAGAGCTCATGATGTGGTCCGAAGATCGCGGCGGGTCGAAGGCCAGGCCAGCGTCTAGGCGAACGAAGGGGGCATCATGGTGCCGCTCAGCGTGGGAAAAGAGAAGACCGGCCAGAGAGAGAGAGAGAGTCAAATGACCTTGAGGATCGATGGTTGGCGAAGACCGAAGAGAGTGGAGGCAGGAGCAGACAGGCGAGCAGAGCAATGGGCAGTTCAAGTCGGCATGGCAACCAAGAGAAGCACGATGACAGTGTCTCTGTGACTTGAAATAGGAAATGCACGGACACTCTCGTTGCATCAAGGTTTCGCTCGCTGACAGCTGAGGTGCATAAGCCAATTTTTCCCTTTCCTTTCCTTTGCTCGGCGACCTTTTGTTCCAAGAGCTCTTCATCGGCCCTTCCGAAAGCAACTTCGGACAAGCCGACATAGCTTCAAGGCAACGGCTTTCTCGCTGCCATTTCTTGAGCTGACAGAGGCGGGACAGCTGACCATGAGCTCTAGTGCGACAACGAGAACGCAAGCAGTGATTATTGAACGCGAAACAGAATCGCAAAAATGAGCCAGACGCAGGGTGACTTCATGGCAATCCCACGCTGATCCATTCACCGCACCTCTCTTTCGCGTAGATTACACCGTACTCTGGGCCGACATCTTTTTCCCTTGCGGTATCGTTAACTTCCCCCCACACCGAAGGAAAAGAGGGGGTGGCTTGCTATGCCTATCCCTCGGACCGACCGAAAGACTCTTCCTACAGTGAGAGACAAACGTCTTCGCTGTCATAGTGTCAGATTCAAGGAAGGGGCTGCGTTCCACTCCCTCCCACAGAAGTGTCTCACATCCGCTGTCGGATGTGAACCATCCATCGACACAAGCAAGGGAGGAAAGCTCGGCTACAAATTGCGCTTACCCTAAAAGAAAGGGTCGTAACTATTCATACCGTACTGCAATTGCTGGATGGATGACCTGCATCGCTCGATTGCAAGAGCTTCATTCATGCACACCCGCTCACGGGCCAGGGCAAGGCACAGCAGAAAACCCTGTACTTTTCCTCCACTTTTTTCCATTTCGTGGTTGCTTCGCTTCGGCGAATTTGCGAGCAAGGGTGGGCCAAAAATAAACTCACCGGCCATCTCCAATTTTTCATCCATTGGATGTCAGATCACAAAGAACTCACAAGCCAGAAGGTAGAAAACTTCGAAGAAGGCAAAGGTTTCGGAGACCGGGAAAGGGTTCTTGCCTGATAGCCGGAAGCGAGTGAATCCAGCTCTTCTCGAAATGTGGAGAGAATGTTGTGTGAAAGGTTAGCTTTGGTGTTGCTTCTTCTTACACCACCAATCACTACCTTTCGAACCATTAAGGTCACACAGATACCATCTCAGAACGTAGCAACGGTCTCACGCATATCACGAGTATCCAACTTCAAGCCCTCCACCTCCGAGCGCGGACGCCATTACCCACACAAAAGGCGCTAGCGAGCTTGACCCGACAGCCATCTTCTTGCCCACGTCGAGCATCGACGCGCCAATACGGATCAAATTGATCTACCCTAAGCTCGCTCAGCACCCCATCGACTAGCTGATAGTATATAATTGGGGCATGATGGCATCACAAACATCAACCAAACGCCTACTAAAAGAATACACCGCAATCCAACGCGAGCTAGGCCAATCTCCCACCTCCCCCTCTCGCTCACCCTCCGCAAACCCCTTCCTTCTCGAACTGAGACCGTACGACCTTGACGCGGAAGACCTCACAGAATGGACCGCTCTTCTCTCCGCTCCACCTCAATCACCTTATTACCCGGGACTCTTTTACCTCAGTATAAACATTCCACCATCCTACCCTACCAAACCACCAGTGATTAAGTTCAAGACAAAGATATTTCATCCGAATGTTAGCTGGAAAGATGGAGACATATGTCTAGACATTCTAGCCGCTCAATGGTCTCCTGCTTGGGGGCTAAGCTCTTGTTGTACAGCAGTGCTGGCATTGTTGGATGCTCCAGAACCGGATTCACCGTTAAATGTGGACGCAGCAACGTTGTATAGAACGGGAGATAGGAGGGCTTGGGAGAGTATGTGTCGGATGTATACTTTGTTATATGCTCAGAGTTCAGCATAGTTTCGGGGACTACCAGCATTTGAATTGTATTTGTATCCTTCTCACGCATTCATATAGCATCGCTCAATATCACAGCATCACATCACACCAACATCAGGCTTCTAGGGCTGCCTGGCGAGCTGAAAGAACGAAACATGGAATGCAATCGGAAAAAAAAAACAAAAAACAAAAAACAAAAAACGATATGCAACAAACCCCCTGCCCGTCAGCCCGCATCCCTCAATCATAGATGAGAAGAGGGTTGATCCTATCCATAGCAAACAAAAAGTTATTACTATGATCTTCCGCCTCCAAAAACCTCGTCGGATGTAACACCAAAGAACCTCTACATTCGTCAAGTAACATTTCCATCTGTTCTAATTCTCTTGCTGAAAACCCTTCTACTTCCTTCTCCTTCTTTTCTCCTTTCTCTCCTTTTAGTGTTCCATTTTGACCCGGAGAAGGAGCATCTCGAAGGGATTGGGGAATATTCTCATCCTCCTTCTTATCCTCTTTTTCTTTCTTCTCTCCACTTGAGCTAGGATGGGGAATAGAACCTTCAGGCCCACCCACACTAGCACCGGGAACGCTGTGCGCTTGAGCATCTCTCTCACCCCTACTCTCCTTTGCACCGAATTTTCCGCTGCGAGCTAACCGGTCAGCCCAACTACAGAAAGCTTTGTATTCGGCCCAAGTGGTAACGGTGTCATCGGGTACGCATTTGAAGACTTTTCGGAAGATCTGCATGTTGTGAACTGCGCATGTGAGCCAGTAGTCGACGTAAAAGGAGTCGTCGATGGGGTCTTGGAATCGGTGTGGGTCGATATCGAGTGATGCTGCGGGAAGGTTCCAGAGTGAATTGGACATTCGAGCTGCTACCTTGCGTCGGATGTCTTCGGGGCCGCCGCCAACACCAGAGAGAAGAGTCGAATCTTCGGAGAGGATTCGTCCTCGTTGACCTGCTCGGTGGAGCATTTCGGTTTCTCGTTCGGGACCGAGGGAAGAGCTGCTAAGCGATCCGAGGAGTCGGTGGCGGTCGACTGAGGATCGGTGGGGGCTGCCGTGCGCACCTACACCTGCACCACCAGACCGCTTCGTTTCGCTAGAATGACCGTTGATAGCAGGTCCATCTTCAACCAACAGCTTCTCTTCCAACGTCGGTTCCATTAAGTTATCGTACTTGCCATCGACGAACTTCTGCGACTCCTCACCTTTTAGCGCCAGATCAACGCGTTCCTCTCGAGCAGCCTGGTATCTTTCGTTATGGTTAGCTGAGTTCGACGAAGTATGTTCGCCCAATTCTTCAGCCTCGAACTTATCCTTACTATTTGCCAGCGTATCTTTGACCTGACGACGCACAGCCGAAGTAGTACCACTACCCCTCTCCGTCACATTAGAAGCAGCATTCTTCAGAGCCTGCTTATTGCTCTGCACATCCACCAAATCAGCCGGCGAGCTCTCCGTATCACCCTGTCTCTTCAACCCATTATGGCTCTGCTCCTGCTCTGGATCCCACTTATCATCACTATCCTCCAACCTCGCGTCCGAAGAAACACTTGCTCCAGCAGCAGTTGACCCTTCATGACCATTCACCGACGCTTCACCTTCTTTCCTCTCACTAGCCTCCAACTCATCCACATCCACACCCAGATGCTCCCGCATCAATCTCATCCTCAAGGTATGAGCAAACCTTCCCACCTTGTACGGTTTCCCACCCATAAAGCTATCGATCATATCATGGTCCCTAATCACCGAAGCCAATTCGGAATCACGATCACCCCGCTGACTACGCTCGTTGATGTTGGCGGATCCAATAATGGCCAACCTATCATCGACGATCATGATCTTGTCATGGAGGTAGATCTGCTCTGTGGTCAGCTGGCCTCCGCGGAGCTTACCCCAAGTACGCAGCGAGAAGAAGCTGATGTACTGTTCTGGGTCGATGCCTTCCCTTCGCAACTTGCCAAAGATCGAATGCTCGCCTCTCGAGATCGAACGGTTCTGCAGGTCAACGATGAGTCGCACCGAAGAAGCATCCGGATGGTCAATCGGCATTGGGAAACCTGGGATCAAGGGGATAACGATGATCGCCCTCCAAGGTGTACCTTCGCGGTGAGCTCGAATGATACGACTGACAAGAGCTTCGCCGATCCTGTTCTCGATCTTGTTACCTTCCATCACCGTAGATGTAACAAAGAACTGGTTCTCGATGTAAACAAAGTGGTCACTCATCTGGATCGACTTGAGGTAAGCATTCTGAATCGAATGCTCGACCTTGTTCGCCGTACCCAGACTCCACGGTCCAGCCGAACGGCAGATCTGAACCTCGCAAGTACCCGTGAGTCCGTAGTTCTGCAGCTCCTCGGGCGTAAAGTCGGGCGGAGGCACCAAGAAAGGCATCTGTCGAGTATGATTCTTGATACGAAGCAAGAAGTTCCATCGCTGGATAAAGTGTCGGCAAAGATCACGAGCGGGCTGACCGACGATCTGCAGTCCAACATCGTGCCATGGCATACGCGGAAACTTGTCACGCGAGAACAAGTCTTCGTGAGGCTTGCTAAGCGTGTGCCATTCCATGACACGCTCATTGGCATAGTCCTGTCCAGGCCAAATGTGGGCCTCGCGACCTTCCTTAACAGGTCCGAGATATCCAGATGGGTTTGACAAGCCGTGATCCGACTCTGACTCTCCTTCCCTTTTGTGGTAGAGCGCATCATCGACCAGCACATGCGCAGGCGTATCGTATCGACCAAAGCAAAGATCCAAGCCTCCCATGAAAGCGATGGTCTCGTCGATGACACAAAGCTTCTCGTGATGAGCCCAGTAGAATGTGCCTGTCTGGAAATGACTTGGCGAACGCTGAACAAAGATGTTACGGTGCAAGCCAATGAGACGCTGCTTGGTGTAATTCGAGTCGGTGGGTGTAAAGTTGTTCGAAACCTCATTGTAGATGATGACGAAGATCTTGACGCCTTCCTCTGCCTTTTTCTTGAGCACGTTATCGAGTCGCCATTTGGGATGACCAGGCCTGCGCAAATAGAGTTCGGGGCTGAGCCACCAGTCGTGAATGAAAACACGGTCTTTGGCCATCATAAGCGCCTTGCTCAAGTTCCAGTAGTAGTCACGTCCATCTGCAAGCCACTGTGCCGAAACGTTGAGTCGAATGGGCGCAAAACTCTCGAAGCGGTTGGTGCCGCCAAAGATGTTACGAGCAGCCATCTTTTGCATTGACACAATGAACTGCTCCATCATGCGCTCGTTCTTGGCTACGAGCTTGAGCTTCCTCTCAGCGTTGCGTATGGAAAAAGTGTGGCTGCTGGCATGCCTTTCAGACTCGTGGGCTTCATCGCGCTTGTTCGGGTCGGCGTCCTTAAAGTGGCCTCCGGTCAATAGCGCAGTCTGATCGTACGAAGCGTCCTTGGCACCTCTAGAGCCGGATGATTCAGGCTGTTCAGAGCTCTCGATTTCGGCCCCTTTCTTGTCGTCGCTGTGAGTAAGGCCATGGGCTATATGCATCGTCTGCTTATAGAGTCGCTTCGGCCTCTCCACCTTAAAGTCGTTATCCATGAGGAACACATCGTAGAGCTGAAGGCTGTCAGGCTCGTTGACGATCGCAATGAAGCTCTCTCGAACGACGAACCACTTGGGCTCGTACGCTTTTGCCCAACGCGCTGGCGTAAGCATACTCTTCTGATCCTTTTTCCGGGATGAACGCGACAGGATACGCAAGTAGCCCTGTTTGCCCTGATATCCACCTCGACTAGCGAGCGAGACGGACAGCGCCGAGATCTCGAAGAACTTGCAAAGTCGATTTGCCTCGGCACGGAACATGGTGCGTCGAATGAGCTCGATGATGTAGTTCTCGAGCGAGTCTCTCTGCGCACGCGCGAACTCGCCACGTGAAGTCTTGCCCTGCCTCTGGAGCTGGTTGAAGTATGGCAGACTCATCTTGGGGAAGCTTGGCAAACCGAGATCGCCTTCTGTCGAGTTACCTCCAATCGATCTTCCAAGGTAGCCACGGAGGGCAGCAGCTCGATAGTGAGCATGAAGATTGATGAAATCACGTAGCTCGCGGTAGATGACCCACTTGACGAGACCATCGCCGTACTCGAGCTCGATCCGGAAGACGGCATGCGTATTGTGCATCGGGTTGACACTATCGGTGACGCGAAGACGTAAGTGGTTGAGCAGAACGGGGATGCGACGATGCTTGGACTCGTCACGTTCCACAGCCATCTTGAGGAGGAAGACGGGCAGAATACCGGTCTGGAGTTCCTTGGCAAGATCAAGAGATACGGCGCTTGCCTTTTGCTGCTCGACTTTGGCCTTTTGTGACTCTCGCACCTTCTTCTTGAGCTGTGCCCACCTGGTCTGTGGATGCTGCGTGCCTTCTGGTGAGGTGGCATCTGGCGAAGCGGCACCGTCGTCCCTGTCCTTGCCCTTGTTGGAGCCGAGCATGACCTTGGTGATGGCACGCAGCTTTTGCGAGTCGGAAGAGAGCTCCGGTGTGGGAACCTGATCATCGTTACGCTGCTGTGCGTTGTTGTTGTCGTGGCTGGCTGTCTCAGCAGACGGTGTGGGTGGCTCAAAGGCGTTTCGCAGTTTGTTGGAGTTGTCCGCCCATCGACTGGAATTGCGTGAGGGCTCAGGTCTAGTACCTGCCTGTTCTGACTGCTTGCCTTTGGGATCACTTCCACTGCCAGAGGCATCGCCATTCTCCTTGCGGTGTGTGTTGCTACGCTGATTGTTGCTGGAACCAAAGAGGTTGAGGGCAGGACGAGCGGGTGAGGTGGTATCAAACATACCGCCGAATAGACCTTTGCCCTTATCTTTCTCGTCATCCTTGTCCTTATCGTTGCGTGACTTGTCCTTAGGTGTGGACGGGCTAGACTCTTCGGGCGTCGGCCCAAAGCTGGAAAAGCGACGTTTCCATGTGCCTGCGGCCTGCTCCTCCTTCATCTTTGCAATTTTGGCGCGCTGCTTATCATCGGGTCGCGAAGCCCAAGAAGGACCGCGATTGGCAGCATGTTGTTGATGCGCGTTCTCGTCAAGCTCAGCCTTGTGATGACTGTCTTGAGACTGGTTGCGCTCGGAATGAATAGGCCCACCAAGCTCAGCTGCTGCTGTCTCGGTCTTGTTTTGCTTCTCGATGTCCTTGTAGGAGCCATCCATCTCGTTTTCAAGCTGCTTATCATATAATGTGCCCTGTCGCTGTGCGGTCAAGCCATCGTCACCGAGAGCGCGCTCGATCATGGATTGGCCCATGTCGTCTTCTCTGTTGGCATGCGGATGCTTTGGGTGCGATTGCCACGATGACTCCTGCTGTGCTGTGCCATTGGCGTTCGAAGCGTGGTCCTTCACGTTGGATTCGCGTACTTGCGCATGCTTTCCAGCTGAAGATGGGACATCCACAGCGTCGGGGTGGTTGATGCGGCCGGCTGGATCGTGCGGATGGTTGCCTGGACCTCCATGGTAGGAGTCTCTGTGATCTAGGTTCTGCTTCTTCGTGTCATGGTTTTCCTGCTTTGCACTGCCGTTGGCAGTATCGGGCTTATCCTTTGCTGATGAAACGTCATGGTTCTGTTCAGCCGCATCCTCACCGTAGGAAGAGAGGCCCGTAGCTTGCGCCGCAGCATCCCACGCCTGGTGGGCGAGGTCTGCGAAGGATGTTCCAGACGACATGGTTCAGAGCGCTTGCTAGTCTAGCAAGCTGAGACGATGACGACAAGCTGCTGATGCTGCTGTTGCGAAGTGACAGCAATGCCTTTGAAGCTTCATCAGAGTCTGCGCTTGCGAACAGTGTTGGATTGAGTATAGCGAGTACTTGTGGCGTCGAAGCAGCGACAGGCGGTAGACTGGTGAAGAAGAGATGGTGGAGCTGAGAAAGGAGTTGAGAAAGGAGCTGAGCAGCCTTGACCTCGTGATGATGGCCTGAGCTGTGGGTGCGGTTCCTCCGACTCGCTTACAGCCGTTTTAGCAGCAAGATCAGCCACCTTTTTGCAGCGTAAAACACACACACGCAGACACGGACCTTCCGACACGATACCCACGCCAAAAGTGTGATTTCCTGATGCGTGCAGCAAATTGACGAAACCGTTGCCTCGAATCCCTGCCACCTTGGTTTATCACAATAATCTGTTGAAAAGTGAAGACGTTTTTGGTCCCGATACTAGCGATCGGGGAGAGTCCAAGTACGATGTCACTACTGTTTTAGGGCAGAAACTATTGAGAATGACGATCCGACGAGATGATATTGGTTGACGTAAGCAGACACAAAAGGGATCGGATGAGGAATGGCCTGATCGGGAACAGAGAATCGGGTGCAACACAGTCCCGCTTGTTGTCATGACCGAGTGCAACACATTCAGGTTCGTTGTCATGGTTGATCATTAGGTAGGAGTATTCCCACCTATGGCATGTGCCACTCAATTGTATATACAGCACATGCATAAACTGTCCCATAATTTTACATGTCACCATACATCACTCTAATGCTCAATAGCTATAAGTTGTATTGCCACACTGTCTGATACTGTCTGAAAGCCCTGCTTCTTCTCTCCAAGACTGTGTAATTGATATTGACATTGACTAAAAAAATTGTGCTATGAAGAAGAGCCAATTTTTTTTTTTTTTATTGTGGGACAGTTTATGGAGCACTCCTCAAGAACACCTTAGTACTTCGTATTCCCTCCTTTGGCCTTCAGAACTGCCTTGGTGCAGTCTGGCATGCTCTCTATTAGCATCCTACATGTCTCTGGAGTGATTGCTGTCCATTCAGCTTCACATCTCTTGAGCAGTTCATCCCTGGACTTTGCAATTGTACTATACTGTGAAAGTTGCATTTTGAGATGGTACCAGAGGTGTTCAATCAGGTTTATGTCTGGCGACTGTGCTGGCCATTGCATAACCTTAATGCTATTGCTTTCCAACCACATTATTGTCTTCTTAAACATGTGTTTTGGGTCATTGTCTTGCTGAAACATGATGTTGGTGTATGCATGCTGAAGCTGCAAATCTGAGATTGTTTTCAAAAGCTTGTCATTCAAGATATCAATGTATTGGTCTGAATTCATTGAACCCAGCATCAAGCACATACCTCCCACCCCTTCCCACATCATACAGCCCCAGATCATGATGGAGCCACTGCCAAACTTGACCATTGGCCTGACAAGCTTGCTGTTGAAGCTGGCATTCTTAATCCAACAGAACTGCTTACCATCCAGTCCAAAGAAGTTGATCTTCATCTCATTGGACCATACCACATTCTTCCAATCCTCAACAGTCATGTCCTTGTGCTCATTAGAAAATTTGAAATGGGCTTTGTAATGTCTCTTGAGTAGCTTTGGTTTTTTCACTAACCTTTGTGCTTTGTAATGACAGTAATGAAGTGCTTTTCTTACTGTGGTTGGGCATGCTTTGATTTGAAATGTCTCCTGCAGTGCATGAGATGCTTTCCTGACTGTGGAGGTTGAATTGAGCTCAAAATAGTGATCCAGGAAGCAAACATGACAAGGCTGGAGTTTTTTCAGCCAGCCCCCTGTCATGGGCCTGGATGCTCAAGAAGCAGGAGGGTCACGGGTTCATATGGAAGGAGCACAGGTATCGAAGATCTAGTCGAGATCAGTAGAGAGCATGGTCGTAGTGCAGTCTCCATGGAGACCATGGACTCCTATGGACTCACATGCAAAGGAGGGCCAAGCACAGCCACGAGGAGGACCAAGCTCAAGGAGCAGGCACAGCCACGAAGAGGACCAAGCTCAAGGAGCATGCAGATGGTTACCGCTCAGGGGCTTGAGAGACAAGAGCCAAAGGAACTGTCACTGATCAAAGGAGGAGGAGCAGTGTCGAAGGAGTCGACACCAGGTCATGAGGAGGAGGAGCAGTGTCGAAGGAGTTGACATCAGGTCATGAGGAGGAGGAGCAGTGTCGAAGGAGTCGACACAGCTCAAGAGGCACAGGGGTGCCAAGCAGGAAAGGCCCCTGAGCAGTACTCGATGAAGAAGGTACTCTCTGGAGAGAGAGAGCAGGAGCAGCATCACTAGTGATGCTGAGTAGAGGTATATAACCATGCTTTCTCATCATCATAGGTCGAGTGGATCCTCATCCACTCTACTCACCATAACTAGTTATCACTTCAGCATAAGTATATATTAGTTTCAGTCAGCATAGCAGCAATCCATCAAAGGTTGCTCCTCATCATAGTGTGTGTGTTGTATCACCACTACCTGACGTCCGAAGGCGCCCATAGCAGGTTAGCAGTCCGGATCAAGATAGAACCGAAGGCAGTAGTCCACTGCGGTCCAGGGATCACTTCAAGCATCAAGTCAACACACTGGACACTCGTGTTGATGCCACCAACCTTATCACCAACACCATCAACCTCATTATCATCGACATCACCAATCTCATCACCAATACCATCAACCTCATCATCATCAACACTCACACCAGACCTTGGTGTCATCATAACATTGATATTGATCGTGCCAAGCTACCCCTGAACAGAGTGTCCACAGAGGTCAGCCGAAACCTATGATAGTATATACAACGAACGCCACCTGCTGTCACTGCACAACTTGATAGTCACCGATACCGAGACAATAGCTGTCGCACAGTTTGATAGTCACCGAGTATCTCGACAGACCGACCTGGGTTTCAGGCGCGAGACCCCTGACACCCCCCTTTGACTTTGGAACATCAGTTGGGGTGCTTTTGCTGATGCAATTCACAGTAGACTTGCTCAAACCAAGTTGCTAGGTGACTGATTGGATAGATTCCCCATTGTGGATGTGAAAGAGTGCCAATCAGCACCTCTCTGGGGTGGTTTTTGGCATGATGGTATAGATATGATGGTGTCAGACTGGAAGTGCTGCCAGATTGCTCACAGTCATCTGATTGAGCTGAAACTTTCCACATCACTACTTTTGATGTGTATGAAGGTGCCCACCAAGTTACATTGCAAGTTTCATTGTAGTCAAAAGCCCACAAGGTCAGGAATGGAGTGGTGTCACTATTTGGGAGCATGCTCCATAAACTGTCCCACAATAAAAAAATAAAATTGGCTCTTCTTCATAGCACAATTTTTTTAGTCAATGTCAATATCAATTACACAGTCTTGGAGAGAAGAAGCAGGGCTTTCAGATGATATCAGACAGTGTGGCAATACAACTTATAGCTATTGAGCATTAGAGTGATGTATGGTGACATGTAAAAATATGGGACAGTTTACACACATGCTGTATACATGTGAGCAGCACATGCTGAAGGTGGGTGTACTCCTACTTAATGATCTACCATGACAACGAGCAGGACTGTGTTGCACCCGATCTCTGCTGAGATCGGCTCGGCTCAATCTCTGATCAAATCGGTCATCTAACCGGATCGGCACTGCCTGATCTCCGATCAGATCGGCTCCGCGTCATCCTTTAGCGTCGCACTGGATCGTAATCTCCAACATAATCACACCCTTCTCCGCATCATCCTTGGGGAGCAAAATGACCATCCCAGCTCTGCTGAAGGTTACGATCCAGCAAGACACCTAAGATGACACAAGTCGATCTGGTCAGAGATCGGGTACTGCTTAGTCGCTCGTTGTCACACTTCATCATTGAGAGGGATGCTCCCACCTTTGGGTATGTGCCGTTACTGTATATATATATATATATATATATATATATCAAGTGGAGAGCTCCAGGCTGCCATCATGTTCTTTTCTTAGTCAATCCAGTAATAGTGTTTCTCCCCCAATAGCAGTAGTACTGTGCTTCGACTGATATTGATCTCTGAGCGTCGACAACCGTCCTCCTTCTATTCTTTTATCAAGCTCTTGCTCTAATCTTATCCACACTTTGTGCGTCACACCTTTTTGACTTGGCTTCTCTTGGCTGGATGCCATCTCGATGCCGCTCGGTCCCCTTCAAGACCCTCTCTTTACCTCGTTTACGATCCATGTGACAATGAGGCGTTGTTCCAAGAGTAGTTAAGTCGAAAGCAAGTGTTTCCCACCTCCGTCACGACGCAGGATGTCTCTTTCCATCTGCGTTGTCACTTCCAAGTCGGGTCATCTCCGAGTACATCTAACTTACATCGAGAATTGCCGATGTCTTACAGACACTTGTGATGAAGCATGGTCGAATGCATTGCAATGGTATACAGTGATGAGCGGAACAAAAAGAACAGAGCCAAGCTGTGTAGCAGCTTGATTACTTGGCAGCAACGCTACTTGCCTTACCACCTTTCGCACCCTTCTTGATCAGATCGAGAAAGTTAGATTTGCTCAAATCCGCCAATCTCGCATCCTTACTCGCCAAACCTGCCTTCTTACTCGTCGTCGCCGCCGCTGCTACTGCCGACGTCTTGGCCGCAGTCTTCCCACTGGCAGCCTGTTTCTTCTCCACTTGTTCCAAATCATCCTCAGTTGTAGTCTGAGCCGCACGAATAGCATTAAACAGCTTCACTACACCACGTTGAGCCACCTTCCTCAGCTTCCTCTCATATGCTTGACTTCCGCCTTGAGCAGCAAACTCCAGCAACTTCTCTGCATCGTCTTCAGCCGAAATGGCAGGATAAGTCTCGATGATGTTTCCATCTTCATCTTCCAATGGTGGCAGAACACCAGGTGGACCCCAACCGCCGATTACGTCTTTGACGTGGGAGCGTTCTTCGCGACGACGTTTTTGTTCGAGCGCGATACGGGCGGCTCGTGCACTGAGCGAGGTGGATTGGGCTGAGCGACGAAGGTGTGGAGCGAGTGAGAGGATGGCCGGCACTTCTTGGGTGGGTTTCTTTTTCTTTTTGCTGACTGGTGGTCTGGTTTCGCTTTCGTCTGCTGCTGCTTCCTCGTCGTTGTCGTTCTCGGCCGCTTCGTCTAGCGTCTCGAGTGCGTCGGCTGATGTGGATGGTGCGATGCCGAGGAGGCCTTCAAGAGCGGAACCGAAAGAGGTGGGAGAAGTGGCTCGACGCTTGCGCTTGGCAGTCTTCTTGCTTTTGGAACCAGCTCCTTTGGCTGCTTCGATCTCGTCCTCTGTGTCTGGCTCATCGTCATCGAGTGAGATTTGGTCGTCTTCCTCCATTGCATCTTCTGAGCCACTTTCCTCCTTTGCAGCGGACGTTTTGCCCTTTCCAGCATTGCCGTTCCGTTGAGATGGTCCTGCGCGGGAAGAACGAGCAGCAGGAGCCTTCATGGTCATCTTGGAGCCACCGGCTCCGAACTTTCCAGCTGCCATCTTTCCTAGCTTTCCTGTCTTGTTCGAGCCTTCGATGGAGATCGTATTGATATTCAAGGCACTGTCGGCGTTCTTCCTTTGGTCTATATAGGGGGAAAGATGGAAGTGTGGGAGGTGATGGTGAAGATGAATAGAGACCCAAAGCCTACCTGATAGAGCACCAACACTGAAGCCAAATTTTCCCTTCTTCTTCTTCGCAGGGTCGTTCCACGAAAGTTTGGCTTTGGCTGTGCTCTTCAACTTCCGACTTCCGCAAATCTGTCTAGAATGCCATCGGGCAAGATTTAATTAAGTTGCAAGATTGCAAGAATTTCGCGCTCTATGAAGCCGTGATCGAATCACGTTGTGCAAAAAGGGAGCGAATCGGAGCCAAATCGACGGAATAAGCCGAGCGAAGGCCAAATTGCTTTCCGTCTACGTTGGAGTGAGCAGGAAAAAACGGCCCGTCCGTCTGTCAGTCTGTTTCGCGTTCTGTGTGTAACTCTCTGTGTCTTCTTTAGAGGAGCTCGGATGTCGGGCGCCAACAGCCAAGCAAGCAACCAAGCAACCAAGCAACCAAGCAACCAAGCAACAGCGAAACCGAATTCAACTGGTGTGCGAGTGTGTGTGTCTGTGGATATCGTCGCAGACACTGGTCGGTCGATTCTGATATCGCTCCTGCCTCCCTTCTCTTTCTTCTCTTCCTTTTCCCACATCCTCCCTCTTCTCCTCACCACCGCTCATCCCCTTCAGCAACACCAATCATGATGCTGTTCAACGCGCTCCGAACTCGCGCCACGATGGCCAGGACCATGGTCCGAGGTGGCCCTGCCGCCGCCCAAAAGCGATACCTCTCGATCCACGAGCATCTCTCCATGGACATTCTCAACAAGTACGGCATCGCCACTCCCAAGTACCTTGCTGCTAAAACTCCCGAAGAGGTCTACAAAGCCGCTCAGTCCTTCGGTGGAAAGGAGATAGTGATCAAGGCACAGGTACTTGCCGGTGGTCGTGGTAAAGGTCACTTTGACTCTGGTCTTCAAGGTGGTGTTCATCTCATCAAGACCCCCGAGGAGGCACGTGATCTTGCTGCCAAGATGATTGGTAACCACTTGATCACCAAACAGACTGGTGCTGGTGGTCGTCTTTGCAATGCTGTAATGATTGCTGAAGCTCGTCCTCCACACCACGAGTACTATGTTGCTGTGCTTAACGACCGTGCTACTCAACTTCCGGTTATGATTGCTTCCAACCAAGGTGGTATGTCGATCGAAGAGGTTGCTGCCGAAAACCCTGAAGCTATTATCACCACGCCTATCGACTTTGAGAAGGGTCTTAGCAAGGAAGATGCACTTGCCATCGCAAAGAAGCTTGGTTTCACCAGTGTCAAGCAGGAAGAACAGGCCGCCGAAACTTTCCAAAAGCTCTACAAGCTTTTCGACGAAAAGGATGCCACCCAAGTCGAAATCAACCCTCTCGCCGAATCCAAAGACGGTGAAGTCCTCTGCATGGACGCCAAGCTCGGTTTCGACGAAAATGCAGACTTCCGTCAAGCCGACGTTTTCCAACTCCGTGACACTACCCAGGAAGACCCTGACGAGGTCGACGCCGCCAAGTACGGTCTCAACTTTATCAAGCTCGATGGTAACATCGGATGCCTCGTCAACGGTGCCGGTCTCGCCATGGCCACCATGGACGTTCTTAAGCTCAACGGAGGTAACCCTGCCAACTTTTTGGACGTCGGTGGTACCGCTTCCGCCGCTTCGGTTAAGAAGGCTTTCGAGTTGCTGTTGAGCTCCAAGGAGGTCAAGGGTATCTTTGTTAACATTTTCGGTGGTATCGTTTCGTGCAAGAAGATCGCAGAGGGTATTATCCAGGCTACTCAGGAACTCGATATGTCCATTCCATTGGTCGTCAGGTTGCAGGGCACTCATGAGAAGGAGGCAAAGGAATTGATCAAGAGGTCAAACTTGAAGATCTTTGCTTTCGACGGATTGGACGAGGCTGCTGCTAAGGCTGTCGAGAGCGCTCAGAAGGGTACTCTCTAAGCTAACATCATGCTACATTCGTGTCCACATGTACACCTTTCATTGACTTTACAATGTCATGTTCGTTTTCAGAGAGAGAGATGCTGAGATTTGTGATGGTCTGCTTATTCAAGTTGCAAGCAGACACGGAGAAGCTCTCAACACAAGCGTCCGAAGTCAGTTTGCGCTGGAATCGAAATCGATCAATCCGAATTGGGTATGAATGCATCTCACGACTATCGACACTATCTACACACGCTACCTCTTGCACGCCAAAACTAGACGACGTAAAACTCGGAAGACACACCAGCAAAAGGCTGAATCTTACCCGTAAAAGGCGTCTTCCTATCCCCGTAATAAACAATCCTATACAACCCACTCCTTGTCCACGGCTCAACATTCCACCCGACTTCAACCTTACTCGAGCCATGCAACTCGTTCGTCCTTGTCCAGCGCATCGTTGTCGAATGATGACCATCCGTTCTCTCGACTTCCCACAAGCCCAAATCCGTGTATCGTTGGACCTCAAAGTATGTATCTTCCAACCTGAGGTTGTTGCGCGGGTTTGCACCTACGAAAGTGACGGTAATGTTTGAGGCACCTGGAGTGGTGGGTGAGCCATCAAAGTGTGATTTGGAAGAGTTCAAAGTGTTTGGGATGGGGTACGAGAGGAGGGGTTGTTCGAGGACATCACCAAAAGCGTGGCCGATGGGAGGATTGTCGTATACGACACCAGTTTTGAGCTTCCATGCTTTACGGATGTCAAAGTCTCGTTGTGGACCGAGGGGCAGGTCTCGTGCTCCTTCTTTGAGCGCTGGGACGAGACGTCGGGAGAAGACATCGATGTAGGCTGCGAGAGTGTGTGGACCGAACAAGGTCGAGGCGCCTTCGTAACGCTGTACGCTGTATTCTTCTTCCGTTGTGACGTAGTGGCCATAGGTCGATGCTGGTCCACTAACTTGTACGATAGGCTCGCCCTCTTCCTCGCTCAAGACTCCAGCTTTCTTGATGGAAGCAGCAACAGTTCGTTTCAACCTCCTACCAGCCATCGTTGTGAACTCTCCGGGAACAATGAGGATGAACAGCTGCCCAACGCGCAAGATCTGCACTTCCACAATGGACGGTCCCCAATTGTAAGGTTTGTGAATCTCTCCAATGTCAAGCAAGATCGCTTTGGGAGCCTGACACTCGATCTGCTCCTTGCCCGGGTTCTTAACGAAGGCCTTCACGACGTCCCAGAATGGATTGTGATGATCAGTCCTGTTACTTCCCTGAACGAAGTCGAATGCTCCAGGACCGTCGGTTGTGCCTCCTGCAAATCCATATCCCAGAGCAGCAGGGCAAGTCTTGACACGTGACCCGTCAGGACGATAGACGGTGTAGGCGCTCATATCGACGTTCATCTTGACGCTCTTGATCGGTCCAATGAGTGCGGTCATCTTGTCGTACTCCCCATCAGAGGAAGGCGAAGAGGTAGAGCGCTCCATGATCGATCGTGCAGCATCGACCTGTTTCCTCGCAATAATCTCGTTACTCGCCCAATCATATCCACCAGTTGGGCTGGTAGGGATGTACTCGTCATTCCCCCACGCCGGACCTCGACCATGACAGGTTTGCACCCTCTCCTTCCCTTTACCGTTGTCGCAAGTCGAATGCTTGTACTCGCAAACCGATCCATCATCACACCAAGCGCCCTTCGTATTTGGAGAAGTATCACCGACCAAGGCCTGTGAGAAACCAGCAACAAACGCATTCTGACCCGGAAGCTTTTCCGGTTCTTGCGCAGATTCGTACAACAACGCAGCCAAACCCTTGTTGTCACCCGAAGTGAGAGTGTTGTTCTCGTACAACGAGGTTCCGTGCACCGCATACCACGAGAGGAAACCTGCTGCTCTCGCTTCCGCATCTCCCTCCGCGACAATATCCTCGAACTTGAGCAGTCCGAATTCGTGATCTTGATCTTCATCATTGTACAAATCCCTCTCCTCCTGTGGATTCTGTTCGTACGCGTACCTACTACGCTGAATGTGTGCATCCTCCAACCTCGTCTTGCCATAGCTGAGACGTGTACTCCCCTTACCCTCAGCTAGCCTCTGCTGTCGGGATGAGTAATCTTCATGCGCACGAACAGCAGCTTTTACGGTGCCATCCACAATTGCATCAAAGTTCTGCAAAATGACACCTTTGGACGTGAGCGTGGGGAGAAGAGCTTGCATAAACCCACCTGGTCCTGCATGCGAGTGCGTGCCCACAAACGCAACATTTCGCTCGCCGTAAATACCGGGGTACTGCTCCCTCAACCTCTCAACCACGGCTCTGCGAAGCGCAGAATCACCCATACAGATATCCGAGTTGATGAACAACCACCTTTTCGCATCACCGTCCGCAGTTGGAAGCAATGCTGTGAACCGAGATGAGAGACGAGGTCGGAAAGAGGCTGATCCAGCATCTTGACTTCCAACGATGAAGGCACGGGAACGAAGACGAATGTGCAGTCCAGTGTTGGTTTGAGGAAGCGAAGCGTAGCCCATCATATTGACCTCTACGATAGGGCCGGTGACATCGCCTAAGCCGAGACCAAAGACGATGTTCGTATCAGAAGAAGCGGAAGAGATGGAAGTGACGGTGGGACGATGCGTTCTCCATGGTCGATTTGTTCGGATGGCTGCATCGATGCCACTTCGGTAGGCACAGCATGCAGCGAAAAGGGTGGTGGAGAGAAGGACGATGCAGAGAAGCGCTTTGAAGATCAAGCATGGGCTGCTTCGTTTCGGTCTTTCCGGACTGTCCGAGGAGTCGCTGCTTACTGGAAGCGGGAGTGCGTTTTTATCAAAGCCAGGCTTGGATTCGAGCTCGGAAAGGCAGGTCTCTTCGCTCTCCCGGCTCGGGAGCAGCTGGTAGCTGGCGTCTGTCATTGTTGGCGAAGCTGTGGAGCCGACGGATGTCCAGCTGGTCTAGAGCGTAGCGTTGTATCTGTGTCGGTCTACGCTCCCTGTGCAGTGAATGTGTATGCTGTGTGTTGGGTATGGGTTGCTATCAATACGATCTGGACTGCAACTCGTATTTGTACGAGTTCGATCTTTTATCGTCAAGAGAGATTGAGCTGAGTCGGACCAGTGTTTAGTTGCAGACCTGTTGTGGCTGTTGAGCCTGCTATTAGGGGATTGGATGCCGTCCTCCTCCAGAGTTGAGCCCAAACGCTGACCGCAAACTAAAGTCTATCGAGAGGATGGAGAGATGGAGTATGATAGTCTGAAGCTCAGCTGCAATTCGCCACTTCTTTCGATAAGTCAGGGTGCGCACTGCTGATCTGCCGGAAAATTCTCTGGCTTCTCCTCCACTCTTGGTCTGAAATGCAGGGGCCCCACGTGAGCCAAAAAATCAGCAAGCAGGGTTTGAAGAAACACGAAAGGAACCAGTTGAAGCTATACCGTGCACCTCCTCGTCCGAGCCACATTCTAGCTCTTTCATACTAGTGTGTCATAGATGTAATGCTTGAGATTTATTGTGTGCTATTGCTACAGGGTTGTGTATATATATACCTTCATCCTGTTTATGAGATGGCTTGTTGTTCTCCTTCGAGTCATGCCCACTTTGTAGTATCTCAGCATTTTCCTTTCATATGCTTCTCCTGATTGGTTGCCACTCAATTTAGTATGCATGCAGAGGATCAGTCTGTCAGTTACTCGCTTCTCTCGCATATTGGTTATCCCAGTGACTCTTCAACTCCCCCCCTTGCTGGCATGACCAAACCCATTGCTTGAGCTAGATGTGTGGTCTCTCCTCCTTTCAATGGCTTTGTGAGAATGTCCACCAAGTTGTTTGCCGTTCTGACATGTTCGATCAGAATGTCTCCCTCCTGCACGTGTTCCCTGACAAAGTAATAATGCATGTCGATGTGTTTAAGCTTCCAGTGTTTGGCTGGGTCCTTACTCACCTGTATACATCCTTGGCTGTCAGTGTGGGGCATTGGTCTGATGTTATTGATACCCAGGTCTCACAGCAGATATGAAAAGAACAGCACCTCCTGTGCTGCTTCCAATGTGGCAATAAACTCTGCTTCTACAGCTGACAGGGCCACGCATTTTTGCACATGAGATCACCAACTCACCAGGCTCCCATATAGATATGTGATTGCTCCCGATGTACTCCTCCAACCATTCGTGGGGTCTGATGCCCAATTTGCATCAGTATATGTTGTTAATGTCTCCTTCTCCATATTTGCTCTCTTTCCTAGTTGGAGATGATATTCACTTGTTTGATTTAGGTACTTTAGAGTGTGGGTCACTGCATGCCATGCTCCTTTGACTGGAGTTGTCATGTGTCACACTAAAACTCCTACTGTGAATGAGATATCTGGTCACACTGTGTTGGATACCCATAAGAGCTGTCCTACTAACTCCTGGTATTCTTTGCTTCATGATGGTGAACATCTCTCTCCTCCAGCGCTTGCAGTTATGCTTTGCATCGGGATCCAGGATTTCTCAGTCTCCTTCTGTAACCATCTGCTTACCATTGATTTAATATATGCCATTAGGTCAAGAGATATGCTCTTCTGGGTCCTGTCTCTCATGATTTTGATTCCAATAAACTCTTTGATCTTCCCATTATCTTCTGTTCCCCACTTATTCATGATCTCCTTCTTGGTGCGATCCACTTCTTTGCGACTTGGTGAAGCTATCATCATGTCATCGACATACACTGTGATGACTGTGATGTTGTCTCCAGTTCCTCTTGCATACAAGCAAGGTGTGCTTGGCATACAATGAAAACCCATTCTCTGAAGGTGTGAGTCCATCTCGGTGTTCCACTCTCGCCCTGACTGTTTTAAACCATATAATCCCTTTATTAGCTTGAGAACCTTTCCCGGTGGTGTCTTTGTTCCAACTGGTGGCTTCAGGTACATGTCGTGCTGTAAGTTTGAGTTGAGGTATGCTTGTTTGACGTCAATTGAATCTACCTCCCAATCTTGCATGGCTGCCACAGCCAACACTCCTCTGATTGATTGAATCAGCACCACTGGTGCAAAGATTTTGGTATAGTTGACACCTTTTCTCTGAGTGAATCCCCTTGCAATGAGTCTTGCTTTGAACTTTGTGGGCACCAAGTTTGTGTCCATTTTCACTTTGAGTACCCATTTGGTGTTGACAGTATTCATGCCAATTGGGAGATCTGTCACTTCCCATGTGCCCATAGCCTCTAAACCCTCCAGCTCTTTTTGCATTGCCTCCTCCCACAGCCTTTTGTCTGGCCCTGCCATTGCCTCTCAGATGGTTGGGTTTAGGTTTCCTTCACCTTTGTTGTCTGTGGCTGCAAGTCTGAAGGACTCGCCATTTGTCCACCCTTCAAGGTCTTGGCCTTTGTTTGTGTTCATAGTTGTTTCCATGTCCATGTACTCATTTTGTGGTTCCTGGTCCATTTCATCAAATAGGTTCACTTCTGAATAACCCAAGTTTTCAGCATCTTCTTCATTTGTCATTGTTTGTGGCAATTGAACTTTTATCAGTTTCCACTCAGTCTGGTCCGACCAGCATTTGGATTCCATGAACTTTGCCAAGTTACTCCAGAATATACTTGGTCAATAGTCTGGACTATAAAATAGCCAACCTTTCTGTTCCAGGCTGTATCCTATGAATATAGCTGCCACTGCTTGTTGGTCCAAGTTCTTGTTGTTTCACTTTACCTTTGGGATGTTTACCCAAGTGAGACATCCAAAGACACAGAGAAGTTGCATGAGTCATTTGGGTGATTTGTTGAACATCATCTCATATGGGAGCTCATTGTCAGTGTTTGGAGTAAGGTTTATCTTGAATGCTGCTGCCCTGATTGCATATGGCCAAAAAGTCTTTGGTAGTCCACGTTGTACCAGTAAAGTACACATCTTCTCACTCAAGCTTCTGTTCATTCACTCCACCCTGCCATTTTGTTTGCTATTGTATCCCACTGTTGTTTGCCACTCTATTCCTTTGTCCTGTGTCCATTCAAGAGCTTTGTTGCTCCTCCACTCTGTTCCTTGGTCTGATCGAATTGCTTTTAGGCTCCTGTTGGTCTGTGTCTCAAGGAACAAGATGATTCTCCTGAGCTCTGTGAAAGCTTGGCTCTTTCGCAATAATGGTTGTGCATAAACATATTTGCTATGATCATCGATGAGCACCAATAAGCAGGTGTGTTCAGTCACATGCAATGCATCGATGATCAGATCTATATGCACGAGGTTGAGGGGTGCAGCGGCTCTCTTGCCACTGCCTTGTTTCATTCTTGCAGCTGTACTTTTGGACTGTATACACTGCTCACATGTCAGAGCTGTATCTGGGTCCATATCCATTTGGGTGGTGCTTCCCATCTTCTTTATAATAGACTTAACCTTATCTCTTCCTGGATGTCCAAGGTGCTCATGCCAAAGTTGTTGTATGGAAATGGTGGTCCTCTTTGTGATTGGTTCAAACTCTTCATCAACATCATTGAGCAGCTGTGCTGATGTGGTCATTGTGTTTTCCTTCCATGCCTCACTTTGTAACTCTAGCAAGCTGCACTCACTGTTCTTTGAAACTTTGAATGAGGTTCCATTTGCCATGTGTATCTGTCCACTGGCATGGTCCAAAGTCACTCATGCTCCCTTGTCTGTTAATGAGTTGGTTGACAATAGATTCACATTGAGATTCTTAACATACAAGATGTTCTGGAGTAGTGTTTCTCCATGTGCAGTTGATATGTAGAGATCTCCTATAGCACTTGCATCCAGAACCTCCTTTCCAGCCATGTAGATGCGTTTTCGGCAGGTTCTTGGGTTTATGAGTGTGCTATAGTCATTGGTCATGTGAAAGCTAGCTCCTGAATCCAGTATCCAATGGGTTGTTTCTTCTGGGTTCTTCTTCCAACTTGGGGTGAGGGAGCACCAAGCATCCTATTTGGAGTTGGTGAGTGGTGAATCTTTGGGAATGGTGATGGTGGCATCGCATTTGCCTGCACCATGACTGATTTGCCTGCACACAAAACACCAGATTCTTCAGCATCTGTATCCAGTCTTGGCAGTTTTGTTGTCATCATTGTCATCAGTTTCGTGGGCCAATTCGTCCTGGTCACCATTGCCTGCTGTCCTAGCATGACCTTGCTGGGGATTGAGCTTCTGGGTGGGAATGCTCTCTAATGCCAATTGACATATGCTAAGTGCTGTGGCCAGTGCTTCAAAGTTGAGTTGGTGGATGGTGGCAACCATCTCCCTGAACATTGGGTGGCAAATCATGCATTTCTGGAGAGCAGAGAAGAGAGTATCATCTGCAAATGGTCTTCCCAGGATGCTTCCTTTGGCCTGGATGGTCCTGATTTCCTGTATGAGTTTCCAAATGTCAGAGTTGAACATCTTGATATCACCCAGCTGAGTGATCAGAGTGAGCCAGCAAGAGGTTCTGGTGGTGTCGTCACCTAACCTTGCTTCTATCTTGCTCCAGACTTGATGAAATGTGAGGTACTCTCTTATTATGTCCAAAAGAAGATAGTTTACATTGTATTCTCCCATGGTGTTGATGGTCCCTCATAGGGCATTTGTTAATGCATCATCGAATGAGCAACTCCATCTGGGATGGTTTGCATCAAATGTTCCTTTGAGGTGTTCCATAGCATATGGTACCAATCAGAGGAAAGACTTTACATGTGCATTCCAGCTGTAGTAGTTCTGGGTGGTGAGCTTCAGCACCGGTTCGAGGAGTTTACTTAACGTATGGAAGCTGTATCATTTGCTGTCATCATCATCATCCAATTCGTCTTTGGGGTCATCATCGATCTCATTGTCATCGTTTGCTATTTGTGTCTGCCAGACAATTGTCACCTTCTTGGTTCTTTTAGACCTCTTGGCAGCTTTGCTGGCCCCAGCTTGAGGGTCGGTGTTGTCTACCATGGTTTGCTTTGGTAGAGGTTTCAGACTCTTAATCAGTTGAAGCTATACCATGCACCTCCTCATCCAAGCCATGTTCTAGCTCTTTCGTACTAGTGTGTCATAGATGTAATGCTTGAGATTTATTGTGTGCTATTGCTACAGGGTTGTGTATATATATACCTTCATCCTGTTTATGAGATGGCTTGTTGTTCTCCTTCGAGTCATGCCCACTTTGTAGTATCTTGGCATTTTCCTTTCATATGCTTCTCCTGATTGGTCGCCACTCAATTTAGTATGCATGCAGAGGATTGGTCTGTTGGTTACTCGCTTCTCTCGCATATTGGTTATCCCGGTGACTCTTCAACTGAACCCAATTCCTTTCTTAGACGAAGGCTGACGTGAGACATAGCGTCCAGCTCACACGGAGCTCTTTCGTCCTTTAGGTCTGCTTGACAACCAAGGTCACACAAAGTCGCAAAGAGTCAAAGCAGAACCAAATATTGGGTCACAACAAAGCTATAGAATCCCCTAAAAGTACAAAGCCGAACCAAACTGTATCACAAAACCCAAGCCTACGCAGAGCTAGCAGCACCAATACTATCAATATCGACCTGAGGATGAACCATCAGAATAGGATCACCTGCACTCGATCCTGAACCATCAACACTGCTCATCGGGTTTCCATCCTCATCGATCTGTTCTCTTAACTCTAACAGCATCGAGTCCTTGACCAACTTGGTTAGCACCTTCTTGATGAGTTCTGTCTCCTCTTCGAACTGGTCGACAGTTTCGATCTCGTTTTCGCGCTGGAGGAGGTACCAATCCACCAATTCGGATTTGGGGATACCTCGCATGGTGGCACGTTCGACTTCGTTGACACGAAGAATAACGAGGTTGGCGATCTCCATGTATCGGTCGAAGGTGATGCGGATTTTACGCTTCGATGCTGCCGAACTCGATGGGTCTGCAGTTGCACCTGCAGCAGAGGAGGAAGCACGGGCGTCGCCGAGGGATTCATTGTTGGGATCCATGGAGTCTTCATCCATTGCACCGAGCGAGGAGGAAGGTTGAGCGGTAGCAGGTTGAGATGCCTGCTTTTGAGCACGTAGCTGCTCTTGCTCTTCTTCCTCGTCGAAATCGATATCGTCCTTTTCGACGTGGATGATGGATTGACGCAACAACGAGTAGGCTTCGCGAACGAAAGCCGGTGTGATCTCGTGTCGACAGTTGGCACGCGCAATGGCTTCGCAAAGACGGATCATACTTTCAAGTTGACGGACGGTGATGCGGTACGAGTTCTTGCCTGGACCAGAATCGTCCTGTCGCAACTGACGGTATTTGTCCACCAGCACGTCGCTCGCTTCGGGGGTGAGCTTGGGCTGGAACGTTCTGGCGTATCGAATGTATCGCTGAATCGCTTCCGTGCTGAATTCCGGGTCGATTGCAGCATCGCGGAAACGATGAACGTTGACAATGTGCTGTGCAATGTTCATATCCACCGACTCGTTGCATTCATCCAGAACGACAAAGAAGAGATCAAAACGAGACATGATAGGTGCAGACATTGCCACATTGGCTCGAAGGGTTTGCTTGCGGTTGTATCGTCCACCGACTGGGTTAGCGGCTGCAAGGATGGAAGTGCGAGCGTTGAGTGTAGCTTGGATGCCGGCTTTGGCGATGGAGATCGTCTGCTGTTCCATGGCTTCGTGGATAGCCACTTGGTCAGAGACGTCCATCTTGTCGAACTCGTCAATAGCACAGATACCATTATCTGCCAACATGAGCGCTCCAGCTTCGATGGTGAACTCGCCAGTCTCCTCATCCCTGACGACGGCTGCGGTGAGACCAGCGGCGGAAGATGCCTTGCCCGAAGTGTAGACAGCACGAGGCATGAAGCCACAGACGTACTTGAGGAACTGCGATTTGCTCGTGGAAGGATCACCAACGATGCAGATGTTGATATCGCCACGCAAACGCATGCCTTCCTTTGTGGATTTGTGGACACCACCCATGAGTTGAAGTAAGATACCCTTCTTGACGATATCGTGACCGTAGACGGTGGGAGCGATGGACTGGACGAGACGACTGTAAATGTCTTCCGACATGACCATGGCTTCCAGTTCGTCCCTCTCAGCTTCGGTGAGCGAGTCCATGAGGGTTTCGGGATCTTCGTTGTCGTCGGTGAACTCGGCTCGGATATCGTTTCCTCCCCTAGCATCGGCGCTTTGCACCATACATGCGAGGAAGGCGGTTTTGTACGTCAAGTCACGCACACCGAGACTCTTGAGACCGGAAACACCCTGCGCGTTGACTCCCTCTGCAGGTCGACCACCCTGAGCCTCCCTCTGGATCTGAGCATTAACACCGGGCACACCGAGCTGCGACACATCAGGAACAACAATGAAAGTACCCGTGAACACGCACTTGTCACCAGCCTTGGCACGCTCCACGATCTCCGATCGCAGAACGACATCGAGACTGCGAGGCATGCTACCAGTAGGGATCTCGTTGGCGTTCTCTTGAATGCGCACCTTTTGCCAATCGCAGAATCGACTCTGATCGACATTGAGTTGCCACTCCCTTCTGTTCTGACAGACAGGGTTGCGGCACATGACAGGCTCGGTATACTTGAACTGCTGCTCTACATCTCGCACCGTTGTTGTGCAAGACGTGCAGGTGAATGCACCGTACAGCAACTCCGGCCTGACCTCGCTTGTCCTCGTCACTGTACCGCTGATCGAAACGAGCTTGCCTACTCGATCCGTTCGCAAGTCACGAATACCCGAGACAAGACCAAGGTTGTAGAAAGAGACGCTAAAGTCACGGTGGATGAGACCAGACGAGGCAGTAGCAGCCACGTGTGCGTTGAGGTAGAGATAGTTGGGCACGTATGTGTTGACCAAGTCGAGCAGCGCACGGCGGAGGTAAGGCACAAAACGGTAGTACTGATCGCTGATGGCACGTGCCAAAACCTCGTCATGGCGAAGGATGTGGCTGAAGTCAACGAAGAGTGTAGTACGGTTGTAGTCGCGCAGTGCGTAGATCTGGTCGATGTAGAGTGGGTCCTGTACTTTCTCGCCGTTGGGATCGGGAGAGCCGGAAAGAGGTTGGTCGACAAAGCTCTCGAGGAACTGTGCAAAACCTTCACGCACACGTTCACCGACTTCATCGACAACAGGAGGGATGTCTTGTGTGTCGACAGCAGCACGAGGACGAGGTCTACGAGGGGTAGCGTCTTCGTCCACAGGGCGGGAGGAGTCGCCGTTGACGGTGCTATCTTCGTATTGACCTCGAAGTTGACGTTCGAGGTTGAGGGAGCCTGCTTCTGATGTGCCGGGAGTGAAGGCTCGGCGAGCGCTGGCGCTGACGCCCGAAGTGTTGTTCGAACGACCGAGAGCGAGAGGGTCGAGACGGTCTTGGTCTGTGCTTCGGGTTTGGCCGCCGATCCTGCCCAAGGGGGAGGAGGGCATTGCGGACGATGACGACATCCTTGTCCTGATCTATGGATGTGTGGATGGAGCCTAGGGCTTGGTTTGGGTATCGGCTGGGTGCTCAGACCCTTTACTCGATGCAGATGAGATGAAGCAGCGTCTAATGAGAGAGTTGTGGTATAATTCGTAGGAGTAAGATCAGCACGAAGGAGGTCAGGAGCGATGGAGAGGAGAACGTTGTGGTGAGAAGGAAGGCAAAAGCAAGTCTTGGACGCAGCTCTCTGTCAAGGCTCGGAGGTGTTGTTCGTTGTGCGCGCGCACACATCTTTGGCGTTGTCCCTGTCTCTCTGCTCATTCGCCTCGACAAGTTGATCTTTGTGCCACTTTGCGTCGTCTTTTCGCTCTCTTTCGCGCAACGCACAAAAACATGCTCGACGTGTAAATTGCTTTAACGCGTCCTGCGCGTGCCGCGTAAAGTGCGCGCTTCCTTTCGAACCGTTCTCCGAGCAAAGTCGCGACCGTCGCACGCGTCCCTACACTTCTCGCTGATAGTATGGAGCTCAAAGCGTCCCACAAATGAAAACATACAAAACTTCGACAACAAGAGGATGAGCCGACTTGAGATACAGAAGGATGTTTGAAACTGAAGTCGTTTCGGTCCCGATACTGGCGATCGGGGAGAGTCTAAGTACGATGTCGCTGCTAGTTTATAGACAGAACAAATATACTCAATTGACTAAGGGATGTTGAAGATTACGATCCAGTGACGACGCTAAGAGGTGACGCAAAGATGACGAGATCGAAGATCGGGGTTAACCGATCCTGTTAAGGATCGGGTACAACCAAGTCCTGCTTGTTGTCAGGCTGGGTCATTAACTATAGAGACTCCCACATTCAGCATGTGCCACACTTTTGTATATATATCGAGCAGGGAGTGCTAGGCTCTCGCCATGTTTGTTCAGTCAATTGAGTATATATGTTTCTGTCTTTTAGCAGCAGTGACATTGTACTTAGACTCTCCCCGATTGCCAGTATCAGGACCAAAACGACTCCAGTTTCCAACAAGGGAATGTGGCGAGAGCCTAGTGCTCTCTGTGAGATATATATGAGAAAATTAGATGTCATTTGTGTCCCAATACAGGCAATAGGGGATAGTCTAAGTATAATGTCACTACTCTTTAAGGCAGAAACATATACTAAATTGACTAAGGGAATCAAAGTGGCAAGAGCCTCAAGCTCCCCACTAGATATATATACAAAGGTGTGGTACAGGCCAAAATGTGGTAGCATCCCTACTTCATGATCCAGCTTGACAACAAGTGGGACTGTGTTGTACCTGATCATTGTGTGGATCTTCTCCTCCATGTCCCAATTACATTTTACATCAGCATGTATCATCAAATTGGATTCTTTCCCTCAGCGCCCCCTCTTGATCCAGTATGTCCTTCTAGTGTTGTCAATCCAAGCAAGTGTCGAAGATGTAGAAGTGTTGGTGCTGCAAGCAGTTTGGTCATAACATTGGCTAAGTTCTCACTGCTCTGGACAGGAGTGATCATGAGCCACCAACTTGCAATCTCATCTCATAGGAAGAAGTGAGTGATGTCAATGTGTTTCATCCTCTTGAAGTGTTGAGGATTGCTTGCAATGGTGTGGGCACCAGAAGAGTCACTGTGTAAGACTGGTATGTCTTGATTGAAACTGAGCTTGCCATCACAAGAGTGAAGGACTGATGTCCCAGCACTCACATTGATTCTGGCAGCCTTTTGCATGGGTTGTTCCAGCTTGCACAAGAACATAGAGGCCCATAGCAATTCTCTAGCAGCCCCTGCTAGCACTACATATTCAGCTTCTATGGAACTGTTGGCCACTGTTGGCTGCAGGTGTGATGACCAGCTACATATGAGGCCATCGATGGTGAAGACATATCCTGACATTGACCTTCTACACTTGCATGAACTGGCCCAGTCACTGTTGGCCCACCCAGTGAGTATCTGTCTGCCAACAGGTCCTGTTGCTGAGAGACTCACCTGTATAGTTCCTTTGAGGTATCTCAGGATATGTTTTGCAGCCATGAGGTGTTTGCCTGATGGGTTCACAATGAACCAAGCACACCTGCCAACAGCAAAGGTGATGTCGGGTCTGCTGCCCTGAGCTACCTGTCGCGGGGGGGGATGCGCAGAAGCTAGAGGATCCGTCAAGCTCATATGAAGGGAGTGCAGGAATCAAGGGATCGGGCAGATCATGGGATTTGAAGCAGAATTCACTGAGATCGGTAATAGTACCAACTCTATGACAGATCTCATCGAGATTGGCAGGAAGGAGGATAGTACTACAAGCCCAGGATCGGCTCGAGGGAAGATGGTACTAAGGACCACACCGAGATTGGTGATACAAGAAGGGGTATGGCGGATTCTGCCAGAATCGGTAATAGGAGAGATCCTATCACAGATTCCGCAGAGATCAGCAATAGGAATGGGCGTACCATGAGCTTCTGTGGGGGGAGTGGAACCAAGCGCTGCCAAGAGGGGGACTGAGCTCAGGAGCATGCAGCTGGTTACCACTCAGGGGCACACAAGATAGGGGACTGTCACTGGTCGAAGGAAGGAGAGCTGTGTAAGAGAAACTGGCAAGGAGGACAGAAGGAGGAGGGGCAGTGTCGATGGAGTCAGCACAGCTCAGGAAAGACAGACAGGACAACGCAATGAGGAGGAGGGGTCTCATTGAAGACTCCTGTGAAGTACTCGACACAGAAGGTACTCTCTGGAGAGAGAGCAGGAGCAGTGGCACTGGCACCACTGTGAAGAGGTATAAAGCCATACCTTCTCATTGCTAGTGGTTGAGTGGATCCTCATCCACTCTACTCACCAAACAAACTAGTATTACTTCAAGCAAATAAGTATCATTAGTTCACAGTCAGCATAGTAGTAATCAATAGATTGCTCCTCATCAAAGTGCATGTGTTGTATCACCATTTCCTGACATCCAAAGGTGGTTCACAGCAAACCAGCAGTCCGGATAACAATAGAACTGAAGGCAGTCATCCACTGCGGCCTGGGGATCACTTCAAGCATTAGTCGACACACTGGACACTTGTGTCGGCATCATCAATCCATACTCACACCAGACCATTGGTGTCAACATCAAGTTCACTTAGAGTCATATCGTAGTTTGATCATGCCGAGCTACCTCTGGATGGAGTGTCCACAGTGGTCAGTCGAAATCTGTCATAATGTCTATACAACTACAGATTCCAACAAGAAAAGCAGCAGAGACGACTCTGTCGCATATTTCACTAGGAATCGAAATACCATTAGTGCTGTCGCATAACTCGACAGGATCGGTGATAGTACTGATACTACTACTTATCTCAGGTTTCAGGTGCGCGACCCCTGACACTACCCACAATAACACTCCTACAAGCGATGCATAGTGATGTACTTCCTCTGTGCTCGCTACTTCTCCCTCCCATGGCTTGAGAGAGTTTATAGCTTCGGTCACTGGTGTGGAAGCTGACCAAGCTTCACTCATTCCAAACTTCACCAGTATTCCTTTGATGTACCCACTCTGGTTGATTGAGAGGGTGCACCTTTTGCATTTGTAGTGTATGCTCAATCCAATGATATGTGTGACACTCCCTTGATCAGTAATGCTGAATATGTGTGAAAGTTGCTGTTGCACTGATTGGACTCATGATATTGTTGCTCTGATGATGAGCAAGTCATCAACATAGACAGCTAGGAGCACCATTGCATCGCTGGAGCCTTGCATATAAATGCATGGCTCTGCTTGGCAGCACTGGAAACTGAAGGCTTGCAACTGCTCATCGAGTGCTGTATGCCATAGGCATCCTGCTTGCTTTAGACCATAGAGTGCTTTCTTGAGTTTATAGCACTTACCTTCAGTCTCATCTGCTTTGAATGTTGGGGGTATCCAAACATAGACATCCTTGTCAATCCTTCCATTTAAAAATGCTGTGCTTATGTCAAGCTGACTAATGTGTAACCTGTATCGGTGGGCAAGGGCAAGGAGCATGCAAATGGTTTGTAGACAGACTACAAGGTGTCATGGGCCTGGATGCTCAAGAAGCAGGAGGGTCACTGGTTCATATGGACGGAGCACAGGTATCGAAGACCTAGTCGATACCAGTAGAGAGCATGGTCGTAGTGCAGTCTCCATGGAGACCATGGACTCCTATGGATTCACATGCAAAGGAGCACTGAGCCCATATGCGAGGAGGACCAGGCACAGCCACGAGGAGGACCAAGCTCAAAGAGCAGGCGCAGCCACGAGGAGGACCAAGCTCAGATGGTTACCACTCAGGGGCTCGAGAGACAGGAAGTCGACACAGGTCATGAGGAGGAGGAGCAGTGTCGAAGGAGTCGACACAGGTCATGAGGAGGAGGAGCAGTGTCGAAGGAGTCGACACAGGTCATGAGGAGGAGGAGCAGTGTCGAAGGAGTCGACACCACTCAAGAGGCACAGGGGTGCCAAGCAGGAGAGGCCCCTGAGCAGTACTCGATGAAGAAGGTACTCTCTGGAGAGAGAGCAGGAGCAGCATCGCTGGCAATGCTGTGAAGAGGTATATAACCATGCTTTCTCATCATCATAGGTCGAGTGGATCCCCATCCACTCTACTCACCATAACTAGTTATCACTTCAGCATAAGTATACATTAGTTTCAGTCAGCATAGCAGCAATCTATCAAGGTTGCTCCTCATCGTAGTGTGTGTGTTGTATCACCACTACCTGACGTCCGAAGGCGCCCATAGCAGGTTAGCGGTCCGGATATCGATAGAACCGAAGGCAGTAGTCCACTGCGGTCCGGGGATCACTTCAAGCATCAAGTCAACACACTGGACACTCGTGTTGACGCCACCAACCTTATCACCAACACCATCAACCTCATTATCATCGACATCACCAATCTCATCACCAACACCATCAACCTCATCATCATCAACACTCACACCAGACCTTGGTGTCATCATAACATTGATATTGATCGTGCCGAGCTACCCCTGAACGGAGTGTCCACAGAGGTCAGCCGAAACCTACGA